GAAACCTGAACGGGAAAGCCCAGACGGAGTTTCTGATACGGAGGGCCCTTTTGGGGATGGCCGATGGATGGATGGATGCCTAAGGTGTTGTTGGTTGAGAAATGCAGCAAATTAATGCAGGAGTCGTGGGCGAGTCAGTTGGTGGCTTGCTCAACGCCAATAATGGCGTTTTCTGAATCAATCTGCATCGGAGCATTGTCTTTATCTGCGACTCCGTCTTGTTGGTTGTAAAGAGTTGGCCGTAGTTTCAGCGCTAGCAGGTTGCAATAAGGAACATTGGCTCTGAGTGAAAGAAAAAGCGAGAGCGACCGTATCACGGCCGGATGAAACACCACAACACACAGCCTTGTGGAGCTATCAGCAGGGTCTTTATAGGTATTGAACATGGGCGGTCCTCGTAGAAGCGCAGCCAATAGACGGTAAATAACGTTAAGTAACCCTGCTGTGGGAGTCTACATCCAACGTTTCGTGCTTCGTACTGATCTGATGCAACGTTGATTACGGGCACATTAATTTTAGGCACTTTCTCTTGTGGCTGCGGCTTAGCTTCGAGATGGAGAGTCCGTAGTCTAGCTGATTCCGGCGGTTTTGTGGCTGTCTGATGTGATGGGCCCAGGCGTAAAAAAAAGGACGTGTTTGATGGGTCGAGTCAAGGGCAAAGCTGATGGGCAAATATCGACACGCTATTAATAGCCCGATCCAGCACGTGCATTGCATCCCAAGACATGTTCTCCAAGTAAGCATTTGCCAAGTTGTAGCACAGGCTGCACAGCGCAAAACAAGCATTGTAGAGTCATGAACCGACATCCTGGAACACCTTCTCTTGGCCTGCATCGACAAGTGGAAATGATAAACAAGCTCATCAACAAGAGATCTTCAAAGAGCCAATTTTTCAAGGCTGCAGGCGATGGGTACTTGGTCCGTTCCGTATCAGTCCAGGGGCCCATCAAGCATTTTGCTAGACGAATCTAGCGTCCGAAAGGCGGATCGGGAGTCCGGGAATCAGAAGATTTGGCCAGGGACGGGGTCTGGGCCATCTCGCATGTGAAGAGAGACTCTACGGAGCATCCAATCCCTGCGTGGCAACAGACCTGTCAGACCCACCTCGTATACGGTTGATGCGGTGGTGCCATTGCATGGTGGTGAGCCAGTCCGTCACTGCGTGAGGTCTCTGAGGGACACGCTGTTGGTCACTTCTTTTCGCTCTTCTCAGTCAAAAGCCGAGCTCGATTGCCAATCTCCTGCATGATGTGACATTTATACAAAAAGCTTGTCGACCGCCCAGCTCTCTCCAGTTTCTTGTCCCGTCTTTTCTGGAACCTCGCACAACACACTCGTTTTTTTAAGCCACGACGCATTTTAATACGCCCATTCTTTTTCTCCAAGACATTGTTTTCTCCGACCGATTTGACACTACTGTACACCTCTTGCAGACGCTTTCAGGCCACCACCACCGTCGAGATGAAGATGATGATGGACGAGGTATTCCTCAGCCGGCTCAATCGGCGGAAAGGCGTCTTCATCGCCATGGGCCTGCTGGTTCTTTTCGGCTTGGCGATTCACATGTGGGGTTTCTACTTTGCCGAAGCCATCGAGGCTCTACCGTGAGCTTGACCCCATCCCCAAGACGTCAGTGCACCCATTGACAGCTTCATCCGCAGAACATTCAAGGACCCAACTTCAGAGCAGCCAGCTCAAAATACCTCCCCAGTTCCAGACTCGGATGACATGTCAGGATTAATGCACGCGCTGTGGAAGCCTTTTTTGCATGATCTTAATGAAACAAAGTTTGTTTCCAAGGAGGGGTACAACTACGAGATTGCCAAGGACAACTACCGATGGAAAAAGCCGCTCGGCAAGAAGCTGCTCATTCTCGATGTCGACACCCGTATTGATGAAGGAGCCGGTGCTATGATGAACACTTCCAAGCTGAACCCCAAGGAGATGGTTGGACGAACTGGTGGAATGATGAACCACTACCTCTATGGTATGTCGCCTTAATTCACCCAAGAGCGCTCTCACTAACCACATCAGCCATGATTCACGGCTACGACTACCGATTCATTCGAGCCCCCAACTACTCTGACCGACACGGCACATGGGTCAAGGTGCCCATGATCCAGGAAGCCCTCAAGACGCACGAGTTTGTCGTCTTCCTCGACGCCGACGCCGTCTTCATGTACCCTCACATGCCCTTCGAGTGGCTCATGTCCCTCTGGAACATCACCGACAACACCCTCGTCGCCATGGCCAGCGACCCCGATTCTCCCCGTAACCGCGACCACAAGGGCAAGCCCATGTGGAACACCGGCTTCGTCGTCGCCCGCCAGAGCGAGCGCACCCAGGAGCTCTTCACCAACTGGGAGGCCTGCCCCACCGAGAAGAAGTACGACGGATGCAAGAAGTGGGCGAAGGATTGGGCTCACGAGCAGGCTGCTTTCGCCAACTACGTTCGCTACGATTACAATTCTGACGAGGAGCTTCGACCTATTCCCTGCATGGACGGTAACGGTGCCCCGTACATTGGCGACAAGTCTTGCGGAGGTGTCTTTGTGAGGCATCACTGGTTCCACAAGGATTACCCCGTGGGTGATCTTCAGCAGGCTATCATCGAGGCGATGGTGAACCGCCTGCACGACGGTTTCCACCAGGACAAGAAGACGTTCCTGGATGCGAGCAACGAGAGCTACCCTCTGAACCGGTTACAGGTTTAAGGGAGTTGTTTTTTTCGTGATTTTTTCAAAGCGAACAAATAGATATAGAGAGCGTATGTACAATAATGATAGACTAATGAACATTTTGAAGCCATCATCATCAACTGAATTGGCATTTACTATCTTGCTTCTTGAATTGAATGTGGCTGTTGTTCCCGATGGTGGCTTAAGCCTCACGCACCGACTGCATCATCTCCCGCATGTCTCGTCTAGCATCGTTTCTGTTTTACGTAAGTGACGTTTTCTGGGACTTTTTTGTCCGATAGGATCATCACATAAAATCCTCCTGAATTGCGCGCCTCACTCGTTGATCCTGTGCAGCCAAACCTCCTGCTCGGTACGGGCGCTGTACGTGCTCGCCCCCAGAATGTCCCTCATCTGCTGCACGCCCGTAAACATGATTTGTCTAGCCACGAACCACCGAATGCCCTCGTGGCAGGGGGGGCTCGTCAAGCTGCCCTGGTAGGTCCAGAATTCGTTAAAGTACAGCACGCTCTCGAGCGCGAGCCGATGGTTCAGCTCTGCCGGTTCCGTGATATCCGTCTCGTTGAAGCCGATCATGGTCGGCAGCTGGGCTAGAAACTGGTTGTCCCGATTACCCGGGTCGAGACGGATGGCTAAGACGGCTCGCTCGTGGCCTTTGGCGTCGACGTGGACGAGATGCAGCTCCGCCTTGGACCGATCTCCTCCCACGGAATGATCTGCCGGGGCGTGGATGTGCCATCCCTTGAGATAGACAGTCTCGTTGTCGAATGAGAAGGACGGGTTCTGGTCCCATACACCATCCTCGTGCGTCACGGTAAAGGCCGGGCCGTAACCCCAGTTGTAAAAGTTACCCGCCACGCTATCAGGATAGTTGAACTCGGGGATATGGTTCAGCGACAGCCCATTGTTGAGGCTCAGGGCAATGGGCGACTGCTGTGTGCCGGTCTGGCAGAGGGCATAATCTGCATCAGGGGTTGTCAGGTCAGAAACACGCTTGCTAGCCGAGCTGCCGAGGGGGGAGAAGGGGTCTACCAACCAGGGTTGAGACGGCCCCAGTTAAAGGACGCTTCGTATGCCCAATCCGTGTCCACTGGCGCCGCCCGGGGACTGACGTGCCGTTTCCTGTTGACGAGCTGTTGGTGATTGTCGTGTAGGGCGCATGAGAGGGTGCCGGTGACATGCACCGCTGTCGCAAGGAGATGGAGACCACGCATTTTGGTTGGGTGTTATTTAGGCTTGTGTAGAGAGTGGGTTCTAGATGGAGATGATTGTGATGTTCCACTTTCCTATCCCCAGGAAACGACGAGGTTTATAACTTTTGCTCTACGTGACAGCTCTAGTAAGAAACAATCTCTATTCAACCAGCATAATGTCACTGCCAAGACAGAGGCGCAGTTGAAGCGTCGTCGGCAGAGGCTTTCAACGCTTGCGAGAGAATGGGATCGGCAGAGGGCGAGCTCGTGGCTGGGAGCCAAAGTTACAGGGGGTTTTCGCACCGAGTCGTCACCCCACAAGGCTAACCTTTGACAAGCCAGCAGTGCGCATGAAGCAGCTCCATTGTGCCCCTGGCTGAACAAGGCATTTTACTCGCCCACGTGCTCTCTCTCTGCTGTTCAGTCTCGGCAAAAACGGCCTGTTTTTTCCATCGTCTGGCTGTCGAGGGTAAACTTTGCGCTGGCCCTGTAAGGGGCTCGTATCGCAAATGAGTCGCTGAAACGGTCGAGTCTGGATCGTTTTGAGTCTTTAATTACGCTCCGATGGTAAATGCCCTCCGCTGATTCGCCGACACGCAGAAAAAGGGGCCTGGTAAAATGAGATTGAAGAGAGATCTGCCCAGTCCAAGCTCTCTCGCCAGGCTAGCCTGTTTACCCACTCAGTCTCGGCGATACCCAACACAACGGGCGCAGCGCTTTCTTTAGCGGTTGGCGATGCTGCGACGGCTTGGCAATAACTCTATCGTCTCGTTTCAATCATCAAAGCCACGGGGAAACGTCAGCTTCTCAACTAGACCAGTCACGTTTACAACGGTCGCGGGTCTTGGCGCGTTACATAGACGTGTCTTGGCGGTCCTGAATGTCAGAAACTAGGCAGACCCAAGACACGGCAGTTGTCCGCAGATGCCGTGTCGGGACTGGCTGCTCAACATGTCAGAGACTAGACTACCGTTGCCAAGCATCTAGATAGTCAAACTTCAATAGGAAGGTGTAGCCTTTCCAAGGCATCGACCTGGCTCAGCCTGGCTTGGCGAGGGAATTTCCAAGGCTTTGGTCGTGGCGGAGTCATGAGAGTTCAAACCGTTGTTTAACCTTCAACTGAATTTCTAGCGTGATGAGGACTCTCTGGCCCTGATGCATTGCTTGGCACTCTCAACACGGTAGGCAATTCATGGTCTACGAAGCCATGAGCCACCGACCTGCGCGACTTTTCCTGCTTGGCCTCGTTGACTCTTGACGGCGTCGGCGAGAGTACTACACTGGGTAAGCTAATCGGGCGACTAGTCTCGGCAGTTGAAATCCCAGGAATGAACATTTGGAATATCGGGCGGAGCATGGGGAGACAAGCTGAACTCTGTATTAACCCTCACTCGAGGCAGAGCTTGTGACTTTGCTTACCAGAAAAGACTGCCACATTGATCTCCACGCCTCCCCAAATCATGCTGAGGGCAATTTCCTTTGGGAATTCTCTCGTATCGGGGCCGTAGTGGATAGCCTGGATCAGTATAAACACTGATGCAATGCAGACTCTTTGTGATGGTCAGCAGATGTAAGAAGCGAGGAGTGGGTAAGGCATGCATGATTCCAGACGTAAAAAGGCCGACAACAGCGAGCTTTTTAGACCATGGTAGATGCATCTTTGCTACTTCAATAACAGACAAAACAAATATGATGCAGTCCATCAGACAGCGCATAAGAATCGTGCAAAAGAAGAACGTTGATGCATTTACCAAACAACGGCCGCGCGTAATGGTCTTGTCCCAGTATGCCTGAACCGGAACGCAGTGGAATATCACCATGAATGTTCGTATGGTGAACCAGATGGACACGGCAGCGATAAGGACAAGAATAGGGATGCGGATCGAGGTATAGCGGAAGACGCGCCAGTAGAAAGACAGGATTGCCAACTTTGATGCGGCTATTGATCCAGCGTAGAGGAGCTCAGTTACCCAAAGCAGGAAGCGTGACTTTTCTCGTATCGAATCTGCGCGAGTCTGGTCTTGTATGCCAGTGAGCGACTGACCAAGCATATAACAAGCAGCCCCTGTAATTGTCAGCGAGACACACGGAAGTGATTTGCCCGCTCATACAAAAGATGGTGACGGAATTGTAGCCCGAAACAAGTGCGTGCATACATCAGCTACGAGAAGCATATTCTCAAAGGGCGAACCCACCCATGCCACACAAGCTAGGTAATCGTCAAGCCATAGCTTCATCCTCGTCATCCTCCGGGCCTTGAGACGGAGGAGCAGCGCAAGGTCACTGCAGTCCATGTGACCGATATTGCGACGTAAACGTTGACCTGTAGCCCAGCCATGGGAAACTAATGTTTGCGGGACTCCAATAGCCTCGGAACTCATAATGAAAGGGCGCCGAGCAGGGGACGTGGGTCGTCGTGGGAAAGGCCAAGCAACATGACGACAGAGTTCATAATAAGAAGGGTACAAGGTTACGCGACGAGGGGAAACCTACGATTGGAGGAAGAAGGCGAGCTAGACTTTGTTGAGGGTAGTGAGCTTGGGATGACAAGCCAATGACCACTACCTCGGAGCGGATCATCCATGTGCGATGTCAGCGACAACAGTTGTGGTTATTGGCTCTGGCTTGCGTTTCGATACATCTATCAATCTTGTAATTTGTCTGGTCTTGTTTCAGTATTGTTCTATTGATATGCTGACAAATGACCGCGCTCTTCTAGAAACCCTTCCCTTTCTATAACCCGCTTCATTATGCATGCTCATAAACAACAATGTCTGCTCAAAGTGGTAAATATACACGACTAGAATGAAAACAGAAGGGGGTTCAAATGCAAGCAACCCCTCTAAAACCGTCCTTCCCCAGGCCCAACACAGCGCGCTGCCTTATTCACTCACCCTCTTCAACACCTGCTGCGTAATCGCGTTCTCCACGCTCACAACCTTTCCGTCAACAACCTCAAAGACAAACTCATCCAGCGAGTCCCAGAATCCAACATCAAACCATGTCTGGCATCCATTGTCAAACATGCCTTCGCCTCCTTCGACCTCAGCTCGTGGCTCTATGGGCTTGAGCTGGGCAACGGAACGGAATGCGATGCGTCGAGTGTCACCAGATGAAGACTTTTTCTCCGTCTCTGCGCCGACGGGGTAAAGGCGGATTATCTGGCTGGCTGCAAGGATTGGATCAGCTCCTGGCAGGGTCAGGTTGGCTCGCCAGTCTACACCATTGACGTTCCATGACTCCAAGCCAAGTCCGGGGTGGCCCTTGTCAATAGTCAAGGTGAGGTTTGAGGTCTCGTCAGAATCATCAGCAAAAACACCGGCGTAGTTGACGGCGGCGTTCTCAACGGCGGCGTGTTCGGCGGCCGGCACGAATATGGTTCCCACAACGTCGCGAAGGGGGATACGGTCGGAAACAGCAGAAGAGCCAGCCACAAGCACGGAGAATCCGATTTCATGGTCGGGTGACAGGGCAAAAACAGCGGCGTATCCAGCATTTCCACCAAGCTTGGTGTAAAGGTCAGAAACACGGGTGCGGTTGGAGCCAGGAGTGACTGGCACCGTGAGGCGGTTGATCTCCCAGGGTGCGCCGACGGCGTATGTCAGGGATGCAGTGCCACCAAGGGGTCTCATCCACTGTCGAGTCGTACGCGGGGAAAGGAGCTGGGACTCGAGAATGGAAACACCGAGCCTTCGAAGATCGGCTGCGCTGGCATAGACGCCACCTGAACTGTGCAATGTTAGTATCTGGTCAAAAAGAAGAGATGAAGGAACGTACGGAGCGGTGACTTGGTTATCAAAGCCCCACGAAGACTCGGCTGGTGAGCCTGGGAGAATCAGAGCATTGACATCGTGGTCATTGGGCTCGAATGTGGTGGAACTGTTGAGTCCGAGGGGAGCAGCAAGGGCAGCCTGAATGGCATCGTCGTAGGTGAGTCCAGTAATGCGTTGCAATACAACTCCGAGAAGAGCGAATCCAGCATCTGAATAGAGGGAGGCCCGAAATGGAAGTGCCACGGGGTGCTTCTTGTCTTTCATGGTAGCGAGAAAGTCTGACCGGGTTAATATACATAGGTAGATTAAGCAATGGGGGTATGAAACATACCTTCAGTGGTGCAACCCTTGGATGTACCGTGACACGTAACAGACTCCAGAGCTAGATAAAGTTAGCTGTGTTGAGACAACCTCATACTGGACAACCTACGAACTCCTCCGGTACCTCCCTGCTGCGCAGCAAGCGCACCGACAGTGACATCCTCCCACTTGATCTTGCTAAGCGGGTCGCTTCCAGCGTTTCCAAGAAGTTCGGGCACGTAGAACGTAACGGGATGGTTGAAAATCTCCAGACCAGCGTGGGCCAGAATGGAGTAGACGGTATAGATCTTGGAAACACTGCCGATGCGAAATATTGTTCCATCGTCGAGCTCGCCAGTGGTCAAGGTACTCTTCAGTTCCTTTCCGGTGTGGTAATAGCTATAGAGGGACTCGTTGGTCGCAGTCGAGAAGACGTCGATGGCGAAGGCTGTTTGGGTGTCGTTCAAAACGCCAGCATCAAAGAGGGCCTCGATGGCTTTGGGGAATGCGGCCTTGGCGTCTTTAAAGGCTTTGCTACTCGAAAGGTCGAACCCAGAAGGAAGCACGGGACCGAGAATAGGGCATTCTTCAGTCGGGAGGCTCTGCCCAAGGGAGCTTAGAGCGAGGGAGAGTAGAGACAAGGAAAAGGTCCTCATGACGGCGACAATGACAGTAAGAGGAGGAGTTTTGTTGCTATGGACCTCTGTGGCTTAATGGACTCCATCTTTGTAGAAACAGCGGTGGCGCCCTGCTTATATACAAATATTCATGCCGTGTCAGTTGAAGTTGTTGATGACGATGGCCCGCACCCTTGTCGTGGCTCATCTGGTGTTACTGGCCGCCGAGAAACGGCGCTTGTCCCTTTCTGGAGCGTTGTGCCGCTGGGGGTTGTTCCGAACTCCGGACTCCGGGCTTCGGATTTACTTTCGGGGCAGCGAGCAGGTCTTTCCATATACGATCTAGTACCTATTGATGCCATTTGTTGCTTGTATGATATTTCCTGAATAAAGCTCTTGTAGTTATCTCTTTTTCCTGATCTTGATTCAGTTGATTAACGGTGTTTGCTCTTCCTACCTACCTATCAAGCGGGTTCCGGAGCTGGCCTCCGCTAGTCACGTGAGTGGTTTGATGCACTCGCCTCTCAGCGTCTGGAGTCGCTTAGAGTCACCAGCGATAGATTAGCTACTAAAACGCCACAAAACTCCTATTCATCTTCAATTCCAAGAATAAAGAAGCCAAAGACAACGCAGGTCGCGCAGGGCAATGTTAGGGCTGAACCGGCTTTGCGTCATCAGCGCTCCGAAACTCCAGATTGGGTAAGGTGCTGACTTGAAGACCCCTTCATTTCCGCCAGCCATTGGCCCAACTTCTGTGGCACAGGGCTGGGGCTGTGCAAACACCGCGGGAGCGCCGTCTTGGCTGTTTCGTGCGAATTCCGTGTCGGCCACGACGGAGTTGATTTGGGTGATGCAGAGATGAGATGCTTACGGAATCTTGAAATGAACATGTTATGTGACCGTAATTCTAAGGCCCATTGGATGTATGCACGTCGGTTGCTAAGTTCCGCCTTTTTTCGGGATTATCGGGGTTTGCGTATGAGTAGTCGGTCGCTTCCGCATGGTCAACGAAGGACACTGCTAATTGGAATCAGCTTTCCACCTTCAGTGACGAAGAAGCCTTTCCCCATCAATTCAGCCATTGACAGTTGTAAACATGTAGCTATCCAGTTCATATAGAGTTAATCCCTTTTCAAATACTCCTTTTCCTCACCTATCAGGGCTGTGAATTGAAGTTTTCCATATCGTCGTGAACTGAGTTGTCCTACCCTGCACCAGCACCACACACTTGCGGTAAGAAAAAAGCGAGACACTAGCACGCCATGGTCATGGAGAGGAGTCAGCTTTATTTTGTCACCTTATCAACGCGTCGTGTCGCGTCGCGTCGAACGAACGAATATCTTGACGTCATGGACTTTAACACAAACTCTCATCAACTGTAGTAAGGTCGTGATTCTTTTTCATTCACAATCAATACTGCGCAAGTCTTCTTCGTCGATAATGTCAATATCAATCCTGCGCGGCATGCTCATCTGCGAGTACATCCTGGGAGGGCTCCCTCGTCTCACCTCTTGGCCACTCACCTCCCTCCACCAGAAGATTCACCACAAATCACAACTTACGGCACCTTATCTTTATCCTGTCTTCCCGTTCTGCCAGAAAAATCAGATCAAATGGCACATGTCTTATATAGGAGCTCTCATGCTCTTGGAGGCCTTGCTCCTCACACTTCCGCAAACCCGACACAGTCTTGCAACACTCTTTATGAACGCCTTTCTCACGGGGGCTGGATGGTGGAGTCAAATGAAAGCTGGACTGCCATATTGGCTTCCTATCACTAATTTCTTCCTGGGAAGCTTCATATTCATGATGGGCATGTAAGAAACAACAACAACAACGTCTTATTATTCTATAATCCAGCTCTTTGCTGGGGATGAGAAAAGGAGAGTGGAGATGCTATTAAAGTAGCCGACCTCAAAGAACAGGTCAGACTGGGAATTAATCGCGCATATCAACTTGAAAGAGTTCCACCGGGCCGCGGACTCAGCATAGAGCCGCTCCCTGCTTCCAGTGCGTGACGTCAAAGTCGGGGTAAGGGAAGGCAGTGATGTTGATCAGCTCGGACAGGGGAGAGACCTTGCCGTGAGCGGGAAAGACGCTGAGAAAATGGTCAGTTATACATGTTGAATAATGCGTTGTACAATACTCACATAGCATCGCGGCTCAGGCCATCAACGAGGATCTGGTTCAGCCACTGTCGCATCAGACCCTGGTTGGAAATCTCGGCATCCAATCCCGCCTCCCAAGCATCGGCCTCAAAGGCGACCATGGTAGAGTTGGCGGTGGGACATCTCTCGGTGATGGTGACATATGACCAATCGGCAGCATGGACGGCCTGCTCCTCCCAGTTGAACCATGCCTGGATCTTGCTGTCACTGTGGACATAGGGGTGAGTTTGGCTATGTCGCATTAGTGGTGGCTCCTTGCTGAGAGGTTGTTCACTTACTTGAATGTAACGAAGGTAGCACCGGGGATGCTGGACCAGTAGTCGACGACCATCTCGGGCACGATGAGCTTGGCGCCAGCAGCGACGTAATTGGCGGTTCCTCCGGCGTGATCACCGTGGTGATGGGTAGGCTGCGTCTCGTCAGTTGGATGCCCCATAATACTCGTTTGTACCATGACTTACCGCGACGTGAGTAATGGGCTTCTTCAGGTTCCCAGCCACCCACTGCATAACGGCCTGGCTCCATTGAGGGGGTGCATCACACACAATGACCTCGTTCTCAAACTCAATGACCAGTTGCTTGACACCCATCTCGTCACCATCGTCAACAATGACCCAGTGAACATAAGGAAGACCCTTCAGCGGAGTCTCAACCTTGAGGTTCTCGATACTAGCATTCTTGAAGGCGGTTCCGAGCATGTTGGTGTTGAACTCGGTAACAACTCCATCCAGAACACCGGGAATCTTCTTCGGTCCAGCCTTGGGGGCAAAGCTCTTCTCCTCGTCGAGGCCGTCAAAGAAGCCCTTGGGAAATTTGGGGTTGAGGGTGACCTCTTCAATGACAAAGTCTTCGAGCACCTGGTTGAGGTTTAGGGTGGTCGAGTTGTAGATGGTCTGCACGAGGTGAGGGAACTGAATGCCCCTGACCTTCTTGTAGTCGGAGAGGTAGAGATCCTTGGTTGACTCGCCGTAGATGGGGTGCTGCTCGACTGTACGGATGATGTAGGGGACCTTGGACTTGGGGTCGAGGATGACGGTGATCTCGCGGCTGGGATCATGGACTGTCGACTGTTAGTATTGCCGATGTTGGAGTACGAGATTTGCCTACCAGCTGGGAACTCGATTCCGTTGATATCAACCGTGATGGCTGAAATTGACTTGGTATCCCTCATCTGCAAGTGGTTAGCGGGCGGCGCATATTCGACTGGAATGTGGTAAAACTTACACGATAGATCAGATGGGGCGAGAACATCTGAGCCTGCACGATAAGGTTGTAGGTAAGAGCAGCTTTGATGGTTAGCCATCATGCAAACGACAAGGCAGAAGAGCCATACAATCAGTGTAACCAGGGGCCAGCTCCTGAGGGAGGTAAATCTGGTTGTTGCCCTTGACATAGCAAGCAAACCCATCCTTGCCCTCATTCACAACCAAGGAGAATTCAAGAGGTTTGAGCTCCTGTGATCCCCAATACCAATGGTCTAGAGCGTTAGCGTATAGTCGAGACCGGGCAAGTGCCGGACTTACTCGAGGGAACAAGACGGCGGTCGATCCGCTGCTCCAGGAACCCCTGGTCCACTCTAAACGAGATATTCTGTGAACCGGACGTTGCGACGTAGGTGTCGGCTCTCGTGAGCTCGTAGCTCTGCATAAGGCTGCGGGAGCGGAAGATTCTAGACTAGTTAGCGTAGGGTCGGTGGTTTCAGGGATGAGTGGCGTACCGTGGAGAGTGGTAGGTCAACCCCTTGATTTCTCCAATCTTATCCTCGCCTCCAAGTGCATCGAGGGCTTCGCTAAGAAGATCTTGAGGAGAGCATGATGGCTTGGGTAAGGCGGTTGCGCTCACTACGGAGGCGAGGCCCAAGAGAGTTGTCAGGAGTTGCCTGACAGCCATTGTTGAAGTTGAGAGACAAAAGAGTGAGTTGAAGGTACAAGATGCTGATCGGTGTCGATTGGAATACTGTGGGGATTCTTCTAGAACTTCTTATATACGAAAAATTCTTGATTCTATTTCTGGGGTTGACGAATTTACGTTGCATCACATCTGGTCTCGGCTCGTCCATCTTACGAGCGGTAGTTGTCTCGTCCCTTTTTTCCGTGCATATATGATGACAAACTATTCATCAGACTACCAACATCCTCTTCTCAAGCATAAAAAACAAGTCCAACTCAGGACTCAGCCTCTTCCTGATGACGTCCATTATCGCGACGACACACTGATCATGTTGCGCGTCCTAAGTGGTCAGCACTAAAGAGATTGATCGACGTATCCACTAGCTTTTTTTAAGGTTACCATACTTAGTAATCTTTGCGGTTTAGTCTGCCGTGGCGTAAATTAGCATCGGTGGGCGGTTCGTTATTAAAGGCCGCGCTCCGTTCTGAAAAAGCGTGTTTGGGACGTCGAGAGCGGCCCTGATTCCTTGGCCGCTACCGCAATTTCTTGTCCCCTCGTATCAAAAGCCAAGTACATACCATGAGCCCTTCAGGAGAGAGCGCGGTGGAGACGCGCCTTAACCGCACCTGCGAGGTACTCCCGTCTCCCTGCAGTGGAAGTCGTCAGCTAATGCATATGCCAGGGGTGTAGGAGGCGGAAGATTAAGTGCATTCCAGACCCCTCCGAGACGGACCTGTTGTCCAAGAGATGCACTCGATGCAGCAAGCTGGATCTCGACTGCGTGTTCCACGCTCCTGCGACAAAGAGGAGACGAAGACGCAATGAGACGCGGATTCGTGAGCTTGAGCAGAAGCTCGAGGAGGTTCAGCGATCTGTCGCGAGAGAGCATAGAACAGAACTTTGGACGCCTTCCACGTCGGAAGCTTCGACGACTCCGGCAAGCGCCAATGAGCAATTGCTGGCTCCCAGTCGAATCCCGGCCACATCCCCAGGACGCCCTGTCTCCCGCGAGGTCCCCGACCAACTTCCTACCAAAGAGGACCCCGTGGCTCGGGGAATTATCGATGAATCACTAGCCGAGGAGCTGTGTGTCCAATTCTGCACTGAGCTCCTACCGCGGTATCCCCTGATTCTGCCCCCGGTTCCCCTCTCTTGGCGTGCCCTGCAACGGCATCGCCCAGCGCTCTTCCGGGCGATGCTGGCGACGGCTTCAAGTAGTTTCAAACCGAGTCTTTGGAAGTCGTTATTTCAAGATGCGGAGAGATATGTCATGGAGCAGGCCATGATCTTTGGTCGGAAGTCGCTCGATCTTATCCAGGCGGCGTTGGTTCTCGCGACTTGGAGCCATCCTCCGGACAGGTTCCAAGACTTGAACTTTGGCCAGTTTGTCAACATTGCGGCGACCATGGTGATTGACTTGCGGTCTTCGAATGATAAGCGACATCAGATCCCGTCTTCTGATAGCGAGGCTGCACAGACAGGCGAGTATTTGGAGGCAGCCAGGACATTTTCTGCTTGTTACCTGCTCTGCTCAAGGTACGGCTTCATCACCACCCATGAATGGTTTGAGGACTGACTGCTCTTTTCTAGTATTGCAATGGCGTTTCGCAGGCCAAATACCCTTCGCTGGGGATCCTGGGTGAGGGACTGTACAAACATCCTGGATCCTCGGTCAATTGCACACATTGGCGACCGTCGCCTGGCGGCATGGATCCGTCTTCAGAGACTCGCCGAAGAGAGCCTCACGATGGTCGGGCTGGATGAGGGCTCATCGATCAACTTTTCAGACGCACACACTCGTATAATTCTCAAGGGAGGTTTCGAGCGAGTCAAGGAATGGAGGCAAAACCTCCCCGACGACATCATGACTGGTAAGACGAGCTGCTCACTCTGTGACTTCCGCTAACGGTAGTAGAAACACTTGAAATACACCACTACATGATCCTTCTCAACTTTTGTGAACCCGGCCTCTACGACAACCACGAACTCCAAGATTTTCGACCCCCCTACGCCATTCACACGTTGCCCTCAACAGACGTCTTTACTCGAGACTCACCGCAGTTTGTCGATGCGCGAATAGAGTGCTTAGACATTGCGCACAACCTCATCAACATGTTCCTTCGTCTTGCGGGTGACGGCTTACGGCAAGTGCCTGTGATTGTGTTTACGAGAATGATGTATGCAGTCGTCGTCATCATCAAGCTAGAGGTGTTTAATAGGCCCTCTTCTGAGGTGGGATACATGTCGAAGGGGGATCACATGTCTGCGATAGACATGCTTCGTCGCATACTCGCGTGTCTTGCAACAGCAGCCGATGGATCTCGGTTCCGTGTCCCCGCTACTTTTCATGCTGTGCTTCAGAGGTTGTTGAGTCGATGTGGAGAGAGTTTCTCGCGACTACACATGGGACAGGATGAAATCATTAAACCTTTGATGAATCTCCAAGTTGATGAGTCAAGACATGAGAGGTCCATCACTCCTCCCGCCATTTCGGGGGAACCACTGGCACCAGATCATCAAGCATTCGCTGTTGACCCTGCGCTTCAGCACATTGAGATTCCTTCATTTCAGGATCCGTCAATCCCGTTCAATGATCTATTTCAGAGTGCCCCGGATGATGCCGCGGCCATGATGTTCTGGAATAGCTTCCTTGGGGATGGGTATTTCCCGATGAACCCCGAGCAGGGCGGATGTGATAATGGCATGATACACTACTAGCATACATATCAAGGAGAAACGAATAGTCTATAATATTGATACCTAAATTGTAATAAGAGTTAAGCAGATGGGATGCTAGGTAGACAGACGCCTCTCACATCGGGGTCTATGTTTAGCCCATTGGGCTTGTGACATTCAAGGGGCCTGGCCTTTTCTCTAAACTCTCGCCTCTTACCACAAGTAAATACCTTTAGGTCTCACTTCACCGTATCCTGCCAACTCATTCGGCCTGTAGGGCTGTGTCCCCTTGTCAACTCCACTCCAATGAGGAGTGGCGTGATCCCTGAGAGCGGGCCTAGCAGGCCACCCCGCATTGATGAGCCAGCCAGCACGATAACGGGTCTTCAGCAAGATGCCCAGTGATGATTCCTAGATCCAGAAAGGAAAGGAGGCAGATTTGGCCACGTCCAAAATCGAGTGTGTCTGCCCTGCCTCAAGTTGGTTGGGCTGATCTTTCTGCCTTGGCTCTCTTGGAGGTTTATGCCAACTCCAAAGTCAGCATCGGCCTCCCTCGTTATTTTCAACCCCCATGGAGATAAACCGGGCTCGTTTTGTTCCGGCCCGGACTCCGGCATTTTGCCGCTCGTACCCAGCCTATCTCTAGATGTCCCTCAGCCCTCTTGCTGACAGGGTGAGGTGAAATTAGGCTCCGATCAGGAATTGTTTCAACCACATCTTACGAGTACCTCTAGGCGTAGGATTTGCAGACTAGAGCAACCGAATCATATTTTTTACCGGCCAGAGACGAAAAACACTATCACACATCATCACAAACACCTCTTAACCATCATGGGCGAGCCAAGATACGGCCGCATCCACCTCCGCCCCACGCCTTCAGGGCCCGAGTTCCTCCCAGTTCCACCCCCATACCCTCCTGGAAGAGGTGAATACTATTCCGATGATGATAGATATACTACGAAAGGAGAGAGACCTCCTAGGCACATATCTATAACTCCCCAGACCCCTTCACCCCCACCAGTACGCCGTCAGCGAGCTGCTTCTGGAGACCCTCCCCAACATGCGTACATCGAAACTATCAGAGAAAGCCGTGGCAGGGGGGAATCTGGAATCAGTATGGACCCTCGAGTTCCTTCTCCTCCTCGACCTAATCGGCGTCGGGAGAACCGGCCCAAAGAGGAGCGCAGACTGTCCGCCCCGGTGATTCCATTATATCATCCTATGGTGCCGCCTCCCCAGTCGCCACCACCACAGGGTCGGAAGAGATCTTCAACAGCCCGCAAGTCTCGTCCGATCACGCCAGAAGTGTCAAACCCGAGCAGCGACCAAGAGCTGCTTTCTCCTCCCACCAACGTTCGGAATGTATCCCCTCTCGGCAATGCTTCTATGCAGCTGCAACGTTCAAAAAGCGAGAGAACTCCCAATCCCTCTAGGCCGGGTCTGACTCCGGCCTACAGCGACTGGGCGAGACTGTCTTGGTCTAACATATCTGGGTCGTCATTCCTTGGCGACAAGGTCTATCAGTATCGACCGCTTGAGGAGCAGTCCATCAGATTGATCAGGATCTCACCGGAAAGAAAGACAATGATCAAGTGTGAGATCATGCACGTGTCTCTTGAGGACCCTCCCCGATATATCGCCGTGTCGTACGCGTGGGGAGACCCAGGGGATACGCGTAGGATTGAGATCGAAGGGTGTGCTATCTCCGTCTCTGCCAGTCTCCATGGTGCCTTTCAAGCACTCCGCCAAAGGGTAGAGTCAGTACTGGTGTGGGTGGATGCTCTCTCTATTGACCAGCAGAATCGAGATGAGAGAGCTCAACAGGTCCAGCTCATGCCCGACATCTACTCAAATGCTGAATCTGTGGCCATTTGGCTGGGCCCTGAAGAAGATGATAGCTCGAGTGCCGTGGATTTTCTTGGCCAGGTAGCTGCGAAGGCCAAATACCCAGACAAGGTGTCGCGGCTTTTGACAGCTGGAGCCAGAAACGGCGACCTCGCGGCCGTGGTATCTCTATTCGAGAGAGACTACTGGAGACGACTATGGGTTGTCCAAGAGGTCTTCAATGCACGCGAAATCTACGTCTACTGTGGACCTACCAAACTCTCCTGGGACTCGTATCAACTAGCTTCGGATGCCTTCAGCGAACACCGGGGCGATATGGCCTTTCGAAATGATCAGATCGAAGGCAGGCGCGCCGTTATCTCGCCGGATCAGTTTAGCTACGCTCAGGTCCTGATATACCAAGGCCCGGCTAGCCTTCCTGACCTCCGAGCTTACATGGGGGATGGAGAAGGAGCTTTGCTTGAGATTCTGCGAGCGTGTCGAAGAAAGCTTGCTTCAGATCCAAGAGATAAGCTCTTTGGACTTCTTGGTGTTTTGCCCGATGAGATACGCAATGAGTTCCGTGCCGACTACAACCTTCCGGTCAAGGATGTCTATACTGAGGTTGTCGACTACCTCCTCAAGACCACACAATGCCTGGACGTCATCTGCGAGGCCATACACTTCCCAGTCCATACGAGCTCGGCAAACTTGCCTTCATTCGTCCCGGACTGGTCACATATTCCGCAAACGACATCTTTGGCCTGCAAGTTTGGTTTCTCTGCAGCAGGTTCCACGAAGGCTCGATGCGCATTCCTCGATGAGCGGCTGAACAAGCTGGAAATCTCGGCCATTCCACTTGACACGATAAAGAACAAAGGCATCGCAGTCGGTACCCTCTGCAACTTGGGAGACTACCTCATGGCCTTTTTGCACTGGAGGGCACTTCTTCTTGACAGCTTCAGGCAAGAGGACGAGGAATCTAGGCAGAGGGCGGAGGAGGATCTGGCTACAACCTTGTCACTCGGACAAATCCCATCGCCATACAACTGGCCGAGCGAGTGGCGAACGGCTTGCTACAGCATTTTTGCCAACCTGATCCACGAGAGGCTGCCATATATACCCCTGGATCGGACCCTGTTCGACTATCTCAACGTGGCGATTGCGGTGCGGCCCGAAGCGAGGAGAGAATATCTACAGAGACACTTTGGTGATAGAATGATGGGGCGGTGCTTCTGTATCACACAAGAGAAGCGGATAGGAATGGGAACAGGGTTCATGCTTCCCGGAGACCAAGTTGTCGTGCCATTGGGTTGCTCGACACCTATCCTGTTGAGACCTGAAGGGACTCGCGGCGAGTACCGCTTTGTGGGAGATGTGTATATTAGCGGGTACATGAATGGGAGGGCCGCTGAGCAGTGGAAAGCAGGGAAGAGGAGTTTGAAGAAGTACGTACTTCATTGAGCATGCCGAGGCCCGAGGGTAGATAGACATGGGAGATGAGAGCGAGGTTTGATGCACATTTGGTGGGCGACGCCGATAAAATGATACGTTATATAGCGAGACATACCAATAGACTTGACATTCGGTCGGTTTGAAAAGTAGAAGGCTAGCTTTGAAAACGGAACTTGACGCGGACCCCTGCCTAACGGTCCCCCAATGAGGAAAACAAGGCTGCGCTCATCCATACCCATGTGCCTTGGCTTGGCCTTCTCTCCAATCACAGAACAAAACTGGTAGGCTGAGTAAGTAGAAGAAGCTTAGGCATAAATCTTGAGGGACAATGATTTCTGGAATGGTTCCTCATGCCCAAAACGCCATCCCCGCCCTCTGCTGTGACGCAACCACCCTTAGTCGCACCCCAGTCCCAATCTCACTATTACTCCAGAATGCTCTGTCTCGAATGCTCTAGACATTTCAAACATGAATATCAGGGGGTGCCTCTCAAAGACCTCTGCAAGACATCTAAAAACGTCCCAATATGGACGCGAATCTCAGGTCGATATGTCAGGAAGCAGGCCCAAAAGGGCTGCGATATCTGCACTAGACTTTGGACTGCCGTGTCCTACCTTGAGCACATTTTCTGCTCTAGTACTAATGACCATACGCTGCAACCTCGCGACCCAATTGAATCTGTCACATTTGCTAGTTTTCTTCGTTTCTGCACAGTCTCCTGGGAGCCAAAGTCCATCACCTTCATCCTTGGATCAGATTTCAGCGCTACATTGAGCGACCTGAAATTTGATCTCTACCGCCACCAAGGAGGTGAGTAAATCTCCTTCGGGAAGTAGAAAGAAACACATTGCGATGGGTCACTAATATGGGACGTTTGTAGGAAATGACCGGCCCATGCCACATCTAACAGAGAACGGCATTAACAGTGCCAGTTACTTCCAGTTCTATAACAACGCGATGTCCGCTTGCTTAAAGTCTCATGAAGGCTGTCGAGAGACTTACATAGAGGGCTCAGAGAGATGGCTTCCTAGTCGTTTGATTCAAATCGATCCATCTCAGGACATGAGACTGATGGAAAGAGGCGAGTTACGGGAATGTAACCAAAGCCGGAGAGTGGAATACTTCACCCTGAGTCATGTCTGGGGCACGGACAAATTCCTTACATTGACTAATCAGAATATGGATCTCTTAAAGCACGAAATACAGCTCGCTGGGCTTCCTAAATGCTTCCAGGAGGCTGTCATGGCAGCCAGGCGACTGGGTGGCCGCTATCTTTGGATTGACTCACTGTGGTAAGTTTTGGAACCCTTCTCAAAGCACCATAGCCTCACAATTAGTTATCAGTATTGTCCAAGACTCACCTCAAGACTGGGCCATTGAGTCAGAACAGATGCATCGTGTGTATTCCAACGGGATATGCAATCTAGCAGCTAGTAACCAATCGACATCCAACCGGGGCCTCTTCTGCAACTGAGATCCAGCAACGGGAGCCCCCTTTACAGTTGACTCTTTCTGGACTTGTGGAGAGCGCGCTGAGAAATGGGTGGTGTACCCAAATTTTGCCAATTTCTTCACTAGTCACGGTCCCCTATATAGACGGGCATGGGTGGCGCAAGAACAGCAACTTAGTCCTCGCACAATCCACATGGCACCTTTCCCAGCCTGGGAGTGCAGAGAGGCGATCTTGACGGAGCATTTCCCATCTGCGGAGGCTCTTGGTGTATATAAATCCCCCTATATACCAACAAAGCTCTCCATAACCAGAGATGAGACGAGTCTGATAGGGAGCTGGACCAGGTTGATATTCTCATACAGTGGATGTGGTTTAACCAAAGATGGGGATAAACTGATTGCTCTTTGTGGAATTGCAAAAGCATTTTTGCAGCATTTCCGATGTAGATACTTTGCTGGGATATGGGAAGAGTATCTCCTCGAGGGCCTGCTATGGCGCACCGCAGAGGAGATACATGAGATGGCAAAGCGAGAGGAAATAAGACGCTATAAAGAGTATGTGGGTAAGTGCTCATTTTCTCCTCAGAACTAGCCCACCAGAGATATGATGGCTGACTCAAGATTCGCATTTCCCAGCACCGTCTTGGTCTTGGGCCTCAGTCAAAGGAATTGTATTACCTTTCGACGACAAGACGGTCGATGTCCCCTTGGTTGATGTTCTGAATGTGGAAACTCAAACAAGGAATGGGGACCCCTTTGGCCAACTTTGTGGCGGCCGTTTCTCTGAATGGGGTTCTTTTTCAGTTTCCTCGCATTGGCGAGATTCTATAAGGCCATCAGCACTTTTGTGACAAGCCCTTCTATAATGGGGATGCCCTTACTCTCGACGATTGCAGCGTTGATGACTATGGTAGCTCTGATACCTGGTTTCTGCCCCTCACGGTCACGTCGGATGCATCTAAGCACCTAGATTTAAACATATGCGGTATTATACTGTAGAAGGCTGGAGGAACAGTTGATGCTGTGGAATACACTCGAATTGGGCACGCTGTTGTATCTCGCGACGGTGACATTGCCGGCTCAGGGTGGTTAATCCCGGATTGGATTCCTCTACCTTGGAGTGAAGACCGCTTCTGCGCTGTTGAAATTGTACAGATGGCATCGTGTGGTATCTTGTTGGTTATCTATGTGAAGAGACAATTTTCACCAATAAATTACCCAGTTTGACTACTCAGTATGCTTCACTATGACTACTCAGTATGGCCCTTGTATCTAACAAGGATCGTCGTGACATCTCAGTTTCCACCCCTCAACTACCACCCGTAACCTCATCTAGGTTTGAAGCATTGGTCGCATGCTGCTCGCTCTCGTTGGCTGCGCGGTTGGCATCATCATAGTTGCCAGATTGGGCAGCTTGATCAGCTTGGTTGCTAGTGTCGATAGCATTGTTTTCCTCCTCCCGCTTCACAATGTTAAGCGCCTGTTGAGTCGTGTCCGACATGATGATCAAGCGCAAAAAAGTCAAGGTAGACTTATCGTGGATAGTTAGCCTCTATTACGACATGAAGACGACAGAAAGATAATATAAAGATAACACAAAGATGATATAAAGACGACAAAGAGATTTTGAAAAGTTTCTGAAAGTATGCTTACAGTAGATTTGAGGCTGCAGTGATATCAGTGACTCTCGGCGCCAGGTTGCTCCAGTCTGAGGGAATGAGGACAATCTCAGAATATTTGAACAAAATCTTTGCGAGAGGTAGAGTAGATCTATCCTGATGGCTGCCTTATTTGTATTTGCAGCGGAAAGCCTTGTTATGTTGCTTGGTCAGCTGCTGAAGCAGGCTCTGGGACAATCGGAACCTGACTCTCCAATCGCTTCAAAACCAAGGCCACCATCGTAGATGGACCCTTGTCAAGTGCGGTATTTATTTGCAATTTATCTCACTAGGTACAGTTGTTGCCTTGTTGCGCAGCCGTTTCCATGCTCGATGCTTTATCGACTAACGATCTCACCGAGCTCAGCCGCAGACTTGGCGATGCACTCACTATTCGTCAACAAACATTCTGGAGGCAAGATGACGTGCCATGAGTTTTCTCGCCAGTAATAAGGCTCAGTTTATGCATGAAAAGGTCTCAGCTGGTTTCAACGTTGTCCTAATCACTGAGGAGAGTCAGGTTTTAGCTCGGTATGCAGGCGAAGGCTTGAAAATCAGGCTTGAGAATCGGGCTTGAGAATCGGGCTTGGAAATCGGGCTTGGCGCTGACATCAAGGCGGTCCATATTCTCCCCAACCTCCATGAGACGTCATTTAGTGATTGATACCGTTTATGTCAGCTTGTAAATTCCTAGACTAGATTCTCAACCTCAATACGCCCCTATCGGAACTCAAGGCCGCACGAGACCCAACCACCTCAGGATACCACTCTCAACGTTGAAGATGTCCAGCATTTACAAACCATTAGAGAGGACCGAGAAACAGATTCGTCTTTTCCGTGTCATCAAGCCAGCTATCAAGGAAGACACACTTTGCTGTGAAACAAAGGTCTTGAGTCTTCTCCCAGACAATGTTGACCAATATACAGCAATCTCATATTGCTGGGGTGCGCCAGAACCCACCACACCTCTCATGGTCGACGGAAAGCGCCTAAATGTCCCCATAAATACTGAAGCAGTGATCCGGTCTGCGGTGGATGCTGAACCAAACTCCCTCTTCTGGGTCGATGCGGTCTGCATTGATTAGAAAAACAACCGAGAGCGGTCTCACCAGGTCAGCATGATGCGAGACGTCTATTCATAGGCTAGCCACGTATTTGTATGGCTCGGCCATGAAGACACCCGGACCGTCGCCGCGATCCGCTCTATCGAGGCTATTATCACGCAGTGCCGAGCGGAAACCCAAGACCTTTCCAGGCCGAAGGAAACTATCTGGTATGACAACAACTACACATACCCGGATGCTGGTCTCCCGTTTGCCTGCCATTGGGATGCTCTGTACTGCTTCTTCGCATCACCCTGGTTTACTCGCATGTGGCCAATACAGGAGGTCTGCCTTGCAAGAGAGGCAAGGTGCTATTTCGGACACCACACAATTCCGTGGGATAGAATTGCCTTGGCGGCTCGATGGATGTACCACAGAAAGTATTGGGTGGCTGGAAAGCAAAGATGCCGTGGCATAGACTGTGCGGCTGAAGTGTTTGATAGCTCGGGCCAAGCCAGGGGCTTGTGCGAGCACCTCCAACTCTGTCCGTACTTTGACGCCACAGATCCGAGAGACCTTATTTTTGGACTCCTCGGGCTCATTCCAGATTCATCTCCTGGAGCAGAGGGTCAAAGTCTCGCAATCGTACCTGACTACGAAGCCATGTCCTTAAAGGACGTTTATGAAGCTGCTACCAGGGTTTCGATTGCCGAGGGTAGCTTCACTGTTCTGAAACGGGCTGCATATCTTGTTCCGCCGGCCAACCATTCATGTCCGGATACACTGCGGATTGACCCATTTCCGTCATGGGTTCCCAGATTTGACGGTTCATGGGATCCAAAACGTGGATCACATTCAGCCATTGTTGCCACGAAGAAACCAGCAAGTCAACCCGTTGAGTCAGGTCCTGCACAACCAAGCGATCGCTCAGGCGTCCTTAGAATTCCTGGCGTCAAAGTTGCGATGGTTGTGGAGGTGGGAGTGCCACTCACCTTTGCAGTTCTTCAAGATCCAAGTGCAACAGCCAAGGCCATGCGCTGTGCGTGGGTTATCGCTAAGAGGAAAGCTCCAGCAAAGGTCCATCTGAAGGACACTCTATCTACATTTATCTCCACGATCTGTGCTGGTAGAAACGGTTATTATCAGGTTATTGACAGGGACCCTACGCATGAGCAAGAATTTGCTACTTTTATGCTCAATCATGGTGGACTTGACAGCGAGACTGACAAAATCTTACGGGGAGCTATAACAGGGAAACCTGTCCACAGTTTTCTCGAGTCTCTCATTGAGACGAGCATGAACAGATGCTATCTTATTGGAAACTCGGGGGAGCAGGCATTAGGCCCACTTGAGGCTCAAGCAGGAGACAGCATCGTTATTCTCTTTGGAGCAGATGTGCCTTTCATTTTGAGGCTATCGAACGGTTGCTGGCTTTCACTTGGCGACGCTTATGTTTACGGCATCATGGAGGTAAGAATGACCCACTGGGAGGTCAGAAAGCCGCTTACACCCTTGCTAGGGAGAATTTATCCAAAAACTCGAGACCCAAGGTATTCTTGACAAAAGCCGAGTTGAGTTTCTCCTAGCTTGAATCAACGATACGACCCGCACGGTAGTGTTGGAAATGCTGCAGTGTTTCCTTTCGCGATCTTCGGGCTCAGTTAACCCATCGAGGGCCGGGCTGCAACTATAATAAAGAACAGATTTTCAACACGTGTTTCCTTTCGCGCTTCACCAGGGTTACGTTAGAATTGCTCTTAGTTGTGTATAACTGTATTGAACAAGAACGAGGAACATGTCATGCCGTTCAACACGATTGAAAAATATCTCGTGACAGGGCGAGAATTATCGCAGAAATGAGACACCGACCTCCCCTCACGTCTATGCCTAATATCAACAGGGAGAGCTCTGATTGATTTGAGTATTTTTAAGACCTGACGACAACACAGCTCTCACTTACTGCTCGTTCAATTTATAAACACAGTAATTGGGCCTCTTTCCTCGTGGCTTCCCTTCTATGGAGATATGAGATATGAGCAGAGCGGACCCGCGTGTTGGAAGAAATGTTTTGCTCAGAGAGAATATCCAAATGAAATCCCGAACTCCCACGGCCTGAACACATGAGTGATGCGGCTCGGTTTGAGACCTCTTCTTTGAATATCTCCAGATTTTGCTGGGCTATTGATTCATCGTCACGCCATGCGGACTCAGGGGAGAGCTTGCAGAACCATAGGGTCTCACCATACTCCTGTTCGCGGATGGCAAACAACATAACGATTCTTGGCTCGTGTTTCATCTGAACCTGTACCATGACGGCAAATACTTTCTCCAGCCCACTAATCTGGGTTGGAAACATGATGAAGCTTCGCTCATTGTCCCACAAGCCTGCAGGATACGTGGTGACAAAACCCTTGAGACTCGTAGGGGAGGGAAACCTTCCATCTATTGAATCGCGCCATAGAGTCTGTAGCACATTGACCTCGGTAGTCAAGAGGAGGCCGTACTGAAAACTTGGTGCTGAAAATAATGGTTCCCACTGAGATGGGCCCGGTCTCGCCCTCACGAGCACTTTGCGAGGTGGCTCGGGTCGCCACGGTTCGATAGAAACGGGACTTGGAGGGAATGGTATCCGCCTGAAGGCCCCAAGCTCAACGACGTAGCGGAGAGGAATGGCAGATTGGCCAGAGTACCCAGGGTGATGAGCCTCTAAAAGGGCAAACGAGTAGCCCAAAGCTGAAAGAAGAGGAAGCCGGATGGAGAGACCAGCATTGGTGAATGAGTAGGGGGACAGCTCTGGCGAGCTGGCGTCCCTTATGGGTTCGACGTAACAACCAGAGGACTCAAAAGCCGCCGGGGTAGGGGCTAGCATGCTGGTCCAAGAGCCGGGTACAGACTCGACCCAATTCCAGCAGAAAATGGTATGGTCGGTAGATATCTTAACTATCTCTTCCTGCAGGCGCAAAAAGGCATTTCTTCCTTCGCCGTACAGTAAAGGCATGTTGATATCAAATATCCCAAGCATGCAATATGCCATGTCTTCGACTCTCGTAGTAACCCGTCGTGATAGCCATGACATCTTCTGGGCGACGCTCGCATGGATCATAGTGGATGGATCCGTAATGATGTGGACATTGATTTGCGTTATGGCGGATATCCGTTCCCCTAACGACCCCGACCTGGTCCCGACTTTCTGCCAATTTTGATCAAAGAAAATGACTTCTTTTGGCGCGAGAAGTTCTTGCAAGGTCCATCCACGAGTGAACCATCGACTCTTGCAGAAACCCGTGAAGCGATCCTGACCACTGGTGGGTATGGTAGGAACATCAATGAGAAAGGCGTAGCAGACCACGGCATCGCGATACCAGGCAAACATGGAGTTTATAGCTTCCGAGAGTTCTGCAGAGCTCGATTTATCGATGCAGTTAGTGTCCACCCAGAGATACTCCAGGGAATCCTCACGGGCCTGTTGACAAGCACCGAGGATCTTGGCGAAACCTGCCTTCTGGGAAGCAAGGTTGGGATCTTTCCAGTCTTGAAATGTGACCTCGCCCTGTCCCCAGGTATGAGAGAGAATGGCGTACCAGGGGACTTGGTCGCCATGGAACTCCTCTAGCTCCATTGTCCTCACATTGATGAGCCGCATGGCGATGCGTGGACAGCGGCCTGAGTTTGGTCTACCTCTAACCCAGTGAGCTTGCGGTAAAAATGCAGGAAGAGTTCAGATGTTGGCTCGGCAGAGGCTCCAAAACAAGCTTGGCCGATGCCTCGGTGAACCTCAAAGGTTGCCGGACTATCGGGTGCAAAAATCCACGAGAATGATTGCCATGAAAAATGGCGCTTCACGATGTGATTCTCACGTTTTCTTTTCATCTTTTTAGACGAAGAGCCATGAGGCTTAGATGGCGGGGGTTGACCCTTGCCATAGATAGGTATTTCGGATGAATGGTATGTTGAAATGAGCATGTTATGTTATGTTAAAGAAGAAGAAAGACTAGCGCTAACCAGCGTAAGCTATAGACAAGAAGACATCCACATCCCAGCCACCAATAGATCGGAATAGTCATTGATCCGTCAAAACAACGGATCTCAACACTCCCACTCGAGCCATTAGTGCGAGATGTTTCTGCGTAACAGAGTGTGGCCTCATTAAAACCTCAAAAACACCTTCGTGGGTGAAAAACAGGAAAGAGCTTCTATTACCACACCTGCGTTAGATTGTTCGGTCACCGGGGCCTTAGCACCCTAGATCCCCCAGATTATTTGATGATTTAATATTTATAAGGCAGACAGCCTTAAGTTTCTAGTCACTAGAGCCTTAGCACTCCAGATCTCCCACTCCATTCTAGGTTTATTTTTTATTTTTTTCGAAATAAATGCAGAGGACATTAATATTATCCTTTATTGATATTGACGGCTGACTACGATAGTCGAACTATCTTATTTTCTTTGGCCGGATCCGATTGAGCAGGTTCCGTTATATATCTCGTAGGACTATGGTTATTAAGGCTAAAGAAGCCAATCCAGCGGCGTTTGCTGCGTTTTTTGTATTTTTGTATTTTTGTGTTTTTGTAGTTTTGTAGTTTTATAGTTTTATAGTTTTATAGATCCTATGTGATCCGTTTCTGAATGAAATGGCTCTTATATATACGTATTGAGCGTTCAGTTATAGCTGGAATTATTGTAGAATTATTGTAAGAAGCTAAGGAATTCCGAGCTGAGGACCTGTGGGTCGCTTAGAGGCTCGATGAACGAGATAGACTATTGGGCACCCATTTTCTCCCACTTAGGGCATAATAAAAAGGGATAAAAGAAAAGAGAAATCGTATGAACTTAATATAATAGACTTTCGATGCCGCTGCTTCCAAATCCCAAGTCGGTTTATTGGTAGGTCACTTGGTTGTCGAGAGATCGCGGAGTATCAGTTGGCCAGGTATTCCCGGCCACCTCCTTTTCTCATGACCCATACTTACGTGACCAACAGCGAATCATGGGTTAGAGAGGCCCAGCGCGTTGCGAAACACGATGAAACGGTCTTTTAGAAGGGCTTTCGTAAGTCCATCTGCAATTTATTGCTCGGTTGGGGCATATTTGAGCTCAACGTCTCCATCCGAGACTCATTCTCGAACGTAATACCATTAAATATCAATGTGCTTAGTCCTGGCATGGAACTATGGGTTTTTGGCCATTACAATTGCCCCTTAATTATCACCGTAGAGGATAGTTATTTGAAGGTCTCCATGTTTATATTGGGCCAGAAGTTCGCGCAGCAACCCTCGTAGCCATATCGCTTCTTTAGTGCATTATGTTTATCCCATATACTCCGCTTCGCAGGATAATAGTGCGACCGTTAGTTATCGTTTGGAGTTCCAACTGATAGCGCCTATGCCGACGTTAAAGACATAGCCAGCCGTTGATCGTCTGGTGTCGTGATCGCCAGCCCAGTCTGAGTCGGTATACCCAACTAACGGTCTAAGTAGTCCGCTGAAGGTAAGTTCCAAGTCGATCGTCCCTCGCAAGTACCTCATAATGCGCTTAACGGCTTAGACGTATTCGTTCGCTGGGTTTCCCAGATACCGGCTGCAGAGAGAGACGGCAAATGCGATGTCTAGGCGAGTGCCAAGCATGGCGTACATAAGTAAACCAATTACTTTTGCGTACCATAGTTTCATCGTTTCAGACGCTCTATATTCGTCTGGGATAGGTTAGAATTTTGACGTGCTCAGGGGAGTTATGACTAGCTTGCTCTCCCACATATCAAATTCCCGTAGGACCTTCTCGACATATACTCGTTAGGAGAGGAAGATGGCCTTATTGCGTCTGTTTCTCCGGACGGACATTCCCAGATAGTACTAACACGGGCCAAGGTCAATCATTTCGAATTTCTCACTCAAGGCGGCTTTAATTTGGCGGATTTCTTTCTTATCAGGGCCAGCGATTAGGAGATCATCCACGTAGACGGCGATATAGGTTATGCCACGGATAAAGATGCCAGCGTCGGCGTTAAGTGGCTTAAAGCCGAGGGTTTCCAGGAAATCAGATAGAGTCTAGTACCAGATTCGGGGAGATTGTTTAAGACCGTAGAGAGCTTTCCGCAGTCGGAAGACTCTGCCTGAGTTATCGTCGAAACCCTATGGCTAAGTCACATAGATTTCTTCTTTGACGCTGCCATAAAGGAAAGCAATTTTAACATCCATCTATTCCAGTTCAAGGTCCAAGGCCGCAGCGATAGCGAAGATCATTTTATAGCTCATCGGCTTAACCACGGAGGCAAACGTCTCGTGGTAGTCGATTCCATCTTTTTGTTCGAAGCCTCTGACGACGAAGCGAGCTTTAAATCTAGTAATCTCGCCATCCTTTCCCCGTTTGAGCTTATACACCCATTTGCCTTAGAGCATATATTTTCCTAGAGGCAGGCTAACTAGTATAAAGGTGCCGTTTCTCCTCAAGGAGTCGATTTCGTCAATCATGGCTTGCATCCATTGTTCGCTATAAGGCGAGTTCATTACTTCGGCAAAGGTTTTAGGTTCGGTCGGTTCAAGGTTGTTAGCGATCATAGCCAGATAAATGGCAATCATATTGAAGCGCCATTGGTTTTGTTGAGCTAATAGGTCTTATTGAGCTAGGACTATGTATCTTGATGGAATTTGTCCTCTGGTTTCCCGTACTGGAAAACGTTATTAGGGATAACCGTCGGCTGCTTCCGCGACGACTTAGTGTTCGTCGACCGCACTGTCGGGGCTTTGTGTTCTTTCTGGAGTCCCCAGTTCCACATGGAAGCTTAGCTCGTCTTGATTCGGTTGATAGGATTGGTTAGGGGCTGACTATATCTCTTCGTCTGTTCTGATGTTTTCGGTTAGGGGTATAGTTGGAAGAGATAGTGTGAGATCCATCCGTTTTGCGTTGGGTTCGTCAGTTAGTTGCTCGGATGCAATTCGTTTTCTCAGCAGGGATTTCTCATCGAACACGACGTTATTCGCAAAGAATATTCTTCCATCATCGTCGACTAAGGCGTAGTTTATGCTCCCTTGATAGCCGAGGAGTCGGCAGGGGATTATCTTGTCGTCCATCTTCTTCCGTTTGGCTAAAGGCATCTTTGCAAAGCCTCGGCTGCCGATAACTCGGAGATAGGAGAGATCCGGCACTTCCTTGTGCCATACTTCATAAGGTGTGATTTAACGACCCGAGGCTAGTGAGAGGTTTCGTACGTATGCCATGGCTTTGAGGACGTACGGCCAGAATTTCTTTTCTAGTCCTAAATAGATGAGAGTCGTTATGAGCTTCTCGAGTAGGACACGGTTTGCTACTTCGGCCACCCCGTTTTATTCGTACTGCTCGGTAGCAGAGAAGATCATCTCAATCATCTCGTTTTCGCAGTAGAGAGTAATTACATCAGCTTAGTTTTCTCCCCCTCGATCGAGGCGAAGGTAACGGCAGCGACGGGTTAGTATCTCGGCTTATTCCAGAAGTTATCGAAGGCAGTTGCCAAATTCAGACTTTTGCCTGATTGGGAAGACCCAGGTCATTTTAGTAAAATCGTCTATGAAGCAGGCCCAGTATCTATGGCCGTCGATGCCTTCGTCTGGGAAGGGGCCAGCGATATCGCCATACAGGCTCTCCAGTAGTCGTATTCCTTTTCGGATACATCCGCGATAAGGCCTTTCCTTCATACGCCCTTTTACGCACGCTTCACAGACGTTAGAGTCAGATAGATAAGTGATACCCGTGGACATCTTCATAAGTCAATATAAGTTCTATTCACCCAAATGGCCGAGTCGGTCATACCAGATCTACAGTTTAGGGTCGCTGACAGAGTAGGCGGCCATAGCGGTATGCAGTTATTCGTCATCTTCGTCGATGACATATAGACCGAATTTCCTAGTGGCGCTAAGGATAGCTTTACCGTGGTTTATAACGACAGCTCGTCCTTTTCGAAATAGAATAATTGCTCCATCCTCCTCAAGGGCTAAGACTAAGATGAGGTTGCAGTAAGCGCCTAGCACGTAAAGTGCCTTATAAAAGGTTATCGTTCCCTTAGTATTATTCTATCTGGTTTTGAGGGTATATGCCCCTTGCCCCTCAGGCATAATGGCCGAGCCAGCTATGCCGTTAATAGCAGAGCCGGTGAATTTCTCGAGTGATATAAAGTTCCATCGGTGGCAGAACGTATGGGAGGAGGCGCCACTGTCCAATACGTGGATTCGCTCCAGCAGTTTAGATGGTTCTGACGCAGCCAGACCAAACCGGGGTTAAAAGGATAGAAGGGCCGTATTTAAGAAGGCGACGGCGGCAGTATGATCCTCGTCGAGTTCCAGTGACGAGGTATTCTCCTTTCTCTTCTCAAGCTTAGCTTCTCGTCGTCCACTCCGAAGTGCTCGTTTTCTTCTGAACTCCTCAAGAAGGTCGGGGTATAGGCCAAAACATCCGGCCTTAGTATGACCTAGTTTGTTGCAGTGGCCGCACGTCTGAGCCACTCATTCTTTGCCAGGGCCATGCATTCTAGCCAGCAGAGCCGTTTGTGTCTTAGCCTTTTCTCGCTATTGAATGTTCATTTCCTCTTGCTCTGCGGCGGCAAGAGCGATTTCGAATATTACGGCAGGTTTGGTTACTTCTCCGTTAGAGCCTCGCTCGGGTAGCAAGTTATGGTTTTGGTAGAAGGCAGTGAGGAACATTTCGTATTCGGGGCCAAGTCCGGTTAGGAACTTATTAATGAATTGAGGCATGCCGATTTTACATGTCTCGTCTAGTTGCAAGAATTCAGATTGAGCTTCTCGCAGCCGTTCTGCAAAGTTCATGACTCCCGAGCATTGGTCTAGGGTGAGGCAGTTATATCGTCGGTCGAGCTCTTAGAAGACCGCACTTCCTTTTGGTTTAAAGCGCTTCTCAAGCTCATCGAACATCTCCGTGACGGTCTCCTTATCCTTTACCTGCTCCCTAGCGTTATATCCAAGTCGATTGAGGACGGCTCCGCACGCGCGTTCCTGCTTGGAGAGCCAGTTGTCGATCTTTTCGACGGTCGCGGCACTAGTGCCGGTAGGTTTATCCTTATTTCGTTTGAACAAGTCTCCGTATCCCGACATTATGAGATAGTCCTTCATTTCTCGGCTCCAGTTGATCCATCCGGCTATTGATTCTAGCTTCGGGATATTAGCTAGGTTGCCAAGTGTTCCAGTCGATTCCTTCGAGGCCGACATGCTTGAGGATGGGTTCCTTAATGACTGGACGAGAGAAGGCGTAGGAAGAGTGTGAGGTAGGCTCAGGTGAATCTTCCCTTTTCGGTGTAGCGATGCCTCTTGCGAGCGCGAAGCTGGAGTTCTGATCGTTGTTAATGGTATCGGCAACGGGTGCGTCAGAACTCCCACTGGATGGAACGTGGATTTCTTCTGGTTCTGATGAGGCAATTGAGGCAGCTTCAAGGCTCCAAATGCTGGTTGAACTTGCGTCTGAAAGCGAGTCGTCGGTGTCTAAGTGGATTGCCCTAGAACCTGTTGGAAGGACTGAGGGCTCACTTAGATCGTAGGATATCATATATCACCACCAGGTTCGTGCGACCGATGCGAAACGCGGCTCGGACCTTAGGTCGTGTATCCGGTTTCATCCGGTTTCACATGCGGTTTCACGTCCGGCTTGTCACATCAAGTGCTCCAATCCTAGAGAGGACCACTCGAAGATATAAGGTCTCAAAGGTCCTGTGCAATCCATCAACAGAATTCGACAGCGGAAAAGGTCGGTTTCTAGAGCGGTCTAGCTCTCAAATTATGGTCGTGTGAGGCCATCATGAGGCCGAGTCTCGAGTAAAAATTTGCGCAAGGATTTTGGTCGGGAGGCTGGTGACGGATGAAGCCGGGAGGTGTGCAAAATCAAGCGCTTAATTCCTAAATAAGGCGGCTAGCAGTATTCAGCGAAAATTCGGGTAAGGTGTGATGAGTATCTTTAACGCAGTGGAAGGAGGCGGTTAGACCTCGAGTTATATTGGAAATCATGATTAGGAGGATACTCAGCTGTAAGGTGGCTTTCCGGGCTCATAACCTATTGAAATAAGCATATTATGTTATGTTGAAGAAGAAGAAAGACTAGCGCTAACCAGCGTAAGCTATAGACAAGAAGACATCCACATCCCAGCCACCAATGGATCGGAATAGTCATTGATCCGTCAAAACAACGGATCTCAACATGGTAATCCCTCGCCGTTATAACTTGGTTGTCTGCCTTACTAGGAATCCAGGGCCTAATTGAGAGCCTGATCGTCGAAGGCAACCTCTTGTCTTGTGGCTGGGGTGGCTTGGACCAGTGGCCATAGAGCGCTTAATTTCTTACATCTGCCAGGGTCACTGCAGGAAATCATACGACTTGATTGCACTGCTACTGCAAGAATATGGCTCCCCTCATTAGGCACTCACGTACAGCTCGAACTCACTCATCTAAGGCTATTTTCTTTAGGATTCCCTCTGTTTATGCCTGAAGAAAAGAATATTCCATTCTTATTCGATATACCTTCAAGATACCATCCATGTCTTTCGGATTCTCTGTCGGCGACTTTTTAGCGGCCGGGAAGCTCATTAATGACATAGTCGCTTCCCTCCGCCATTCTTCAGCCTCATCCTACCAGGAGCTTATCATCGAGCTTCATGGCCTCAAGCGCGCTTTGGACGAGATCGAGCACCTCAAATGTCCGCCTGGCTAAGAAGTAGCGCTAATAGCGTAAAGGTCGCGGCTCTCATGTGCCAGTACCCGCTTGACCAGTTTGCTTCGAAGCTGAAGAAGTACGAGAGGCTTGACATCCAGCCCCAGCATGGCGACAGCTCAAGCAAGTCAGAAAAGCTGAAGTCCTGGGGGCGGAAGGTTCAGTGGGGCGTCGGCATGGAAAAGGATGTCGTGGAGCTTCGGGCGTACATTGCAACCCACGTGGGCAGTCTGAATATGCGGCTCATTACTATCGGCCTGTCAGCTTCTCCATACCAGTGACAACCCGGCCCTTGCTAACTATTTGCAGATCTACAACCTTCTCCAACACGGAACAGAGCCGAACTGAAACCTCTACTTTGCAAAGCAAGGTTGAGGAGGTTCACAGTGGGGTTGAACAATCAAGGCGTGAACAAGTGCAACAGGGTTTGATGATCACCAAGGCCGCTTCCTTGCTACAAAAGCTTTCCGATTTAGTATCAAAGTATTTTTGCCCTTTTTCCTCTCTTGGGAGCAGTATTGACTAATCTCTAGTGGTATTGGAGTTCGGCTCGAAACCATGATCGAGCTTGCTCAGAACATATGGAAATCGAACCTTCGAATTATGGCCATCGTAACCCAGCTCCAGAGCCAACCTCCAAGGCCAGACACGGGCCGAACCTGGTTCCAGGATCCTGTAAGATTCGAAGATGCGCTTGGCCGTGTCCTGCCCATTCCGTCAGAGTACGGCTGGAGTGTAGGTTGTAATTACCCACCACACAGCTCTGACTAATGTGATTTCATAGAAGGTACATGCGATCATCTTAGACCACTTTTCGACGGGTCCCGGGAGTGGCAAAGTCAAAGCGGAGGAGTATCTGCTCTTCAACTCCCTGGACTCATCGCAGATACTCTTGCAGGCTCGCACCGAGAGCCTGATGCCTGGAATGAGTATCACTATGGCTTTTATCATCGGCCGACACGGTCCCACCACTCTAGGCAACTGCCCGAGGGCTGGATGCGTATCAAGCAAGATTGAAACCAGCGACGCTGGCGGCAAATTCTGGTTAGTTCTGCAAGCTTAGAGTCCTTAAACCCCTTGGCTAAGCCGTTCTCTACCTAGCACTATTTGCAGATGTTGGTTTAATTCTACCGACGAGAGAATAGCCTTGCCTCAGCAGCCAGAGAGAACCCCGTCGGAGACAAGTACAACAGGAAACAGTCCACGAAGTCGCTCCCGCGAAGAAACACATGCCGATACTATTCCCAACCGAAAAGATACAGGCAGTGTCAATGCTAGACTTGAGGAAGAGCGCGCATTCAAGAACATATTGATCAATTTCACGGATCTCCGGGAGGCCCTGCAGTGCGTTGAGCCTGGCTGCGGCCAGGCTTTTAACCATCCCCATAAGCTAAAGTAAGGCACCATGGTTGGGTATTCTAATGTGGTCTAACCCTTCCCAGGCATCATCAGCGCTACCATACCAAGGAGCACAAGTGCCCTTATCCAAATTGTGCTAAAGGATTCGGAACTAGGACTCACCTCCAACGGCATATCAATGACCGCCATGAGAGGAGTAAGAAGCTTTATTGTTCAGTGCCGGAATGCGATTACTCTAGGCAAGGAGGCAAGGGCTTCCCTCGCAAGGACAACTGGCAACGACATATGCTCAGGGCCCACAACATGGACCAACCTTTCAACATGGACCAACTATCTCCACCGGAGCCTGTGATAGTCGATCTCGAGAGGGATGTAGGGAACTCTTAAGCAGGCTGACCGCTCCAGAGAAGAGAAGGGAGAGTGTTCGAATTTCTTATTCGGCAATCTTGTCGATCTTCTGGCTCAGCTCCCATCAAGGTCCGGGCTGCAACCATAGTAAAGAACAAATTATCAACACATCAACACATCATAACATCATGACCCGATGTTAACACGGTGGCCTTTTTAAACCTTCTGCTGCCGGCAGCGGGACTATTGTCAATATGTGTTAGGAGAAGGACACAACAAGCACGAGGGGGTACAGAAGGGTGGATGAAGGTGTCTCGAACGATCCTCGAATGGATCAAAGACATTCAATAACAATTCCAGAAACCACCGCCACGTGAATTTCATTCATCATTTGCCAATGTCTACATTCCCGGCTAGTGAAGGGGCCGTCGTCTGACTCAAACCATCCACCGATAGACCGACACTCCTTTTGAACTCGCTTAGCCACTCGACGTTATCAACAGGGGTTTGGTTCCAAGGATCATCGCTTCAACATGTCAGCCCAGGTCAATGTTTCAGATCCAGAGAACTTACTCGTCGTAAAGAATCCAGCGCGCTTGATACTTTAGTTCCTCGTCACTCGGTACATGGCTGTTCGGGTTATTGGGCGACATGCAACTGACCACAAAGCGGGACAGTTCCCTTGTCAATCGACTATAGCTGTTATTGTCGTTGAGAAAAAAGGGGGTGACGGATGTCGAGTTCATGGTCGGGTTGAGGTGAGAGGAATTGAATGCTGACTCGCTCATGGCGGGAGCCCAGGGGCCAGGGAGCGGTTCGGCAAAAGGCTGCATGGAAGGTTGGGCAGGCTCTAGGACCGGGGCCCAGAGCAGGCTCGTTGAGAGCTGAGGAGTTTCAGACTGTTCCAAGCCTGATATCAGGCTGGGTAGTTCACTTGGTATGAATGTTCCAAATGGGAACTGTGGGGGATCTAGCAGATGAGGACCTTCACCTGAGACCCCCCTCTCGGAGTAGATGCGCCCTCGTTCCCTCAGGGGCCCTAGCCATTCTGTAGAATCCCAGATGAGTCTCACTAAAAACTCCATAAAGCGCCTAGATGGGTTTGGAGAAGGATCTTCTAGACGACTGATAGCATGGCACGCTTCCTGCTGGAGGTCATGGTCAGAGAGCTGCAATCCCAAGGTGATGTGCATGTCGATATACCGACAGAGTGACCCCTCTAATTCACAGCCCTCAAAGATATTATTCTTGCCGTTGATCTTTAGTGGGCTCATGCGAGACTTGGTAAGCTGATTTATGGGTTGGATGCGCGCCCGTTCGGCGATGTCGTGATTCGCCATCAAAAGGTCGCGCAGCCATGACGGAGCGGAACATGAATGGTCTTCCGAGATGGCCTCGGCTCCAAAGATAATTGAGCAAGCCTCATATTGCATTTCCTCGTGAGATAGATCCTCCGTATGAATATCATAGTAGCCTCGCATGTAATATTCCCACTCTAACTTGATCAGTTCGTAAGCACTGCTTGGTGTGTCTGCGGGGCCGGCTAGAGCTGAGAAGGGCAGAGGAGAATTCTTCTCGTAATGGATAAGATCTAGAGTTACATTAGCTATGACACGAGAAGTTACGATGTAGAGCTTACATGGAGGTATGGCATTATCTAGCGTCTCAATGACCGAAGGTTCAAACCCCCAGTCACCCATCCAGTCCGCCATAGTACGACCGTCTTTAAAATGCGAGGCCAAGTGATCAGTCCTGCTACTCCACGACTCCATCTCAATGCCACAGAAACCACATCGGGAGTGGATGTCCTCAATCGCTGTTCTCCATGTCTCCATAGGCCACTTGATGTACTTGGCACCATGTACCAACTTTAGGTGTTGTCGAAGGTGATCCTTCCGGTAAAATGTCCTCTCTTCAAATGGCCGCTCTAGGCAGGCAGCGCTATTGTGCTTTTTTAGGTGACCCTGATCCGGGTTGGCATCACCACAGTAGACGCAGAGCACGCCTTTGTCGAGGTCTGTCTCTACCGATCCATTGGGTGAGCAAACCCACGTCTCCAGTGATAGGTGAAGCGACTTTTCGTGGCGCTCCCAGTCGTACTTGGTCTTGAATGATTCAGTGCAAAATGTGCACTGGTAACGGCCGGATGCCTGAAAGCGGTTCAACCAGTTTCCTCTCTGTCGCCGATGTGTCGTACCGCGCCTCCTGCGGCTGGTGCTGCGCTTCAGGTACTCCAGAGAAGTTTGAGACACATGGGAGGAGGCCGATCCAGAGCCCCTGCTGGAGCAAGACGTCCCTGCACTGCTGACAGATGATGCAGTCCCTGTTGACCTCCCCGACCACTCGGACGTGCGCGGTCGTGCTGGAACCAAAGCTGAAGGGGATCTGACTGATGCAGCGACGGCCCGGGAAATGTCAGACACGGTCGCCGCCTCATGCTGGGGTGGTGAGTTCTCCCAGCGCTGCAAGGGGTTCATGTGCTCCATTGGAACGGGCGTCGGACGCCTCGGCGGGATGGCCATTGCCCCTTGACTACTGGATGAGGGTTCCGCCCAGTTGCGAATATCGAGCGACATTGGACGCAAGGCTCGGAACTTGTAGCGTCGTCGAAAATTGGCCAACCAATTAGTGATTTGCTGTCCGGAAAGACCGGTCTGACTTTGAAGCATCTCGACGTCCTTGGGGGATGGGTATGGATGGCTTTCGTGATCCGCAAACCAATTGCGAAGGATCCTCACGGACCTGGAGGAAAAGCGAGTCCCAACCTTGGGAGGCCCCCCATCATTGCCGAGTTGATCCGGGGACGCTGAAATCGCACTGACACTCGCCTCAGGGCTTTGACTCTGGCGTCCCGGATCCTGGGGTTGCCGAGAGCCATCGTTCTGTATGTATGGTTGTTCCTGTTCCATGTCGATGAAGGGCGTTGCCGGCTGGCTTAAGCCGGAGCCAGGAATGGACTTCTGGGAGCCTTCCGACTCATGATGGTCCGCCATGATTAGCATGCCTTTCCACGGTCGTCTTCAAGTTGACAATCCGGCGTTGATGATGGATCAGTTGTCGTGTGGGTAGATGTGATGTGGTGGGAGGAATGGGCAACTTACCCGATCTCGGAGATAGAAAACTACCCAATCAACGTCGCCTAATTAGCACTCGGCCCATCCGTATCTGCGCCCTATTTTGACGTCGTGCGTCCATGACGGAGCTAGTGACGCCCTGTGACCCGCGGCGATACCCAGAATTGACATTATTGGTTGCTATCTCACTTCTCCCCGCAAACCAAAATGAATCAGCTCGTACTGCAGCTGCTACAGTTTACGCAGTTCTGCCGTTGACACGAGCAGTATTTAAAACCAGCAAGAATGCCCATTCAATCAACCGTTTACTGGCTAAGTTACCACTCACAATAAAGACTTCTTCCACCAGCCTCTGTCCCAATGGCTTCTTTCTCTATTACGATAGCTTTGTCTGTCCTTTTCCTTCTTCTCATCAAATATTATGTACTCGATCCCCTCGTTTTTACCCCCCTGAGTCGCGTGCCAGGCCCAACAGCCTTCGCCCTCTCAAAGTGGCGACTTGGCTACGAGGACTGGAAAGGAACTCGCACGCCTACAATCCAACACCTGCACTCGAAATACGGCCCGGCAGTCCGCATAGGTCCGAATGAGGTTTCATTCAACAGCTTGACTGCACTCAAGACAATCTATGGCCCTGGGAGCCGATACGGCAGGACCGCCTTTTACCGCATGTTTGATGTGTATGGCGAGCAGAACTTGTTCAGCTTTCACTCAGTGGAAGAGCATGGCAGCCGAAAAAAGCTCCTGTCTCACGCCTACGCGAAATCAACTGTACTCAAGGCGCCAACAACACAGTTGTTCGAGGAAAAGACGCGACAGTACATGGAACTCATCAGTGGCGAGCCAAACCACATCAGCGATGTGTTCCATACACTGCACTACTACTCCCTTGACAACATCACCTCTTTTATTTACGGAAAACATGGCTCGACATCTGCCCTGCAAGGATCAGAGGCGGACCGAGCTCTGATCTCTGATATTATGCATCCCTCTCGCCGCATGTTGTCCTGGTGCTTGGTGCACATGCCGTCCATCACGAAATGGATGTACGCTCGCACGGGATTTATGCGCCAACTGATGAAACCACTTCTTCCAATGCAGCTGCCAACTACGTATACCGGCATTCGGAAGTTCGCATTGCAGGCATTCGAGAATTTCCAGTCGGACTCTGAGAAGACAAACGGTAAAGTACCCTTAACCCATATTTCCTCCTATCCAATCAGACATGCAATCATGCCCATTCGTACTAGAGGCTAACGCAATGGCACCATGTAGGAAATGAAAGATCTATCCTCGCCCATCTCTGGCAACACCATCAAACGCAAAAGACGAATGGGTTGAATGATATGCAGACGGCATCCGAGTGCGCAGATCATTTTCTTGCTGGAATCGACACCACCAGTGATACGCTCATGTTTCTCCTCTGGTCACTCTCTTTGCCTGAGAATCAACGATTTCAAGACAAATTGAGAGATGAGCTACTCGGACTCCCCGCAGAGGCACTGAACCAGCATGGCTATCCTAAAGCTGAAGAAAGTGATCGATGCACATATCTCCACGCCATCATCAAGGAGACCCTGAGACTTTACGCACCACTGCCAAGCTCTGAGCCACGTTCAGTCAACGCTGCATCCGTGGTTGATGGCTATCACATCCCGGCTGACACCGTTGTCAGTATCTCACCATGGATTCTGCATCGTAATCCCAAAGTTTTCAAAGACCCTTTGGAATTTAACCCCGAACGCTGGCTTGGACCTGATGCTACTGAGCTAAACCGTTGGTTTTGGGCCTTTTCGAGTGGCGGTCGCATGTGCATTGGCATGCAGTAAGCATATTCTTTCCCATGTAATCCTTAGTCGTCTCTCAGTCTAACTGCCGATAGCTTGGCAATGGCCGAAATGACGACGCTCATTGCCACACTCTACCGAGAGTATCAGACATCGATTGCTCCGGGATTTGAGAATACTACACCTGGCATCACCGCTCGGGTTGAGGTTTTCTACGATGAGCGATTCCCTAAGCTACAGGTAAACTCGAATTTATTCGCTTCATGACTGATTCTGATTCATTTTGTTAGGAGAATACTTGCCTGATCAAGTTCGATAGATTACGCAAGTGAGAAGGGCCGGGGTCTCAGTTGAAGGAGACGTCATCCATTGGCGTTTTCTGAGAAGCTACCAAATTTCATGCGCCAGTGCTTGCTCGGTTTATTGATCGCTTGCTCTCATCTTAAACTCTTCAAATAAATGCTCTAATTATCTTATTGCAAACGTCTAAATTCCTTATGAACTCGCCTCCATATCATGCTGTTCCCCTTGTCCTTCATTCCTGAGTCCTGTCATGTCCAGCAACTAGACACAGCACCACAAGACTCTATCTACTCTGGGAACACAGTCAAATCCTCGCTCGAGCGAGCCCGTCGCCACTATAGAAACAAAATTTCAACATTCACCCAAGCATACGCGGCGACATTGTGGGTCGATATTAAGTATTTCTTAATTCGTCTATGTCTATTTAGGTTTTCTTTTTGGCTACTTACAGTCCGAGGAAGTTGCTGAGGTAGTCGGCCTTTCCAACGGGGACTCCCTTGGCTCGGAGGATTGAGTAGCCAGTGACAAGGTGGAAGAAGAAGTTGGTCTGGCCGTGGTTGAGGACGGCGTGCTTGACTGTGACTTGATGGGTCTTGCCAGCCCAGGGACTGTAGGCGTGTTAGGGTAGTTCTAAGAAAGAAGACTGAGAAAACTCACAGGTCAATCAGGGCCTCCTCTCGAGAGTTCACATCCTCAGGCTTGACGGCCTTCACCAGCTCCAGTGTCTTTTGCACTCGTGTGCGGAGCTCAGCGACGGTCTTCTCAGTGTTCTCAAGTAGTGTGGGCTCAACACCAGTCAGACGACCAACGGTGATCTGAACAACCTTGCTGGTGTTCTGGACTTGGAAGCTCAGAGGAAGCTGATCCTCGACGAGGCGTGCTTCGAGGAACTCATCGACGTTGATTCCCTTCTCCTTGGCGTACTCTTGAGCCTTGGCGAGGACGTGGTCGTAGGTAGTAAGACCCTTGATGAAAGTGGGGATGATAAGGTCGTAGAGAGATGTGCCGGCCATTGTGACGGAAGTTGGGTGTTTTGGTGAGTTGTTGGGTTGTGGAGGCTGAGGAGTGGGTTGTTGATTGTTGTCTGAGGAGTTGAGAGGTAAGCTTAGCTGCAACTTATATATCTCATTGTAAGTCAATTATGCCCCATACATATGAGACAATTCCTATCCATAATTAATAATGCTCTTGATTGTGTAATCGTGGCTTTGGATCTCGTAGCCGACGAGCCGATGCCGGACGATAGCGGTGAGCTCAATTCGGAGTCGGAAAGAGAGCGAATAAACGAAAATTACAGTTGCAATTGATGCGGGATATGACGAATACCCCGTCTTTTTCCTTATTCAGTTCCGAGGTGAGGCATGTCGTGATCATGTCGTGATGTGGGGTTGACGCAGATGTTATCACGCCATCCGCAGGTACGTGGTGTAATGATGCCCCTGGAGTTTCGTGTTTCTAAATTTTTCTCCGATTCATCAGATTGATTCCTAATCAAGAGTGGAACCTCCTAAGGTGTACCCAATTTTTGATAGGGATCCCACGCCGGATATTGCCATTCAGTTCCAAAGTCGCCATATTGGCCAAGATAGATGTCCTTCAACCTAATCTCATAGATCGGACAGTACGATAAGCTGGTTGCAAATTGATAGATGGAATGATGCCATTAGATGTCAGCACTTAATCTAGTATATTAGAGACACCTCTCGTCTGTTCCAAGCCAGAAACGAAGCTCGCGGGTAGTCTACCAAGGGTAACGCCTAGTTGCTTTCCTGCCAACCACACTAGACCACGTCTCTGAAAGTGTCACGTATTATATGTCCATAACGCTCGTTGTAATATCGAGAGAATGTTAGGCACCTTGGCTATTCAGAATACAGTGGCATCGAACCATGGTTCACACACTACCTATGAGACGTGATGTATTCTGCCCAAACTACCTAACCGTGCATTGACCTCTCGCCTCGCCCTTCGCTCCCGCCTTCACCTACTCAGCATCAGCCAGCACGACCGGCTTATCCCCGTTGGGAAACCTCATTGTCAGATAAACGACACAGAAGCTTGAGGAATGCTCAAGTGCGCGATAATCAAGCAAGGCACGAGGGCTAGAGACAACCTGGCCCTCGCCTGCTCATTGGTGGAAACGATGGTTAAATCAATCACCAATATGATGAAGCGGTTTTACGTCTTGGCATCTTGGCATCGGCCATAACGTCGGCCGCACCGAACATTGGTAGATGCCCGCTGACCGTTTGAACCCATTCCTGTAGGACATGTAGGCAAGCGCAAGACTTCATCGACAGCCAAAATGTTGACATTGACTATCGTGTTTGTTGTTGTGGCTGCTGGCTTCTTTTAAAGCGGCACCAAGTCCGCAAAGTAGCATTGGCAGAGTCTAATATGCAAACGTTGGACAGGTTACTAACATTGACCTTGCTCTTGCTAGAGTTTACGGGCGTCATTCTTGAGGAGTCTATGTAAGCTGGGCACCGCCGCGTTGTTGATGAGTCAAATGTTGCTGAGCCAGCGTTTGCATTCTTCTTTTGGTTAGCAGTGCGAGGAGAAGCCCTGTCTCGGCTAAACAGGCATCTCGGCAGTCGACTAGGGCTTACGTAGTATTAGGATGTCTCTCAGCAGCCGTGCCGCAACCGGGCCGTCGCGGGTCGGGCCTCGTGGCGGCTCATCGCTCCAATCGCGGACGATCTAGGGCGATCCTAAAGAGCTTCCTGAGCTGTTTAAATCGCTGCCCAGCCTTTGGTATGTATGTGGTATGTACTCATGACCTGAGAAGAAAAGAGATCACTGACGTATGGAGAAATAATCGTCGTGGGGGATCTTGGCATATCCCCGATGCCTGACGATCACGGGGGCGGTGTTGCTGAAAGGGGAAGGCAAGAAGCTTTGAAAGGTAACAGTAATCATAACTAAGAGTGAGGTAACAAAAGATGCAAGATTGCCTGCCGTGATGGAGACTCATTCGTGGAAATTAAGAACTATGCGGGGAATCTTGGTGGATTGTGTAGTGATGGGAAGATTAAGTTGTGGGGGAGTGTGGAGGATGCATACCCGTAGATGCTGAGCCAAGCAAGGCCAAGACAAAGGTAAGAATAGGAAGAAATAGAGGATAACGAGAAAACAGCTAAGAGTACTGAAGGAGACCGCAACGAGAAAACAAGATCAGACGAGAAAATAAAACTATAAAAGAGCTCTGGTTTCTCTCTTCTTGATCTCTCACCAGCAAGCAACAACAAGCATCAGCAAGCCATCATATCTCACTTCTCCATTCGCAAACCCAGCAAAAAAAGCATCTATTTCCAGTCTTCAGCCAACATGAAGTTTACTCTTGTCACCATCCTCGCCACCTTGGCTGTCACTGGTACAGCTTTGCCAACTGAGGCAGACTTTAGTGCAGGTAAGTACTCTCTTCAAGCATCACAAAAGAAATCGGTCTCACTAACAAAACTCAGCCCTCTCCTCGGCTGAAACACGTCTTCAGGCCTGTGACAGGAAGTGCTATGAGCAGTGCTACCTGGACTGGTGTATCACCCCCGACCCATTTGGCAACCTTAGCTGCATTCTTGCCTGCCAGGATATCTGCGGCTGCATTTAAAGGGCTTGAGCTCAAGTAACCTGCCACTCTTGGGGAGTATGTGTGGTATTATGGGAGTGTCTGAGGCACTGATCGATCGAGACGAGGACCGACCTCGTATGTCCAAGGCCAGGGGCCCTTGGCGAAGCGGTGGAGCGGAGATTGGATATGCAAGGACGCTCGTTTAGGTAGATAGTAAATCCTTCCCTAGAAACTTGGCACTGATTTCTGTAATGCTCGCTGTTATGCAGTTTTATGGTTGAGGGCGTGCATTGTCCTTCTATGCCCAAATCGTCAAGCACAAACGTGCCCACAAGGAAAGGGATCGCCCCGGTGACAAGGACTATAACTTCTGCGTTCCTTGGTTCTCCTTCTTCAACCTCATGGCGGATGGGCTCGGCACGGGTGGCCAGGTCCCTGGGCGGCACTACGTAGAGGTTATAAGAGCCTGTCTTCGCTGCCTTTCCTCTAGGCATCCCGGCTCAGCGGTGACCGAACCTTGGCTTAATCTCGAATAACGCACGAAAAGATTCATAACAATATCGTAACCTAATACCATAAAACACCGTAAATCTAAGATAAAGTTAAGCTTCTATAGCTATAGAAACTTAATAGTGAAAAGATAAGTCTTGCAGTGTAAGACGCTCCCTTTTCTTTTCCCACAAGAGGGTATCACTTTCTCTCAAGAATTGAGGTGCAGATGACAGCATGGACCGAACGGACCAAGCATACTACAGAGGCAGTTATCCCCCCCCTCGAGCAAGACAGCAATCGAGGAAGGCCTATACCGAGAACAGTCACGACAGAGCCAGTCTAACCTTTTTCAATGATGTCTCTGTGCTACATAAGATAAGAAAAAATAATAAAGCACATGATAGCATCATGGCTCAATGCTAGAAAAGACCATAACCAAGTTACTAATGCCGCAAAACACCGCAACTTAATTGTTTTAACTTCCATGGGGGCAGCGTTAGGGGAATCAGGTGAGAAGGTATATCATAAAGAATAATTCAACCTCATAGTATACCCAGAGGGTAGATTGAGGCAACCTAGTTAAATAGATATAGTTAAATTATTATACCTAATACCTTTTAATATAAGAGTTAATATTAAATAAGCTCTATAGATACTTCCACCCTCAACACTCTGCCTTAACGAACCTTATCTCATCGAGAACACGTCGTCAGTTGGCAATGATAAAAGCGGCCTGCTCACCGTTCTGGAAATGATATAAGAAGATACCTTCACTTGTCCCTTGAATAGATAAGCCTTCCGTTGCTCCTCTAGGTGGCCATCGACACCAACCCCCTGATAACATTTTCAATACGCCTATTAGCGTCCTGGCAAAGATTCAAGATAGAATTCCTCGGCCTCGGGCGACAAAATGGACTCCCCAACTTTCCACTCATTTCCAAGACTGCCAGCCGAACTTCGGCCGTACATTTGGCAGCAAGGATGCCTGCCGTCTCAACAATACCATCGCGGCCTGCATTACTTTAATCTTAACGACCAAAAGAAACTGATTCCGTTTGGCTGGAAGGAAGAAACCCAGGCTGACCGACGAAGATCTGCCTATTTATGGCATGGAGGGCTCTAGACCGCTTGCAGAGAGTCAAGAGCAGTTGTCATGAAACACTCTCGACTTATGGAGTGGAAGGAATTTCAAGAAAAAGCGAGTCGCGAAGGCAAGCACCCCAATATTGCGACCCTGATTGGATTGGGGAGGAAGGCGACGTCCCCCCTGGGCTGATCGTTATGAATGAGGGTCGCGACAAGTGGTGCTTCACGGTTTACCCAGCCAGAGATATTTTCTGCATCACTAGCGAGAACTGTGAAGCGGTTCAATTGTCATGGGAAAGGCACTGTATGCTTCACAGTGTCCCATTCGCTGGGAATGAATGGAATTACTTGGATGCATCGAATCTGGCCCTGGAGTTCGACCCCTCTTGGAATGCTTCCTTCCCAAGGCATATATTTGACTTGACTCGGGAACAATCTGCTCGCGGCCTACTACCAAGGATGATTGATGAAATGCGAGATTATTCCAATCCCAACCTCTGGGTCATCGACAAAAGCGTCCGTTGGCGAGCAAGATTCAACATAGACTATAGGGTGGTCTTTTATGATTGCGATCACGAATACGTTCAGATCAGATGGCACGAGACGTGTTGTAAACACGCCGACGGAGTGTATAGAAGCCCTGTCGCCGAGTTCATAAACAATGTTGCCCATTTATGCAATGAATACTACACCGCTCTGGATTGGCTAGACCTGAGCCCCGGATACCATGAGGAACTGGTAGATCAATTCAGAGTACAGGATTGCATTAGTCTTCTTGTTCTCCGGGACAATCGGGTGGTCCAGAGCGAGGGCCAAGGGAATGAGGATGACGGTATGGAAACTGAGGATGATGATTACGAGATATGACCTTGAATAGAACCATGAAAGCTCAAGCAAAAGTCATCTTGAGTTAGAAAGATGTTACTGGACTGCTACACAGAATACTATTATGCAAATGGAATCACAAAACAACAAGGCGAAACGCTGTAGCCTCTAATCCAATAATAGGCTTTGTCTCCCCTCCTCGAGATCTTTTTATTCACTCCACATCGATATTTCACGGCATGATTCGTCATGAAGCCATATAAACAAAGTCGAGAGTCGCTTTCGGAGTTAGATGAAAGAGTAACCTGGTGATGTCGGTTGAACAGATTAAGAAAATATTAAGGTGGCTATCTACACAAGTGTGTTCGCTTGGCTAGGAGTACAAAGAATTAACACGCCAATTACCTATTTCAAGGTCCACCCCGACTATGTCGTGGCTCGGTCGAATGGGCAGTCACATCTAGTTCCTCAAGCGGAACATCAGATGGCCCCGTTCCGAAAGACTCGGTCTCCATAATACACTCCTGTGAACTGTGTCGTCGAGTAGTTATTCTCGTCTCATAGACCGATTCCTCATTTCCCTTTCTATCAATCGTGATCACTCTGGCAGACGCCTCTGGTCGATTCTTAGACTGAGTCTTGCCATTCGCTCCAGTGTAGGATGATGATCCGCCGTTGTTTGACTTCAATTTCGAAGCCAGCAGATCGATGCTTCATCATGGTCAATTATGGTCAAGTTGAAGGTGAGGTAAACACTTACTATAAGACGACAGGGAAGAGGCAGAGGAGAGCGTAGGCAAACCGATCAAGCTGGCTTCCAATGTTGGCCACCTGCTGTCCCGGAGTCTTGATGGCATGGGTAACTGTTCGGAAAACACCCTGGACTGCAAGAAGAGCCACTCGAATTTCTGTGCTTCGCGCCAGGTACCTGAAGAGACCAACTCGCAGCGCAGCCTGAAGAGATGCGCGCTCAGCGGCAACCAGAGTCGTGATGAGGAAATAGGCGCTGATGCACTCAAGGATGGCGATGGAGCCAAAGTATCCAATGTGGACGTAGTTGACGGTGACGAGATGACTCGCGTTGCCGTGCAGGATGTACTGCACTCTGAAGACAATGATGACAACACGGACCACGACGATGACTCCGATGAAGCTCCAGAAAAGTCCTTGGAATACTCGTCGACGGCTTCCTGTTAGAAGCTGCTGAAGGATCATGTAGCTGTACCCAAGCAATCCCACTTCTTGAATCTGATGACGTGAAAATTGTCAGTTCATCATGTCTTATCCAAACGTCCATATCAATGTTCATACCGGCCAGAGAATGTCCCCGAGAGTGGACACGACGGCTGTGGGAATCGGTGGGTGATTCCCATAGTTGGCGTAGTAACAGAGGCCATTTGCAATGGCTCCAGCTGCAGATGTGATGATGGGCACAAGAGCTAGAGGGGTAAACCTCGTAATACCACAAACAAGAAACCCAAAGAAGACATTTCCCATGCAGACTGTGAAGAGGATCGACCAGCTGAGTTCAAAGAACTCGGGTACTGTTGTGGTTGTCGACATTTTTCGCTGGCCGTTCCGTGCTGCAAAGGAATGAGGCGAGCCGCTCGAGCCAAGACAGTGGGCGGACCCGTCAAATACAAGTATCTGTCCCGGACGTTGGTCTTGTCCTTCAGGGGCATCCTGAGCTGGTGTCGGTAGTTCACCCAATTATCAAACGCCCTAGACTCTTTGAATGCACAAGGTTCGACGGGAAAGTTCCGATGTGGGCCAAAACAGGCTCCCTGCCTGACGCCGGCTTCAGGAACCTTGGCCTGGGGAAAGGATGCGGAGGGGAAGCTATTTCGATTGCCGACTCAGCTCTGGGCTTGGACCCCTGGATCGAGGCTTGGCTATTGGCCGTGGCCCCCAGTTCGTAACGACCGTGGCTTTTTTTGCTTGAGTCGTTTGCCGTGGCGGCCAAGTCGACTTGGAGCTACGGTTTGGCCGATAAGCCACAGGAAATGACGAATCGAGCCATGCAGGTCATTGTGCGATTTGCATGGTTCTGTTGATAAGGCTGAATCGGATTCCTGTCAAGCTTCAGGTACGACATGATCTTTGCTTTTTACGACCTGGGGATCAGTGGAGAGCCTGGGGAAAGCATGCTGATGATCAGTGGAGAGGTCGGGGAAGGACTTGGGCCACCTGGGTTAAAAAAAAACGGGCAACATTTGGCTGTGACTCGCACCGCATGATTCCGGTGTTATTTTGGCCCCCAAAGACCATCTTCGGAGGTGGTCGAGTCCAGTCTAGCCTGCGGAACCGCGAGAACCCACTTCACGAGAGAACACGCGTATTGGACAATGAATCCTCACTGCCATGCTTTAGCAGTCGTTAGTTGGCGAGAACAGGCACGACACGAATGCCCTAGACCAGCACTAGGCCCAATCTCGAACATTCGCCGGAAGGTTAACAGCTCCTGTCACGGAAATTCGTATGCAACTGACTCGGGGCCGATCCGAGACAGATCTCTACCGCAGAATAGCCGTTTCTCTACATCTACCGTCGAGAAGGCTATTGTCACGCGTCTCATGGGTGTTTAGACTTGCCCAAGGGGGGATAGAGAGCCGTCGACCAACTGAACGGACGCAACCCTCTTGTCACCAGCGTCATCAGAGCAACCAAGCGTGCAGAAGGCGCCGGACAGTGGCTTGCGCTAGCTGCCGCGCCAGAGGCTTGTCCCTGTCTCGAAGGAGCCGCTCTTTGCGCTCCTGGCGCTCAAAGAGGAGCTTGAACCCGTCAGCTGAACCTGACAACATGCCACATGCCACCCACACACGTGTGTCAACCAACTCGTCGGATTGTGAACGGATGTCTCCGTAATTACACTGTAGCTTGGCAGGGGTCTTGTCTCGAGAGCCGCTTAATAATTTAGCACACACTCGGCTTCTAAATCTGTTCTTTCTTTAGCGTGGTCTCGGTCATTTAGCACGAGGTTTATCGAAGCTCGACGATGACTGGCGTCCCAATTCTCAAATAGTCGATGCCCCGGGCGAGTTTCCAAGTGGCTCACCTTTATGGTCTTATCTAGTAGACTTGTTCTGAGCTTTCGGGACAGATTGGAGATGGGAAACGACAATCCGCTTGTCGAGGTGATTGGAATGAGGAGGTGGGCTGTGTCCGAGCGACGACTCATTCACCCGCATCCTCCACTCAACCCCATGTTTGTGTCTGGACCAGCCGTTATGAGACCCTCAGTGGATACACACTCCAGGCGGGGAAGACGGAAGAGGAGACGGTCGGTTCCAAGGCTGAGGCATATAAATAAGGCCCAGGAGAAGTTGTTCTTGTGGCAAATTCTACCTGGCAGGGATTTTTTTTAGGGGCACTGACGTCGGATATTCCTACCTATTTCTCCCAGCTTGGTTAAAGATGCCACCGTCGCTTCTGAAGCTATCATATCTCGACTCGAGTAAGAACCGTGAGACCCAATCACGAGTAAGCCTTGCCTTGTTAATAAACAGCTATTTGAGGCAAGTGCCTCGCCACTAGGCCCAGGGAAATTAGCATCTCAGTGCTGCCAGGGTCTGAAACTATTAAGTTCATCATGACCAAGAGATTCAGCTCGCCATTTCCCTCTGTTCTACACTCATTCCCCTCTTGGCGCAGAATATGTTATGCCCTTCCATTGATTTAGGTAATATGTATCTAATATTTTCTTGACTCGCGTGTCATGGCCCATAGGGCCCAAGGGTTCTTCGTCGCGCTCAGACATGGCGAAGGAGGTGCAGTGTCGCAGGTGGAACCAGTGACACATTATTAAGTAACATGCGAATTTTTTAATGTTAAAAGACTTGAGCCGCTGATATCCTACTATATCCCCGAGATGAGGATGGATTTCTTTACATGATGATTTCGTCGGCCTGTCTACTCATCCCGATACTGATCTCCTTGTAATGACAGCGCGGATGAAGAGGTAAATCTCCCTTCGGCTCTCTACAATGGGCAGAAGAGTCACAACAATGGCTCCAAAGAAGGCCCAAATAAAGGTGACCACGATCCAGCCTGTGAAGAATGACTTGCTAAAGACGTAAGACGTCCCATACATGGGGATCGGCCAGAGACTGCACACTGTTAGCACCATTCGGGCCTTGACAAAGATATCAGCTTACATGGTCAGAGAAATAGCAATGAACAAGGCAGCGCCGAGAGCGTAGTTCCGTGCAACATATAACTCCTTTTCGATGCCTTGGAGATTCGCTAACTCGGCCTCTGTTCTCTCTTGGGCACTCTTGACCGTACCACCCTCCGTCTGGGCCTTGACGTCAAAGCCAGAGTCATCAACCTGCTGGAGCTCCTTGAACTTCTCAAAGTCGTAGTTATCGGGCTTCAGGTATGTGATGAGTGGTGTGAGGATGATAGGTGCTGTCAATGCTAGCATGTTGCCGGCAACTGTCGGTATGAAATCAGACAGCGTCGCGATAGTGACCGTTCCGTGTTTTTGATATGCTACGCCGATCCAAGTCGAAATACTAGCCAGTGAGCTAATGATTGGTACCAGCACAATGGCAAATTTGCTCTGTTTCTTCCAGAACAGCGTGCATGCGCTGGGAATAACGGCACCTATCATTCATCAGAAGCGTAGAGTCAATTTTTCGGGACGACATACCATCGATAAGAATGCCAATGGCCGTGACGATAAAGGTGACAGAGAAGCCTGCGTAGGTAAGGCCTACAGCGACACATGCAGTCAACAAGCCGAAGCTGACAACTGCAATATGAGAGATAAACACGAGCCTCTCTCCAGTCGCCTCGGGATTGATGTATGAACGGTAAAAGTCATATGTGACCAAACTGGTAACGGCGACGGTTTCTGCTCCTGTTAGAGCTTGATGGCTATGTTTCCAACTTGAAATCTTACCTGAGCTCATGGCGCTTGTGATGGCTTGGAAGACCATAAGAAGAACGGCTACAACGCCACCTTTTCCCATGATTGTGTATGCTGTGTATGGCATGACCAAAGCCGAGTTGATCTCAGCTGGTGATAAGGGTGTCGGATACGTGGGCCTAATAATCAGCATCTGTTGGCTATGGCTAGCATAGAACGAAATGACTCACCAAGAGGTTGTGTATTCCAAAGCGGCACCTCCAAGACCAAAGGTAGTTGCGATACAAAATGGGATACTGAACTGTTCTGCTGTCAGCCGGGAACCATATCAAAACCCGACTCACGTACCCAGCAGAGAGATCCAAGGAGATATCCGGCAACCGTGGACTTTGGGTCAGCAGCAATAGCCTTTTGAAACAGCCTTTGGTTCCTGTCAGTATGTCTCCGACGCAGATTCACAAAATGCTCACTGAGAATCGACAGTTGCAGAAAAACCTCCACCAAGGAAAATAAGACCGACTAAGCCACCGTAGAAGCTCCTCATGGTCAAGAGCTCTCCCCCCGCATTGCCGTCGACAGGGCGGATCTCTGAAGCATCTTTAAGAAGCTCCCACATTCTTCCAGGAGATCCAACATGGTCAGATGTTGTGTACATGACGAACATGGACGCCAGCATAATGATGTAGATGATGACGGTGTGCACTATTCAGAAAGGTGTGAGCCAAGAGAGCACAGTGTGGAGGGGCACTGGATGTTGCATCTACTAACCCCATTCTGTGAGAAAGGTAGCTTTGATACCACCGAACAAAGTGTAGATGCAGACTCCTAGGGGGAACAGAAAGCACACCGCAATCTTGTTCATGCCAGTCACGAGATGAAAGACGTCAGCTCCGCCGACCAGAAGATTCACCGCAATAAAGATTTGGTAGATCAGTGAGTAGACAGCCAAAACGATGTGACCGGGAGCTCCGTAGCGGTGCTTGACTAGTTCCAAGAAGGTGTGTGCGTTTGGTGCCTTTCTCTTGAGCTCGATGGCGAGAACGGCGAACGTGAGGATCGGGACTGAACAACCAGCTCCATACCTACTTCGGTCAATCTGTGTTAAAGGATAGGGTTCAGTGCGATCTCATACCAGAATGTGGAGGCGATACCATACGAGTACCCAAACGTGGTCGAGGTCAAAAGCGTAGCGCTTAATGTCCATGAAGATACAACGGATGATGCTATCAGGCCAGCCTTGATCGAGCGCTTCGCAGTCAGATACATCTCAGAGTCTTGCACTTCGGAGAAATATCGCTTGAGGGCGAAAGTCGTGAGACTCATGAGGATGGCAAAGGCGCCGCCTAAACAGGTCTCAGCAGGGTAACCAGTGACCAAATTGGGGTCCTACCTAGTCCCACGATGATTCCATATCCCGCCCCGGAATCGAAAATGGGAAATATTCCTGTCTCAGACATCGTGTAGTGGTTGGACAGCCGAAAGCCCAAAGATGATCTGCAAGAGGGGATCCAGCAGGTCTTGGAGAGTCCAACCTCTTAAATCCATGCCAGAGCCACGAGGTTATCCCAGTTCGCGGTGGATCAAATAAGTGTCGGCATCAAATAGTTGCAAAGGCGTGACAGCTCAGCTAGATGGCGAAACACCAAGAATACCCATCCAACTCATCCGTACTACCTCCACCAGATCCCTGCGAGGCGGAAATATTCCCCTGCCGGCAAGGCCGTCTAGATAGACGAATCATCTCGTCTATAAAACCCCCATCATCAGCCTTTGGTAGCACACCACTTCGCCTTGCACCCAACCAGAGACGCCATCTCCCCCTCTGATACAGTAACACACATTCGACCAAAAACCCCTCACCATGCAGAGTTTCAAAGCCGAGCAGGCTCGTGTCCAGGCCAACAAGCGGTGGGAGGAAGAACCCAAACCGGATACGCCTTCGGGATGGGTTAAGCGTGCTAGAGAAGTGGCAGATATTCTCAAGCTTGACGCAGCTGAGCGAGATGCTGCCGGCAAAACCCCCTTTGCTGAAGTCCAACTCCTCAAAGATGCTGGGCTTGTCAACCTCCTCGGCCCACGCGAGTTTGGCGGCGGAGGAGAAACCTGGCAGACTTCCTACAAGGTGACTACAGAGATTGCCAAGGCTGATGGAAGCATCGGCCACTTGATTGGCAACCACTACTCATGGTATGACATGCATCTTCAAGCTATCCCGTGAGATACCACTGACGCGGAAAAGGTTCTGGAGTTCCCAAATCCTCGGAACGCCCCTGCAGGCACGCCGCTGGCTCCGGGAGTTCACCGAAGGCAATTACTATCTTGGTGGTGCCGTCAACCCTCGCAACGCTGACATGATTGCTCGGGATGAGGGGGACTCGCTTGTCTTCAACGGTGACAAGTTCTTCTCCACCGGTACGTTCTTCTAGCTCTGACCGATATTTCCGGTGCTAAATCCTTCCTTCTCCGCAATGCAGGGGGCGTTATCAGTGACGTGACCGTCTTGGAGGGGGTCCTTGAGGATGAGGCAAAGACCCATGTTTTTGCCTATGTCTCCACTAAGGACCCTGGGATCTCGTTCAAGGGCGACTGGGACGTTATCGGACAACGCCTAACGGTGAGTTCAACTCGGCTACTTGTGACATTTGAGCTAACCGGCTTCAGGAATCTGGAGGCTGTGTCATTCGTAATGTGCGTGTCTCCTGGGAGCACATTGCTGGTTACGAGAACAAGGAGCTCACGCCCCGGGACGCATACCACGACTTCATTCTCCCGCCTGTACAGCTTCAGTTTGCAGCTGTCCACGTTGGTGTCGGCATTGGAGCGCTTGAAGCTGCCACCGAGTACACCCGCACTCGCACTCGAGCTTGGCCGTACGGCGGAGATGACAAGCCTAAGGCCACAGACGAATGGTATATCCGAGAAGGCTACGGACGCTTACAAGCGTCGCTTTGGGCAGCCGAGGCCCTCGTAGACCGCACGGCTGAGCGCATATCTAAGCTGATCCACGCTCCAAGAGAGGAGCTTACCCAGGAAGCACGTGGCGAGATTGCAGTCCGTGAGTAGATTCTGCCTTGTTATTGCATATTCACTAACCCAAATCAGAGGTAGCAGCATCAAAAGCAACCGCTATCGAAGCTGCCATCAATGTCAGCAGCAAGTTCTTTGAGCTAACCGGCGCCTCATCCGGCCTGTCAAAGTACGGATTTGACAGGTTCTGGCGCAACACTCGCCGTAAGTGGGAACCGTTAGATATTTGCTGTACGGCGCTAAAATGACGTCTAGTTCACTCTCTGCACGACCCAATCGCTTACAAGTTCCGTGAAGTGGGCGGCTGGGCCTTGTTGGGTGAGATCCCTGAACCGAGCTGGTACACTTAGGCGGGATCCATGGGCTGCGGGTAGCGTTAATTAAGAATGACGACTCAGCAGGGGTTTTTAACGTTGTACGTTTGAGTCAGTTTGTCTGGATGACAGATCCGGATTTAGCCAGCTGTGTATATCCGAGCAGACAGGCTCGCTTGTCCAAAATGTGCAGCCTATTTCTTTTCTGGCAATAGACTACTGGGAATATTGGTTATGAAAGCTGCTGAATCGAATCTCGCCGTAAAGTCTTATTGCCCAATTGAACCTTCCCGCTATTCTACCTTCTCAATCTTGCCAGTCTTTACATCATAGATGAATCCCGTAATAGGAACGTCGAGCAACAGAGGGTTCTTCTTCACAATGGCAATATCATCCAGAACACTTTTTCTTAAGTCCCCAAATGGCAAGAAAGCAATATGTTCTGCGTCCTCTTTTAACTCATCCCGGATCTTCTCCTTCAGCTCGAGATCAGAAAATGTCAGCATGCCGCAGTCAGTCTAATTGTCCGTTAGCATTTCCCATGGTGGCTTGAATTCATGTTCAGCTCTTACATGGTGAACAATAACAATCTCTCGGGTGCCCAGTAGTTGTTGCGAGATGACGAGGGACCGAATTGCATCAATGGTACGACCGCCAGCATTTCGAATAACATGCGCATCACCCTCCTCGAGCCCAAGCACTTTAGCCGGGTCGAGGCGAGCATCCATACAGGCTACGACTGCCACCTTGCTAAATAAAGACCAATTAGACTGATAAAGCGGACAATTGGGTGTGTGTTCCTTACCGTCCGGGTGGAAGAGGTAGGTCGCCTTTGTTGAACTGGGCTGCATATTTCTCATTCGCGGCCTCAAATTCAGGGATAACAGATCGGACAAAAGACATAGTGAGAGGGGTAGGAAACAATGACTGGCTTGGGATCGAAAGTAGCCGAGCTTGACAGTCGTCCCATCTTATGCGATACAGGTTCCGCGTTGGCCATCTTTGAAGTGTGGGGGTGAGCTGAATGGGGGATAGCAGCAATAGTCGTCATTTTGGATCACACTTTGCAATTTGGTAGGATCCGTCACCAGCCGTAGACTGCCACGATAGGTAATTTAGAGCGATCAAAGTCTTAACTCCTGGATCAATTCTCCGAGGGAATTCTTTGAGGCTGATATCTTACGTCCTGGGTGCGTCATCGTTTAGCCTCTTCGCCCGAATGATATCATCAACAGCAACTATTGTATTGATGGGGTAGCGAGAAGGACCCGTCGCTATGAATTATTAATACGGTCAACTCGGTTTTCACTTTCAGCAAGAAGCCAACGAGGAGTATAGTTGTGCTGATCGATTTGTGATTCCATCTACCGCAAGATTATTTACCACCCTAAAGCTCGATTTTCTAATCCAAGACGATGCAAAATTGTGTCTTGGGAATTATGAAATAAAAAGTTCGACATCCGTGGTAGTGAATGGCTGATAATTAGTGCCCTTTATCTGAGCGCTTCCTTGCCAAACCCGTTGGTATAGGGTACCTACCTGTTCTTTGAACATTCCGACTTCGCAACCGCCAAAATGAAACCCTGGAACTATGACCAAAAGAGAGGGACTGGGCTGTGTTGGGGGGCTTCTAAAAGGTGTTTGATATTTTCCTTCTTCAAAATATGCGTCAAGGTGGTCAATTAGGGAATTCCCAAACCCAACTTGCTAGACAGCCACTGACATTCAACGCCAGTGTGGCTCCAAGAATGATGTGTACATAGGGAATGAGGAAATGAGGTTGTATCTCCTATCAGTAGAATACCGCATCAATATATAGTCCTCTGCCTTCAGAAGGGAAGCGTTGTGGTTGTCAGAACCATAAGTTGACAGGAATCAAGGCTAGGGGCTAATGAGAACAAATGTTGATAGTCAAACACCTTGGCGATACCCCTGTTGACTGGACAACGAGGCGCATAATTTGGCTGCCTGACAGGGATACCCTCATTCCTCCATTTGGACTATCAGACAAGCACACTTTCCATATTGATTCTTGAAGCCTAGAATTGAGACCCAATTCTCTCCAGGCAGCAAAGAATAGCCAAAATACAAAAGCCTGAGTCCTTGGGAGCTTGAGATTACGCGGCACACCAGACAAGATGACGCACCAACCTCGTCTGCCTGTTGAGCTTATTCTGCAAATTGTGGAAGCTTCGTTGTCAGTCACGAATCCCGACGCTATAGTCGATGTATCTCTACCCGAAGTCCAACTACTTGTCACCTGGTCGCGGGTCTGTCGCGCAACCTATGGAACTGCGACTCGGCTGTTCAGGCAGCATTGCGTCTATTTGGACAGCCACCAAAGAATCCAGAGATTCTGGAACTGCTTGTCCCTTGCCAAGACATCTACCCCCAGCACGAATCTACCGCCAATCACACCCCTCAAAAACACATCGTCTCTTTACCTGGGTGTTTGTACCCCGGCCCCTCAAGAGTCCGCATCTCTCGGATCACTCATCCGCAAGGTACTCTTTGAGCTTGGTGGCTCGGTACGCCGTTTGATCTTGGAGCTGCCATCCCCTAGGTTCGCTCAGGAGAATGAGCTGGACCCGCATCTTGGAGAAGGTCTATTCGATGGACTTGCAGCCCTGAACAATGTCGAGGAGTTTGTGACCGTGGGAGGGTTACGCACTGTGGACTTTTGGACGAATGATTTGGGCATCTGGGAACGATGGCCACAACTTCGGTGTTTGGCAGGTTTCCAGGTGGACCTCGCTGAGGAGGTTCTGTGGTACCGCATCGCCAGAGCAAAGCACCTCGAACACATGGTAATAGCTAGGCCACGTCTGTACAGGATCCAGAGATGGAACTTCAAGGAGGCAATCGGACAGCACTGGCGGCTTGAGACTGGAGGCGACCCGAAGCTCGCGAGGCCGATGAGTATTGTGCTTGCGGATCATGAGTTCACACCATCGTTGATCGATGAGACGGACGCGACAACACATGATCCACAAGGCCTTGTGTCCGCCGTCAAGTGTTCGGTGCCTATGTTCGGCACGCAGTTTGTGAGAACAGATCACGCTTGTCGTGAGTGGATGATGGCTGCCATGAAAGAGGGCACTCTTTGGGAGTATGGAAAGGCAGATACTCTTGACATCTAGGAGGGGCTTATATGATGGGCTATTACAATGCTGAGGATGTTTTGCTTGTCATAAAAATTATAGATTGAGTAAATAAATTTCCTGGTAGCATTTCTTCAGAGATGAGAGTTTGTTTTGTCAACGATGTATTCTGTAGATAATTTTAATCAGAAGCATGGCGTTCTTTGTTACAGCTACGGATGCCAGCCTGACCATTGTCTCTTTAGAGTAAACAAGTAAGGCTGCGATAAGAACCCATGCTTTAGGCTTGCCTGGAGCCTTTTGCACCGGTCAGAAAGGTTGAAGCATTAGATAGGGAAGTCACCAAGACAGAGAATTTCGAAATCATTGCTTCTGCTACTGCTCCAAGGCGACCCGTTCGATGATGTCTCGGATGCCTAAGAACTGCCTGTGTAAAAATGACCTCATAAGAGCTTCGTCAAAAGCCTCACAAGGCCAGTGGGCGGGGCCTTGGAGCAGCTCAATAGAAATGACGCAGCCGTAACACAACCAAGAACCTCATAAGAGCATACACACTGGATAACCAACATTGAGTGACGTTATTTAGGCTAAATGCGTCAAACTCTCACCTGCTGATCTCAAGGCAGCAGAATAAAATCTCGTCCTATTTGATCTTAAAACTGGTGGACCCTAGCAGCTCCACCGCAAGGATAATCCTTCAAAGTTAGGGCCTGGTTCCTGGTTAAACATCATTTCCTGTCTCTTTGGGTGAGATCAGGCTGTGAGAAAGGAAAGAGCTTATTACTTAAAACAGTCACATGCCCCGACGCACCCAAGGAGCCCCCACTGATTACCTATGTAGGGGTTCTTCAGCTGTCCACTGGGGGATGCAGGCTGAGGATTTACCGGCAGGAGGCCTCAAAGGAGCAAATTATAGGGCGAGGCGAGTAATATGTAGTGAATACCAATCTCGTGATGATCTTTCCCTCCTTCTCAACTCACGGTTCCCTTCGTGGTATGGATTGCATGTAAGAATACAGGGGCGCTAGCAGTCTAGAATCTGGTTTCTTCGCCCAGCCCAGGTAGGCTGTGCTGGCCCATGCTTCAAAAGCAAGGGCCTGATTCATCCAATCTTCGCTAAACGAAACAAGCAGGCTGGGCCCATGTCGATCACCAGGCTCGGGGTTAACACGGGGCCGAGGGGACAGATACAAAACCTAATCGCCGCACTAGCTGGGTTTCTTTCCATCCCTATGAAACAATAATGGCATCGATATCGAATCTATACGTCAAGCCCGAGTTCGTCTACAGGGGAGGATGGAGGAATTGGGACAATGATGCAGCGACAGGCGGCCAGATCACTATGCTCAAGGATGACGCCGAACTTCTCAGTATCTTTATCGGTATCTTTCTCGTCTTTGTCGCCGCTGGGCTTTGGACCCTGATCGCCTACCTCATCTTCCAACTGAACCGGCGCAAGCGACAAAAAGAAGACTCTGGCGCCTTTGACGGCCTGTATCACCAACAACAGACCATCCTCCGGAATGGCAGCAGTGATGTCGCAATTGGATCCTCATTTTTAAAGCTATGGCTTGCATGGGGGAACAGTCCCAAGGTCCTGAAGAGCACATTGCCCATTGCTGCTCTTGCACTTGTCAGCTTTGGCTTCTTCCTTATTTCTCTGCCTTTCATCACCGCCATGGAGATGTTGGACAACCAGGGGAACCAAGTATTGATACAAAGTCCCAATTGCGGCTTCTGGGAACCAGATACGGATGGCCCGCTGGGTCCGTTCCTAGCTTTCACGAAGCAGACGCGAGAGGCTGTCTCATACGTCGACAACTGCTATGAGACCGACGGTGAGTCAGCTCTCTGCGACCAGTTTCTTTCCGAACGCCAACTACCAATTATCAGAGTGGTCAATGTGTCATGCCCATTTCATGAGAGCATATGTCTTCCTAGGACAAAGGGGGATAAGCACCCTGCCATCACCATCAAGACGGACGAGCTAGACTCCCACAAGCACTTTGGGATCAACGCACCTCCAGAAGAGAGGATCAAGTTGCGACGCTCCGTGACGTGCTCTCCCGTCAATATCGACAAGTTCAGTGAAGTCACGGAAGATATCGCGACAGGAGAAAAGATGATGGGTATCTTTTTTGGACGCACGAGTACCACCAGCTACACCTACGGCTCGAGTAACAAAAGAATAGGCATCGACCCTTCGTATAATCTTAGGTGAGACCCCCAGCTAAAAAGAAGTAAATTCTCAATGAGTTTTTAATGTGTAATAGAGCCTTTTATAGCCGAGTGGCGGGCAACGCTTCCTATGCCCAGCTTTTCGAGCCGATCACCGAACTTCGCCGGAACGACGCCGACATCACCATCGCCTTTCTTAGTAATAGCTTTATTGCCGTCTCTGGAATCGACGGTCCTTGTACCGACCCCTTCTTCTCTGCTACAAAGGAGCCGTTGCAAGGTGATGCGGTCCATGGCTACTACTGGCCTGACAGCCCCGTCACAGGCATCGGCTGCATTGAGCAGTACCAGTTCTCGAAGGCTGGGTCGGAGGAATGGACACCGTTAGCGAGCTATGGTGACGCCAGTACGAATTTGACGTTTATAGACCAGCTATCGATCAAGCAAGTCGCTGCTTTCGCCCCGATCCAATGGGCCATGCGCGTGGGTGGGATCGACCAGGCCCTAGACATTCTTCGGACTGAAGCCCTCAGAGCAAGAAAGGATCCCGGTATGTACAACGATCTGCAGCATCCCCTGCCAAACGATCAATGGATACGTGAGGTAGAGTATTGGTTCATGATCGGGCTTGCCAAACTCCAACTGGGGGTCGTTAACGTTGCCCTGGGTCCGCAAGATCCGGAAAACTCTGGCATGAGGGACAATACTACGTGGGTAGTACAGAAAAGGAAGGATTTGATGGATTACGTGTGCTCGTCTCAAAAGATCCACAGTCTCGAGTTCAAGAACCTTCACAAAGCGGGCTTCATTGCGCTTGCTGTGCTTGGTGGCTTGGCCATCATCCTTCCGTCACTCGTCCTGCGCACTATGATCTGGTGGCGTAAAGGGCAAGATGATGTTTTGACGTGGAAGTCATATGGACAGCTACAACTCCAGCGCATGGCAGCAGAAGGAGCAGGTGTCCAGGGCTGGAAGAGAGGAAACGAGGATGTTCCCTTATTGGATCCCCATGACCAGTCGTCAGGGGATGTGGATGTGAGGAACATGGGTGTCGATGGACTTCCACACCCAGTTTGGGCTGGGCCTAGTTCCCATCCGACTTCCGTCCGGGGGCCTGTACCTCGCCCCTATGACGAGTATCATGGAGGGAATGTGAAAGACGAGTTTGAAGATGTTCTTCTGGAAGTGATGCCTATGGCGCAGGGATATGGACAGAGAAGACAGGGAGGCTACAATCAGGTTAGCGGAAGGGAGGCACTATGAGCTGTTTTCTATTAATGAGGATAATGAGACGATGACTGTGTGGCGAGATATGAACATGGGTATCAGCTGCAAGGATGATGAAAAGAGGTGATCGGTGGCGGTGGCTTTGTAACGACATGATGGACGTTGGATCGGCATCTAGAAAAGAATATCTCCTTGCTTGCGAGGGGACTGCCATTATATACCGGGTTAGGATCTAAACTAATTATATTTAGCCTCTTCTAATGCTCACTTAAAGATAAATAAGGGATTAATACCTTATTATATGACTTTTGTGAGGGCGTAGATAGTGCTCTAATAGTGGAGACCGACATGCTCTGGCAGTCCTCGCGCAAGCAAGGAGATATAGTGATTTAATAAGCCTAATTACTTTTAAGCCTTTGAATCCTTTCCCGTCTCTTAGATGATGTATCTGAAGCCCTTATCCTGCACATCAGTGAGATCCGAGTCGGTTGAAACACCGGCCTGCTGACTGCCACCCAAACCTTCCACGACATACTGAACTTGTCCGTCTGCCGCCTTGGAGTCTCGGCTGGCGTTCTTACGCTTAACAACAATTACAAAACCGATATACGTAATAATCAGAGCGATCATGGATGACAAACTCAAGATGCAGCCCTTGCGGTAGCGAGGTGCGTCCTTAGAGGTCCAGGCAAAAGGACTGACGATGCAGCCGACGCAGTAGGCAATGAAGAAGGCGACAGACACGACACTCTTCTTTGTGTTTCCCTTGACGTTGCTGGCAATGATACTAGCCGAGCTGCTGAGCAGGGCCGACGAGCAACCGCCCAACCAAGTCGACACGACGATGCCCCATTCGGCGCCCTCGCGAGGGAGAGTCATGAGAAGAACCGCACCTAGAAGAGGAACGAAGCAGAGGCCGATGGCGGTGTAGGTTCGTGTTCCGGGGAACATTCGTGGGACGAGAGCGCCGATCCAGACGGTTGCCGTGTTGCAAGCTCCTGCGGGCATTCCGACAAGCATTGTCTCAAACTTGCTGTAACCAAAGCCGTTGATGACACTGGCGCTGAACTGTGGAATTTTAGGATCATAATATCCGGAAGGAGCGTGTTTCGACTTACCTTGATGATGGGGGTGGTCAAAGTGATGCACAAACCCATCATCATGTAGATCCATGTCATGGGTGACAGCATAGCCTCTCTAACCTGCTTCTTATTGAACTCTGCACGATCGCGAGTCGCACGATCAACGGCAAGGCGCTGAGTAGCAATCTCTCTCTCAGCCTCGGTCAAGAACCAAGCGGTAGAGGTATCCCGGGGCATCATGAAGATGAAGACAACGCCCACCAACGAGGTCAGGCCACCGCAGATGATGAACAGTGCACGCCAAGGAGCAAGGGACATGTTGGATTGTCCGATGCCGTACATCATGAGGGCACCGATGATTTGGGAGACGCCGTTCATGGAGACCCACGTTGCCACGCGGATTGGGTGCTCTCTCTTGACATACCAGTTCGAGGTGATGATGATGAAGGCGGGAGAAACGGTTCCTGCAGTGTAGAGAAGTCCCCATTAGCTCGACTTCAGGACAGTTATCATAGCCAAGGGAAGAAATACCTTCAGTGAACCCAAGGAAGAATCTCGCCGCAGCCAATCCTTGGAAGCTCTGACATGCAGCCATGGCCATGTTCACGCCACCCCAGACAACAATAGTGCAGCCTACGTAGAGTGTAATCGGGAGTCGCGAGAGAAGGTAGGCCGCGGGGTATTCCGAGCAGAGCTGGCCGAGGTAAAAGAGGGATACAGCCCAGGAGAATTGTTCGCCCGTGAGGTGTAGATCGTCGCGAAGTCCAAAGATGGCGGCCTGATTGATGGACTGTTTGTCGAGATCTGCAAGTTTATAACGGTCAGTTTTGCTACTTTTGCAGGATTTCGGGGCGATACTTGCACTGAAAGAAGTAGACAAAAGCCATCAGAGGCATAATGACGCAGTCCAATTTCCGAACGACCTTCTTGGCCTGTTCGGGGTCAATGCTGTAAAGCTCATCATTGTTGATGGCTTCGCACTGCTTCGAAGCAGGATCAAGGCTCTGCCTTTGCTTTTCGGCAGCGTCGACGGACATGATCAGATGAGAGTGTAGAGATGATGGGAAGGATAGGTTGAGAGTGAGCAGTTGGTGGCAATCTTCTCAAAGGGACCTATCTCGTTTAATATACGCATCGTATATCGTTTAACCTCCTCTTTCGTTCATCATGGCGACGCCTCCAAAGACAGCCTCGGGTGTCACGCCCGAGAGCCCAGATGTGTTAGTCTAGATCGCCTCCAACTTCCCTTCCCATGATGCGATCTTTCATCCCCCCCCCCCCCCCCCCCACATCTAACCCCGGAATACCTTATCCAGGAAGGTTAAATTGATCCCAGAACATGGGGTAAACGCGGGGAAAATGCACCGTCAGCTAAACCTTGCGGCCTTCGGGCACAGCGGCCGCTCCCCACGGGGGCTGGGAGACTGAAGTAGCCCTCAGATGTTGCAGCCGGAGGTCCCTGGATGTGTCGTCGGCGTTTGTCAAGTGTTTTACCGATATCAAGGGGATTCTATCTTTCGGATCTGAGGGTCGGGAATGGTGAATTACTTGGCGGCCGCCTCCGGAGTTGGAGCATGGACGTGAAGTCGGCTATATGGAATCACATATAGCCAACCGATGAACCATGCAACCAGCACACAATCATCAGCGGGCGCTTCGATAGCTTTCATCATGACACCACGACCAACCGCCTTGGCTACTTCTTTGCGCCATCTTCGAGCGTCTCGCCGTATCTCCCCAACATCTCTCAAGCCCCTAAGCCGGAGCCTATCCCAGGCGGCTCGGCCAGAGAACAATGGCCCGACTTCTTCAACACAGGCTAGCAAGTCTCAGGGTATCGGCACCTTTGGGGTTGTCGCGTCGATGGCAATAGCTGCTGCTCTAGGCTACGGCGCGTCAACGCTAACAGCGAGGAAGGATGGAGCAGCTCCAATTCTAGACGAACGCAGACTGCCACAAGTCAACTATGCTTCTCTGGAGGATATGGAAAAGGTAGCCTGTTCGAATAAGTGTGGACAGGCAGGCAGCGCTAACGCCCGATGATTACAGGCCATCGAGGAGATCCAAACCCTATTTAGTGACGTTGATGGCATCATCTCGACAGATTCAGACGACCTTCTCGCACACGGCTATTCGGAATGGTCTTCAGTAAACGTCGATACCCTCCCAGTTGCTGTGTCATATCCACGCAGCACCGAACATGTCAGTGGTATTGCCCGCATCTGTCACAAGTGGAAGGTCCCCATCATTCCGTTTTCCGGAGGCAGCTCTGTCGAGGGCCATATTAGCGCTCCCTTTGGAGGCGTGAGCATAGACTTTGCATTTATGGACCGCGTCGTCAAGCTCAATAAGGAGGATATGGACGTTGTTGTGCAGCCAAGTGTGTGCTGGACAGATCTGAACCATGAGCTTGCGAAGCGGGGAACAGGGCTGTGGTTCCCAATTGACCCTGGTAAGCACAGCTCTCGCCCTTGCAGCATCTCCTCGCCCAGGACTAATCTTTTTTGCAGCTCCAAGTGCCAAGATCGGAGGCATGATCGGAACCAACTGTTCTGGCACCAACGCTGTTCGCTACGGAACCATGCGCGATTGGGTCATCAATATGACAGTGGTTCTTGCTGACGGGAGTGTCGTCAAGACTCGACGCCGTCCCCGCAAGTGCAGCGCAGGATACAACCTGAACGGCCTCATCGTAGGATCTGAGGGGACTCTCGGTATCGTTACGGAAGCAACCCTCAAGCTCGCCGCTGTACCGGACCATTTCTCCGTGGCCGTGGTCCCCTTCGATGACTTACGGGGTGCTGTCTCTGCTGCTGCTGATATTATCCGGAGAGGTGTTCAAGTAGCAGCTGTCGAGCTCATGGACGAAACACAGATGAAGATCGTCAATGAGGGCGGTGCAACACGGCCACGCGTTTGGAAGGAGACGCCAACACTGTTTCTCAAGTTCTCTGGCACGAAAGGAACAGTTGATGACAACATCAAAACGGTCCGAGAGATCATGAAGCCGTATAGCCCGCTTGCCTTTGAGTTCGCACGAGATGAGCGAGAGCAGAAAATGCTGTGGTCGGCCAGAAAGGAGTCTCTCTACTCTCTCCTGGCGATGAGAGAGGATGGGGAAGAGATGTGTAAGCTTGTTTTCGTTCGCTCGCATGAAGAAGATCTAACATGCTACCAGGGAACACCGATGTGGCCGTTCCGCTTAGCAGATTAGCCGACATCATCGAAGACAGCAAAGCCCACGCCGCTTCTCTGGGCTTGAAAGCCTGCGTGAAAGGACACATCGGCGACAGCAACTTTCACGAGAACATCACATACAACAAGGCGGACCCTCAAGAGGCCGAGAAAGCCAAGATTGCGGTAAAGACCATGGTCAAGCGCGCGCTCGAGATGGAAGGCACCTGCACCGGAGAGCATGGAGTTGGCATCGGTAAGAAGGATGCCTTGTTGCAGGAGGTTGGTCAAGACACTATCCAGGTCATGGTAAGTCGTGTTGTCTAAGTAAACACAGTTTTGAAGGTGTTGTTGATCATGTCATTAGAAACTTTTGAAAGGAGTGTTGGATCCTTATTGGATCATGTGAGTTGTTTTATCCCCCCTTCTATGTCCTGTGTACTAACTACCAGCGACCAGGAACCCAGGCAAAGTGTTCAACAGATAGTGACGTGCCTTTGGGGTGTTCCGTTTCAATCCTGCAACGTTTAATATGGGAATCGATGTAGTAGATGAACAGGGCGGATCTTGCGTAACTATGGCATTTCCATTCTAAAAGGTCCAACGGACCTCCCAAAAAGACTTGTCTAAGGATATCAATGGTATTTACATAAGGTCTCTCAGTTAATTATATAAGGATTATGATGCAGAATAAATCCTGCGCTGGAACATGCCGTGAACCGTGACATCACCTTGTGCCAGGTTTGTGTCATATTCAGCTATCCTGCACCCCTTCAGAGCCATCGTCCCTTCGCTGCATATATAGCGTCAGGTATGTATAATACGGGTGTTTCAATGCTTCCCATAATGGACCGTTAACGCAGGGGGGCATGTCCTCAACATCCCACCCAGGAACCTCCCTCTGGAATCTATGTTTTGTAGGAATTCCACGCCGAAACAGCGTTATTTTACGCAAGCCGGGGAACTGACCACCAACTGCCAAGCCATAAATCTCGTCATGCATCTTTTCGTACCCGTATTCTGCCTGGCGCATCTGAGAATCGGTGACATCTTCCCTAAAGTCCATAACCTCAATTGATGTGGGTAAAGCTTCGACCAGAGGGATTGTGGTCGGGTCGTCCTCCGCACCAACAAAGTCGTTCCTGGAGATTGAGAGATGCTTGAGAGATTTCAAGCTCTGAAGAGACCCGACCTTGCCGCTTACATCCAGACCCAGAACGTGTCGGTAAGACCGCGTGACAAGCTCGAGCTTGACCAAGTTTTGACCCAACTCCCTAAGAACGTCTCCGAACTCGTTCAAGTCCACGTTCCAGTCTATGTAAGGAGTTTGGCGGGCCAGACTACGGCTCCCGGCAGAGACCGTAAAAACTTCCAGCTTTGTGCAGTGAGATAAGACCTCCCTCATGGTAGACGCATCTACAGGCACTCGTCGAGATTCAGCTGTCGCAAATTGGACGGGTAATCCGGCCATTCCATATCCATGATCTTGCCTTCTGTCCAGTCAAACCCGGACAGTTTAAGCTTTCGAAGGTTTGGGTGGAGGAGGATTGGCTCGAAATCGTCGATGCTTACCCAGGTTTGCGCCTGCGCAGACGTGATGCGAAGCTCTTGTAGATGGTGCAGATGGTTTGCAACGGTATGTGGCTCGCCCGAGTTGTAGCTGAGCCGTCCACCAAGAATATATGGTAATGACATGGATGGTTCTTTGTAGAAGTAGAGTTCCACCAATCGCACACGTGGCATCAACGCAAGGAGGAAACTTGCAACGCCAGATCCTCTCCATCCAAAGATGATATCGCGTTTCAGTAGATCGATAAACTCTGAAGAGATGTTTGGCGACTCAATTTGATCTCCAAGAAAAGACATTAGATTATGTTTGCTTGGTAGATTTCCATGAGTGAGGGAAATCTCCCGGGTAGACAAGCCAAGCTGAGGGTTGTTGGCGAGGGCTTTAGCGAGGTGAAAATGCGGGCCATGGTGGTCCTCAGAGTAGTAATCATTTATTCCCCAAAGTAGAACTGTTTGGTATAGTGGAGTCTGGGCCAGATCGTGGAATCGTCGGCTTACAAGACTCAGTGCGGTGAGGGTTTTGAGGGGCTCAAGGTCGCGGTGAAGGCCATATAGAACCACCTTGAAGTGGGAAAAGATCTGACTCCAAATCTCATTTGGGAGAAAGAAAACCATGATGGATCGTGAAATCTCAAAAGGGTGGGAACTTAGATAGAATAGTGGTCAAAGAGGTACGATGTTGTCGTGTGTGAAGAAGGTGAAAAACAGAGCTAGAGGCTGTCGGCAGCCAACAAGTTGTACTTATAGGTTGACCAAGACGATCAAGCCACGGGGCATCATGTGATGGATGCTTCTGGATTAATGTGCCCAACAACCTAAATTTTGCTGGGAAAACTTTTCAAGGAAGAAATTATAGAGTTTTCACACCTTTGCGTGAACTGAAGTCCTTGCCCACCCAACTGCGTAGGCATCCTTCACGAGTTCAACACCAAGTTCGCCTGTGAGAGGGATACTCATCATGGGCGAGAACAGGTACATCGATGAGAAATAAAGTGAGCTATAGCAATGTGACAGACGGAAAAAGGATTTATTTTTGAAAGAGATGATGATCCAGCGGTGCAGTGCACGCATTTTTCATATGTCATGACACAACTCGTTGGCCACGGGGGTTTACTCCACCATTCAGTAGTTAATTAACAAGAAGGAGCAAAAACAGCGAGCTAGATGAAAAAGGAAACAGCAAAAAGATTGGTCTTTAGGTGGATGGCTTTTTTAGGTGCGCGTCTGGTCAGAGGTGGGTAGGTTATAGGTTTGCGGAAAGAAGAGAGGATTTTTTAGGAGCGGAATTAAAGACCACTTGACCAGACGCCGAGCACTTTTGTGCTTTTAGGATGGGAGGTATAAGGGTAGCCTTCCTTATAAGACCTTGAACTGAGATTCTAGGGGTAATATAAAAAAGTGGTTTTTACGTCTGCGGAAAGAAGATAGAGTTTATAGGAGCGGAAGTAAGGAAGAGTTAACCACTTGACTAGGTGAGCACTCGAGTGTGCTTTTAGGGTGGGAGAATAAGAGTTGACCTTACCTATAAAGCCCTCAATCTTCTGGCTCAGTTCCCATCAAGGGCTGGGCTGCAACCATAATAAAGAACAGATTGTCAGCATATGACAACATCATGACCCGATGTTAACAAAGTGGACTTTTTTGAACCTTTTGCTGCGGTAGAAGAGTCCTACAAAGCTCTCGATTGAACCTAAGGAATCCCAAAAAGAGTGGTTTTTAGGTTTGCGGAGAGAAGAGAGAGTTTGTAGGAGTGGAAACAAGGAAGAGTTAACCACTCGGCTAGGGCGCTGAGCACTCGTATGTGCTTTTAGGGTGGTAGGTAGAAGGGTAGCCTTGTTTATAAAACACTCAAAGGGCTGCTGTTGACGCCAATGGGTCTTTGCTGCTGATCTCACTCATCCAGAATAGGCCACGTAGATGAGCAGGAACCCCAAACCAAAGTAAAGTACCAGTTCAATCTCAACCTTCGGTGCTACGACCACAACTGCAACACCTATAGCTCTCGTGCTACCATTGGTAAGAATTCAATTCTCCTCCGTCTCGCCCTCATCTCCATCGGGGCCATCCTCGACCAGATCAGCCTTGACCAATCTCCCATCTTCAAGCTGCTCAAACCACTCCCCATCATCATCTCTCACAAACTTCCTCTCCATCGAACCCTCGCCCTCCGCCTCACGCTTCTGAAACAGCTTGGTGCATTGGATGTACGCACCAGCCACCTTGCTCTTCACAGAGCTCTTCTTCCAGCTCCCTTTCGACCTGCCAACCTGGTCTCCCCCACAGTTTCCCTTTGTCTTGAAAAAGATGGTGCAGTCCTCCAAGTTGAGAGGATTGTAGCCGCTGCCGACGGTGAAGATGAAGGACTTGGTGTTGTTGGGAATGTCAATGCATCGGACACCAAAGCCGGAACCTTTCCAGCTTCCTGTCTGGCTGATGCAGTTCTTGGACTTGTAGGTGCTGAGACGCCATTTCTTGCTGAGTGTTCCGACGTCTTGCCAGTTGCATTCGCCGCTTGCTAGAGGCAGGATGGCGGCGCCCAGGGCGAGAATAGCGCTGATCTTCATTTGTCAAGGAAGTAGAGAGAGAGAGTTTAGGCAACAAGTAGAGAGGGGAGCAGTTTGGGTATCAGCAGCTAGTCTACTAAGTAGAGGATTATATACACGACGTTCCGAGTTATTCGGCTTAATTCATGATGTCGGCTTACTCCCTTCAGAAAGCTGATGGCCATCACCTTCCCGAAAGGGATCCCCTGCAAGACTGCAAGTCACCGGTCTTGCTAAGGCTGTGTCTATTTCTTTAGTCTAATAAGTGCAGTTGTAGCCATTGCTGACCGCCTCGTGAATCCTTGCCAGATTAAGCAACCATCCACATTCCACTTTTGGCTTGGGTTGCCACGCGGGCAAAGAAATAACTAAGACGCGAGAGTATTAAGAGATTTACATAACTCTTTATAAATATAAGTAATAAATTTAAAAAGAAAAGTATAAAATAATATAATAATATAGAGATTTTTTCTATATTTTTATTATAATTTATTAATGAGATTTAAAGGAGAATTAATTATTATATTTATCCTCGTGTCTCATTTTTTCCTTGACCCATATGGTTGCTTTTACCTCATTTCTACCCCCCATCGGTGCTCTTTGAAGAGTAGTCCCATGCGTATATTACGGATTAACATCACCAAGAGTCATGGTTGACCGTGAAGCTCCGTTGTCAAGTCATGCCGGCCTCCAATCTTTGAAGTTCGAATACACCCACTTCACACCCCATTGTCGCCCCAGTGGAAAAGTCTCATTGTCTATCGACTGCTGAACACGTCAACCGATCACAGGGCTTACATTGTTACACTCTTTTTCACACCCACGGTATAAAACGAAGCATGTCGACGAGAACTGCAGCTTGGGATTTCCCACCTTCTTTGCGGTGGATCGAGCAAGACCCACTCGGTCTACTGATGCAGTGGCTCGACGAACAATTGAGACAGAATTGAGTCGCATTTATCCCTATATTTACAGTCTCTATTTATCTTTGACTCGAGTAGGAGCAGCTGTGTTGACTTGTTTCTTCGTGAAGCCCTCATCCAGATCTCCCTTTAATTGCATACCCACGAATGACGATAAGCATAAATTACGTATACGTAATTATGCGGGCCCTTGTTGGGGCCATCAGACGCGTTCCACCCCTCTAACATCGTTCCTCCACATCTCGGCGCCATCATGACTGAGTATCAAATATCTTGTCGTTTGGCGGCACGCCAAGCCCTTCGCCTAAGAAACTTACTGAACAAGGTCGCCCGCGGGAAACCGGCTGACGAACAAGCGCAGCGACGAGCCCATGCTGCTACCGACTTTTATCACAGCATCGAGGACTTTGCTGACGTAGAGGATACGGACGAAATGCCTGTCTTATTCGGCAGTTACTCAGGTGCTCAACATAACGATCAGTCTCCTGTGTTGCCTATTGAGATCTACCAACTCATTATCAACTACGTCACTGAATGGGACTATGTGAAGCGACAAGAGACTCTCTTGGCGCTCTGTCGCTCCAACAGGACACTCCAATCCATCGCCGAGCCCTACCTATACAACCACCCCCGCGACCTAGACAGCATAACGAGACAGTGGGGATTCAGATTCACCCTGGCCATTGAACCCCATCTCACGACCTTGGTCAAGTCTTTGCGGTTGCTATGGGAAGCCGAAGGCGAGAACGGCAATCTCATTGTCGACATTGCTCGTGCATGTCCAAATGTCGACGATATACTTATCGAGCGCGGGATGGATTTCGAAGATTCGAATCATATCTCGAAACAGGATGTCATGAATATGGCGGCCCTGCTCGATGCATGCCCGCGACTCAAGACATTCTGGTACGCAACAAATGTCAAATGGACAAGCGACCAGCAACAACAACAGGATGAAGCTAGCCAAAAGGCATTCGATGAGGCCTTGAAAGATGAGCGCTTCGCCAAGGTTGCCCAAAAGCTGACCAGCTTGACCTTTCATGGTCAATTCTTGTGGCTGATACGAGCCCTGTCACCACATCTCTCTTCGAATCTTCAATGCCTCACTCTGGGCCAAGATTTCTGGATCGAGGAAACCCCCAACCTTTTGTCGGATCTCAGCCACCAGTGCCCTTCTCTTCGCGAGCTTGAGTTACGATGCAGATTGATCACGGCGGATGAACTCTCGGAAGCTTGCAAGAGATGGGGCCCAACCCTCCAAAAGCTTCGTGTCTGGAGCATCGAAGAAATTTCCGACTGGGTTGTTCAGGTTATGCCTTTCATGACGGCGCTTCGAGAAGTCGATTTCGGTTTAGGATGCGCCATTTCCACGCTTGATCTGGATGCCATCGGCCAAGCATCCCCACCACAACGGCTCGTATCAGTCTCGGCCGGTGACGTGGAAGATCCAACGGACTCGGAGGACCATGTTCAGGCGCAAAATCACCTCAACGACGTCATCGCCCGACTCGTCAACTCCCATTCTTCCACCCTCCAAGAACTGGACCTTAGCACCACTCTGGGACAGGTTGCTGTGCAGAGCTGCAAAAAGGCCAAGAAGCTCGTCAAGCTTTTTGTCAACTTGGATGAGGACGTTGAGCCATCTGATGTGGATGATCTCCTCGACGCTTGTCCTGACCTTGTGTATGTCGCAAGCTTTTTTGGGATCAATACGCCGCGTCGAAAGGAGTGGGACAAGAGGCGATTGAGATTTGAGGCGGAGGCTGAGGAGGAAGCAAGGAGAGATCGAAGTTTGGCTGGGCTGGGAAGTTGAACACGTGAGGTCATTCTAAGGCGAAGGATCCCAGTGAGACGACAAGGATTCGAGCTCACTCAAGTGTCGGTTGAAGGTCAGAGCTCACGCCAGCAACCAATGGATAGCCATGTTATTCTGACACAGAAACCCTGTAACACAATTGCAGTCAAGCGACACTTCAACTCCAGAAGCATCGAAGCCGAAGCACAATAATTCTGTTGATGGGGCAAAGATAAGGAAATGCATCTCTTTGATATAACCGAGTAATGCCGTGAAACCACCGCTATCCCCCATTTGGAAAGCCGAGCCCCTCTTAACAATTATGGACCTCTTGCGAAAGAATGCATCCGTATTTATCATCACAAGATTTTTCGCCTCACTCGTTGTACAAACTTGTTCCTGCATTCTTTTGGGCGTCAACTGATCACCAAGCTCTACCCTCGATTATGACGACTGATGAGACGACACCCCTCCTTCCTAAAAATGACCTCGCCAAGAAGACCCGCGTAGGGTCTTGGCTGAAACGGGCCTTCAAGGTCGAGAATCGGATCCTTCTTGCGGGGTTTCTGATCACGTTGAGCTTTAGTTTCACGCAGGTTCCGTAAGTGTCTAGATCGGCGTTTTTGGAGGGGAGGACTGACCTGAGACAGGCTTTTTTATGTCTTTCATTTGATGACATGTGACACCTTTTATGATTCTCATCCGCCGTATGAAGGACCTGGTGACAGGTGCAGTCGAGATGAGATTGCGGCTGGAACGGCTACCCAGTTCAGTCTTCTGGGCATGAGCACGACGTTCTGTGGTAAGATGTTCTCATACAGCAGGCGATCATCATCTAATTTTCTCAGGAACGTTGAACCTCTTTGTGGCGGGATGGACTGTCAAGAAGTTTGGTCCAAAGGCAGCCCTGCTCGTTCAAATATTCGTTCCTGCTATCCGAGTCGTGACACAAATAATTGGCGTCGTGGCTGGAAAGAGTGAAGGCATGATGATTATCCAGGCGACACAGCTGATCACGATTCTTGGCGGACCTGCGGGCTACATGTAAGGACCCTAAGACATTGAGGGACATTCCGCTTATCGCTTTACAGCTTGGTGGTGAATATCATTGCTGGAGAAGTTGTTGAACCTCTTAAGCGTACTGCAGTGTTTGGTCAACTTCAGGGAGCTATTATGCTGGGCCAGGGTCTGGGCTATCTGAGTAAGTCACCAATGGCCCAATTGCCTTTGACTGTCACTGACTTCAGCAGCCGGCGGTATGATCGGAGACGCGATTGACATCAGAGCTCCTTTCGACGTGGCCTTTGTCTCATTCATCCTCGCGGGCATCTACGTCTGCTTCTCCCTACCTTACATCTCGCCAGAATCCATGTCCAACGGCCAGAAGCCGGGCCAGCGAGGCGTTTCTGGCTTCCTCGCCCCCCTCAGAGTCCTCACGCCTCAAAAGCTCCGCCTCAAGGATGGAAAGTACAGGAAGCACTACGGCGTCATCTTTCTCTGCAGTGGCATTTTTCTCGGTGTGGTGAGTTGATAACCCTTCCGAATACCCTCATCGTCCCACACCGCTCATTCGTGCTACCACACTCGTATTCGGTTTGTGCTAATTCAGGTTGTGTAGCTCGCCACAGGCTACGCCCCTCTTTTGATCCAGATGTACGCCACAGCAGCATTTGACTTTGATCAAGGTAACAATGGCTGGCTCATGTCTGAGTTTGCTTTCATGAGAAGTCTGTTCCTCATCTTCATGTTCCCGCCAATCATTGCTTGGGGACGTCGCCGATTTTCGTCCAAGCCCTTGTCAGAGGTGCCGGAGGAAGTTGTTGACGATGCCGCATCGCAACACTTGCCAACATCGGCTGGCGAGTTTGATGCTACGCTTGGTGAGCAGGCGGATCATGAGCCGTATGAAGCTCCGCCTTCTAAGAAGGAGGATGACGGCTGTCTCTTTGACCTGGTCTTCCTACGGTGGAGTCTTGTTGTCGATGGAGCTCTCACAACCGTAGCAGCCTTTGCGACACGCCCATGGCACATTTATCTCTGTAAGAACCCATATCTTAACGAAGAGTACGACATTTCGCTGACAGAATAGCCGCATTTCTGCTCCCATTCGGCTCTGGGTCTGCACCCGCTGCTAAAGGTGTGATTACCCAAATGTGCCCTGATTCTCAACGTGCGGATGCCCTTAACGCCGTCACTCTCGTCGAGAATGTTGCACGACTCGCAACCCAGGGTCTCTTTGGATTCATCTTTGCCAGCCTTGCCGAAGCTGGCAAGGCATACGCCACATTTTTCTGCAATGCGGTATGTAGACCACGCCAAACAGCTTTGAATCCGCAGAAACTGACAGTTGTAGGCTATCGCCTTGCTTGCCATGGGAGTACTGCTATTCTCCAACTTCCCTCCCCCCGGAAGCACTCTGGTGGAAAAGCACGAGGAAGAAGCAGAAGACGCCGAAGAGCGTGAACCTTTGGTGGGTTAAGTGACGAAGGCTTCGGAAGATGCCTCTGTGGACGGCCAAAGCAACGGCGCGAACATCAAATATTTAAAATATGAGTGGCTCTGTAGTTGAACGCAACAGATTGATATAGAAAAGGACATCAAAAGGGAATCAAATGTTAGAATGCAATATAGATTAGGATCGATCGATAGTAGATCAGGTTAGCGACTAGGGCAACAGTCAAGGCAACGCGTAATAGAGCAGAATGTAACTAATCTTGAATCAATGGCTTCATTTCCAGCCAGGTGCTCCATAGCTTTATCTTTGAAAGCATCTTAACTTAGGTCCCCTTTCATAAATCTCACATATTGGGGTCGAACGGTTTTCTTGTAGAGTCCACGCTTGCGTCTTGGATGATTGCGGTGAGTAGGCGAGAAGTAAGATTGGTCGTCTGGGTGGGTTAAAATTGCAGTGAAGAGGGGCCTCCACCACACTCGCTCCCAGGTCGGCCCCTCATCCTGAGAAATACCCCCAACTGGTCGTCAAAAACCCAGACGTCTACAGTAAATAGTACTCACATAATAGCCTAATTAAAAGCTAAAGAAGAGATAAAAAATATTAAATATTATCACAAAGCTCTAAGTATTTTATTTATTATATTTATAGACCTCTTTTTTGCCTAGAAAATAAAGATTATCTGCGTCTGTATGAACCCTCCGTCCTGGTCATTCTCCATGGCCAGCTTTATGTAGTGAAAATAGTCACCACTAGGAGAGAACCACATAGGCATGGACTCAGCCAAAGTTAGAAATCACTCAGGGCATTTGTCCCATGTCAGCTCGTGCCCATAGGCATTGAATTATGTCACTGGCCTCGTGGATCCTCCTCATTTCTCCAGGGTAGGTCTGATTCCCGGAACTGAGCCACATCCCCCAGTGGAGAACAAGTAGCAGAAGGATGTCTCCGAAATCTCAACTTCGTTAGGCATATCGATTGCTCATCAAATTTCCCATGGAATTTCGTCGTTATTGGATGACACTTGGAGGATCGTTGCCGATTCGGCACCGAAGCCGGACATAAGCAAGGAAATACTTACTAAGGGCCCATTTGAAGGCTGACGGACATAACCATGTTAACCCCGTAGCATGATTCTCAACTCCTAGAAGGAGACGGTGTGTTGAGTATATAAGTGATTATGAGACGCCTTGGCATTCTCATTGCCAGTGAAATTGTATTCTCATCAGCTTCACACCACTCAAAAACCAATTCACACCCACTCCCATTACACCAAAACACCTCCAACCACCACCATGTCCACCACCGCCTTCATCATTTTGGACCTACAGCAGGGCATCATCCCCATGATCGGGGATATTGATCGCGACGGCTATCTCAAACGCGTGGCACAGACTGCCCAGCAAGCACGTGAAGCCGGAGTCCAAGTGATTCACGTCCGAACAGCCTTTCGATCAGGATATGAAGATCTGGCCACCAAAAACAAGTTCATGGGTGGTCTCTCCACTATGGGGGAGGGAGTTTTTACCGAAGGCCACCCTTCGGTGGACTTTGATCCAGCCGTCGCTCCTCCCGCTGGCTCAAAGGACATTGTCATCACCAAGAAGAGAACTTCGGCCTTTGCCGGCTCTGATTTGGATGTGATCCTCAGAAGTCTGAAAATCGATACCCTGGCGCTTGCGGGTGTGGCTACTAGCGGCGCAGTCTTGTCGACTTTGAGACAGGCTGGTGACTTAGACTTCATCATTACTATTGTGGAGGATCTTTGTCTGGATCGTGACCCAGAGGTGCATCGGGTGTTGACGGAAAAGGTGTTTCCTAGACAGGCAACCATTTCTTCGGCCAAGGAATGGATCGAGTCACTGAACTAGCGGAATTGAGGGAGTGTTGCGGTGACCTGGCGGAGTTGAGGGGCCATGCTCCCGCACTCACGGAGTTGAGAGTATGGGCTGGGCTGGCGGAGTTGAGAAAGGATCGGATCCACCCAGGCCTGTGGGATAGATAGTTCAATGAAAAGGAGCGCCGGTTGTCACGGATTTACTGTCAAAGTGTTTTGAGTGATGTCGTTTATCATTGTCGACTGTGGAAACGTGACACCATTGCCGCGATAAAGCAAGGCAGTGTGAGGTGCATTGTCAAACTCTGATGCCATGAGACGGGACAGCTGATGCTATTTCAGAGCATGTACAGCACCTTTTTGAGTTTGAGAGACCATTTTAAACAATGAAACAACGATATTTGTGCACATGTACAACAAGAGCCACGCCTACAGCCGTGACTTATGTCTCCATCGATTCAATTATAAATACTACGATGAAGATGGAATCCATAGCGCATCTCGTTTTTCCACTCTAACCTACGAATCTAAACTCGGACTGTCATCTCTTGGTACAGGTTGGCCTCTGAGATCGACTTCAAAACCCTTCGCCCTTGGTCATCGCACGTCTCAACGTTCAACGATTGAATAGTTGTAGGTTATCGAGTAGTTCTCTTGCAAAGCAACGACTGGGCCAAAGGGAAGTTCTGATAATACAGCCGCAACCATGTGCCATGACCTGACAATCGTCTACAAATGCAGTGTCTGCGCTACGCAGCTCCGGATCGGATATGACACTCACATCTGCCCCAAAGCCTCTAGCAAGGAAAATGGGAGATTAGGGGCATGCGGATCTATTCGCCAGGGCTCCAAGGAAAACAAGGAGGAAATGTGTAATGCCTGTGAGAAGAGGACCAAGAAGATGTGTTCTTGAGTAGGGCACCGCCCTTGCCTGTCTAGCTGCAGGACCAAAAACGATGTCAATCTAATAGCTAGCGCTAAGGTAGCTCGGAGATAATTGACTTCTGTCGTGGCAGATACAAGGTGCATGAATAGCCCGAGGATTGATGTGACTGGGCCTGTCTTGAACATTTGATTCAAAGCACCAGGGATGCTATCCACCGCAATCTGTGACTAGCGGAGAAGACGTGCGGAGTTTCTGGTGTACTCTTACCTAGACATGCCAATATCCTTTCATTTACGAAGTGGGCTCAGTCACCAAAAGGTATAAGAGAACTACTGGTACACTTAAGCTGTCGAGATAGTTAAACAACACGGGCTCGCGCCTTGAATCGAAGCATTTAGCATCCGTCTTTAAAAGCTGATTCATTGGCCATCAAGATCAGGACAAAAAGGAAAGTCTATGAAGAGTTACTACAAACATAGTAGATGAGGGCGAGGCTTATATACGGTGATCAAATGACACGAAGGCGGGGCTCATTGATCATCTGTTTGGTATTCTCCTGAATCTGAAGGGAAATTATTGGTGATGAATCAAAGTTGATTCAGTGTAAATGGTGGCCATGTTACCCGTAGCGTTGAATCAGAGAGTGGTGTAGTGTAAGTATAAATACCACCACCGAGACGATATTCATTCCATTCCATTCTTCCACTCTCAAGCACCAATAAAAGCCAAACCTTCACATCTCTCTTGTTCCGGCCGGCCTCTCACACCAGATCGACTTCAAAGCCTTTAGTCCCTGCTCATCGCAGTGTTGCACCTCCAAGAAGTGTACGATCCCTGGACTATCGAGCCGTTCTCACAAGTACTAACTGGGAAAGGGAAAGCTGAACCGTCAAGCGCTAACGCCAGAGCAATGTGTCATGAGATGAGGGTCTACCACCACTGCAAAGTCTGCTGGAAGGAGCTTCGCATCGAACATGAATGCTACATCTGCCCCAAAGCGGCCAACCAGAAGAATGGGAGGATCGGCTGGTGTGGCAGAATTCACCATGGCGACAAGAACAACTTGGAGGAGATGTGCGGTGCCTGCGCATCCAAGAAGCATACGAAGCTTGGCTCTTGAGTGAGCTCTCACACTTTTGCCATGTCGGTAGACGTTGGTCTCCTTTGGCTGGAGAGTTCGATATGAAGTCGATGTGATTGGACTTGGTGTATCCACGACATATGGAACCTCTATGCATTTTCGCCATTGGGTCACTAAGATTCCTGTCTGTGACCTCTTCTATCATGAATGGAGAGACTCTTGGTTTTGGCAGACCGCACGACGTGTATACAGACAAGCCGACCCCTGACCCCCTTGTCAGCCCCTTTGCACTTTAAAGCAATCATAAACTACCTAATTCGAACCATAACCTAACTAGCCATAGCCAGGATCCTAATCCTATCCGAACCGTAGCCCTTATCCTAGCCTATCCATTAGCTAATGGGTGTCAAAGGCTTTTCTCGCTTGACAGAGACTAAGCAGCCCGTTCGATGTGAGTAACTGGGGACAGAATCTGTTTGCCACTGTCCCCATGTACCCAGTATCATCATCATGGGGGATGTGCAGAACACTTGGCGCAACACAGGCGATAGACGCCACGGATAAGTTCGGTGCGGTCGCTACGTCTAGTGGACTTGGGCGTGTCGCGGGTCGCTCTCACGGGGCTGCACGAGGACGATTTCTTGCATTTAAACTGTATCTTCTTGCCACACTGTATGCACTCCCACTCGGTGCAGATATATTGACACATTTTGGATAGTAGCTTTGAAGAAGTTGTTTATGGAACTCGATACTGCTGTTGGTTGATCTTGGGTGTTGGTAGTTGAGGGTTCCTCGTACGATAACTGTGGATGCTCCTTGGGCAGCAAGAGGGGAAAGAGTATATATAAAACAGTTATTTTCAGTCAGCCACAGCCTATTTTGGCCCACTGTCTAATAAGACATTCACTTGCATTCTGGATTAAGTAGTGAATTACCTGCATTAATGGATCAGTAAGTGAATACGCCCATATACCAATGGATTAGGAAGTGAGTCTACTTATCTCCTTAGTAATAGACACCTATATACATGAACCTAAACCCAGAGCTTAGGACGTAGTAATTGCCTCGGTATCCGTTTGAAGGTATCTTCTACCTTTTTTCATTAGCAGAATAGTTTCTTACTTTCTATATAAGTTGCTCTGTGAGTTTCTTTTAATCTTTCTATTAGCTATGATTTTATAAGTAATACTACCGATCTTAGGTTTACTAGCATTTTGCATCTTTACTATTTCTACTAATAAAACAAATTGCATCGAAACAGGCTAAAAACTAGCTCTCCTGTCATATAGCAACCTGTTTCGTGGTGCACCTAGTCACATTCCCATGTTTAGGAGAAAAACAAATAGACAAGCAGACCTAGTGGTATGTGCGGGAGACCTTTCTTAAAAAACTTGTCAGAAAAATCCAAAGGCGTTTTCCTTGCGGCTGTGGCTGGGTGTGCTCTGGTCAAGAATCGTGACAATCACGTTTGCATTGTTTCACACCTATCAGATCCTGTGGCTGCCCACATTTTTCCGAAGGCCACTGCTGAACAGCCTGGCAGACTCCGGATACTTGCGAACGTCTTAAACTATTTCTGGGGGCCGCAGCGACCTCGCCCTTGGGTCCTGAAGTTCACCGATCCAAAATTTGTCAACTCACCAGCGAACATGATTTCGCTGAACCACCATCTTCATTTCTGGTTCGATAATGCAGACATTGCCTTCAAGCCGTTTCTTCAACAAAGTGGGAAGTCAGTCAGAATCTCATTTTCTTTTGATTGAATGATACACCACATGTCAAAGAATCTTTCTTATTGACTTGCTGACTTCTGTATATCGTCTTTGTTCTCCTTATCTAGGTGATTGTCTGCCTACCTATTCCACTTGGTGCCAGAGAAAGCAACCAAGACCTGCCGGCCAAAGTTGATAATGGTGGATCTCGGTGCCGCTGGTATCGTCACGTGGCATCGGTTCCACGACGGTCGAGACAAGAGTGGCAGATCCATTCGAAGATTTCAGTATATTTGTAAACCCCTGTGCACTGGGCCGTGTCACCCGTGCGCATCAAAGCCTGGCACTCCACGAACTGCTTAAATTCGGGATCGGTCCTTGTCTGGCAGGACTTGCACTTCCACAAGGTCCAGAAACTATCGCACATTTTGGTAGTAGTTGCCAATCAGTTGGTTATCAACGTGAATATTGGTGGTGTATTGCGGTTATTGCTGCCAGGTCTAACGTTTATGGATTAACTAGCGGGAGAAGGAAAAGTGGGATAGGGCGAAAGTATAATTAAGTAAGTAATTGACTTAAGTTATTCACTACTGACATCTAATTATAATATTAGTCTATCACTGTCTAAGGTAGGTAGTGAATAGGTAGTTAGTTGACTGGGCAGCATTGAATTCAGTGTCATGAGTCTTTTTCTGGATGTGGCTCACATTTTCCCGCTCTAGCCATATCACTTTAAAGACTCTCACCGGCGTCATCGTCCTTTTCACTGTTGTCATTGACACCGTCATCGTCTGTGACATCTCCGTCTCCGTCTTCCAAGTGTCGCTTTTGCTTCACCTTCTTAACGATTTTGTCACTGCTCCTAGAAATATCGACCACACCGGGCCCGATAACCAAGTCCGGGATGTAAAGTGAGATGTCGGCAGCATTCCTGATGTAGGAACTAGGAAGCGCATCGGTTGTCATCACCTTGATCAAAATGTCTTCCCTCTGCTTGACAATCTGGACCAGTTTCTTGGTCATCTTGTCTTCATGACCCCCTGAAAGCCGTGAGAGAGAATCAATAATCAAAAAGACCATATCACCCTCTGGCAGTAACAATAGTAGCGAGGCAAACAGCTTGAGAGCCTCCTTGAGACTCTTCCTTGCTTTCGAGAAAAGCCCGCAGGCTTGTAGCTTTCCCAGGTCCGCTGACGGACGGTGGTCCGAAATGAACCTGAGAAGTTGGCCAACCAGGCTCCTGACCAGAGGAGCAGTAGGGCCCGACTTTTCCTCGGAAAGAGACTCATTGCTCCTATGTGCACAAAAGAATGCGAGCACCGGAAACTGAGCTGTACTTCGGAGGGCTGTGGCAGATAGTGCACTGATAAAGGACAGTGGGTTGTGAAGGGAAGCTGGAGGTGTATGAAGGTTGATATCAATGATTGTTGATTGCTTTCCCTGCAGCCAGCGGCCAAGCTGTTCCGAGTGCAGAATCGAATGCGACACATTTTTCTCCTCAGAGTCGAGAAGCTCAATGTGCTTGAGGCAGTCCTTCATGTCTTTCATGGGGTCGTGGACAAGGCCCCGGAGTTTCTTTCGCCATTCCGAGGCTATGCGGGTATTGTTCTGCTGGCGGGAAGACATGAGCACGACGTCATTTTCTTGTTGCGAAAGGTTTAGGTCATAATAATCAACTAACAGAGAAGGTTTTATTAGCGTTTCAATCTCAAAACAAAATAGGTTGGGAAACTACCTTCACCCATCTTGGTCTTGAAATTCGGGTCGCTAGCACACAGCTTGTACAGGGCACCCTCCAAGTGATGAAGCAATGCCTGATGAGCTTCTTTAGTGACTTGGGAAACCATGTTTTCCAGCCTTTTGAGAGAATCCGCTATCATTGTCTGCGTGTCTGTTGGAGGCGAGTTCGGTTAGGCCCGCGGAGGCTGAGATTGAGAACCACGGTGAGTACTCACCACTGTTTTGCTCCATGACAAACCGCAGACCGTGCCCCAGATCACCAACAGCGACTTGCATGCTGCCTAGTCTCTCTTGGTTGCAGATGTCTACTTCTTTTTGAAAGTTGTCAATTTCGTTTTGTAGATCAGCTAAAGCGTCGACCACAGAGAGCTTCTGTTCTCGGTCGTCATCCTCGTCACTGGCCACGCCCGCGCTGGGTTCTTGGTCATTATGGGATTCTGAATGTTGCCTCTTTCGAAAACGAATACTCGCGGCCAAACTCTTGGCTTTATCTTGTAGCTTGACTGCGGCTTGTTAGCTATGTCGTTGTCGGGTTTATAAGCCGCTTACCCTTCCGGGCCTTGGTGATCTTGTCAACAATACGCTCTAGGACGGTGAAGACAGCAACCATCACAGCGTCTGCGCGTCGGTGTAGTCTAATGGAGGCATGGTGTATTTGTGACAGGCGCTGGATAGTCTCTAGCCTCTCTGGAATTTCCGCCAAGAAGTTTTGAATCGCTTCACGGTGCTCAGCGCGTTTCTCGACAGCCTGCAGAAAGGCGTAAGTCATTACTCACACCATGACTTCCATACTTACGGCCATAATCATAGCAAATCCCCCAGAGATGACTGAGCCATAGGCGTCGTTTGGGATCATTGTGAGGAATCCCTCAATGGCGCTTCTGTTGTCCTCTATTTTCTGATAGCATCTCCGGACAAAGTTTTTGCATGATCTTGTTTTTGTGGCACTCTCACGGGTTTCTCTTATCTTGTTGATGATCTGGAGAACATATTCACAGGTGAAATCGCTTGGATCTTTGATGTCGATATTGAGCTGAGTGTCCACGTTTCTCTCTCTGAGAATAGCGATGAGCCTTTGAAGAGTCCGACGGAATGTCTCTAGGCTTTGCTGAGATTGTTGGTAAGTCTCCTTTGGGCTATGTGAGAGACATGTCAACCCAAGCACCATTTATACATATAGAATGAAGACTTACTCAAAAACAACATCCTTGGGTACGAATCTGTCAATCTCGTTGATGAATTCGGAGCTGTCTTGGAGGGATTTGGTCTCTTGCGTAGAGTCAGCAAATTGAGGTAGACCTTCATCACGTGCTCGAGTCTCTGTGAACTTCGCTGCGGAGTTCGTGAGCGTTGTTTGACAATCTAGTACGGGGATCTGGGGCTCCATAATTAGTACAGTTGTCGAGGTTCTTATGTTCAGCGGTTGCTGGCTATGGGTAAAGGACAGTCTTTACGGATTTTTCCAACTCTGCTCCCCTACGTGACTAGCATAGTATAGATATCTAGGCGTAGCCCCATCCGTTTCCCCTTTTCAGAAGAGTAGGCTGGGCTGTGTGGGCAGTGCATATGGGTAGTGTTCATCTCTTTCAGTTGTGCATGGCTGTGCTATTTCCGTTGGGTTGCTCAGAAGTCTACCCCCCACCACTTCTTCGAGCCCCTGACCAAGTGTTCACTCCCTTCTACGAGGATGAAATTAGTGCGGGGAATACGTATCACGAGAAATGCCGCTTCAGGTGCCCGGAAGGCTAGAGGGATGAATGGTTGCAGCTCCGTTGCCCGGCTTGTGTGATTTTCGTGGTGCGAGGGCTTTTTGGGCAATCAACTGAGCACAGTGCAACGTTACCAATGTTTATGTAGCAATGTGCAGTTGAATACTCACCGAGTGTTGCAAACTTCTCATTTTGACTGTCTCTTTGTGAGAGGACAAGTCGTCGTCTTACCACGCCCGCGCCTCTTAACACCCCGCATGGCAGAGCCAAGGTGACGCAGTTCCATCTTCCAACTGTAACGTCCGAAGGGTGAGTCTTGTATAACCATAGAAACGCCCAAATCTAAGCCAAGTCGGCATGGAGCAGTGTCACATCCAGCTGGGTTGAGACAAGGACACAAGAGACTCAGTTCGTGGGCTCCATAGACAAAGTATAACACAACGTTTCAAAAGGTTAAGAGTAATTTAATATCAGTTTTTCCTCGATTGAAATAATTACTTTGCACCCAAAGGCCATATTCTCTTATAGAAGTATGCGGCTTAGTATTCTCACGTCTTGTTTATTTCTTCTCGCCGTTCTCGCTTATAGCAGTGTGCTACCTCTCTCCGGTGAGACTTGTCACATCATGATGTCATTCACAAGTGAATATGCCGGCAGATGATCTTTAAGGCATCAATTCGGTCCTACTCATTGATTCGTGTCTCATGAGCCGAGCCGAGTAGTCAATCCTTTCAAGAGGATATCAAGGTCGTTTAGCCCTGGTAGCACCAACGCAGTAAGACGTGCTCTAGGACTTTGGCGTTCATTGCATCTTGCAGGACATGACTTAAGAGAAGCCCTTCTTGAATAGTCTACGGTCGGCGATTCTCAAGGTGCTGACTGCGCTATACACTTCGCCTTTGTTTTTCTTCTAGCTGGCTGAACCAAAGCATGCTAGCAAGGGTTGTTTAAACATGGGAATTGTTGAAAATGAAAAGGGTACGTTTCAATACCTACACAAAATCGCAAAATTTGAGTATTAACCCCGGCTGGCCCAACTTCAGGTTCGCTGTCCCTTCGTACAACCAGCGACTTGAACAATTCAGACATAACTCCAGGTGCAGAGGTGGTCTCTGACCTAACTTCACAACTTTCACCACTACGAGATGAGATAGCTTATGCTACAGGCAAGAACGCCGCCGAATGGACACCGGTACCTGCCAAGAACAAGAAGGGATGTGGTCTGGAGAAACGTGGAAAGTACCATGAAGAACAGAAGATGCATGACATTCAAGCGGAGGATGACTCTGATTCCGACAAAAGTGTGGATGCGGTGAAATCAAATAAAGTCATGCTTGAACAATTTGCCGGGTACGTCAACTCACAAAGCATCTACAAGTTGCACAAGAAGAACCTTGAAAAGAAACACAAGAACAAGGAAGGAGTCGACCAAGGGTCAAATCTCGTCAAATCATTGGTGGATTACCTGAGAGTCCTGGAACATCGAATCGAAGACCTGGAGATGAACAACGGATCCAAAGGCAAGAAAGAAATGAGCCGGAAAGGTCTTGCCACCCAGCATTCTGATTGTGCGGTCGAGGTCGCTGTCAAGTTTTTCAGGTCAGCTGCCTACTTGGAAGAGGATGGGTCATTCCCGAAGATTGTCGACGAACCCGACAAGGGAACCTTCATGAGCAGCCACGACGACCAGAGCCTTATCCGAGTTCTTTATTCCACGTTGAGGGATACCGCAGCCAGCCCTCAGCTCAACGCAGATGCCCGTCCACCTAAAGCTGGAGATATCGAAATTGTGTCCTTGGGCATCTCGTCTGAGGCCATTTCATCGTTTTTCGCTAAGCGACTCAATATCGGTACGAGAGACAGCTCCTTGCTTCGTCTCGGGAAGCCCTTTCGACCACTGATTCGAAATATTGCCCGAGTCAGAGACCAACTCCAGAAGCTGAAAGACAACTACGGGTAGTTAGAGACCGTCATGACTGATGCCATTGCTAATGATAATATGCAGACGAGTGAGAACCAGAGAGAAAACGTTTCCAGTGCCCGGGAATCGCTACTCTGAGGCACAACATGCGCAAGGAAGCCACGAGGAAAACGATGCGCTCCCTTTTACAAGAATGAGCAACAGACATGATGATGCCCTAGAAGCCTTTGACCGACCTTCAGCTCTCCCCCATTTCCAAGCTCTCCTGGCCTTTGTCGACGAGTACCTCGGTAAACAGATACAGCTATACGAGCGCCTACGTGAGGGCAAGGAACAGACCATAGCCTTTGAGAATCTATGGATGCTATTTGATGTTGGCGACACCATCTACTGCCCACTTCGAGAAGCTGGAACCGAAGAGTATTTCAATGTGGAGGGCCCCAGTCACACTCCAATCCAACGACACGCTCCTCAGGCCTATCGGGTAGTCGCTACTAGCGGAGGCATGCCTTTGGCGAGAGCCATGGCTCCAAGCTTTAAGATAAGAGGCAACGACAAGTCCGTCGCCATCGCGGGGACAAGCACAAAGACCGGGGCCGAAGCAATTGCCAGCACTTTGACACATTCGATCAAGCTGTCGAGGCATATCAGAGACTACTACACGGAGTTCAACGTGTACTGTTTCTACCTAGATTTCAACGGCGTCGAATACGGCTTGGTCCGCGAGGTATTTGTCTTCAAGCCCTACGAGCGGGAAATGGACATTCGCGCTCTTCTAGCATATCCCGATCATTATCTGGTGGAAGACCAGCTTCATCAACGCGGCGAAATGTTTTTAGATGTCACAGGGATCTCCCACTTGCAGTACGAAGGTTTGACAGTTGGCCCGAACCGTGAAGAGGCAGGTATTTTGAGACTCTGCAAAGGCGACATGTCTGACGTTATGAACTACAGATCAACAGCGCGGTCGTCGTGGATATTAAAGTTGCTTTTGAAGACGGACCCACCGAAGCAAACAGCCCAATTCAGGTCCCAAAGTTCACGTCTCCCACGTCTCTTTGGCTTGCAAATACAGATATCGGGACATACGATCTCTTTGGAATACCTAGTTGCTCTCACCTGTGGTGCCACCATCGGGATTGTACGTCAGATGTGTACATCGAATCGCAGAAAAGGAAGCGGGCCACGGCTGAGTCCAAGATCAAGCTCATCCTAGAAGAGTATGACACTGAGAAGAAGCGAGGGAGCGAGGGCATAGACCGGATCAAGAAGCTCATGCAAGAGAACGACATCATCAAGCTTCTACCAGGGGCGGTCCCGGGCTTTGTTCTGAGAAGTCGGAAATGGGGTGAGTACGAATGTTGCACAACTTGAACCACGCACAAACTGACATGGTCAGTTCTCCTTGATCTTTTGCGACTTGAACCGGTTGCTCAGGACGATGAATGGCGTCATCTTGTCCTTCCCCCGGGGCACCGACAGCTAGTTCAGGCTATGGTCGAGACTCATACACAAGAACTCAGTCCTAACATTGACGCCAAAATTGGGATAGACTTGGTACGAGGCAAGGGTGAGTGAAGTCCATTTCCTCTAGATTCTGAGTGGAGTAGCTGAGCAGTCATTAGGGAGAGGATGCATCATTCTCCTGCATGGCGTTCCAGGTGTAGGCAAGACTTCAACGGCCGGCAAGTTCCAACGTCTCCCAGAACTGGCGGATACTGACAACTCACACCATCGCAGAATGTGTTGCTGTTCACACCAAGAAGCCACTGTATCCCATCACCTGCGGTAAGACAGGCCATCTATGCCATGCCCCCTGGTTTGAGCTCCTATCAAATACTAAATCACCTGTTGAAATCAGGAGACATCGGATATAGGCCTGAAGATGTGGAGAGAAACCTGGGACATCATTTTAGATTAGCACACAAATGGGGCTGTGTGCTTCTACTTGATGAAGCAGATGTCTTCCTTGCCAAGCGTGACGCATGTTTACCCTGCTTGAGCTCGCAGAGAGATTTTCGCTAACTTCAAGTAGCAAAAGGATGTACAGAGAAACGGCCTCGTCTCAGGTCAAGCCATCCAAGCCAAGAAGAGCTGGTAGACTTCAGGGCTAACAAACTACTAGTCTTCTTGCGTATCCTAGAGTACTACTCAGGGATTCTGTTCCTCACAACGAACCGTGTTGGAGCCATCGACGACGCATTCCGATCCCGCTTGCATCTGACCCTGTACTATCCAAAGCTCACCAAGAAGCAGACAAAGCAGATCTTCAAGCACAATTTTGAACGGATTGCCGACATCAACACCAACCGAAAACTGAATGGTTTGCCACCGTTTGAGTATAAGGATACGGAGCCTAAAATCATGGCCTGGGCAATGGAAACTTGGAAGGCGCTGAGATGGAACGGACGCCAGATTCGCAACGCTTTCCAGACCGTCCTCGCCCTCGCAGAGTTTTATGAGAAGAGCCGAGGGGACGAGTCCGCACCCCGAGTGGTGACTAAAAAATACTTCAAGATCGTTGCGAATGCCTCCACCCAGTTCAACGACTACTTGCTGGCGACCCATGGCATGGACGAGGATAAGGTGGCTAACCGCGAGTATATGAGAGCATTGTCGTATTCACCCTCCTCTCAGCTGGTATTCAGGGGTTTTAACCAAGACTCGTCTGAGTCCAGCTGCGAAGAGGAGGAAAGTGATGATGGTTCAGAGACAGGTAACGACTCAGATGAGTTTGACGATTCCGAAACGGAAAAAAAGAAGCAGAGGAAAGGCAAGAAAGGGAAGAGTAACAGTAAGAAGGGCAAAAAGTCACCAGCCAAGAATGGAAGATCAGGAAAGAAGCAGAAGGAAAACAAGAAGGAGGTGAAGGACAGTGATGACAGTGACGACTCTGATATATGATAGTTTCATACTTTGTAGGCTGTGTGAAAGCTCTCCGAGGTGTCTCACTCGCATCTTCGCGATCTTCATAATGAACCAGTGATCCCTATTTCCGAGATACATGTCCAGTACTTCACTTAGGGTAAAGAGACACATCTTCCGTCACATTAGAGCTCAAGGAAGATTTGATTCAATCATGCGATCTTCGAGCTCAGTTAACTCATCGAGGGCCGGGCTGCAACTATGATAAAGAACAGTCGGTACAGTAACACTTATTCCAAACAGAGGCAAAAATAGTATCTTGGCAGTTGCCCAGACCCTTGGTTGTGCCAGCGAGAAAAGTAAATGTAATAGCAATATTCATTTTCTAACACACCAGATATTAACTTCCCTTCCTACTTTGTCTCAAATCTTGGCGGTGCTATGATTGGTATCGTCAACTTGTTAGGTGGGGTACTATGTAGAGGGCTACTGAGATGTTTTAGGAAGAGGTATTGATATACCTGTGGTTTAATATACCTATGGATTTCTCTTTAAATTTACTTGGAAGCCTATTTAGGAAAGACTCAAGGAAGCCATGTTAGAAAGGCTGCATTCCTATATATTTTTTATGCCGGCACGGGCTATCTAGGAAAGACACCTGACGTCAAAAAGGAATAGGACAGGTTCCCTGATAATTTTATGTCCTGTTAATTTAGCTTGGAATCTTTGTGTTCAACCCCTTTCACTGATGTAAGCATCCAGAGCCTCCTTGGTAGAAGGGATTCCTCTCGCTCCTAATACCTGAACAAAGTTGCCCCAGCTCCAGGTAGATTGATCAAGTCTAGCCAAAGCTCGCAGTGTCTCCTGCTGAAGCTCGGTCAACTCCAAGAATGGCTTATTCTCCGAGAGAGGGTTTCCATTAAAAGCTGACTCCAACAGCAGTTCTGTAAGATACCATGTCGTTTGCCCCTCGGAGCCTTCAAGCTGGGCTAAAGTAATTTGAGGGACTTGTGGAAATTCGCTGCCCTTGACTTTAAGAACTGACGCAGCGAGCGAAGCCAAATCTGGATATGCAAAGGGGAATCTTTTGCAGTGGTCGTGTTGCAAGATGCTCAGATAGTTGTCGTCTGCAATTGCCTGGAGTATTGTGTTGATAGTTTCTGGTTCATAGATCCGAAGAATCGCGAGGCCAATGGCGCTGGACCATTTAGATGCGTCATCGTTGTCTTGGTTGTTGAAACTTGCTTTCAGGTGTTGTGCCGCCTCCGTCTGCGAAAGATCTCCTGATGATGGAGCTTGGAGTAGGGCAATCGAGATCAACGCCGTGCCACGAACTGCGACGTCGTCTTCGTGGCCTAACAGGGCCAAAAGCTCGCCCTCAGCCTTGACTTTATCCTCAGGGAAGAAGCCCAGACAAAAAGCAGCCACTGCTCTCAGGTCCGCATTGTCGTCTTTCAAACATCGACACACTGAGTCTAATCCAGCCCGGATCGCATCATAAGCTCGAAGCCCGTTGAACTTTCGTTCTGCCATCTTCTCGGGCGACAACCTGAACAAGCAGTCCTGTTCGCGGTGCTGGCGATCTTTATCATCGATAGCTGCAGCGATATACTCGTCCATCTTTCGTCTCTCGTCTTCTGCAAAGTTCGGCTGTTGGGTTTTCGCCACAAAGGTTCTCCATTCGGTAATCTCGACACCTGACGGAACGGAGGCAGAGGGATGGCCTAGGGCAACGTTGGCGAGGTAGTAGAGCAGTTCTTCGCGACGAGGTGTATCTTTTGCGTCAAGCAAGGCGTACAAAAAGGGGACCGCATAGGAAGTGGCTTGGTATCGAGTTCCCTGGTGAAGGATGTTACTGGACAAGGCATAATAAACTTGATCAAGTTCTTTCTTGTCGTTAACCCGCAAGGCTTTCAGCAGGTCTGGAACGTCTTCTGCGCTGCCATATGCATGCTGTAAGCTGGCCCAGTCAATGTCGTCAAGGCCAGCGAGGGGGTCAGAAGGAGTTGCGTCTGCCATGGTGGACAGTTTTTCGTAAACATGAAGCTTTAAGCAGCGTGAATGATGGAAGTGAGAACTGCTGCCTGGGGTTGCGTGAACATTCACGGTCGCTTAGTGACCCACAATAGCTCCCCTGACAGTCTAATTCGCACTGGGTCGGGACACCGCCAAAGTGGCGCCCCTGAAATCAGTACGTGTGGCGCGAATAGCGTCATGCCGGTTTGACCTCGCATGAGCAGCGTAATGGAAGGCAGCATCGTGCAGGAAATTTTAAAGTTACTGACCTTCGATATTTCCATTTGTATTGCCGGAACAACCCATCCATAGCCAAGATAAATGTTTCGAGGATTTAGGTTTTGACTCATTCTTCTGTTGAGAACCAAGCTTTTGCTCCCGTACCCAACACTCAGCCCTTGTCTAAGAAATCTCCGTAAGTCGTCTTTCTTTCACATTCAACCATCTATCGAGATTTGCAAACTTGTGTTAAAAATCGTGATTATCGCTCAAACCCCCGACCTTGGGTCTCGAACTTCTTCACCAATCACCACGTTCAACGAATCTCCCGTCTCCGAGGACCCCCAAAATCAGGGTAGCACTCAGCACCTATCGCCTATGGGACCCGGTCAGACGATGCAAAGCCCAGTTTCCATCCCGGTACTAAGTCTCAACTGGTTTGAACAGCACGTCCTCGATTCGATACTACACCCTACTACGCGCTTGCTTATAACCCTCATATGGAAGACTGAGGCGTTCGACCACTTCAACGAAGGCGAGTTCGAATTGCTGGAGCACCTCCACGAGACTCAGGCCGGACTGCTGAGGGAATGGAACAGAAGGAACCGGGAGGCCGAAGAATGTGTTGAGGCTTCGAAGACAAACAGTCGCAAGCGAGGACCCGAGGACACGCCTGGGCCTATTGCCAAAAGGGAGAACAACAGTCTGCCGGTCATGCGAGAAAGCCGGGAAGCGACCATCGAAAACATACCACCCCTTCGAAGATATGACGCCATATACCTTATCGAGGGGGCCAAGGCCGACCAAGTCGACTACTACCCTGATCCCCCATGTCACTTGTTGCTCTCGTTCAGCGACGGAGACACTATGCGAGGCGCTTTTCACCTGGGAGATTTCGACGCCCTCCTATTCTTCGCGAAGCGCCCTCGTGGACCTTCAAACGACCGGGTGCCATTCATATGGAGGGGAAGAGATAGGGGCTGGAAAAAGACGTACTCGGGCTACACCAACAAAGGTTGGATACAATTCCTAGAGGACGGCACGTTTAGAGGGCGGTTTGATAAGTTTCACCTCAAGTTTGGGGGTCGAAGGGAGGGCGATAATTGGTCAAGGTCATATGACAACAGTGCTGAGCGCTTCTGGCTTGAGTGGAATAATTGGCATAACCCTGAAGATGAGATTGAAACGGCGGACGACTCGAGCGACTCCGAGGACTGCGACATGGAAGAATGAGCATGAGGTTTGCTGTCAAGATGATGGGTTACTTTTAAGCAAGATGCATTCCAAACGTCAAAGGAGTTAATATCTCTCTTCATTAGCTCCCAATTCAAGATTTCTCTCTGTTCTCCAGGTCCTAGTTCAAGCATCCTTATTTCCCTGCCAGTGTTCTTTTGACCCGATAAGGAACGATCTTCTTTGATAGGTATGAGAGAGCATCTCCTTGCTCGGACGGGGACTGCCATTGGGCACTAAGCAGGGACCCAGACCAATTATTATGAGTCCCCTTGTATACTCACCAAAGTTAAGATAAAGAAATAACCTATTCCTGTATTATTTTGTAAAGCCTTCGAGAGTGCTCTAATAATGGGGATGAGTCCCCGCGCAAGGAGAGTTGGGAATACTTCAGCTCAGGTCCCCAGGCCACAAACCTTTGTGACAGAAAAAGCGAGAGATGGATTTGGAGACATAGCACGTCTCATAACTCAAGAGATCCATTAGCATCATCATATATTCACGAAAATAATAGCAGCTTCACAAAATTGGTACATTAAGTCTTTTCTTTACATACCAGAGCCTCATTTCTTCCATAGAGCCACGATACCGAGCATGTACCAAGATAAGTACTAGGTACCCTTGATTGTCTACTCTGTGTCCTGGTTATTTCGTCACCCATCCACAGCAAAACCGCTAGTGCGGGAACTATTGAACCAAGTGCGAGTTGGGGGGCCACTAAGACTAAGACACTAACAGAATTAGCGACAGCAATCGCTTCTTTGTGTTACGAGCTTAACGGAGCTTCCCACGGGCGTGGTCTAGAAGCCTGCATCTTGACAATATTTATCTTCTTCTATTGCCTCCCGTCTCGCTTTCACTTTTCATTCTCCCTTACCTTTCTTTACTCTTCAAAGTTGCTCTACACAGCCATATGGAACGAATCGCTCGAACCTACTGCAAAGATGCAGTCATCCCCTCTTCAGGCAAGACGGCTGTCGAGGAAGCCATATACCAAGAACTACCACGAGAACTCGACGACGTGGTGGTCACTCTACCTACAAAACTCTGGAGCAGGCAAGCCATCACGTATGATTGGATAGATGGAGCGTACCGCGGCTCACAGGCACAGCGCCAAAAGGTCGCATCCGCCATCGAGGAATGGGAGTGGTATAGCAGTGTTTCCTTCATTGCTTCTCAGGACTCCGTGACTCGTCCGGACATTGTCATTTCTTTCGACCCTTCGCCGAATCAAGGGACATGGAGTCTTGTCGGGACAGACTGCTTGAAGGCGGCGCCGCGCACTGCCACCATGAACCTTGGTTGTATCAGCAACGATAATGAAATAACAGCAGCCGAGAAAGCCATCATACTTCACCAAGTTAGTGTCTACTCTGTTGGACTCCTTGATCTCGTCGCTGATTGTTCCAGTTCGGTCACGCATTAGGCATGCTTCACGAACATCAATGCCCAGCCAAAGGTGGAATCGCCTTGACAGGTGTCGATGCACTCGTGACGCTTTATGGCTCTCAAGGTTGGAGCGACGTCGATGTTAAAGAGCATATGTGAGTTCACTTACCACTCAACAGTCTCATCGAAATAACACTAACTGGGCGCCAGCATCAATCCACACAACTCAAAGGACATGACATCCCTGCGAGAAGTCGACACTCAAAGCATTATGCACTGCCCATTACCTGGAGTCATCACTGGCCGAGACTTTGCCATTGACTATAACTATGCACTATCTGACATGGACAAGGCCTACATAGCGCTCATGTATCCTCGGAGGTGGCCAAGTCAGAGCGCACCTCAATGGACATTGGAGGCAGCATTGACAACGATCGGTCTGGCTCAACAGACTCCATCCCTGGCAGAAAAGATCAAAGATCTGGCAAAGGCACCGAGAGCTGATGGGAGTATCGACCCTACCAAGATCCGCGACTTGGTTTTCAAGTGGGCGACTTGGTTTCATACACCCGGACATGCCACGGCAGGCGATTCGCAGTTATCGCAAGGCCCAGTTCTCAGGCACGACACAAGCGATAAAATTCCTCACGGAAGAAAGATGGAGCGCATGGAATTTTCAGAGAAGCTTATGAAGGGTAGGTTTGCCATTACCAGAAACACAAAGCAGCCACTGACAGTTTCGGCCCCATAGAGTACCTCGACGCCCAGAAAGACTGGGAACGCAAAAGGGATGAAGTGATAGGCGGCAGTATGGGTAGCCAAGGCTCAGACCCAGTGGCTGATATGAAGAAGATGATTTCAAACATGAGAGAGTCTGAGCAAGCCAAGCTGACTTCTAAGTACCCTGACGCTAGTGTGCGTGGGTATTCCCATTTTGTACGGGAAGGTCTTGGTCCCTTAGACAACGCCACTCGAGCAGAGATGCTCCAGGACGCCAAGGATGCTTTGCGGGAAAGCGCTACATCGTCCCTTTACGACACACGTCACTGAGAGATATAAAGAAGATAGTAAAAGCGTCGGTTTCAGGTACAGAGTCCAATTACGTTTCTTAGCAGCTCTACTCCCCAAGAAGCCTAATAGAGATCAAGCTGTTGTGGTGCTTGCTTACCCCAGAACTCTACACAAGCTGTCGTACTTCCAAACCCATTTACTATTCCGTACCCTACTCTCCGATAGCCTGTGCTCCCGAGCTCAGCATTAACTAGTACGAGCACTCGCGTACTTTGTGAGGCAAAGTCATCGACGTGCCCGAGCGCAAGAGCCAGCACTTCTGGTAGCTTTGATGAGATGTGTGGTAATTCTAGCAGCTCGTCCGCAAAGAATTTCCCCCGGATATTTCCCAGGTAAAGATCAACGTCTCCAAAAGCTGTGTCTCCAAGGGGATCTATTCGAGTGACTCGAGCAACTCGGCCTTTGACAGTGATGTGACCGCCCTTGACTGGACTAAACTCCTTCCTGGCCGTGAGCTCAAAATCAAGGTTTTTCGCTACTAGAGAGAACCCAGCATCGACAGAAAAGTGGGAGATGGGATACCATCTTATTTCTCCATCCTGCGACGCCCATGTCCAGCTTGGATGTCGCCGTCCCTGGGGTTTGTGATTCGGTCGTTGGGTGTGTCCCCAAGACAGCCCGTAAGCCAGATGAGACTCCCACAATCCGGCCAAGTACTGGTCTTTGATGTGCAGTTGATAGATCTGTGCGATTCCTGCAAGAGCAACTAGCCGGTCGTCGTACCTGGTAAACGCCCGCCTACTGTACGTCTCAACAATTCCTCTATGCCACTGCCCAGCCATGATAGCGCTGTCCGTGGTGTCTGGCCGAAGAATCATGGAAGGAATTGTGGGCAAGGCCATTGGTCTGAGGTTCTCGAGTCGGTATGTCTTGCGACATTCCCAGACGACTTGAGTCGAAGCAAAGTGCACGATTCGAGGCGAGAGAATGCGTTCTTGGTAAACCCAGCCACGACTATTGATCGGGCTATTCTCTACTATACGGGGAGGATCGGATGATATGATACTGGTCAATATGACGGACTATTCTTGGACTGACTGGTCCTGGTTGGTGATAGTGATAAAGGTTTCTCCTATTCCAACTGCGCTTTGGGTGTTGAAACAGCCTCCGAACCCGTCCCGAGCATGACTTGCTGAGACTGTGATGAATGCATTGTGATAGATGTCTCCCATCTTTACCGACTCGTTGGCCCAGTCTTCTTTGGAATCTTGTACGATACACAGGGCGTCGATCCAGATATAGCGCAGCTTCAGACGACGGGTGACCTCGATAGCGTCGCGGAACGTCGGCGTCAGCTCATTCCAGCCAATGCCAGTTTTCTTTTGGGCCAAGTTTGCCCAGACGGTCATGTACTTTGACAGGTTGGTGCCCCAGCGGTGGCTCAGAGCTATGTAGGGAGGGCAAACTTTTCCGACGTGGATGAGACGGACTGTTTTGTCGACATCAAGAAGTCGAGATGGAGCTGGCCGCGAAGTCTCCAATCTAAGAGGAGACTTGCAGTCGTGCGCACTACACTCATCCAGGCACGCTTGAATGAACTGAAAAGCTTCGGCTGATTTAGTATTGGTAAGTTGCGTATTGAGCACAGGGAGCCCAAGGGCTGCTGCTGAGTCTCCTAGCCTCGCGATGAGATATCGGTAAGTGGATCAAAATATCTTACCGCGAGGCGTCCAAACTTCCAGAACATCAATTTCGGCTGACAACGTCCCTTCCTCATCTATATCAATCGTCGCAGTGACCACGTTGCTCTCATGCATGTCCGACTTTCTTGTGCCAAGTCGCAAATTCCTGAAGTTGCCGATTCTGTACTTGTTAAAGATGCTGATAGAACTTGGGCAGATCTGGTAAGACAGGATATTGCACAGATCGCAGTAGGGTTGCATCTTCTCTAGGTCAACCCGGCTTGATACATGGCGATAACCTCCAGTTGAGGTCAAGGCCTGGGCCGTGATTCCTGAGCAGACATGGCAAATACGGCGTAGCTCATCCGAGGACTCATCAGAGTCGATATCCATCATGTCCATTTTAAAAGGTATTAACAATGACAGACCTTAGCATACGGATACGGAGATAGATGTTGGTCATGAGGTGAGGGATTAAATGAGCGAAATGCGGCTGCAAGGAGTGACGAGGCTGTCTGGAATTACTTGGCAGTTGATTCTTGTAGGAACATCATGCTCGGATATCATTTGCTCCACGGAGAGAAATGAATGACAAGATGCGTCCTAGGGTAGTTCACCGATATCGATCTTGTGAGCTATTCTCCCATTTGATGTTCCTTCAAATCACGCTTGACTGCATATTTCTCGTCACTTGAAATGCTGTGCGCATGTTTGATTGAGGATGAGATGAATTATGAGCAGTGTTACCGGGTAGGACGTCCATCGCGACAGTTGTAAGGTAGGCTTGCGATGTCCTTGAATGAAGTGGGGCGTACCGGTCTCCACTGTTAGGGCAATATCTGAGTTGCTCGCTAGTTTGGCGACAATGCGTTAATCTTACAGCTCAGTTTATGTGTAGGAAAGGTAGACTTGGTCGTAATTGGCCAGGATTCCTGTAAGGTACCTCAGTGGGTGGGTGCGGCGGGGATCGCGCTAGCGGCATCTTTCTCCGCGCTGTGGAGTCTGCAGTTGTTCTGCTATTGGCGTGTTGATAATCGGCATCTTGGGCCGAGCTCAAATATCACGGTCTGGCGATGGCTTCGCCAACACGCGTTGATGAGGGAGGTGTTGGCAACGAAGCGTAGGGGCTCTTCTGTCTGACCGAGGCACTACAAAACTTCTTTATTGAAACGTTTGACGGTGGACCTTTGACCCATTACCCGTACTCCACAATGGATGTTATCGCTCAAGTCGTTGTGCTTCTCACCGGCTTCATGAGCCGATGGGTTGAGTCGAACTACACTTTACCTTTGTAATCCATCCCGTGTTTCTCGCTATGACTTTCCTAGTCGATTGATCTACCCCACGTTTGTACTATCAAATAAGCAAGTTGAATCTCTAGTGTCGGATATCTTGCCGTGGCCGATTCGCGGCTCTCCTCACAGGAGTCGTAACACGACCTGGTCTATAAATGCGTCCAAGGGTCGCTTTTTGCTCCCGCCCGCCTCAGATTCTATTGAAACTGTGATTTTGATTAATTACCTCTCGCATAGAGCGATTCAACCTAGACCTTACACACCCTCTTTCGCCTGGTGTCTTTTCTTGCTACGTCTTTGACCAAAATGCCCGAATTCCCTGAGCCCATCATTTACAACATCAAGCCTACAAAACTGGTCCCTAATTCTCCGAAGCCGCTTCTTCTCTACAAGAATGTCTTTGTCCGCGATGGCAAAGTCGACGCTACCGCCGTCTTTGATACCTTTCGTGCCAATGACTGGGATGTCCAGTGGGTCACAAAGTACGGCCGCCAACAAAGGTCGCACTACCATGCTCAAGCCCATGAAGTAATGGTTGTCGCTTCTGGGCCAGGCCGTATTCGCTGGGGAGTAGCCGACTTGAGCGATGATTGGGAGAAGCACACCTATGGGGATGCCTACGAAGAGGGTGGCCTCGACCTCGAGGTCAACGTCGGCGATCTCTTTGTCATCCCAGCTGGCGTTTCACACAAGTCTTATGATCCGACAGCGACACACATCGAAGCCGATTGTTTGACAGGAGCGGCCCGCGGCATCACGGTGGAAAATGCAAGAGTGGCAGTCTCAGAGCTGCCTATGCGAGGGTTCGTCATGATGGGAGCCTATCCACGCGGCTTCTCATGGACCTGGGAGGAGACAGCTGGTACTCCAGAGGAGTTTGAGGCGGTTTGGGGCGTTCGTAACCCTGACTTTGACCCTGTTGTTGGCCAGAAGGGTGGCACAAACAAGTACTGGAAGAATCAGCAGAAAGGCTATAAGAGCGCGCTGTAGTGAGCACCGAGTTGCTAGTGTATTTTGAGAATGGTGTAGACATAGGATATTGGATTTGACAGTCTTTTGCGCGTCTGCGATGAGAGAGAGGTGGTGCCAGCTTGTTGTCGTCGTCAATGACGAATCAGTGTCAAAATGAGGAAACTGCTTACCACGTGGATAATCGATGACCCTCCAAAACATTACGACTGAGATGTTCTAGGCCACCCTGCGATGGCAGTCGTCGAGTGCTAAGCATTCAATTCGGGGGTAGACGCTAGTATCTGTTCGGCCTCCAGGAATGTGTTCCGGGATATGCTGTACAAGTCTTCATCACAGTAGCTTCGTGACTCTGATCACCGAGACAGTTTACGAGCAGTGTACCGGATTAAGCTTTCGATCATGAACCTTCCCGGCAATTGACTCACCGGGCTGAGGACAGGAATAAGCTTTCCTCCGCCCGTCTCTCTGGAGAGTCTTATTAGTCGTCTCAAGTTGACTCATTGGCTTTTCTTCATCTATAAAGCAAATCGATGACCTCCCTCGTTTCTGTTTCCCGAACTTGCCTCCATCTAGCATCACAGACTTCCACTTCGCTCACTAGACTTCTACTTTCTCGATCCACTACCCTTTTCAGGACATTTACAACATAGTTGTGAATACTCCGGCAAAGACTAGGGTCTGTTTTACCTCGGTTCCAGCTTCAAAGATGGATTTCTGCAATTTCCACCCATTTCCAAGACTCCCGACCGAGCTTCGGGTCCAGATTTGGGAGACATGCTTGCGCCCGTCTCAACGACACCGACCTGGTTTGCACTACTGCACGATTGGTAACGACAGGAGACTCGTACCCCTAAGCTGGGGCAAGTTCACCCGGTTGGAGAAACATAGTCGAGCCAGCCCAGACCACAGATCGGCCTGCCTATGGCATGCAGGGCTCTGGGCGGCTTGTAAAGAGTCGCGGTCCGTTATCATGGAACATTACCAGCTCAAGGAGTGGAACGAGTATCTGGAGATAGGCCCGCCGAAAAGGAGCGTTCCGGAGTACTACTACGCTGATGGGGGTAGTAGAAAAGAGATCCTCCCTCCATCAATGATCACTGTACGCGAAGGCCACAATGAGTCGTACCTCACAGTTTACCCTACTCGGGACATCTTCTGCGTCACTTCCGATAGCTGCGAATCAGCTTTTTGGTCAGGAGAAAGGAGGAATATCAATCACAGCCTCCATTATGCCACCACTACCTCCAGATCATTGGGTGTGCAAAATTTCGCCGTGGAGTTCGACCCTAGTTGGAACCGTTTCTTTCCAGACAAGATCTACACTTTGAAGGAGGAGAGGTCTGCCCGAGGTTACTTGGCGAGGATGCTTGAGGACCTAGCGGGTTGTTTATTTTGGACGAAACTATGGCTTATCGACAAGCATGTCCGTTGGTCCGCATCCCCTGGCAAGGAGGTTGGCCCAGTATTTTACGATTATGACTGCGAGTACGTTCAAATCGACGTGTCCGATACCCTTCCTGATCCCAACAGTGGGGCGAACGAGAGCCCCGTGGCATGCTTCATACGAAGGCTTGGAGAATTGGGAGATAGGGATTACACGGGGCGCTACATGCTTGCTGTGGACGATGAAGCCGACCCAGGTTTTTGGGCAGAAGAGCCCTCCCCCTTCTTGGTTAAGGAGTGGGTTAGGATCTTGGTTCGCCGAGACAACCAGGTCACCGGCGGTATCGATGGGTTAATTCAGAGTATGAGTTCTGGGAGGGACATTGAGTCGACTTAGACTTTAACAATTGAGGCACTTGATCCAATAATCCTCGCAACTGAAGGTGATATAGACGACGTTTAATCGGCCATTGGTAGATTTATGCGCTCATCCCCAACCATGGATGCCAACCAAGTAGGTGCCTTGTTTGGCTCTTCTCGCTTAAGTATATGTACTCTCCCCTGTGCGATGTGACGCAAAGGGTTTAGATCAGGCGGTACCGCGAAGAATAAAGCTCAACGATCTAGTCACGTTGGGGCAAACAATCGTATGTATCGCCTATCATGCTCTGGACTTCATGAGAAGCTTTGTGACTCCCGATCTCATCACTGAGACAACGCAGAGGTTTTCATGGAAATAGACCTTGTCGAATCAAGTTTCTTGGTTATTGACTCGCCGGTCGAGGACAGGAATAAGGTTTTCTACTGCATATCTCGGCGTGCAGTGTGAGATATCTCAAGTTGACTCACTCCCGGTGCCTTGGTTTGCAAAGAAATTGTTGAGATCTAATTCTTATTTATCTCAACCCTCATAGCCAAGGATAATAGATTACAACTTCTCTCTCCGGCCTCCTCTTCTATTGATCCATCACCTAACTCTACGCTTTCAACACATTTCGATTACAGCCATCAACATCACGGAAAAGAATCTCGTCCTCTCACGTCCGTATAATTTGCACAATGGTTTCTTCCATTTTTCACCCGTTCCCACGGCTCCCCGCCGAGCTTCGGCTCCAGATTTGGGAGAACGCATGCCTTCCATCTCAAGAACAGCGCCGTGGTCTGCACTACTTCAATCTTGACCATGATAAGAAACTCGTTTCGCTCGGCTGGAACCAGGGTACCTCGTCAGAGCTTCAGGGCCCCGCCGGCCAAGCCAGGAGATCCGCCTACCTATGGCATGGAGGGCTCTGGACTGCTTGCAAAGAGTCAAGGGAGGTCGTTATGAAGCACTGCCAGCTCAAAGAGTGGGGAGATCTCATAGAGCAAGCTGAGCGAGAAGACAAACGTGCCGGAAATTATAAAAGAATGGCTGCGATCTCTCGCTCGGTTGTTGGAGACGAGGGAGTTCCCCCAGGCATGGTCGTGATGCGGGAGGGCCATGAGGAGTGGTACTTCATTGTGTACCCTACCCGTGACATCTTCTGTGTCACTTCCGACAACTGGGAATCAGTTCTACGATCGTGGTCAATGTGGGATGCTGAGTATTATCTCCCTCTCGCCTACAGTGTTCTGCCATCCTTATATGTGGAGAATATCGCCTTCGAATTCGACCCGAGTTGGAATCACGACTTTCCAACATGCATACATGATTTGATGGAAGAGAAATCTGCTCGAGGCTGCCTAGCCAGGATGGTTGATTTCATGGTGAGCACGCATTCATTTCGCTTCAACATCTGGCTTGTCGACCAAACCGCCCGCTGGCGAGCAGAACCTGACCAGGTCGTCGGCCCAGTATCTCACGATTGCGATGGCGAGTATGTTCAGATCGGGGTTTATCATACTTATAATGACCTTGATGAAGGAGCGAGCGAGACCCCTATCCTGCAATTCATACAGAAGTTTGGGTCCTTGGGCGACTTTTACTACAGAGACCTCGAAAGGGGAGACTGGAGCCCTAGACTCGACTACATGCTCGATCGCCCTAATTACAGGGCTGAGAGTTCTATCGGACTTCTTGTGCGCCGAGACAACTATGTTACAGACGAGGAGTACTTCTGGTTCTACCCGGAAGATGAAGGAGAAGATGTTGGAAGTTGATAGAATGAATTCAAGAAATGGCCTTGAGCGCGACACCATGTGGTTGACAGCGGTCGGCTCATGCCTCGATCGCCCAACACAAAAACTTGACGAGTGATCGCTATCTCGGTATGTTCATGTCTCAATACCACCTGGACAATTGCCTCGCCCACCTCGCTCAATCCTGCGAGGGAGCAAACCCCACACCCAGCGCATCCCAAGGTATTGCCCTCAACGCTCGTCCTCTCTCTCTGACCTATCGCTTTCTCACAATACGCGTGCTGACAGACCTGCCAGCTGGGACGCAACCGGCTGGAACCGAATCCAGATACAGATGAAGATCTCTCGCAATACTGCTATCCCCGACCGTCTCGCTATGGATACTATTCTCGCCCATCCAAAGAACGGCTAATCCTCAGGGGCCACACCGTCTCTAATGGCAACCATGTGATGAGTTCCTTGAGACTTGACTCATGCCCCTGGCCAAGCATGTCCCTTCTTCTAGGACCGTCCTGTGCACCCTCTCCGCCGCCATCATCCCCTCGGTGGCACCGTCAATGGTCTCTGTTAGCAGGATGAGGGCGTGCGAAGTCAAATCCCAGCCGAGACACGCTTGAACACAACGAGTTTACTCTACAAACTGTCTATCAGCTAGCTCTACATGATCGATCCCCAATACTACATGCCTGCCCTGGATCTCAACCACCTTCTGCTTGCGTCTCCTACATTGCCTGAAGCCCACAAAAGACCAGGTCCCCGGGCGACACCACGTGGAGGTTGTAGGAGTCCGTCTTCGCCGCCCTTCCTCCAGGCTCCCCTTAGCCCTGATGGAGGCGCCCCGTTCTGGACTCAGACACACTGGCACTCTGGCTCAGCTGCGACTGGACCTTGGCTCAATCAAACCTCGCAAGTAAGATTGGCCACGACTCAGAAAACTCCGCAGAGAAAACTGGACGGTTGGGGTCTTTCTAGAATAAAATAGCTCAACCAAACCCGCAGGTAAGATTGGCCGTCTCTGGCTCAACTAACTCTCGCAAAGAAAGCTGGCCGATCTGCTCTTCTGCTTGCCACCCCGCCTATGACTCAACTAACTCTCGCAGAGAAAGCTGGCCGATCTTCTCGTCTTCTTGCTACTCCGCCTACGACTCAACTAACTCTCGCAGAGAAAGCTGGCCGATTGTTCGTCTTGAACTAGTCTCTCGCCTTGTAAATGTCGTCCCACTTGCCCTTCTTATACTCTCGCCGATATTCTCTGGGTGGGGAGGCCGGGGGTTTCGCTGTGCCTTCGAGCAGTGCTTTTGCCTGTTTTTTTGCCAATTCTGTGAGCGTGGGTTCGTCCTCGTCCTCGCCAAAAAGGGATGTCCAATACGCATCCATAAGCTCGATATAACAATCTCGCCTTTCTCTCCCCAATATACCCCCTTTGAATCGTGTCTCGACGTCGGCCTTGGCCACTTCGATGGCGGCTCTCATGCTCTCCCAATCGACGGCATCTTCGGGGCTCTTCTTATCCGGCTCGACGACCACGACCTTGCCATCCTTTTCAATGGTCTTTCGGTAATTCTTCGCCACTGGTGGCCGACTATGGCAAATCTCGTTGCGGTCGCTGTACTCCTTGATCCACTGTAGGTAAAGCCATCTTTCTATCCCTGCTTGCTTGCTCATCTTTTCGATGCGATCGAGGAACGGCGTCTGGGGTGGGGGAATCGCTTCGTCGTTGGCCTCGAGCCAGTTTTCCACCGCCTTTCTCTCGACCTGGACTCTTGTGTGAAGGCTCGTCACTTGTCGGCCATCGTGAGCCTTCCATCTTGCGTCCGCCTTGGCCTGATCCTGAGCCTTGATTTTCTTGTATTTGACGGGTCCTCTGAATGGCTCGCCTCTCTCCTTGGCTTCTTTCTTTGCTTTTTCCTCGGCCTCAGCCTTGTTGACTTTGTTCAGAGCTACGTACATAGCCTCAAACTCTGTAAACTCCTCGTCTCTGATCGCTTCTTCCTTCCCGGCCAGCGCTGTCAGTTTTATGGCCAACCAGTCGCCGTACCGGAACAGAAAACGATAATCGTCAACCGTCCTTTCTGCTGCTATTTCCTTGGAGCGAGAATCGTCGAGTTCGGCTTGTATTGATTCGAGTTGGCCTGTGAGTTTGGCAACTTGCTCGACAATAACCTCGCGCTCCTCCTTGATCTCCTTGATCTCCTTGGCTTGCTTCTGTTTCGCTTCGAAGAGTTCGAACGCACTACCAAGAAGTTGATCGTCAGCATCCTCCAAATCTCGGATTCTCTTTGCTGTTTTGAGAAGGTCATCACGTAGCTTTTGGGACTTGGGGGTGAGCTCGCTGTAGCCCTCCAGCCCGTTGATAACCTGATCCGCCACCTCGCCATGCTTGCGCTTTTGCTGCTGAATACTCTCGGAAGAAGACATGGTGGATGACTGGATGATGAAATAAAGTAAAAAAAAGTGTGTGAATGTGTGTTGTTTGTATTGATTGATTCGTGAATGCTTCGATGTTGATGATTCTGTAACCAAGTCAATTCCACTGTCGAAGGACTCGAAAGTCTTAGCAGACCGCATCGCTCGACGGAAGGTGCGGCATCACATCAGGTCTGAAGCATGACATCAGTTCTGGTCTGTCTAGCAGCGTCTATCACACAGGAACGTGGTTTGGATTAGGGAGTCGTGCCTCCCCTTAGTTTTCGAAGTTCGGAGACCGTGGCCAACACCAAGGTCGACCTTTGCGACGGTTCTTTTTTCTTTCTTCTCTTCAGCCATCCACAACCCCATCGCCGTTCTGGTAAGTTTATATGTTCCCGTCGAAGTGATTAATGTTTGGCCATGCTAATATTGATTGTTGCGTGTTGTAGAGAATAGTCTGCCTTGCTCTTCTTTGTGAGTCCCCCATGATGCGCCCTTGATGTCTGAGTTGACTGACCTTGATTCCAGTTTTCACCCATTTTCATCGTAAGTTTCCGCGGCTTCTTCAGCAACCAACTCTCTGGCGCTTCTGACACAGGTCTTTGTGTGTAGAACCAACTCTCTTTCAATCGTAAGTCCTTACACCCGTTTCCCGTTAATCCCCAATCAGCGCCAAAGACTAATATTATCTGTCTTACGCTTTAGAATCTCTCGACAATGGTTCGTGTAAGTCCTCTTTTCCTTATCTTATGCCTGAATGTCATCACTGACCTGTCTATAGAACGCATACAACGGCTTTGTAAGACACCCTCGACCTCTCCTAGCTCCCCGCGTTCGTTTTCGAGTCCAATATTCCTTTACCTCTCCTGCGTTACTCTCCGCATCCGACTGGCTTTCATCAACACTCCAACGTGCACTCGACTCTCCATGCATCACGGTCCCCTAGTCTAAAAGCACAGCACAAGCGACGCTCGTCCCTCTCCTTCAGTTGCCATCCACAGATTCTCCGATCAACACAATCCAACATAGATAGAGGTTAACATGGGGTATAGGGTGATAACCAGCGGGGACGCGGCGCGGGTGGCTTCGGTCGCCGAGGATCTGGCCGCGGTGCTCCTCAGGGAGCAAAAGTGAGTGTACCAGTCCCTACAAAGAGTTGATGACTGACTTGAGTTACTTTCAGAGAAACTTTACCACCGTACGATCTCCATGAAGCTCTTTGATGGCCCATACTCTAACAGCTGATAGTACTCGTCAAACCAGTCCCGGGGCCCTTCGGGGGTGAGAGCCCCAGCATGTAGTCTAGGAGTTGCAATGAGCTGACTCACGTGCAGCAGCAGCAACACCACCAGCAACAGCAGCAGCCGCAACAGGGCCAACCGGCCCCAAAGGTATGTCATTCGCTCTACTGATCCTTGGTCATCTGAATACTGACATCAACCAAACAGAAACGTGCCCGGGTATGTGGGATCCCTCTCGACAAGCGGTTCTGGATGGCAGGATACTGACGTCTTTTGTAGCAAGGAACCCGCGAGGAGGCCGAGGAGAACCTCGAGGTACGTGCTGGGGCTTTAAATATTTATCGCCAGTGCTGACTGATATCCTAGTACTGGCGCGAGCAGGGAACCGTGAGTTCCGCATTAGCTCCTTCGCTGGTATCGGGTAGAATCGATGGCTGACCAGTGATTAATTTGCGCCGGATAGAAATATTTTGACTCGATGAAGGTGAGTTCGTCTATACTTCTTGTCTGGCAGCGGATGGCTTAAGTACTGACTGGTTATCGAATAGCACTACGAGCGCAAGTTTAAGGTATGTCACTGTCCCTTCATAGCTCTTTATAGTTTGGCTAACCATTTTAATGTAGGAGGCCGCAGAGAAGATCGCCGTGAGTGACATTGAACGGTGTTCGGCCGATTTTATCACTGTCATGTGCTGATTTGAATGATCGTCGTAGGAATGGACACTGAAGCGAGATGCCCTCCCAGAGGTGCCTGTAAGAACCCCATCATTGTAAAACGTACGTGAAGAGTTGCTGACTTGAGTAGGAAGCAAAGGTCGAGCTCGAGGTAAGATGTCTGCCATAGAATTCCATGTATAGTACTGACTTTGGATATAGAAAGAGGTCGAGAAGATGCTGGCCGAGAAGGAGGCCGAGAAGCAGGCCGAAAAGGCCACCGAGAAGCCCGCCGAGAAGCCTGCTGAGTCCGCCCCTGAGGATGTAAGTGAATGAGATGCCATTTCAAGTTAGTGGTGCATGTACTAATTGCGGATAAATTAGGAGAAGAAATAAATTTATTGAATGCGACAAGTGGTGGTGGGATAGAAGAGACTAGAACAATCAATTATTGTTTGAATTCGAGACCTCTACTGCCGGCTACATATGTGACATCAATTTCTCCAGCAGAGGCGGAGCGTGTCTGCCATGTGGGAAAGTTGCTTCCCAAGCGGACATGACTTGGAACAGCTTGTCTTCAGCCCCGTTCCTTGCCACAATCTCCATTCCATACGGCCGCCCGTTGTGAGTTGAAAATCCCAGGGGAACGCTGGCGATGGGGTAGCCGGCCGCTGCAGCTGTCGTCGTTACTAGCGACTCGCCTGAAGCCATGATGACATCCGTCCTGGTTTCCTCCCACAGCCTCTCCACTGCTGCACGCACGCTCTGTCTAAAGTGCTTCAGGGAGCTGTGGTACTCTTCATTCGTCATGTCGTCCTTGAGTCCATTTTCGAGCACTGCTTGGCTGGGTTGATCTGGAAGAAGGCAGAGTTAGATCCTGTCAACATGTGATGGAGCAACAGGGTGAACGATCGCCCATACCGGGTGGAAGTTCAGCTTCGGCGTGCTTTTTGTTGAATGCGACCAAATCCTCCAAGGTGCGTAATTGAGGATCATCAAACAACCCAAGATATCGCTCGAGCACGAAGCCGAGTTGATGCCCTAGTCTGGGTCAGTAAATGTAAGAGGCGGTCAGAGAGCGCGTACGTGAGATTGCGCCTATCTCGGCTGTCTTGTATGTCTTGACAATGTCCCCGAGTTTCATCAGCGGGGCATCATGGACGACCTTGCCACCAAGATCTTCGATGGTCTTCATGGCATGGCCAATATCCCGCTTCTACCGGCGGTTAGTCAGTGGTAGGTTCAGATGGGTGGAGTGCACTCACATGTTCTTGGTCAAAGATCGGGTTTTTGTGGCAGATTTCGTCACCAAACTGCCAATCTTCGTAGTTAAGAAGTGCAATTCGGATTCCCTTCCACGAGCCCGTGAGAGAGGAGTGGAAGTTGCGGTTTGGTAGCAGAATATCCATCACAACGGCGCAATCTTCAACCGACTTTGCGAGCGGGCCTGCGCTGTCCCAAGCTGCACCCCCAGATTGAGTACCAACCATGTTGATAGAACCTACCGTGCCTTTCATGCTGTAAAGGGCCTCCCGTATTGCCGGTTGTACTATCGAGCCATCCGCTTCAGTACCGATTGCGATAGGGGCAAAACCAGCCGCGGTCGCTACGGAGCATCCGGAGGAAGAGCCTGCAGGAGTCTGGGGACACATAATTGAGGACTTTGAAAAGGAAAGGAACGGGATGTGTATCACTGACACTGTGTCCTAGCCATCTCTCACTGGGATCAACACCGCCTTTGACGTATGGCGACTGGGTCTGCGATAAAGTCAGCCAGAAATCGGACATTCTCCCTTTAGGAGTCTGCTTTGTACCTGTCCTCCCACCGGAGACCATCCGCTCGTGACGCCGAAACCCTTTGCGTTGCCCCATTCCTATGTCCGTCAGTGTCGTCACAGGAAGGAAGCGCAAGGGAAAACGGACCGAGAGATTGGCCTTTCCGATCACAATGCACCCCGCTTTCCTCAACATGGTTGCAATGGGCGCATCGTTGCTGGCATTGAGGCCCTTGAGAGCGAATGACCCCGAGGTGGTGCCCATGCCGAAGCTAGGGGTGGTGATCAGGTCCTGGATGGGAGACGTCAGTAGAGAAGAAGGCCAGTGCCATCACTCGTGGTGCTTGGCCAAACCTTGAGGATGATTGGGATTCCATGGAGCCTTGACCAGGGGCCCTTCTCTCGACGCTCCTGGTCCAATGCGCGGGCTTCATCGAGAACTCTGTCTAGAGGCGCGGTCGAGATGATTGCGTTGAGCTTCATGCCATCGTGGTTGTGTGCCGCGATCTGCTTCAAGTAAAGGCTGACGAGGTCCACGCTCGTGCAGTCGCCGGCGTCAAGAAGCTGTCGTAGCTCACCGGCCGTGGCTGTGAGGAGGTTTGGGCGGCATTTCGACGACATCGTTCCAGAGAGAGAGAATCGTGTAGGAAACAGAAACAAGCCCGGAAATCCAGCTTGGGAGTTTGAAAGAGCCCAGAGTACAGCTGCGAGGAACAGCACTGTGGAAATATTGAGACCTCCAGAGCCCCACCACGGAAGGTGGTCAAAGTCAGAAGGGTGTGGGCGGGGCCTGGGGAGCGAGCTCAGCCCGACCTCCGACAGTCTCAGCCATCGCTCAGCGGCGGCTCAGCTTAGAAACCAGGAGCACAGTTCTGGAAACGGAAATGGATTTTAGCACGCTTGGGTTTCGGCTCCGAATTCGTTGGTGTCCGCGGGTTAAGATTCACGTTCGCGCTTGGCAACCTTGCTGGAGATGGCTTCACTTGTCTGCAGCTGTTCCGCTTCGGCAAATTCGAGTACACTACCAAGATGATGGAAGTCAGCATGCTTTAGTCTCGCAGGATCCCCCGTCCTGAGATGATCAAGTTGCTTCTGTAGCTGGGTTACGGTCCCTGGAGTTGTGCGGCACGGCGTATTGCTTGAGAACTTGGCGTTGAAATCGCTTGGAAGAAGACATGATGGATAGCTAATTGATGAAATAACATAAAAGGGCGTCTGAATGATGCTGTGTTGATACGCGGATGCTTCCATGTTGATGAATGTGTCAGGTCAAAACAACCCAGATCAGGCGCTCAGAAATCTGATGAGGCGCCCTACGAGGGCGCATGACTCCCGTCGACACAAGGCGCATCCAGTGTGAGAGTCACAACGAGATCGACATCTGTTCCGGCGAATACGTAAGGAGGGAGTTACAACGTGGGACTTTCCGCCTGCATCTGATGCCCTGTCCCTCGACCACCATCAAGATGACCATCACAACCAGGTACACAATACCACCAGCCTCAAATCCCTCCGGAGTGCCACCACACTCCTCCCAAGTCCAGTATTTGCTAGCTCGGTCATCCCATCGAAGGCCGGGCTTCAACTATGACTTGGCGATCAAAGACTGCTTGAATATCGATTATCATTAACATCTCTTGGTTTCCCAATTCTGATACGACATGACTTTGCCCCCCTCCATCATCTTGGCTATCTTATTCTGACGTCCACTTCCGCCGTGATACCAGCAAGGGGTTGAGAGTCCTCTCCCTTTGCCTGCTGCCTGGCCAGTAGCTCGGCCACCTTCTTCTCAAACCTCCTTCTAGATTCAAAGGTGAGCTTTGGTGCCCTACTCAAGTCAGTCATCAACTGCTTCCGTAAGACTGCACAGGGGCGCTTACATCTCTCTTCCAGTGGCGCCTCCAAAAGGAGTGATCAGCCACAGCGACAATTAACGCAACCTCCCACGCACACTCATGTCCTGCGCTCATGGTGCTACGTAGGCATTGGTCAGTTATTGGACTATGCGAGCGACGGAGCCTGGACAAACTCACCTTCATCTTTTCGTAGTGGATCTATTCGCCCCAGAGTAGGCACTGGTCAGCCATCGAACCTCGATACCAACAACGGAACTGATATGGAACTCACTTCGCCCTGCTGGCGCCAATACTGGGAGGTAAGTCAGTAAGGTGAATAACCCGTGAAACACGTAACACTTACCTCCATCGCCGCCTCCGCCTCTTGGCGGGTTCCTGACTACGCTCAGGTTAGCCATCAATCCTGTGAAGGGATCTGTGCACTGCCTACCGATCCGCGGCCGGAGCCACCACCGGCACGGCCGCCTGCACGACCGCCCTATGCCATCTGTCAGCCTCCATGGCCGTGATTCAGCGCAGAGCAACTGAAGGAGAAACACGAGGCTCCCTTGGGGCGTCGGCTGTCGGGCAGTAGTAGTCTGAGACATACGATGACTTTCGAGAGACGCGAGTCGAATATGGGGTGTCGTCGTAGGTGGATATGCTTGGACTCGACGACGAAAGCCGGGAGAAGGACGAGGTTAAGGGTGGCTTACAGAACCGCGAGATTGGTTCTACAGAGGCAGGTCAGTGACGGCATTGGGGGATTCGGGCCTGGGATAGCGAAAGGGGGACTTGCGCGAGGCATGATGAAGAGATTCTAGAGCACAAGAGAGAGCACGTCAGTCACTGGCATCAAATGGGGATTGACGGGAGATGGGCGCGAGTACATACGGTGAAAAGGGATTCCTTCTGGTAAATTACCACGGCAGGGCGTTTGAACGAAATCGCCGTTAAGGCCGACTCTGGCGTGTGGCTGGCAAGGGTATTCTCCAGGTATGCAGGATTTCGAACCTCTCTATCAGACGAAGATGCCGGAGGGAGAGAACGGAGGCGAGCCGCAGTGGCCGACGCGGCGAGCGTGGCACACACACACACAAACAAGTAACAGGTCTGGCTTTTCCGGGATTGTTTGATCGTGCTGGGTAATGTCGTGTGTCTGGTTGCGGTGCTTGTCTTTGGGGTGGCCTCGGGCAAGAACAGATGAAGGTGGGGAGAAGGAGGAGTCACGTGACAACCCACTGTGACGCACCTGCCAAAACTGCCAATGTCGAATTTGATGTGAGTCTCACAGCGGACGCACCTTCAGCGCAACTTCACCACAGAAAGCTGTCCATGAAATTTTGTGATGACTCTTAATCTAACAGCCGATAGTACTCCAACCAGTCCCGAGGCCCTTCGGGGGTAAGAGCCCAACCGAACAAAGGTGACTCCTGATGTGGATTGATTGGTACTGGAAACATTGGGCGAGGGAGACAGCCAGAATGTTGTTATGGAAGTTCGGCACGCAGTTAGGGCTATCGTTAGAAGAATCTTGTCAAGAAACCTTTTATGACCTTCTTATGAGTGATCATGAATTACGGTGATCCAATTCGAGGGTTAGAGGAGGATCATATGGTAGTAGGCTCAGAAACACATAAGGTTATCTAAGTGAAAGGGAATTATTATAAACATTTCTACCATAAATAATCTAAGTCTTATAATGATCCTCATGTCTCTGCCTCGTTCTTACGCCAGACATCCCCGAGCCTTGACTTTTTCAACACCAATGAAGCAAGATCGCCTAAGCTGCTGCTCGTAAGCAGTTCCAAAATCTGCAGATGTGCCTGTAGTTCCTTGGTTATCCAGTTCCGAAGCTCGATGGCGTTGAGAGAATCCAATCCAAATGCCGTCACAGGAGCATTCCCTTGGTGAGACTGCAGGACCTCGGGTGGCAGCATGAGGATTGCGCCGAGCTTATCGCGTAGGCCGATTGTAACAATTCCTTGGGCATCTTCCCTGGTAGCCGCTCGCTGAACCTCTTGTGCGATAGTGAGAGATGCCGATGCTGGGAGGTCGCTTGCGTCTTGCGACTTGACGATTGCGGCGTGGCGGAGGTGGACGAATCTTCCATCGGAGGCGTAGTATGGCAGAGATGTCCCGTCGCTGAAGTCGAGCCCTGTTACACACTGGTCATTGGCCATGACACCGAGCTTGCCGTTGAGGGCCAGCTCCAGAAGAGCAAGAACCTCAGACTCGTCGACTGTGGAGCCCGAGAGGTTCTTGAGCACCTGCGCTTGCTTGGCCGAGTTCTCTGCCAGATAGCCGACACCCGAGACAGCTCCCAAGTTTAGACATGTCGCAGGGAGGCCGTTGCGAAGACGATGTTGAGTGAATGCGTCGAGGTAGGTATTGGCAGCCGAGTACGCAGCTTGACCTCTGTTGCCCACGATGCCAGCGACAGAGGAGAGCATCACGAAAAAGTCCAAAGGAGTATTGAGAAGCGCCTTGTGGAAGTTCCATGCGCCATGCACCTTGGACCGGACCACGAGGTCGTAGTCTTCAAATGTCATCTTCTCGAACAGCACGTCCTATGACATGTTAGCTTGGGTCGACATTAGACGCCATCAATCACTTACTCTAAGCACCATTGCAGCGTGGATGACACCGCGAACGGGAGGCAATGTTCGTCCTGACTCTTCAACAAGAGCCCCGACGCTCTTCTCATTGGCAACGTCGCAAGCCCGCAGGTAGATACTGGCACCCTGAGTTCTGGCGTATTCCGATAGCTGGCCAAGCTCTCCAGTTACTCTTGCGGTGCGCGATAGGAGTACGATGTGTCGAGCACCCAACTGGATCATCCGTCTGGCCATGGAACGGCCAATGCCGCCGGTGCCACCAATGATGAAGTAGGTAGCCTCGCCTTGAAGCAAGGTAGAGCTTCCCTGAGGATGCGTAGCCTGGTGTTGTTAGCAATTGAAGCGTCAAGCAGGGAACGTGTGCTTACCTTGACTCTCTCGCCAGCTCGGGGGCTGACAATAACCTTGCCAGAAGTCTTTCCGCTCTGAAGCTTGCGCAAAGCAGTCTCAACCTCGGAAATCCCGACCGTGATGATAGGTCCGACTGGCTTCACCACATCTTCGGCCAACAGGTTCATGACGGACGTCAGCACGCGCTTCATAATCCTAGGTCGCTCGGCAGCCACAAGTGTGAGGTCGACCGAGCTAAAAGTACGGTTGTACTCAAACTTGTTCATCTCCAGCCTCGTGTTGGACGTGATATCTCTCTTGCCAATCTCGATGAAGCGTCCGAAGTGGGACACACACTCCCAGGTCTCGCGGAGGAGATCACCAGCGAGTGAGTTGATGACAACGTCGACACCCTCACCATTGGTCGCTTCCCGAATGGCTGGCCCAAAGTCTGTGTTGCGACTGTAGAAGATGTGGTCTTCGGGGATACCGTACGTGTCTATCAGCAGGTTTTTCTTCTCGGCGCTGCCAACAGTTGCGTAAATCTCAGCCCCGATCATCTGGGCGAGTTGGACCGCGGCTTGGCCGACACCACCTGACGCGGCATGGATGAGAATTCGTTCACCAGGCTGCAGGTGGGCGAGGTTGACAATGCCGTAGTAGGCAGTGCTGTAGACAACGGGGATGGAGGCGGCTGTCTCAAAGCTCATGTTGTCGGGGATGATGGCGGCGCTGGTCGCGGGGCATCTGGCGAACGTGCTGTATGCACCCAGAGACATGGCGCAGACTCTGTCGCCGATAGACAGTGATGTCACTCCTGAGCCGGCCCTGCTGACAATACCGCTACACTCAACACCAAGGTACGGGCTGCTAACCTGGCCCATGGCAATCACCACGTCCTTGAAGTTCATGCCAGTGGCGGCTACCTTGATCTCGATCTCATCTTCAGCCAGAGGAAGCTCAATATCGTCCTTGAAGTACAACGAGTCGAGAGCTCCATAGGTGCCAACAGCCACCTTGAGTCGACGTCCAGGCTGATCAAACTCCTGCAGATATGGAGCCGAGTCCTGGGTCTCGCGGAAGATGGCGAGGTTCATGTCTTCAGACTCCACAACGCGGGGCACCACGAGCTGGCCATCCTCTTCGGCGAACTCAAAGTCCACAGGCGTGTCATCTTGGGGCTTGACGAGCGACGTAGTCAAAGCCTCAAGAATGAGTTCCGCCCGACCGTAGGCATCGAGCCGGGAGTTAGGGTCCAGGTCTAGAAGCGCCGCTGTCTTGCTTGCCTCGGAGCGCACCGATCGGAGCAGGCCTTGAGCCATGTTGTTCTCGGGCTTCTCGGCGTATCGATAGCCACCTGCGCTGACCCAAAGCATGGAGGAGGATGTCAGAAGAAGCTTTTGTAGGCGATTGAACGTGTCTGCCGACAGCCCTTGGAGTAGCGGGCCGTCAAGCTCAGCGAGACAGATGTATGGGACTGCCGAAGGTTCGACCTTGGAGAAGGGAACAATGGTAGGCTTGGATCCGGTATGGAGATCAGTGAGATTCACCAGCGCCCCAATAAGCGGATCACTTTCGTCCTTGTCAGAGATGATGACGATCGGCTCCCCAAGGACGGTGCCGTCGAGCGCGAAACGCAGGGCATGCGTTTCGGCCGGTTGGCCATCCTGGCTGACACTGCCCCGGCTACTGATAGGTGTACCGACGGACCTGGGGCTCTCGCTAAGACCTTCGCTGGACGATGAGCAACCCGTGCTGTCGCTGCTGACGCGACGGGGAACCATCTCAAGGCTCTTCTCGCTTGCGGGACTCTCCAGGTCGAGAGGGTTCAATTGCTCCCACTGGATCTTGTAGCACAGCGAGCGAGGGACCTGCTCTTGCCCCATGTCACCATTGACGGGTGTCATACGGAAGCCATCCATCTTCAAGAGAGGCTCGGTGGCAGACTCCGTGTTCCAGACATCGACGAAGAAGTCGACAGGTCCAGGGCTAGCAGGGTTGGGTTTGCCGTGAGCAACAACCTGGACTTGCTGACCCGTCAAGCTTGGAAGCTTGCTGCTGATCTCAAGCTCCTTGATGGCTGTAGGCATGAAGAGAGACTTCATATCGCCTCGTCCAGCACCAAAAATGGCGAAAGTCAGCTGAACAAACAGATCTGTGAAAGCTGCTGGTAGGATCGAAGGAGTCTCGTGGGTGAAGGGCATACTCGAAGCGGTGTCAGGTACGATGGCGCCACTGGTAGAGTACTCTCCTGCCACCTTGAGACCGCCCGACGGCTGAAGCTGGAACAAAGATCCATACTCAGCACCAAATCCCTCAAGTTCAGAGTAAAAGTCTTGGGTAGACAGCTCGCCGCCGCGGATCTTATCGGCGGCAGTCTTGCGTGCACGAGCACCATGTGTACTGCCCTGGCTGACAGCGTTGGAGGTGTCTTGCTTCCGAACGGCGACAAGACCTGTGCAATGTTCCAGCCAGCCTCTGCTAGAGTTCCAAGACGCAATCCGGAACTCGTCCCAGTCGGAGGATTGGGCGCGGGTGCCTTCGGAGTACGATCGCAGTGTTACAACTGTCTCATACTCGGAGCTGTCGTCAAGCACAAATGCCTTGGACACACAGATCTCGCGAAGCCGGTATCCAAGGATTTGCTCAGCAGGGATGCCACGCAGACCAGCACGCTGCATAGAGGCCTCCACTGCCATGCAGAGGTAAGCTGCCAAAGGCATGGTTGTCAGCGACTGCATCTTGTGGTGCTTCAACCACGGCACGTCATCAACAGTAATGACGTTTCGCCAGGTAGGATCCAGCTCGCTGTAGTTGTCTTCGAGTGTGCCCAGCAGGTCGTGACGAGGGAATGGCTTGAGGCGATGCTGCTTACTGGACCGAGACTCGAACCAGTACTTCCGGTCCGCCCACGGGTACGGCGCAAAGTCAGCGACCAAAGAAGGCTTCTGGGCGCCATCGTCATCCTCGTTGATAGCGCTGAAGTTGACAGGGTAGCCCTTGACAAACAGAGCACCAGCAAGCTTGATCGCCGTGGTCGTGGCGTGTTGGTTGCGCACAAGCGACGACTGGTACTTGACACCGGAGGCTTGGCTGCTGATAGCCTTAAGAATCTGCTTGATAGGGCCCTCCAAGGCCGAGTGAGGCCCAATTTCGACAATCATGTCAGGCTGACCGTCTTCGTACAGCTCCTTCAAAGCCGACGAGAAAAGGACGGGCTTGGTCAGGTTGTCGACCCAGTATGATGGGCCCAGGTCAGCTGTCGAGTCGAGTTTGTTACCGTTCAGAGAAGAGTAGAAAGCAACTCCGTCGCAGTCTTGGCTCTTGGTGTTGCTGATCGAAGCCATGTAGTCATCAGCGACGAGCTGCATGTGTGGTGAGTGGTAGGCCACATCAACACGCAGCTTGCGGTTGAAGATGCTGCGATTCTCAAGTTCGACGGCAAGCTTGTCGATGGCATCCTCATCTCCAGATACCGTGACGGAGGAGGGCGAGTTCTCACAAGCCACAACAATGGAGGTCAGACCCAGAGACTGGATCAGCTCCTTCATCTCGGCTGGGCCAGCGCCCACGGCAATCATTGAGCCTCGGAGATCAGGGAACTTGGCCTTCATCTTCAGGGCGGCCTGACCACGGTGGTAAGCAGCGGCCATGGCAGCCTCGAGAGTGATGGCACCAGTGGCAAAAGCAGCTCCAATTTCACCACTGGAGTGGCCGACTACCATTGAAGGCTTGATGCCCCAGGACTCAAGCAAGGCAGTCAAGCCCAACTGAACCGCGGTGCAGATAGGCTGGCTGATGTGCGCCTTGCCGATCTGCGACTCTTCCTTGCCCTTGTTGAGCTCCTCGATGAGAGAGAAACTCGCACCCATACGCTTGAGGCAGTCGTCGGCAGCCTCAACTGTATCAGCGAAGATGCGATGGCTGTTGAGTAGTTCGCGACCCATGCCAGCCCACTGAGCTCCTTGGCCGGTGTAAACGAACGCCAGCTTGGGCACCTTGGCTGCTCTGCTTGGCAGGGCCTCGATGCCATTGAGCGACAGGGCAAGCTCATCAAGAGATGTCGCTGCCAGGGCAGTTCGCCACTGAAGATGAGATCTACGCTCACCTAGTGTGTAGGCAATGTCTCGGATGAGACGCTTCTGAAAGACCTCAGGGTGCTGCTCGATGTAGACACCAAGTTGCGACGTCAGGCGCTTGAGTGCACCCTCATCGTGAGCGGACAAGACGAACAGCTTGGGACACTGATTCTTCGACTCAATTGGCAAATCCGAAAGAGAAACGGGCGGACGTTCCAGAACAGCATGTGCATTGGATCCTCCGAAGCCAAAGTTGTTGATGCTGATGTACCGCTTGTTCTTTGGCCAAGGACGGATGTTGATAGGAACCTTCATGTTCCACTGATCCAAGGGGATACTGGGGTTTGCCTTTTCAAAGTTGAGATTAGGCAGGATGAAGCCCTTCTCAAGCATTAGGGTCGCCTTGATGATGGATGCAATGCCACTAGCATTTTCGAGATGTCCGACGTTTGTCTTGACGGACCCTATGTAGAGAGGGAAGCGCTTGGTGCGACCCTTGCCGAAGACGCGAGAAAGGGCGCCGGCTTCGATTGGGTCACCGACTTTTGTTCCCGTGCCGTGGGCTTCGATGAAGCCGACCTCTTCAGGGTTGATGCCTGCCCTGGCGTAGACATCACGCATGAGACGCTCCTGAGCCTCGCCGCTTGGCGTTGAGATGCCTAATAGGATGTAAGTGCGATGCACGTTGAAACTTTTGAGAGTTTACTTACCAACTGTCTTTCCATCTTGGTTTGTGCCAGTGTTGACAATGACTGAGCGGATCTTGTCATTGTCCTTCAGAGCCTGGTCAAGAGGCTTCAGAAGTAGGGCACCAACGCCCTCACCTCGGGCGAAGCCAGACTTGGCTCTCTCATCGAAAGCAAAGGTCTTTCCGTGCTCATTGAAGATTCTTGATTGGTGAAGATTAGCTATGAAACGTTTTGAATGGATGGGAACAATGACTCACCCTAGCATCGACATGGAGATGTAATCATCAGGCTGGAGGTGCAGGTTGGCAGCAGCCACAACGGCCTGCTCAGACTCGCCGGATCTAATACTCTGCACAGCCTGATGCAGAGCATACAAGCTAGATGAGCATGCGGTGTCTATCGACGAGCAGGGTCCACGAAAGTCAAAGTAGTAAGACAAGCGACCCGCTTGGATGGACTGGTGATTGCCAGTGGCATCAAACATGGGTACTCGGTTCACATCACGCAGAGTGCCCATGCGATAGTCTGATGAGGCACCGCCAACAAAGACTCCAATGTTGCGGCCAGCAATGGTCTCTTTGGGAACACCAGCATTCTCAAGAGCCTCATACGTACACTCGAGTAGCTGCCGTTGTTGTGGGTCTAGAGCAAGACATGTTAGCAAATATGCAAGACATCTCGGGGGTATTCTAGAATATTGTCTCACCCATAGCCAAGGCTTCCTGCTCTGTGATGTTAAAAAACGGGGCATCGAACCGCGACAGGTCCTGATTCATAAAATAACCCCCCTTGGCGTTGATGCACCCCTTCTTCTGAGGGTTGGGATGGTGAAAGGCTCCCATGGCGAACCTGTCTTCTGGTATCTCCTGCCAGCCGCTTCGTGACCGAGACAGGAGTGTCCAGAAGTCCTCAGGGTTAGACACGTCGCCCGACAGCCGGCAGGACATGCCGATTATGGCGATGGGTGTTACCCGGTGCTCTTGGTTGGCTGACATTGTGACGTGTGAATTTGGAGTTCAAAGATGTTGCGAGACGCTAAGGAGCTGTGTGGAATAGTTGGGTTGACAGATATCAGAACAGGTCAAGCAAAAAGCCAAGGGAAATCAATGCAACTATATCATTTTTTTACCCTTGCCCTTCTATGGCTGAACTCAGCTGAATGCTATTCAATATTCGCCGTTCTCAGCGTTCTGATAAACCGTCAAAGATGGAAACATCAAGCCAAAATTGCCCTGGATTGCACCGGCTCACTAGGATCCCGTTTCTTATCCATAAAGTCAAGGATGTACTGCTACCTCTACCACATGTAGACAAGAGGATGGTGTGCCAAGAGATAGGGGGAGCAGATCACTTCCCTTGGTCCAGATATCACATTCAAAACCAGATACGGAACCAAATCCTATGTATCTGTTACACCGAGATTCCCTTTCGATCATGGCGTCAACACCCAGGTCCATTGCATCGGCAGTTGATCTCGCCGTTCACAGCTTAGCTATAGAAAATGATGCGATGTGATGGCATGCGATAGTTTTATGAATCCCTTTCTTTGACTGCTTTCGCCCACTTTCCGAGGGTTTTCGGCTCTTCTCCGTCCCGAGTTATGTATGGTCCAAAGGGACAGGGGCAAGAGTTATTAGTTGTTTGGAAAAGGCCGAGATCTACGACACGCCCCCACCTCGCGTAGATTGCTACGTCGATGGTCGACGGCGATCATCACGGCATGTCTTGGATTCATATGCGCATTCAGTTTAGGCCGAGGTCTGATCAGACAATTTTTCATCATTTTTGCTAATCGAATTAATCTCTCTTTGTCGTCACTTCATGATATCGCGGGGGCTCTATCTCAGCCTTGATTTGACACATGAACTGACGAGCTGCAGTGCCGAACATGCACTACCGAGCTGAATGAGGGTCAACGCTAATCTGTGCTGAGCGTGGGGTTAGCTAGGAGCCTATCTTCCGGCTTGTTCCGTCACTTACACGTTTGCATATGCCTCCCACCCCCAGAAGCAGCTGTCAGATGTGACCAGGGGCATCCCGACACACCGAGCAGGTGAACTTTTGTCTCGTCATGGTCGCATCGCCTAATGGTACACATACAGTTGCATCCTCATCCCTTCTCGCTCCCTCGTGCGTGTGGTAAGACCTCCAGGCGAGTCAGATCGTATGTTTGCAAGTAGCATTTAGACATGGATATGAATGCATTCGATTATTATCTTACACCGAGATCATCTATCTACTCAATCTGGAAAATCACCCCGCCCTTCCCCAACGGTTTGACTACTCCTCAATCCTTCCCGACCTTGACTATCGTATCTGTGATAGCCGTGGCCAGCTCGTTGATGGTTCTCGTATCCCTCGGCAGCGTGTGACCCTTGCCGTGGTCAAAGAGAACCGCGGTATCTTCATCGCACATGCCGTAGAGTGCCATGGCGCCTTGGATGTATGGATCGTTGCATCCGACGACATGGCACGTGGGAACATCAATGATATCCTCGCATTCGTCTGCCAGCAGGCATTCGACACGGTTCTCATCGGTGAGACGGATTGGAGGCCATCCAGCGAAGAAGATAGCAGCCTGCATGGAGATAAGTCCGTGGTCCTGATGAAAAGTCCAGATACGAACCTTGATGCGTCGGGGAATTCCCTTTTCTTCAAACCGTCGCCGTTCTTCAAGGACCAAGCTCGCGGCGATGGTGGCTCCCTCCGAGTAGCCTAGGATTCCCTGCATGCAAGTTTATCAGCCATTTATCTTGACATAGGGCATTGATTCAATCAGGAAACATACGTCAATCTCAGGGTCTTGGTCAATAATCTCATGCAGCCTGTCAAGAGCGCTGTGTACAGCATCAGTCGTAAACAGGTCGTCTTCACCCAGCAACTTGCGGATGGTGTCCTCGGGAGTCATGCCCTTAGGAAAATCACGGATCTTGACCATCATGTCGTCCAGGCCTCCGACGCCGTCATAGTCCATGAAGCGAAAGAGGGGAGGAGCACCAAAGTAGTCATCAAAGCCAGGCGGTGGTATGGCCTTGTGCCCGCCATCAATCCATTTGAACGTGCTGGAACCTGAGTTCTGTACTACGTCGGTGAATGGACCAAGCTGGATTTTGAAGTTCTAGAGGCAATTGTTAGTGATCAAATGATGTGTAAGCGGCGAGTGGTGGGCATAGACTTACAGAGGCGCTCCCATAGGAGCCGTGGAGGCAGAGAAACTTCATTGTGAGCAGAGATGGCGAGAATGTCGATGCTTCTCCAAAAAGACCCCTTGCTCTACCCTCCTCTTAACACTTTGGCCTGCCTGCTAGTTAATTGAGTTCACCCCGTCCTCCGGTGAAAGCGGTGGTCCCAAAGAGGGTGGTTGCAGTGACAATCGGAATCTGCCAGTCAATAGCTCGACCCACATGGTCTCAATGGGCGATAACGTGTCTTGGATTGATGTTGCAGTCAAGGATTCACCCTGACATGGTCAACGAGACCGAACGCGACCATTTTCTCTCGTCATCTTCTTCTTGTCTTATCTGTGACGTGCATTCACATTTAGCGGAACCTCATCGTCTTCTTCAACCTCCGCAATCGTAACAAAGCCAAAATGACGACCCCTGTAATCGACACACGCAAGGTCCTGATGCTCACAAACATTGAGCACGGTCAATCTAATGTCTTTCTCGCAGCTGCACAGGCTATCCTTGAAGCCGATCCCAGCGTTGAGGTGCATTTCGCCACGTTTCGTGGTCTTGAAGGGTCCGTCGCCGAGGTCTCAGAGTATGCCCGAGGATCTACACCTGGCGTGAGACCCATCGTGTATCATGAAATTCAGGGCCTCTCGTACCGTCAAGGGCTTCAAAACTACACGGAGCGGCACAACATTCCAGCCCGGCCGGGATACTTTGCTGATTCTGTCTCCACCCCCCTCAGTTTCTCCGCGACTAAACAGGCCATCAGGGACTTTCTGCCCGCTTTCATACCCTACACTGGCGAGGAGCTGGGGGAGATTGTCGCCTCAATTATCGGCATTATTAAAGATGTGAATGCGGATCTTGTGGTGCTGGATCCGTTAATGACGGCTGGGTTGACGACTGTTTGGCATTTGCAAGTCAAGTACATGGTTCTGAGTCCCAACACCATCAAAGACTTTGCGGCGGCTGGGCAGCCACGTGGTGAGAAGTTCTGGAAGTATCCTGCGTACGCATGCATTTACTTGTTCTGTTCTGCCAATCGCCACTAACAAATTGACAGACTTTTCACTGGATATTCTTACCCCGTGCCGTGGCACCTCATCCCTCTCAATGTCTACTTTCTCTTCTACATGGCCTATCTCTGGATCACATCCCGTCACAGAAAAGAGACAACTACTCACCTAAAAGACAAACTCGGCATCGATCTGAAAACAGCGATTGATCTTCAGCGCAGTACACCTGAAAGCCCCAAGATCGCCGTCGGTTTCCTACCGGAACTCGATTTTGAGGGGATACTGCCTAATAATATCCTCCCATGTGGACCCATTCTTCGAAGCGCATTGCCCATTGAAGAATCAGACCCCGAGCTAGGAAAATGGCTGGCCAAGGGGCCGACGGTTTATATCAACCTCGGTTCTATGTGCCAGATTGATGAGCAACAGATGATTGAGATGGCATCTGCCATCAAGGCCACCATTGACAGGTTTCAGACATCATGCAAACGCCCCCTTCAAGTGCTATGGAAGTTGAAAACCCACAAGGGCATCAATACCCAGAACGCCAAGATTGTAGATATTCTTGGCAAGGATATCGTCGCGGATCAAGTCAGAATTGTTGACTGGGTCGTTTCCGAGCCCATTGCCATTCTGCGGACAGGACATGTCATATGCTCAGTCCACCACGGTGGCGCTAATTCATTCAACGAAGCCGTCGTGTATGTTGCCTACCCTCTTGGGTTTTATCAACTAACTTTGATAGTACGGCAACTCCCCAAGTGGTCCTTCCCCAGTGGTCAGACTGCTATGACTTTGCCGAGCGCGTTGAGATGCTCGGCGTGGGACGGCTTGGGAGCAAGAACACAAAGCCCAGGTGGACAGCTAAGGGCCTTGGCCAGTCGTTGATTGATGTCATCATGGGGAAAGATTATGAAGCTATGAAGAAGAGGGCAGAGGATTTGGCGAGGTTGTGCAAGGATGCTGGGGAAGGCAGAGAAGTTGCAGCCAAGTTCATCTTAGAGGAGATGGCGGCCGAGGATGACCTGCCGGTGTCTGTTTGAAGACGAAGAGTCGATCTGTTCTTTATTATAGTTGCAGCCCGGCCCTCGATGGATTAACTGAGCCCGAAGATCGAAGACGAAGAGTCACGTCCCAAGGCAAGGGTGGTAATTAGCTGCGTTTTTCGTCATCTGAGTCAAGGAAAGAGCACGAATTGATTTCACTTTGCGAACCCACGGAATCTTGGCACGACAATCAGGTTATTAACAAGTTTGGCAGATCTCAGGTGCAACAGATCAACAGGATTAAGTAAATACGTTAGAATTGAGAGCCAAGTCCACTCAGGGTAAGAGATTTACTGAGCACACAAACTTGAAAGTGGAAGATCTAGGGTAGTCAACACTAACAGCCCGTTTAAGACCCATGGTCAATTTCTTATCAGTAATCAAGCATCATTAGATCAAAGCCAAGATCAAAGATAGGAAAATCTGGGCGCAGGTGGGTTCAACAGTTCGCATCATCACATCACGCCACTCGCTTGAGGCTCATGATCTGAGGGTCCCGCCAAGTGTGAAGCCGAACACCGAAGATCCACAGTCGAGCCACTTTTCTTCCGATATGTTTTTGAGCGATAATCATGGTGGTATGAGGCTCTGCTGTTCATTTGAGTCAACCTGGACGACACGTGGGTGATGTAAGTTCGATGATTCTTAACTTGGTGGTGGGGTGGCTGACGACCACAATCGCATCTCAGGTCATGGGGGTTTGTATCACATCTGGAAAAGCTGATGATAATTTCAGTTCCCTGGTCAGCTGAGATGCAAAAAGAGACTCGGTGAGGGAAATATCGAGGCTCTACAGAGTGCTGCGGGAGCAAAGCCGCAATGCGGGCGGATGCCGTGTCTGGGCATGGTAAGCTGCAGTTGATGAACCAATTCTCTCAGGAGATCAACAATGAAACCTCAATGTATTCAGTTGTGCCAGTGAGTGTTGGAGGTAGTAGCGGGTTGCATCTGATAAACGAGATCATCAAGGTTGCCAGTAATTTTGAGTATAAATTCGCCCGGTCCTCACATCCAGCCATCCCTCCCGCTTACTCTGTACCATCCACGGACTTTCACTCCCAGTCGGCACCGACGTTGCTTTCTCTCAATCGGGTCCGACTTTTGGTACCTAGATCCGCCACCACCAACAACCGTAGCATCCAATTCCCCCGCATTCGACCAAAGCTAGACAAGGATCATACCTGTCTACATCTCAAACATGTCGAATAAGAGTCCAAGATGAACGCGATCTTCACTGCACCCCGCACTTCATCTTCGGTCGAGCGGTCACTTTAGTCAATGCAAAACGGCAGATGAGAAAAGGGAAAGAGGACAGGCAGAATGACCGTGTTGTTAGGCGGCATTGCAGCGGGGGTTCGACGCCGTGTCACCAGTGGGTCTGACGCATTCAGTGGGATGATTATGAGGTCGGCCCGTATAAAGTCACCCGGCGGAGCCGATTTATGACGAGTCAAACTTGCTTTTTGGACCATGTCAAGTCTCGCTGGATCAACATTTAACAGGCTCTTCGCCAGGAACATCCGTGGGTCCATGTCAAGGAATCTGCAAACATCATTCTACTACAGCACAATGCGCGCAGCTAGATACTACGGAAAGGAGGATATTCGGGTTGAGAACATTCCCGAACCGACAGTCGGAGCGGGTCAGATCAAGGTGAGCATGTAGATCAGGTATAGAGTTCGTCTATTTCTAACTTGGATAGATCGCCCCGGCCTTTGTTGGCATTTGCGGAACAGATCTCCATGAGTATCTCGGAGGACCCAACTTCTGCCCCACAACCGCTCATCCCGTCACCAAAGAGACCATCCCCGTCACACTGGGCCATGAGTTCTCAGGCATCATCTCAGAAGTCGGCCCTGGAGTAGAGGGCTTTGAAGTCGGTCAACCTTGCGCTGTTCAGCCTACAATCTTTTGTGGACACTGCGCAGCCTGTGATTCGCACGCCGAGAATGTGTGTCACACTGGCGGTTTCGTCGGACTGAGCGGGGGTGGTGGTGGATTGAGCGAAGCTGTCTGTGTAAACGCTACACACGTTTTCCCTCTGCCCAAGCATCTTTCTCTTGAGATTGGAGCTCTTGTCGAACCCCTTTCTGTGTCGTGGCATGCTATGAGCGCGGCACCAGAAATCAACCCAGAGTCCAAGGTGGTTATCATCGGAGGTGGTCCTATTGGCTTGGCGATGATCCTGTGTCTCAAGGCCAAGGGTGTCAAGGATATTATTGTCTCTGAGGTTGCCGTGTCTCGCCAGAATTTCGCTAAGGAGTTTGGCGCCTCGCTGGTGGTCAACCCCATCAAGGAAAACCTCAACGAGATTGTCCTGGGCTTGAGCGAGGGCAGAGGCGCTGATGTGGCCTTTGACTGTGCCGGAGTTCCTGCAAGGTGCGTTCTTGATCCATGCAACGATACAAACTGCCACTAATTGCTTCATAGTGTCAAGAGTGCATGTGAGGTCGTCAAGACCAAGGGCACCGTGGTCAACGTGGCCATCTGGGAAAAGGAAATCCCCTTCAACCCCAACTGGATCACATGGAAAGAGAGTGCCTACAAGTCTGTCCTCGGTTACCAGCGAGAGGATTTCGAAGCCGTTATTGAGAATCTCGGTACAGGTAAGTCCATTTACTTTATGTTTTGTTCAAGCCAGCTGCTAACATAGCCAGGCGCTATTGAGCCCAGCCAAATGATCACCCGAAAAATCAAGCTTGAGAACATTGTGGAGGACGGTATCAAGGCGCTGATTCATGACAAGGATAACCAAGTCAAAGTTTTGGTTGATGTTAATGATAAATGAGTGATGAGCAGTCAAGAGTAGCGTGGCGTGAGGGTGTGATGTCCGATTTTGGCACAGGCGTTGTTTGCGAGCGGGCAGATGTGGTTTTTGTTTAGGTATTTAAACACGTCAAACATTCGAGCTTCAGCAAGAGGCATCCGAAGCCAAAGTGAAACCTTGTCTATGGATATGTCGCTTCTATTAGTTCTCCTTGGTCCAGGGTGGAACAAAGTAGTAGACCAGGCCATGGATGATACACGCAATACCGTCTCCCACCCTGTAAAGTTCAGTCAGCGTCAACGTATTTCAAGAATAGACCAAGGAAAATCAAGACTTACCAGTGTATCCAATGCCAGGTTGGAAATCTCGTCCCTACGAAGGCCCCCATGCATCGAGCCGGGTTCAAGCCGGCACCGCCATATCCATATCGTGTAAATCCAGTCGAAAAAGCCAAAGTTCCAGAAGCGAGTCCAACAAGGAACGGAGCTAGGGTCGGCCCGACGATTTGAGCTTGTCGTGGGTCTAAGCCAAGCCCGAAGGCGAGGAATAGGAGAATGGTTGCCGCTATAAGTTCGACGACAAAAACCTCTCTGATGGGCACGATATCAGGGTCGAGCCAGCATCCACCGACTTTAAACTCCCTAGTACCGTAACTGGCCCTCACCAATAGCCCAGCCAATGCGCCTCCGCCAATTTGAGCACTAACGTACAATATCAAGCGTGGAAGGGAGCAGAGGCGGGCACAGAATGTTGCAAAGGTGATGAGAGGGTTGAAGTGAGCTCCCTGTCTGGGTCAATATCTGCCTGTCCGAATAATATCAATATCCTTACCGAAACAGGCCCGAAACATGAAATGAATAAAGAAATAAAAAAGATGTTGGTGATCCCGCCTATCAAGGGACCTATGAATGCAGCATTGTCAAAGTTGCCCAGCTGAGCTGTTGGCGGTGTGGGAAGCCGTGGTGGTGAGATGCCGATCCAGATAGTGATGTACGCCTGCATCAGTGTGCCTATAGTTGCGTTAAAAAGGATAATCTCGTGAGCACCATGATCTCTCACCCATTCCCTCGATGAGAGCAGCCTTCCACAAATATGGGCTCAAAATTGGTCGGCAATCCAGAAGCTCTCGGAATGACATGTGCGGTGTCGCATCTGGCTCCTTTTCCAAAAACTTCTCATCCGCCGACGTTCTTCGATCAATCGTAAATGCCTGATTTGCTCCAAGTCGACCAGCGAAAGGGTGGCTGTAGCTGCGATATCGTGGGGCCGTCGGCTCCGGGGAGTCCAGCTCAACCGGCGGCCGAGACTCGACGTCGCCATTGTAGCTTGTCGTTTGTGAGACGGGACCTGCCATTCTCATGATGTATTGGATTCACTTCATGGGTCCACAAAATACAACTGGGACAGGTGCTTCCATCAGTCGGTATATATATGACCTCTTGTGGCGGCCGACCTCTGGATCATCATGATGACACATGTGCCGGTATTTCCGATATTCAAGGTTAATCGGGAATGGCGTCGTTTAGCAGGTGATTTCTTGGTCAAATGCTCGAAGAAGCGGTGGGGCTGGGCTTGCGAGCAACCCAACGGACATAAAACAACCGTGATTAGCAGGTGATTATGTCAACGACGATTGGCCCTCTTATTTTGTCGAACCAACAATGCGACGTCGGAGACATTACCAATGCCGCTAGCGTGTCTTACACACAATTACAGAAGCTGACTGAACAGAGATAATCCACAACAGCGCAGCTATGATTAATGTATAAATAAGCAAAGGGCACGTTTTATTTACTTTGAGAGTTTAAGCGAGAGCGTAAAGCTTAAGTGTCTGTCGTCGTGGGTGATGATGCCGCCACCAAGTTGAAAGACGACCGAGACATCGCAATAATCGGCACCACAGCATAGTGCAAACATTCAAGCAATCTGAAGCTATCATGGAGAATGAGAAAAGCTTCCCCCGATCAATCAACATCCCGTGTCTAGATCAATACTGCAGCATGTTGGCTACCTTCCTCAATCCAAACGGCCGCGTACTGTTGCTTATTCGAGGTCTCCCTCTAGGGATTCCCTAATCTTTTAGGCTTGTAGGAATTAGTGATCTATCAGCTGAAGATCTCATGGATAATTGAACCACACAGTTCAATGGTCAGGCATGGCTCCGATGTTTGGCCATAGAGAAACTCCGAACGATGTTTCAATTCGATCACAAGTCATCAGATTTACGCCCAGAGACGAAACTCCAGTACGCCAAAATTGCGATTCCGCTTTTGAAGCTGATGGTACTGGGCGGTGGTTAAGCAAGCGGTTCGCCATCTTGAGGTCATGGGTTTTGACGGTGTCTCAGCCCAAAGACGGAGTTCCTCTTTCGTCCAAGGGGATCAAGTGTATACGCAACCTAACCGATTCCGCATTGTCGAACGTATAGATAATCAGATTAGCATCAAGAGATTCGTTTCCGCCCTTCTTGACCTGCCTATGGAAGTCAACCTCGTATAATGATGAAGAAGATATTTGGAAACTTGTCACAAACCCTAACGGCATAAATCACTCTGGCCCGTAGATACACTCTTAGAGTTGAAAATTGGAAACTCAATACACCATACAAGGCACTTACACTGAGAAGGATGGCCAGATAGATAGCGATGCAAATCCAGTAAGGGTATTGTAGGCAAGTATCTCAAGTTCGGAACGTGCTTGTAGCAGTGGTTGCCGCGTTAGGATCTTCTGGCTCAGTTAACCCATCAAGGGCCAGGCTTCAACTATAATAAAGAACACACTGGCCTCTTCATCTCATACGATCCATGACTCTGATTAAACCACAGTTGTTTCTATCATCGCCGACTGTACGCTCGGCTGGTATCGAAACAGCCCTTTGCTTCCTAAACGCAAATAGTCTTATATAGGACCAAGGCGCACCCCCCGAATATCGTCTTTATCGTCATACTAGCTAATAAAATATAGGATCTCGGAATTGACACCCTGATTGACGAACAGGTCACTGACCGCCGCCCACCCCAGTCACAGGATAGCTCTCCCAGTGTCCGCAGCTTACAGGCCTTTCGCACCATCTTCGCAATCTGTACCCTCAACTCAGAGAATCAATTCAAGACACTCCACCAATCATGATATCTATGTCCAATCTATTCGCAAAGCAAGTCCCCCACGCTTTGACCACGGGAGCATGGGCTTTCCGGATAGGCCTCACTGGTCGGTGGAGGGTCGTGAAGAAAGTGGGGCCCTTCCGGGCAGATAGGATAGAAATAGAAGGTCACATTCAATTCAGGGGTAAGTCGTAGAATGATATGCAAGGGACATGAGTTTCGATCTTAAATACGAGGTCCGTCCCTGTCTTTATCACACAAATAGGCTCATTCTGGGAGGCCCTTTTGCCAAAGAAACTTCTTGCATCATTGGCATGGGGGTCTCTATTGTGATAGTCGATGCATCACTATTGCACCCGGATGGATATCATCGCGTGATCAGGTCGTTCAAGCAGAAGCCAAGCGTCGTATTTGGTTGCCAAGACGGAAGCCAGTACACGAAGGGTAAGGGAGATATTCCCAAGCCCTTATCGAGTAACATTCTCCGGGGTAGTATTGGGAACTTCTGTCGGCACATCATGCATTCCCACCCCTTGATCTCGCTTTCCTGAAGATATATAAACATATAACCTCTATGCATTGGAAGTTGTGCTTTGCTCTCATTAGCGTCTAGGCGATCCTACCACTGTCATTCATTATGCGCCTGTTGCACACTCTTTTTACTCTTTCGTGCGTTGCCAGCGCTCTGGCCCGCCATAACACTCTTTTACGTCGTGACGGTGAAAATGTCGCCCCAGCTGTGAACGAAACTGATGTTGATCCTAAGCGATTCATCATCGAGTTTGAGGATGTATGGCCTCTTCGTACCAAGCCGCCAAGACTCCTGTATTAATGGATACTAGGGAACCAACTCCAAAGCCACCGCCGATAAACTGGCGGACCGTCCCGATGTCAAGCTTATCAGGGTTTTTAACAGCGATGTATTCAAGGGTGCTTGTGTGGAGACCGCGAAGGACAACCTTGATACCCTCCAGGAGGAGGAATCTGTCATCAAGGCTTGGCAGGTTAAGAAGGTCACTTTGGCTCCCATGAAACCACTGCAGACATTTGGCAAAGAAGCTGCTGGCGTCAACACATCGATTCACCACATGACTGGAGTAGACAAGCTCCATGCTGACGGTGTGCTGGGCAAGGGCGCTGTTGTTGCCGTTGTTGACACGGGAGTTGCCTATAATCACCCCGCAGTAAGTCGGCGTTGACATCAATTGGAAATACATTTCGACTAACAATAGACAGCTTGGAGGAGGATTCGGTCCTGGTTTCAAAATCGAGGGTGGATATGACTTTGTGGGCGATGGAGGTAAGAACATGCCTTTCAATGAGAGTGACGTTGAGCTAAAGAAATGGTGGCAGAATGGCCTGAAGATGAGCAGAAGCAGCCTGATGAGGATCCCATGGACAACTTGGGCCACGGAACTCATGTCTCTGGCATCATTGCGGGGAAGAGCGATCTGTAAGTGAACGACAGATCACACAGTGTTGCTATCCCTCAGAAACTAAGACTGCTAGGATCACCGGAGTTGCTCCTGACGCCACTCTCCGAGTGTACAAGGTCTTTGCAAAAATGGACGCAACAACCGAGGACGTTCTGATTGATGCTTTCCTCAAGGCTTATGACGACGGCGTAAGTGACTAGGTTGGGTATTCATAGCACCGCAACTAATCAAGACTTGCAGGCCGATATCATCACTGCCTCCATTGGTGGCCTTGGTGGCTGGTCAGAGAACGCATGGGCTGTAGTAGCCTCGAGAATCGTCGACCAGGGTGTAGTTGTCACCATCTCAGCAGGGAATGATGGCCAAGCCGGTCCCTTTGCTGCTAGCACCGGATCCTCTGGCGCCCATGTCCTTGCTATTTCTTCCATCGACGGAGATGTGATTGCCACAACTTCTTTCAACGCGACCTTTGACAACGACGGAGACTCGGAGACAGTCAACGTGCCGTACATGCCAGCGGCTGAGTGGTACCCATCTGACGTCGACGGCTGGCCAGTTGTCCCAGTCGGACTTGATACGACCGTCGCAAATGAGGCTTGTAGCCCACTATCGAATGATACTCGCAATTTCACTGAGTCAGTCGTGCTCGTACGTCGAGGAGGATGCAACTTCTCGCAAAAGCAGCAAAACCTGGCCGCCCTTGGTGCAACACATATCCTCATCTACACCAACGAGATGCCCATCGTGGTCCCTTCTGCTGTCTCCCAGGACGGAAGCATTGCCATGATTACCCGAGAGGCCGGTGCTGCGATCATCAAGACCATCAAAGCCGGCGGAAACGTCACTGCTGGCTTCACCACCCCACCTATGAAGACTCTCACTGGAGTAGTCAATGAGGAGACAGGAGGAGCACCAAGTTATTTTACTAGCCTTGGCGCGACTAACGACCTCTTCATCAAGCCTGATGTGGCCGCTCCAGGTGGTCAGATTCTGTCGAGCTACTTGGACGATGAATATGCTGTACTCAGCGGCACATCCATGGCTTGCCCATATGTCGCCGGTATCGCAGCGTTGTATATCAGCAAGCACGGTGGTCGCTCGGCTCACGGGCCTGACTTTGCCAAGGACCTGTCTATGAGGATTATTTCGTCTGGTGAGGCTGTCAAATGGCACGACGGAACCTCGGATAGCCCAGACTATGGATTCATGGCCTCGGTGGCTCAGGTGGGCACCGGAATCGTCAATGCTACCAAGGTTCTGGACTACAGTACTAGTCTCTCCTTTGTCAAATTCGCTCTGAACGATACAGTCCACTTCAACGAGGAGCACACCGTCGAAATTACCAATGGCGGAGACAAGGCCACGACTTATGACTTGTCGGTTGAAAACTACGGCGGTTTTGATTCCATGAATACCGATCCTGAGACTTGGGGAACACCACGAATGGCCTGGGGTGAAGAAGTCCTGGCTGCACCTCAGAAGATGAACCCCGATGTTTCACTGCCTGATGCAAAACTGACCATCCAGCCTGGAGAGACCAAGTCTGCGAAGATCTCGTTCAAGGCTCCTGCGGGACTCGATGGTTCCAAGCTGCCCTTGTACAGCGGCAAAATTGTTGTCACTGGCAGCAACGGTGAATCTCTTGGAGTTCCTTATATGGGTCTCGCATCCGATCTTGAAAAGGACGTTGGCGACATCTTTGAGTATCCTATCGGCTTTCCAACTATGACTTCAACCCGTCAGGAGATCCCTATCGCGGAGAAGAGCAACTTCACCTTTGATCTGGACCCAGAAGTTCAGGACTTCCCTGCTGTGTACTCACGCATAGGCTTTGGCACCCGAGAGCTTCGATGGGACATCTTTGACGATAGCTGGACTGAGGACAACTGGGAGTATCCTCCGGTGATCGGCAAGGCAGGCTACATCGGGTCTGCAACAAGTTGGGCCCAGTTGTCTGGCAAGCAGTATTTCAACGCTAGCTCAGACGATGCCAATGATCTTATCGCGTTGCCGTTGAGGGATCTATCGCGTGACATTGTCGGAAGGCTTGGAACTGAGCTTTGGTGGCTGGGTCGGTTGGCCAACGGAACTCAGATTGCGGAAGGACGATACAAGATGCGATTCGCTGCCCTGAAGCCGTTTGCTGACCCGCAAGCCTCAGCTGGTTGGGATGTGTTCAAGACTCCTGCATTTGACGTTTTGCCTCTCGAAGATTAAGCGGTAGATGTTTTAGCAACATAATCAACTCTTAGGTCTCATTTAGACTCCATATATCGTGACATGTGCTGGCGTATCTATGGATAGGGGGCTATCCCCAATCGCAGTCCCATGAAGCAGCTTGAAGCGTGGCGACACTGGCTGATGATGCCAAGACAGTTGTCGTGAGAGCTGAACGAAGCAGATATCGGGGGATCCATATGGTCCGGAAGTGGCGGTCTTGGCAGTCTTGGCGGTCGGGTCCCGATAAGTGAGTCGAAGTTGAGCTGTTGAACCACAAGGCCATGAAGCGGTAAAGTAAGCTCTCCGCGGCTACGTGTTTGTTCATGGCCTCATGGTGCCTAGATGAACGTTCATCTTGACAGCTGTGAGACGTGGATCAAGGGTTGAAGAATTTCTGGGAGATTGTTAAGCGAGGCACGACGAGGACACCAAGGCCACAGCGCGGCTAGATAAGCCATTGTAGGCGAACATACACATGACTCTTAGCTTATAGCTGCGCTCAAGTCACAGATATCGCGAGTATTTCGATAGTCTTACGATTGCCAACATTTCACTCTTGGCAAGTTCACATGTGCCTTTAAATCGTGGCCGATAAATGGACCTGACGGAGTGCCAAGTTGGTTACCCCAGACCCAGCTGGGGCAGAAATCAGAACATCGTGTCCCCCGCATTTTTGATATGCACCCTGCAGGGTATCCACGGAGAAGAGATTGCGTCATAGCCTAATCCCATGCTTTCTGGCGAATGGCGATACGGTATGGGAAGCACAGCGGCATTCGGGAGAGATCCGGGTGGCGGATAGTAGCAGCTGTGATAAGAAGCGGTGACTGCAAACTATTACTCAACCTTAGATTCTGTGTACAGATAATTGGCGATATGTCGAACAATAGAGACTTGGCATATGCCGAGACTGAAGACAGCTGCAAGTCGCTATGGTGATGTGACTCTTGATGACCGGTAGGCTGGATGCACAAGACACACCTCGGAATCCAGGATCTGGCTGTCGCGGAACCATCTGAGACACTCGATGAAACAATGACGAGTAGACAAGGAAAGGAGGCCATCACGTCTCACGGCCTCAGATGCCAAAAGGTGCGTGGGATGCCTCCTCATTTACCTACCCACGCTACTATCTGCCGGCAAGTTCCCCGTTAGATTGACAGGCAGATTAAACACGGCACTATCGATGCAAACACACAGCCCCTGCCACGTGGACCGAAGCCCAACAGTCTCCTATTTGCTCGTCCGTTCAAATCCCCCGACACCCATTCATTCCGCCCGTTCGATCCATGGCTTGTTGGCGCGGAAGCCGTGGCTTTTTCTATGCATGGGACAGATAAGCTTACTCCTGCTTCAGGTAACTTTAAAGGCCCCCTTGTTTTTTATCTTATCACCCGGGGGCAACCAATAGTGGCCGCCCGACGATAACGGTGTGGTGTTGCAGCCCGGCATTCGACAAGGGGACAGGCCAATACGCGTCCCCCTCCTTTAGCCCGTTATCTACGCCATCTTCAATCCTCCAACCATATGGCTCGGTTCGTAGATAACAGATCTACGCCACCGCCCAGACAACAAAGTTATCTTAGCTCTGCAGCCGCTTATCTCGGATGAATTAACCTGATGCGGACAAAATACGAGGTGAGGATGAAACACCAAGGTGAAGATCAATCAGGGCTGATAGAGGTATCATCTGTTAAATAGGAGCCGAGGGAGGTGTTCACCGAAGATGGTTCTTACCCAGCCAGCTTGACAGGATCTTCTCTAGGTTAACCATGAGTTCGACAATTACTCCCGTCACCGAGTGGCCCGACTACAATGTCGATCCCACCGGTGGTAACCCCGTGACTCATGATCTCAATGCCCCATACGACAAGGTACGGCAGCAATCAGTGAAGTGCAACGTTTTACAGTAGAGTACTAATTTCTTGTGATTTATGCAGGGAGACTTGTGCTGGCTGCTGGTCTGCACAATTCTCTGCTGGCAGATCACTCCCGCCATCGGCTTCCTCTATGCGGGAATGCACCGCCGAAAGGCGGCCTTGACCATGGTCCTCCAGTCCCTGTTTTGCTCGTGCGCGTGCGGTATTCAGTTTTGGATCTATGGATATTCGCTGTACCAGTCGAGGACCACGAATCCTATCTGGGGAGACTTGTCGCTTGCTGCATTCCACAATGTTCTTGCGCAGCCCTCCATGGCCAACTCTGATGTCCCCGAGATTCTATGTATGTCATCATTTGGACGTGGGATATGGACAGATTGTTGACTTGTATAGATGCTGCCTTTGGCTTCACTTTCGTTTCGGCTACCGCCATGATTTTGGCCGGAGCCATGCTTGAGCGTGGCCGTCTCCTGCCTAGCATGGTCTTCCTGCTCTGCTGGACCACATTCGTCTACTACATGTACGTCTTCCAATTATGCAGCATCGCGACTATTCGCTAACCTCGGTATCAGCCTCGCATACTGGGAGTGGAACCCCAGCGGATGGCTCTACAAGCTCGGCCTCTACGATTTCGCCGGATCCGGTCCCGTCCACATCGCCAGCGGCTTCGGCGCCCTCGCCTGGTCCATGATGCTCGGCCCCCGACTGTCCGAGTCCACCACGACGACCCGCAAGAAGGCGGTTCACTACAAGCCTCACAACCCTCTGCTCATGTGCATCGGCACCGTGTTTATCTGGTTCGGATGGTTCGCTTTCAACGGCGCTAGCACTGCCAACTTGAGTCTTCGATCTATCTACGTTGTGGTCAACACCAACTTTGCTGCTTGTGGTGGTGGTGTTGGTTGGGTCCTTCTCGACTACTTGTTCACCCGCAAGTTCAGCCTGGTTGGCTTCTGTTCCGGCATCATTTCCGGTCTCGTTGGAATTACTCCTGCTGCGGGTTTCAGTACGTCTTCTCAATGGTTGGTGTTTTTACTTCGCAATACTAACCGGCCACAGCTCCCGTGTACGTCGCTACCCTTATCGGCCTGATCACATCCTCCTTCTGCTACTTCACCGTCAAGTACAAGTATCTCATCGGCATCGACGACGGTCTTGATATCTTTGCCATCCACGGTGTCGGAGGTGTTATCGGCGACATCCTCACCGGTCTCTTTGCCGCCCAGTTCGTCCCAGCTCTCGATGGTGTTTCTGGTGACGCATATGCTGGTGGATGGTGGGAGCACCAATGGCGACAGCTCGGACTTCAGCTTGCCGGTGCCGTGACCTGCGCCGCCTGGTCCTTCTGCATCTCGTGTCTTCTGCTCTTTGTCATCAACAAGATCCCCGGTCTGCACATCCGTGCCAGTGAGGAGCATGAGATCCGTGGACTTGACTTCAAGTACCTCAGCGATGTGGACTGGGAGGATCACTACATGAATGGTGGACTCACTCCCACAGAGGGTATTTCGGGAGGGTCTACTTCGTCTCAGAGGGCTGTTGAAGAGACGAATGTGGAGAGAAAGGTGGATTGAAGATCATTTTGCATTTCCGGAGAGGATAGCGACGACCGAGAGACGAAAGGTCACGGTCTTTAGTATTCCCAATATTTAATCATACATTCTTCATTCATCGGCTTGTTTAACTCTACAGCGACTTATCCCCGTTCGTGTCACCAAAACGATCTCTAGAGCACGTCCTTGGGTTCTAAAAAGTCCCTAAGCCTGACGTTATCCCCCTTCTCAATCGCATCGATCCATTCCCCAACCTGATCTAGCATGTAGCTAGCGAAACATTGGCCGACAGCTGCCATGAAGTCATTTTTCAAGGTGCCAGCAGCCACTTCTGTGTCCCACGTAGGCTGCAGCTCTCGCATGCGCTCGTTGTAGATCTTTCTCAGCTGTGTCTTCTCATACTCCATCTGGTGAATCCAGTAGAGGCTGTTCACTCCTTCGTTATCGAGAGGCTCATTATCGTCACCCATACAGCCTTCATTCTCCACCTCTGGATCCTCGGGGGAATACCCGTCTCGAATTGGCATTATCTCTCGCTCTGGCCCCTCCAGGAAGTCGGGCATCTCTGTTGCACGCCAGTATGGGATTGCCGAGACGTACTCCCAGTCTGAAATCGCAACAATCGCGCCCTTATCATCAACCGAGATATTTTTCAAAATAAGATACTCGTGGCAGACAACAGTCGGCTCGGGTAGCTCGGCAACAGGGAAAAGAGTTGGCAAGAGACCCAAGAGTCTCTCAGCAATCTTGAACTCTGCCTCAAGCTCTGCGATGTCATCTTCATCTTGACATGAGAGAAATTCAGACTTGATGCCTTCAATGATGATGCGGATGTACGAATCCGCATATTCGCGACTGGAAGCAAAGGGTCCTCGGGGTACGTTGTAGTCATAGTTGCTGCCCATGGACCAAAATCTATCCACGAGCTGCCCTATCGTCACTGATTCTAAGCCAGTGAACCCCCCTGGAGGACAAGTCAGGGTCCCAATCCCTCGCAAGGGGGGCTTGGTGTTGCTCGCAATGAAGAGTTGAGCTTGGAAGTTGGCAACTTGTTTGCTGAGTCTTTCTTTGGCTGCCATGGGCATTTTGCGCCACATGGAATATGCGGTACTTCCATCAACAACAGGCATCATTAACCACTCGAAGCCAATCTCATTGTCCGAGGATGCGTCAAAGGCGATGATGTCGGGGACGGGAATCTTCGTGAAATGACGAACCCACTCCAGGGTAGCCACTTCTCCCATAGTTTTGAGAGAGGGATCAACAGGAAGACGGATTCGCATGAGGAAGCGGCCTGGAAGAGACGGCCCGGAGATGTGATAACTTCTGTGACATGTTCCGGCAGAGGAGAACTTGATGATACAGGGTTCCTCAGGCTGGAGTTTGAAGTGTCGGCGGCAGACAGTCTCGATCGCATGGACATCAGGCTTGGTTTTCCATACTGGGGTTTGTTCGAAGAGACGGTCCTCCCAGGCCAGGCCTTCTCGGGTTGGTTTGGCCATCTTGACTATCGTAGAGTCTAGGCCGGTAGTAGTGTCTGAGGGTTGACGGAATTAGTAGTTGTGCAAAGGTGAGAAATGGCTGCAATGTTATATAGGTAGCGTAAGATTGCCCCAGCAACGCATTTAGCTGGGGTTGACAAGCACCTCGCATTCAATGTCAGCATAAGCATATCCACCCTTTGACGGAATCACATTTTCATTCATGAGTAGTCTGCCTTATCCAGGTAGGCACCCGGTTGAAGACAAAAGAAGGACGCTTAGATAACTCCTTCAGCTTATGCAGGCTTCATTGCTGCAGAGATCCGAGCAAGGATGCTCTTACAGACGCCATCAGGGCAGTCATCAAGGGGCAGCAATGCATGGAGTACGCACAGGCGCCTTTGTTGACCTTTGATGTGATTTCAAGAGCAAAGAAAGCAGTTATTCCTTTAGCCGGCTGTTCTGTTCCGTGTGGAAATCACAACTCTTTGACGTGGTGGCTGGATCTAGTTGCTGCATCTAGCCGATGACAGCAGGCACGCGCTGAAGGATGAGTTTGCCTGGCGCATCAGGATAGTGTTGGTGAAGCTCCATTAGGTCATGGCCCATGTTGCCGCCGATGTCCACAAAGAACAGTACCTCACGGCTGATGTCCGCACCCGCCATCAACCTCTCTTTGACCGGATAGAAGCCTACCCACAGCGGACGCCCCTGCCGATAGCCGCTCATGTGATAATTCAAGTGTCGTTAACAGCCTAGAAATTGTTGCTACACAAACATGTCTATACCCGTGCCGTAAGCATCCATCAAAGACGTGTCCCTTGTGTTGGTAGGTTCGACAAAGCTGCGTTGGTGTGAGTACTCATGGAACTTGATAGGGCCTTGAGTGGTCCAAGAAAGCCTAGAGACAAGGTTAATGTTAAGAACAAAAAGGACTACAAAGAGATATATATCGCAAGGTATCCATCGCTAATAATAGGGATGCTCATGGCTTTGGCAGAGTTTATTAATGTATTCACTGTAACAATTTCGATCATAGCTAGGATAAAACGTGCGAGACTACGCTCCGTAACTTAGCCTAGCTATCTATAATGGCCTACAGTCTATAACACTGCCCCTAGCTATTGCGGACCAGTTAGGCAAACAGTGAGTCCTTCTCCGAAGCCCAACGTGTATCGGCCCAGTCACATTATTATATAGCTATGCATTAGTGGCGCTTTAGGGTCACATGTCTCGATAATTGAAGACTCAATGTCTGTGGGGGGCTTCCGATGGATTCATGGTAAGGGGCCACTTCACTCGCAGCCCAAGTGCTAACTGAGGACGTAAAACATGAGCCAGTAATGATATCCTCAAAACTGTTAACCAAGATAAAAGACAAACTGCTACTATTAGGTCCAACTAGTGAACTAATATTTTCCTAAAACAGTGATGCACACCACCTTTCCCACAGTTCTCACGTTCATATTCGGCGCCAAACGCACACCCCGCTGTTAGACGTTTAACCACCCTTGGAATATTGAAAGAATGCTCTTTTCTGAAATATATTCTGCTTCTCAAGGAAGTCAGTGGATGGGCCGTCTGCTGCGATTGCTGAGTGGTTTCGCCCATTACCTACCTAGTCTGTGTGGTTTTTCTCATCTCTGGCTTCATCCTCTATGGTGGGCCTGGAGGTGATTGAAGTAGTAGGCGGCGCCCTGGATTTGGTCCGCAGCGATGGGGATCTCCTTTCTACTACTACAATGTGATCCGCTGTAGGTCCTGTGAAATGATCAATGTGCTGCTTTTAAGAGTCAAGCATATTCCATGGGGACAGCTATTTAAGAAGCCTCTAGTACTCACGTTCTGCTTCCTCTGGGATTGCTCGCATCTCTCGCGATCGGGAGCGTCCAATTCGATATGTACGAGTCTCTACCTCAGAGTCGTCTTGACTGTCATCAGAGTGGTAACCAGGAGCGAGCTGTCGTGGAAGGTCGGGCATTCGGGGCGGTACGGGTCCGGGTGATGGTGGTAGTCGGATGGCAGTCGATGACTGAGATCGGGGCCGTAATGGGATAACTGTCAGGGGCCTAGATTGGGGTTGGGGGGGTGGTATCTGTTGTGGCAGCATATGTTTAGCAATGAAGTGTTGGAAAGAGCCTGGAAGCCAGTTGTAGTGCCGAAAGCCTGCCTCAACACTCTTCGAGACATGATTTTGATGTGGGACGGACAGAGCTTGCTGGATGATGTCTCGCGCGCAGCCCTTATCCGGTCTGAGCAATTTTGATGTCTCATGCCACCACCCAAAACGGTTCAATTCTCCTAGAAGAGCATACTTTGAGTCTCTGTCATTTGAAACCAGATACCTGGAGAGACAAGTTGTTAAATAGCCTTCCATGTCTTGCTGTATCACCTTTTGGACGCGGATCAACTCTTCAAAAAGTCTGGATGGCTCACGACTCCTCACGGCGAGTGCTTTGAGACACAGTGCCTGAGTTCGATAGTCATCCAGCCCCCGAGAAGCTTCCAGTGCCATTTCAAGAGGTTCGATGGAGCTTTCTGGGAGATCCGGAGGATTCCATCCAGGGTTTTCCTGGCGAACTGGTAGGTAATATGGCAGCTCGAGGTCATACGAAAAACCTGCTAAGCCGGGAAAGTCGTCAAGATAGCTGTACGCCGATTGGCTTCCGCTACCCGTTCGTAGTGACATAGATGATTGTGCCACGATGAACTGGAGGAAGGGCCGAGTCTTGGTGCAGCGGGGATGCTCCGTCATGACAGCTTCTGCGAGGGTGCTGGCATAGACGAGGTATTTCTTACGGAGCAGCTGGTCTTCGGCATGGTTGAAAACATAGAGCACAATGGATGTTAGGAGATCAACTATGGCTAGGAGAGTGGCCTCGTCATCATCCATTAGCAACACCCAGTCTTCAGCGATGGCTTGAAGGATGGACCTAGACCCAAGGAGTTGTTCTTCGGCGCTCTCGATACCGAAGTAGAAACAAAACGTGGTGAAAAAATCTCGGAAGTCCCATATGCGGCCTTGGGCCTGGAGCAGTTCGTACACATGCTTCCAGTCTCCCCAGTCTGCCAAATTGTGCGGAAACTCTGTTAGGCCAACAATTCGTCTATTCGCAATATCCATCAGGGCTATAGTCAGACAAATGATGCGGATCTAGGGTTTCAGTTAGCTTAGAACTCGGCCAGAGACACTTGATCTGTGTACCTCTGTTGATCCCACGTCTTGTCGCACTGGGACGATCTCGTTGGACAGACAAATCTCATCGAGGACAGGCCCGAGCTCATGCTGACTGCGAGATAGGCAAGATGCCTTGAGAAGTCTCCAATTAATCTCAAGTCTTCTGATTGCTTCATAGTGTTCGTACTCGTTTGCAGATGCAATGGTGCGGAATACAGGTTCGGGGTCAAGCAAAAGTAGTGACTTATAATCACCCATCTCGAAGAGCATCTCGGCGTATTGGACAAAGACCCAAGGGGAAGTAATGTGAGCTAGGAGATTGTCGTTGAAGAAAGTCTTGGCAGCTCTAAACTCGCCTCGGCGGACAAACTGGTTGAACTCTTCCAACTCGTCGTCCAGGTCTTGAAGGACGTCGAACTCAAGTCGAACTCCAACATCCTTGGCGTGGCGTGGGTTGCATATCAAGTCAAAATTGTCGTCAACAGAAGAATAAGAGTCCCAATGGTCACTTTCTTCATCTGAAGAAACGTGCCGCTCTCTGTCCATCTCCGCTGGGGGCCTTGACGGAGGTCGCCGTCTGGTCCGGGAGTCTTCGTGTTCTGAAACGGTGGGGTTGATCCGTCTGGAAGAAGGACTCCTGACGATCACTCGATGGGGGTCGTCCTTGGGTGGCTCTAAGATATCGGACAAGGTCCGGCGTCGTGATTGCCTGTTTTTCGGGGCGTATGTGGTCTCTGACCTCAGGCTAGGGCGCCTGGAGCTCTCTCTGTGGCTCATTTTGTTAGCAAGTCTTGGTGGGCTCAAAGGTTGTTCTTCCAAAAAAAAAAAAAAAACAGCGGCCCAGTTCTCTGGTAGTTGACGGGAGGTCAGTCAGACTCGGTTCTTGAGCGGCGATCTCGATGCGCTCGAGGATGAAAAGTCAGGCTGATCTGGAGGCCTCCAGACAGAGCCTCGAGGCAGAAAGCCTAGTTACCGCCGGGTACTCGAAAATGCCTCTGCGGCGCTTATGGAAGTGAAATGGAGCATTGGGGACCAACCAACGTAGTTGAAAAGCTTCTCCTCCCCAGGCAGCATTTGCACTTCTGCCATCCAGACCTACAAAATGGGGTAGCCGATTACGAATGGTTGTTGTGATTCGTCCCGCCGAAAGCGCCATGCATGAGCTGAAAGCGTTCACAGCTGAGGGATGAATTGGGCTGCGGTTGTCCACTCTTCTCTCCGTCTTTTTACTTCTCAATTGTCAGGGAAACTTTCCTGCCACAATCCTTCTGCTGCGTTTGACAATCAATCAACATGGCCGATCACCAACAGCCTCGACCGGCTCTATTGAGCACAAAGAGACGATTTGGGCGATACGAGCCCTTCCACCGTTTCGACCACTTGGCTAGTCATGCCAGTGTGGCAACCCAGATCATTGGCAGAATGACAGTCGACTGCCAATTTCTCTTTGAAAGTCTCAATGGGGTGTCCTGGGTGAAAGCCGATTCCCAGCCGGCATCATTTACATGGATCTCAACTTCGGTCCGCCACGAGGATGCAGGGTCAAGAGTGCGACAGTCAAAGTCACTTTGGATGAGTACGATGAGTGCCTTGACTCATATCATGCCAAACGGGGTAAAAGCTGTCACAAATCAGGTTGCCCCGTCCAGATGATGGACTCGTATGGGCCCAGGCAGCTCGTTGGCGAGGCCAAGTGCACTGAGTTCAAGCAAACAATGAGTTTGGCTCCCGAGATTCACGCCTTTGGTGGTGGAGCTGGAGGTGTAGGCGTGAACTCCGAGAAGGCCTTCAAGTCTTCATCACGATGGGCTTTCAATGGCCAACTCTTGCCTGGGAAAGGAACCTGGACGTACAAGACTCTGGAATGGAACCTTACAGACAACGAACTCAATAAGCAAACGTTCCAAAACAGCTGCGTCCATACAGCCTTTACCTTTCAACACGCGGGGCAGCCGTTCACAATGAAAGTCGAGATCGAGGGAAGCTTGGAGAAGTGGAACCAGCGGATCATGTCCAAACTCAAGTTTGGTTCGTCAAAAAAAGATCAGGGGGGCCAAGCGACGACCTTGATCGACTTCCAAGAGCCTGAAGTGTTTCAAAAGCGGCTAGATGAGCTAGCACAGTCATTGCCGAGAGCGATGGAGCTGGCAAACTACCAAGACATCCCAGTTGAGATCCCCGACACTGCCTCAGTATCCTTCGAGTCAGTCCCCTCTGAGCCCGAAAGTCTTGCGGCCAGTGAGGTGGAACCTACTCGAGGTGAAATGCCAAAGCAGGAATGCCTGAGCAGTGCAGCTAAGGCATCATCCCTTGAGGCTCACAGGATGCTTCAAGCGCTAAAAGCGCAAGAGATACAGGGCAGCCAGGATTCCCTGGAACCAACCGTGGAGAACCTCGCCAGAGTCCTAAAAGCACTGACACATCCTGTTGAGCAAGAAATCATCGGCAAGCCTATCGAAAGCTCTTTTTCGAGTGCATCAAACACCGTCGTGGCCCCGGAAGACGAACAAGAGCAAATGACAGGCCAAAAATGCGAGAGAGAGCAGGAGCTCACGATTACCAGCCTGAATGAGGATCAAGAAGCCATGCTCAAGATTATGCAGATCCCCGGCTTGGTCACTTTCTTGCAACTGATCGTCATGTTGATGGGTATGCTTGGTGGGTCGAGAAAGGCCAAAGCCATGGCGTCTTAGCAAGATGTCGATGCCTCCCTCCTCAAAAGGTCAAACCTCAGTAGCAAAGTGAGACTATGGCTGTTCCATTTTATCGGACTCTTCGCTGACTACTAGAACAGTGTTGTCTTGGGTATATCAGGGGTGGAAAATAGGCGCCGGAAGATCGAGGCCATGGTTTGACAAGTTCTTTTTGAGCCGAGATAGCGAGTGTGTTGGGCGTAATAACAACAATAAGGATATTTTATACATGTTTTAGCCTGCTATAGTAAATATCAAGCCTCTATTATGTAAAAACCCAGGATGACGTCTTGTTTGCCCCTGCGCTCTAGATTTGGCGGATAACCCTGAGGTTAATAACTCACCTTCGTTCCATCAAGGTAGACTACAGCTATCTTGACGTCCATATCCTTACTGAAAATGGTACAATACACCACGTATTGCGCCATAGAGTGATACTAGAATAAGATTGGCCCATCCGGCAATTCGTCAAGAGTTCCACTCGATGGTGCAATGCAGTCGTCTCACCCCCGCTTCAATGAACAACACCAGTTCGCATTATTTATTCATTTTCATTTAACCTCTTCCAGTGACCTCAACCTTCGAAGGTTGGTCCAGAATTCTAAGCTCTTGCACTCAAGAAAGACCAACTCGGTGAGCTCACGCAACACGCCTCTCAACCTGGTTAATGATTAACGTCAGTTGTTTGGGCTCTCTCGCGGAACACCTCAGTCATGGCAGCCAACAGCAGTTCATTCCCAGACAATAATGGCTCTGCTTCAGGTCATAAGAAGCAAATCATTCTGAATGCTTTTGTGATGAATACACCTGGCCATCTAGCGCCAGGCCTCTGGAGGCATCCCCGGAACAAGACGGATCAGTACAAGAAGCTGTCTTTCTGGACCGAGCTAGCCCAGTTGCTGGACAAGGCAGACTTTCATGCCATGTTCATTGCCGATACTCTGGGACCGTACGATGTCTACAAAGGTCCTGCTAATGTCGTTCCAGTTCTGAACTCTGGGGCTCAGTATCCTGTCAACGACCCCCTGTATCTGGTCCCGGCCTTGGCGGCGGCGACAAAGAACCTTATCTTTGGCGTGACGGCGAGTCTAACTTACGAGAAGCCATATGCCCTTGCTCGGCGACTCTCGACTGTTGATCATCTCAGCGAGGGTCGTGTCGCGTGGAACATTGTCACCTCGTACCTCGACAGTGCAGCCCGAAACCATGGGCTAGACGAACAAATCCCTCATGACGAAAGATACGCTATCGCACATGAGTACCTTGAAGTCTTGTATAAGCTTTGGGAAGGAAGCTTCCGAGACGATGCCGTGCTGGCAGACCGCGAGAGCGGGACTTATATCGCTTCGGATGCGGTCCGTCAGATTCACCACAAGGGCAAATACTTTCAGGTTCCTGGCCCTCATTTCGTCGAGCCTTCACCACAGCGAACGCCTTTTCTCTTCCAGGCTGGCGTGTCTGAAGCCGGCAATGGATTTGGTGGAAAGCATGGTGAGGCCATCTTTGTCGGAGGCCAAACTCCAGAAAGCGTGAGGAAGACGGTGGACAACATTCGTGCCATCGCTGCCAAGGAGGGTAGAGATCCCAACCATATCAAGATCATTGTTGGGATAGCCGTCATTGTTGCAGCGACGGATGAAGAGGCCAAGGCAAAGCGAGATGAGTACCTGTCATACGCCGATACTGAGGGTGCTTTGGCTTTGTTCGGAGGTTGGACCGGCATCGATCTCTCGGGTTACTCGGATGACGAGGACTTCCGTATGACGGAAGCTCCTCGCATCCGGTCCATCCTGCGACGGTGGTCGGATACAGTCCCCGGAACAGATAATCTTCCCTGGACTAAGCGAAGGATTGCCGAGTACATCAGCATCGGTGGTCTCGGGGCTAAGATCATCGGAAGTCCCACAACTGTTGCAGACGAGTTGGAGCACTGGGTCGAGGTTGCCGATGTCGATGGATTCAACCTCTCACACATTGTTAACCCGGGCAGCTTTGAGGATATCATCGAGTTTCTGCTGCCAGAACTGCGTCGTCGTGGAGTGTTTAGGTCCGGGGTCGACAAAGAGGGTGCAACGGCGAGAGAAGTCTTTATCGGCTCAAAGCGACTGCCAGAGGATCATCCTGGAAGCAAGTATAAGTGGCGAGCTGGCGAGGAAGCATCCCCGTTTTTGGAGGAGGAGCACAAGAAATGAAGGACAGATAACGCTCAATTCTAGCAATATGATACAATGTTAAGTATAGTAATGGATCAAGTTTGACATGATAAATAACATGCCACTCAAGACAACATCAGCGTCGAACCAGTCCTCTCAACCACAGTCTTCCACTGACTAGTTACACGGGTGCCTCGAGACGGCCCTTCTTCCCATACTTGCTCCAGGATACAACGCCCTGCACGGATATATTCTATGCCGTATCTCTCCACCTGGTTATACCAAGACCGAAACCGAGTCTGAAGTCGAACGTCAAATGCTTCGCTCGCGGCGATGAATGCTGGCCAGTAGAGCGGTGTTGCGAGAATCTTAGTTTCCGATTTGATTCGTTCTATCGCCTCGATGCTATTAAGCACATTATCGACAAAGGATTGGAGGTAGCGATGTCCCACTAGCCGTATGTGTTGGGCGAAATAGATGATGACGGCGTTGTGGAAAGCTCGTGTCATGTGTTGGATGATGGACAGGTTTGATGATGCCGTACCTGACATATCATCTGCGCCGATATAGCCAGCTTCGTAATCCATGATACTCTTTTCCAACTCGTCGCAAATTTCGACCAGGTGCGGTGGAATATCCGTGCCAATGGATGTCTCCCTCGCCTCCGTAACCTTGCTGATTAGCTCCACAGCTCTGTTCAACAGCATCAAGAGGTCTTGCGGTATAGCATAAATGCTCTCGTATGCGTCCCCACTGGACCAAGCCTTGGATGATGTGACCGAAGGTGTCGTTCCCGGGCTGTTGTGAATCAGGTTGGCTGGTTCACCAGTGCAGAACGACCCTGCGATGCGAGCTTCGCAGAGTTTGTCGCAAGTCGTCGTGCTATGTATGGCCGTGCTTTCGTAGATAGTCCTAAGGAAGAAGTAGATTCGATGAAGGGCCTGGGCCTTGTTGGAGTACTTGGACTTCCAAGTCCTGGCCTGGGTGATTAAGCCGTGGGCGGCATCTAGATGCAGACTGCAGCTCGCAGTGTCACCTGACATGACCTTGAAAGGGTTTTTGAGCAACTGATAGGCATCTATAGGAGGCGGTGACTTACATTGATCGAAATCATAGACAGCATGGTAGCGAGAAACTCTTTATACTTGGGTCGACACTTAGAGAATGACGCAGGTGCGATAGCCTCTGAAAGAAGCTTAATGGCGATTCCGCGGTAGCAGATTCCGTCCTTTCTCCATTTCCGAGCATCTTCGTCCTGTATTTGAACTTTGTCGTTTGAGAGACAAAAGGCGCTAACCGAGAGCAACGCATTCCTCAAAGCACCTCGAATTTGAGATGTTGAGCCCTGGATAACTAGTTCTCCAGCACTCTGTAGAGCCCGAGGTAAGTGGATGGTCTTCCAAGGGCTCTTGGGATTATCTAGAGCGCAAAAGAGGTGCACAACTCTATTCATGTAGTGGTGCATCAGGAACCGCTCCTTGCCGGTGAGTTCGGGGGAGGGTTGTGGTGGAAGGGGGAAACTCAGGGCTGTTTGCGATTCTTCGTTGGCAAAACAGTCTCGTATCGAGTCTTCTTCAATTTGGGCAGGGTTTTCAGGTCCTGAGTAGTTGCAACTGGGGCTTTCTTCACCCAGATTATCATCAAAGAAGGGATTTACGAATGCTTGGTCCCAGGTTGAAAGTTGAATAGTAGAGATGGAAGACAGAGACGACAAGTCGGATGCACTTTCTGGTGAAAGCAAGCCTATGGATTTTGTCATCTCCAAGGGTTCCGGACTGAATGATACCAGAGAGGTGACGAGATCGTGGTGAATATTGAGTGGTTCTGACGTCGGGGACGATGGTTCTGCAGCGTGGGTGGATACTAGACCGTGAGAGTCAAAAACGCCAAAACCATTAATGAATCGAGAGGTTCCATCATTTTCCTGTGTACCGTCGAGTCCAGTCCGGAGTGTGTCAAGCACCACCAGAATCTCCTCAACTTGAGACCACGGCAGAGCCGGTCCTGTTGAGTCTATCACACCTTTGTCAGCCACTGTTCTCCACGGAAGTTGAGTACGCACCAAATGGAATCTGACTCCGACATGGCTTGGCTTGGTATTCCGAGGTTGGAAGCTCAATTTCACAGCCAGTCTCTGGTGGTAGCCAATGAAGTCGAATGTCATATCCCTCACACTCAATGCCCTTTTTCAGACAGTGACGACACCTTGGCCGCGCCTCATCACACTTGACCTTACGACTCCGGCACGTCCAGCAGCCAGTAAAAGTCTTGCCATGCTTTCGAGGCCGGCGGGGAGAGCGTAATGTCTGAGACATGGTAACTGGCTGAAGTGGGACTCAACAGAAATCGAATATCCTCGCCGTTCAAAAGGAGAGGGGGTTAGGTGGGACGAGAAGTCGGAAAAGTCACATGGCCTCTGCTGGGATAAGCTGGCCTTGACCCCGTACCCATTTCGCGGGGTAAGCAAGATAGGCCGCTCCGGCATTGATCCCCGGCGTTAGGGCGCCCTCCGACAACAAGTTGCCAAGACCATAGAGATAGCTTATCTTGCTGGTATCGTATGGAGATTGCGCGGCTAGATGATGGCAAATATGGTGTCAAAGGAAGACCAGGGTCATTCGCATTATAAACTTCCTGCTCGAAAGATTGCATTCTGGGTGACGTCCCCCATTTTAAGTCTGGCGCTTGCTCTTACAGAATACCAAGACAGCATGCACCAGCGAGAGAAAAGATTTCAGGAGTGGAGACAGTGAAACTAGCCACGGCAGACCTGGATCCTTGGATAATTGGTCATTCTCACTGTGAATGCTTTTACCAAACGCGATTGGCTGACATGTTGTAGGGGATTGATCCCGATGGTGTTTTGGGCACCCTTGTCAAACTTTGTGGTTCCTTGGTGTGGCTGGTTACCTCTTGTGCCTCTCTTCTTTTTGGCTCTAAAGTCAAGCAGTCATGATGCGAAGATGCGTGATATGATTTATTTGGTTACTATAATTGGCAATATGTTTCAAGCTCTTTTCTGCTCCGCTGTCGTTGAATGTCTTGACGTAAAAAGCCAGATATATTGCGACCTTGGAACCACTCCCAGCTACCACATTATTGCTACATAGTATACTGCCATAAAATTTGCTCCATGCTCTCAAACACCAAATTGATGGCTTGACACCTACTGAACCAAGAGACCACCCTTCACTCCCTCACGTCGATGTACCCTGACATTGAATCCCGTCTGTTTGAAGAACCAGAAGCTATGTTTCTGTACCTTCTCGGGTTCGATAACCTTAAATCTATAACGGTGTACCAACTCCGGGATCAACTTGTAGATCTCTGCCAAGGCGATCTAAACAGTGTGATTAGCAACGTCTTGAAGCCAGTCTTTGACTTTACTCACATTTTTGCCAATACACGTCCGTGTTCCAGCTCCGAAATGCAAAAGATAACGTTCCATTTCCTTTCCTTCAGGTCGTAGCCATCGATCCGGGTTATAGACGTCAGCATCTTGGCCAAAGATGCTCTTGTCCCAGTGAACAACCGCAGCACTCATGCCTACGCGATACCCCGGTGCAAAGTATCGGCCACAGATGGTAGCTCCAGGCTCAGAAACATGTCGAGGCATAGACATCCCGACACTTGGATGAACCCTGAAGCCCTCCTTGCAGCATGCTGACAGGTAGGGGAGCTTGACGGCCTCGGAGTGCTTGATGGGATCGCTGAGAGTGCCGTCTGCTACAGCGTTGTCGACTTCATTGGTGAGCTTAGCAAGTGCGTCAGGGGTCATCAGCAGGTGATAGAGGATAGAGCGTGTTGCGATTGAAGTCGTGTCCGAGCCTGCAAAGATGGAAACCCAAGCCTCGGTCTCTATATCAGGGATGGAGAAGTCTTCCTTATCGGCCGAGAGTTGAAACAGCTTGTCGAGAATGTCAGTTCTGAAATGAGAGCATCTCTTGGTCAGCAAAACTTTCTCCACCCAGTGTATTTGGTCTGTCCCACCTTTGAACCTTGTCAGTCATCATGAGCTGCTGTCGCTCCTTCACGACTTGCTTCGCAGCGAGAACGATCTTGTCGTAGCATATTTTTCCCTTTCGGATCTGAGGAACAAGGGAGCCGAAGACTTTCAGTGGTCGGACGTAGGCGGGAAGCACACAGATGGTCGACAGGGCCGGAAGCAGCGCGTCCAACGAGTCGATGTAGTTCTCGTAATCGTGACTGTTCTTGAGGAAGCCAAACTGTTTCCCATAGAACAGTTCCCCGACGACATCAAAGGCATACATTTGCAGCCAGAGACCAAGGTCGATACTCTGTCCCGAAACAGCAAACTCATCTAATCGCGTCCTAAAGACGGAGGTGACCTGGTCGATGAAGGGTTCTGACTCGAGGACGCTCTTTAGGGAGTAGATGTTGTTGACGAAGCGCCGCCGGTATGAATGGTGTTTCTCATCCCTTTGAGTGAAGAGATCCTCGTTCGGTGATAGATGAGGTGCGAATGGCGTGTAGAAGTCGGTCTTTGAAAAGGCATTCTTGACGGCGTAGATGGTCTTGATGGCGTCGGGGTCCGAGATACTGACCTCGTTGGGAGCGATTCGAACGATAGAGCCTACACATACAGGATCAAATTTAATTTCTTCGCATGCATCAACTGGTTTCCTACCGTATTTCGCATGCAAAGCTCGTTGGGTCTGGTCGACTGTTCCCGAAAGAACCTGCTTCGCCAGCCATAATCTCGACACCTTTGCCCAGAACGGACCAGGGATGTCGGAGTAGTGATGGAAGAACACGGAGTATATGGAGTAGCCAACCCAATATAAAATGGCCAAACCGAGGATGACGGCCAAGTTATTTGGGAAAGCGAGAACGTAATCGAAAATAATTTGCAGCGCCATGGTGTCAGAGTGGACTGCCTTCTGGAAGTGAATTGCATCAACATATTGAGATTTCAGTGTCTAATGCTCTCAGTTATGTAGTTCACCGAAGTTATCAAAGAGAATACCAACCTCAGTGACTTGCAACCACTGCCGAAGCTGTCTTGGCGCTGATGATTTGGTACTCCGACAATAGCCCATCTCCAATTCGTCCATCTTGACAAGCGACCCTGCAGCCGGTAAACTCTATTGGCTCCTCCCCCGCATTTTCCGTGGTGGCTAGAGCTGGAGTCTAGCCTCGTTTAGGTCGCTAGACTATTAAAAGGATTCGTTTCCCGACGTCGACTGAGTCTCCTCGTCCTTGCAACTCCGACGCTTTACCCCAGAACCCCAGATTCATCCTCCAGGTTCATCCCCCAGACCCAGTTTCCCCAGGAATGCTCTTCTTGGAGCTGATACGACTCTATCGCCCTGCATCCGATCAGAATGGCCCCAGAAGTGCGGGTTCCTCGCGGCGCCAAGAAGCGGAGGGCCTGCGATCGCTGTGTGCGGAGGAAGAAGGCATGCAGCGCTGGTTGGCCATGTGACGACTGCCGACGCAAGCTCGTGTCATGCACTTACCAGCGAAGGGATGAGACCAAGAAGGGGGTCCAAGGACAGCAGAAACCCGACGCCAAGGTGCAAGAGCCAGTACCACAGCCGAACGACACGTCGGCCTTGGGGGGCGACCCCACGCCGTCTTCCAGCACCGACGAGACTCTTGATGTTTCTCTCATCGGCAATGGAGACTGTGGTCTTGGCCCGTTTTCCGATAACCTCACGTGGCTAGACTTTCTCGATCTCGATCAGACAATGCCACTTGATCAGCCGCAGTCAGATCAGAAAAAGGGTTCATTTGACTTTCTGTATACATTTACTAGTCGCACAGGTCTTGTGGAGTCCTTCGACTGTGGGACTTTGGCTCAGCGAGTGCAGACCGTGTCCGAATTTCTCCAAGATGAAGCAGCACGGCAAGCGAAAACTGCGCTCTTCAATGTCGAAGGCGGTCGGCAGTCGATCTCACAGTCCCTTTGTCTTGGACTGAGCACATCTTTACTTTTCCAGGACCCTCTCATCACGGTGACACGCAAGATTGTCGCCGAAATTCATGACTTGAGCACCAACAATGTTCGGAGAAGCGCCGCCATGAAGGACAATCCATCCACCACAGAACAGAGCTGCCTACAATTCTTTTCACCATTACATCTACGAAAATTTCTCGCGCTCTTTTGGAACATATGGCATCCGAATTGCCCTTTTATACATCGGCAATCATTCGATCCCACGATTGCAAAACCTTGTCTCGTCGCCGCAATGGCCGTCACAGGTTCGTTTATCTGCCCTCTTAAAGTCCAATTCTCTGACAGTCGCCATCAAATAGGTGCTTCTGTTTCCCCGGAACCTACCGATAATGAGCTAGCTAGGACCTGGTTCAACTCTGTCGAGGAAATGGTCTTCAGTGACGATGCTTTTTGCGATGACGCTCCATATTGCCCTTTGGTAAATCCCGTGGAGGGCATTGACAAGATTCAAGCTCTGCAGGCCGGATATCTGGTATGCACCTACCAGAACTGGGAGGGAAATGATAACAGCAAGAGGCGCGCTCGTCGTCATCGCTTCAACTCCCTTGTCTCAGTATGTCTCCAATATTCTGCCCGTTCATTCACGATAAGCCTAACCATATTCAGGCCGCGCGAGATGTGGGTGTCAGCTCGGCAAGGCACCGCAATTATGATTTGACATCTAGCTTCGACGACTTTGACTGGCAAGACTTTATAGCGAGAGAACAGTTGATCCGGTAGGGCAAGCTTCCGCACTAATACCATACGTTCGTCAGTGCTAATTCGTTTGTAGCGTTGTCATGTGGACATTCATGTTTGACAAGGGCTTCGTTCTCTTCAACAATATCCCTCCTCGAATGGTCATCAAGGAAATGACCATGCACATAGCGTGGCCAGACTCAATATTCCAGGCTGGCACCGCTGCTGAGTGTGCTCGAGAGATTCAGGCTTTTCTCTCACGGTCCAGCTCCGGGAGCTATCTTACTCTATGCGAGGTCTTTGAACGATACTGTAAAGACAAGATGGACCCGAACCTGCGTCGTGTCCTTGTGGAGCATGGCGCCTCTCATCTTTTTGCTATCATCCTTGGTGAGCTCACATATCTCTCTACTCCAGTACACCCACTAACGGTTGTAATTACAGCTGTCTACTCGACCATCTTCCAACATCAGAATTCTCTGGCCGGCTTCGACCAACTCGGTGGTATACGCAACGCTCTCGACAATTGGAAATCCACTTACGAGGCCTACCTAAAGACGGTCCCTATCTCGGAGCCATACGAAACAGCTGATTCGCTTCAAGACATGTGGAGAAGACCTGGATTCAGTCGTCACGCACACGAATTTTACTTAGTTGCCCGGGCCTTGGTCAGCCGTATGTCATCAGGCGAGTCTGTGCCTGGAATGGATGGGAGCAAGGGCACGCCCGGCTTCAATGAATACGACCAGACTAGTATGCGCCAGCTGAATGATCTTATCACGGATTTTCTTGGTGTTCATTTGGATTGATACTGATGGAGGTGAGACACAATGGAACAAGATAATCTCACGCATAGTTTATCTCTACACAATTTATGCAGTTAATAATTATTCACGAATTCACTTGTGAAACTTTATGCTTTCGTAATTAGCCCCGCCTCGATCCCTATCAGTGCAGTTAAGGAGTACCTGCAACAATGCCTACCTTTCAGGCCCTAGAGAAGTATCTCCTAGCATGTCAAAATGTCTGGACTGTGATTGACGACGGTCAGCTCAAGCCCCACAAGGCTGCGTGCATAAGTCGGGGGTTATGAACCTCCCTTGTTTCTTAACCCCTGTGGTCTGTGGATTAAATCCGTTGGTTGTTGAAGTTCGATATTTTGTTCTTCTGGTTGAAACCAATCGGTGGGCCTTATCTTGCTCTAAAACTAGGGGGGTTAAGAAGCATGGGGGGTTTTGCTTGAGTTGGGTAATTCTTCGCTAATGGTGGAAAAAGTGGGGTGTTTGTTATCAGGTTATCATGTCCAGTGACAAGAAACCGGCGACTTCCGTCCCCAGGTTGTGCAAGGTAACTGCCCCCCACTCCAGACGTATATCAAGGTGCCCCCGACCATTGAGGCCAACGTGCTCGACGTTTTCCCAGATCAACCAAACAAGAGGTTCAACGACCCGTATATCTTGGCATGCAGCATAACCTCTCTCCGGCATCATGTCTGAGATTTCCGTCGTCAACGCTCCGAGGACCACACTCCGGCTCGCCTCTGGCAACGGCCCCATAACTCGATCTATCCTGCAGACGCCGCTGCGGGATGCCCTGCCAACCGAGATTCCCATCATTGATATCTCTGGGGCGTTTAGCCCAGTTCTCAGCGACCGGAAGGCTGTGGCTCATCAGATCCGTGCCGCCGCCACGAGCTCCGGTTTCTTCTACGTTTCCAACCACGGCATTGGCCCATCAGTCACTGAGGCCGCTCACAGGGCTACCCTAGCTTTCTTCCGCCAGGACCTTGACACCAAGATGCGTGTTTACACTAAAAAGAGTCACTACTTCAACGGCTACAAGCCTCCCGGCTCGCAGCGCATCAACAAGGATGAGAGCATTGACGTGCGGGAGAGCTTCAGCTGGTCGTATGACCCCCGCTATGATCCTGACGTTCCGAATGTCGAGGCCATTCCACCTGCGGCCCTCAAGTTCCTTCGCATGGAGGACTTTCACTGGGAGGGCACTGACCATTTACCCCAACTCAAAGAGTCTATGGTCGCCTACTGGCGAGCGTGCCTAGCCCTCGCGCGGGTACTCATCCGCGCCTTTGCACTCTCCCTAGATCTACCTGAGGATTACTTCGACGGCAAGTTCGCGTACCCCGACGCAACACTTTCATTAAACTACTACCCGCCCATCACCCCCTCAGTGCCCGGTGATACAGAGGAGACGGTTTCGATCGGCTCGCACACCGACTTCCAGCTTTTCACGATGCTGTGGCAGGACGACACGGGAGGGCTGCAGGTGCTCAACCGCGATGGACAGTGGATCAACGCTGCACCAGTGCCGGGAACTCTGGTGGTCAACATTGGGGACTACTTGCAGCGAATTACCAATGATTTATATGTCAGCACGGTACATAGGGCGCAGAACTGGAGTGGTAGTGAGCGCATAAGCATGCCCTTCTTCTTTGGCTTCGGACTGCATGAGACTTGTGGGGTGGTGAAGAGCTGTATGAAGGAAGGCGAGCAGCCGAAGTATGAGGAAATTGGGTGCGATGAATGGGTGAGGCGGAGAGTCATGGCGATGCACAAGATCGGGGGAACTAACTGAATATGTAAAACCTAGGTCAGTGAAAGCCGAGAGAGCTCGACTCACCTGATCATGATGCTCGCTAGAAAATCAAGCACGCTAAAGCTGGTGGGGCTAGATCCTTGCCAGCACTGTTAACGAGTACTTGCTCTAGGGCATTTTTGTCCTGTCTTTAGAAGTACCCCCTATTAGGACTGTGAGAGTTGTGATTGGCAGTGATCAGTTTGGGCCCCACAACTCCTCGCACAGCGAAACCTCAAGAGCTCTCCAGAACGTGCAGATCATTTGAGGTTCATTTTGTACCTGATCCAAACTCAGGTCTATCACAAGTGCAAACACAACAATTTCTATTCAAAAGCTTCAATAATGAACAAATCTTGCGCGTCATCGCTTCTGGCGCACAAAAGCATTTCATACAGGGTGCTATCTTTATCAATGGTGAAAATCTAGCAATCTATAGGGTAGGAAGCAAGGAACACCTGTTGACGTCATTCGTGGCGTACCGATGTAGTCCAGCCACATATTATTACTACCACAGAAGCCACGGCAGCTACAAGAGGTACAAGACTTGGAGGAATCAAATGCCCATCAAAATCCACTTGCTTTTCACACCCTTGCCATGCATGATTGAGCTTTGTTACAACTATCTGCATCTCATAGGAACATGATCATACATATAGTTCTAAGATGAGATAGATAAATTTTATTATTTAAGATATGGAAGCTATGTACTATTGAAACTGTCCGAAGGATGCTATTTCGAATCTTCTGATGGTGTTAGTGCTTGGCACAATCTCGAAACATGCAACCGAGCAATGCGAAGGCCTCAAGCATCTAGTAGTCGGCCTGGCTACGTCGACGTCTCTTAGCATTACAAGAAGACCCGTTGGGCTTTTTGACGCTTGATTCAGTAGCAGAAAGGCTGGTTTCGGTCTCAGTGTCTGAAAGAGCCTGGGTTTCGGAGGGCTTGATAGCGGTCTCAAGGGTCGTGGCCAGGGCAAAGTCTGGCATGTTTGGTCCACCAAAGCTCTGGAATGGTGGAAAGAAGGGGCCTCCAGTCTGAACCGGGGCAGAGTCCTCAGCAGTAGTCACATCAACGGGAGCGGCTTCTGGAACAGAGGTCTTGATGGGCGCGGAATCTTCAGCAGACGATGCCTCGACAACAGGAGCAGGGGTCTCGATAGACGCAACGTCCTCAGCAGATGATGTAGCAACCGCGGGGGCAGAGGTCTCAACGGGTGCGGCCTCCTTGGCTGAAGTTGCATCGCTGACCGCATCCCTGGCCTCGCCGGCAGAGTCAGCCATTCGGGCGCTGATGACGGGCACACCGGGGAAGTATGAGGCTCTGATGGTTGGAATAGCGATCGAGACAGACAGACCAAGACCGGTAGAAAGCTCACCGTCCATGGTCTGAGTGGAGTAGCCGCTAGCTGCAGTGACGGTCTGGGTAGTGGTGAAAGCGCCGGCTTCATCTCCCTCCTTTAGGCAAACTCCCGAGCCGTAAGCGTTCTTACATCCGTGCTCAACCGTGCTTCCCGACTCTGTCCACACGTTGAAGTCCTCGACAAGCATATCCGTGCAGGGCACGTCGGGAGGGCAGTTGAACTTGATGGGACCACGCTGTCGGCCATTGGCGCAGGTACCAGACCATCCAGAGAAGGACATGTTGGTGTACAGAATACCATCTCCTTCAACGGGCTTCATAGAGGACCAGGTGGCATCGAGATCGAGAGTGTAGGCGTTGGAGTGGCCGATGAAGTTGTTAAGGGCGACGTTGGAGACCGTGCCACTGCCGCCGTAGGACTTGAACATGTACATTTGGTTGGAGTTGTGTGTGTAGACGTTGGTGTACTCGATGTCATGGATATCTGGCCTGCTGTGAGCGAGATTCTGATATGTGACTCAGTCGACTTACCAGTATCGGTGGCCAGGGAACCCATGGCGCAACCGCCCGACCAGTTGCAAAAGATGTTTTCAATCAAGAGATGGTCTGAAGGGTTCTTGACCGTGACACATTCGTCCTTGTTGCTGACCTCGACATCGTGGATCCCTACAAATTGTTAGTCATTCTCGCGCTGATAGATAACCTTGACTTACAGATGTTGGAACCCCAAACATCGATGCCGTCCAGGCCGCCTCGGGCTCCGCCGTGAATGGCCATGTTGTAAACTTCACCATCCGAACAAGTATCGAGAGAGAAGTGGAACGCAGGGGAATCAACCAGGGCAACATCGTGAATCGAGAAGCCCTTGACGTCGTAGAAGCGGAGGATTCGAGGGCCATATTCATCGTCTATGCTGAGGTTAGCAATTATTGCCAAAGTCGCTCCACTCCATGCTAGACAGACTCTTGTGAAACTCGTAGCCGTATCCCTGGATAGCGCCCTTGGAGTTGCTACTGTACATCTCAAAGTCCTGCATGTGCTGGAAGAAGAGCATGTTGCCGCCATCGGTGCTGTTTCCTGTTAGTAATGGAGGCGCAAACAGCAATTTGGTACTCACCCAATGCGGTAAAGAGTGCCATCAAGACGGAACGACATGGCCTTCTTCGAGGACAACTTCAACCATGTTCCAAGTCCATAGTCGCCTTCGGGAATGTACACCTCACCACCCCCCGCGCTGCAATCATCCCAAGCCTTCTGAATAGCAGGGCCATTATCGGTCTTTGCATCGGCAGTAGCACCATAATCCATAACGTTGCAGGTTTTAACAGCCGCCTTGTCAGCGGGGCTGGTCGAAGGTCCGACCTTGCCGCTCAACTGCGCAGCAGCTTGAACGGCAGAACCGACGGCAATCAATGCCGAGATAAAAGAGTGGTGCATAGTTGGAAAGAGAAAAAGAGTGAATTGAATAAAGAAACAAGAAGAAACGACCGAAAATTCAGAACACCAGAAGAAACATTTCAAGATCAGTCTGGGGATCGTTGGCATTTAACATGATCCGCATCTCGGATAACGAAGCCGCGGAAAAAATGCACGTTCCAAACATAGCGTAGAGTTCGATATTGATGAAGAATGACCCGATTTTCAAGCTCGCTAGGAGATAATCTCCGTTTCAACGGGAGCCGAGCAGCACTTGTTGTGGAGCAGATCTCCTGACATTGATGATCGCAGGGTTGATGAAACGCGCCAAGTTTCGACCAGCGACTGTTTCGACTGTGATGGATAAACCCACCAATCAGGGTTTGGGATCAGATCTATCAAGGGCTGACATGTTTTCTTTAAAGGGTGAAGGGTTGGGCAACGCGTAAGTCAGTGAGTGCGCGTCCAATTACCAACTCACGCCCATGTCAACTCGAAGGCAATCTTATTCACGGATACGGAGCTCACTGAGATTTTCTAAAGGCCATGAATACAAGAAACCTGAGTTGAGCTCGGAACTATTTTACTGTAAAGCCAGCATTGAACCCATACGAGGTCTCTAGACGCCAACAAGTACTTATTCCGTGGGCACCTCAGCCTGTGCTGCCAGGCGGGCAATATACCTAAAGCGAGGTCCCTCCCAATCCACCAGGCCCGAGTGAGCTGTTACTCTGTTATCCCACACGACAACAGATCGAGGGCTCCATTTGACGCGACACTGAAGATCTTGACTAAAGGCGATATGGTGGTAAAGAAAGTTGAGCAGCGAATCACTCTCTTCCTTCTTGTAGCCCACAATCGAACGGGCAAACTGAGGTTGGATGTAAAGCGCCTTCTCACCCGTCGCAGGATGGGTTCGAACAAGGGGATGCACAGAGGTAATTGGGTCTCTTCTCAATTGTCCATCGTTCTTGAGCGCAGCTTGAGCCTGCTCATGGGCAGAGTGCACGACCTTAAGCCCTTCTAATCGCTGTCGGAAGGCAGGAGATAGTCGCTCATAAGCCTTGACCTGGTTGACGAACAAAGTGTCTCCACCAGCCTCGGGCACGTCGATGGCGTATAGGAATGTGGTTCCCGGAGGCTGCAGCTCGTAGCTCACATCACTGTGCCACGAGACTGATGTAGTCCTAGTCTCAAGAAATTTGTCATGGCCTACATCATCAAGACCGCGATGGACCATGTGCAGTTGAGGAAACCCGGGAACGGCGCCACTGTAAGCGAGAATGTGAGCTTTGAAACGCCAAGTTGTGACCATGATGTGGCTTAGATGTGGGGAAGGGCTTAGGAGTGGTTACCTGACAGGATGGACATGTAGCTTGCCAAAGTAGCTCGCAAAGTCTACAGCTTGCTGGATCGGGATAGTGTTGAAGTCCTGATCATGGAAGACGACGACCTTTGACACGTCAGGTAGGTGTTATCTTGGGACTTTATCGCGGCAGCATACTTTTTTCTGTGCCACCAGGAGTGCAAGTTCGTCCTTTGCCTTGTTATCCAACTGAGAGAGCTGAACACCAGTGACCTCAGCACCGATCGACTTGGTGATTTCGGAAATCTTGACTCCCTCTTTTAGGAGGGAGCCAAACTTGGGATCTGCATCCTTGCCGTGCTCGTAGTGCTCAAAAAGCTCAAGAGGAGGCATCCTGTAGTCGCATGGTGGTTAGTTTCGTTCTCACACACAATACAGTGGATGAAGACTGCGTCCGTACTTTTGTCCATTCTCATTGCCCCAGTAAGGAAGACCGTATCTGTCAAAGACGTAGCGTTAGGATCAAGTCTGCCATACTGCAAGCATTCAAGCATGTTTTGCACGTACAACTCGAGAGGTGAGGGTGAAGTCTTGTCGTGCGGCAGAGGCTTCACAGCGACGCCCTGCAAGGACTGCTCGGTAGTTGTGATGGACGGCATTGCTCACTAACTTGGCTTGATGATACCCTCAAAAGGTGGCCTGTTCTTTTGTTGCCGACAGTGATCCTGTATTATTTATGTACAAATCCCCGTAACCGGAGACTCCAGGTAGATCATGCCTCCCAAACTCCTGAGCCGAATATGATGTTGGCAACCCCATGTTCAGATAAGTCGCCATATCGGCCAAGGAGTTCGTGACAGAACTTGCAGGTTCATCGATCCTTCGTCGCCACTCCTATGAGATGCTCATGTCCGAGATGCAATCCAACTGTGGAGGTGACAAGCCATTGCGGAACCGAACATCATCCCTCCCACTATTCAATAGCTGCACAGGACCCTCATCGGGCTTCCTCCGCGATGCTGGTCAAACACGGCTAAGCGAGATCTGTGCGATCCACATCGGCTCTGCTCCGCGATGCATACACTTCAATGTGGTACGGTAAATCTGACTACTAACGAATCACGCAATTATAGTCCAATGGGACCTTGCCAAGGATGGCTGGGGAGAACATACTACCAAGGATCCACATCGGCCTCACTCCGCGATGCAAGCGACAGCTACGTTGCTTCTCATAAAGCCTTTGTTAAAGTCGGTGCTTGAATGAGCTCCATGTGTCGATGGCGTCACCTCTCACATTCTGTGCCCCTCCCCTGGTTCTGAGTCGTGGAATAATCTACAATGGCACCTCCTACTGTTCGACTTCCCAAGAGTCTGCTTGGCCGCCACCGGCTGCTCGCCCCGACTGCAGGGGTCTTTGTAAGCCCGATATGTCTGGGGACCATGAACTTCGGGAGTGTCATGAATGATTCCCTGGGCGAGTGCACCAAAGAGACGGCGTTTGAGATTCTCGACTACTTTTATAAGCAGGGAGGCAACTTCCTTGACACGTAAGTGAGATTTCCGTGCTTTCGCATCCTAATACTAAATGTTGATCTTTTTAGAGCCTCGAGCTATCAGGGAGAAGAGTCGGAGAAATGGCTAGGCGAATGGCTGTCTAAAACCGGGCGACGCGACGAGTTCGTCCTGGCGACAAAGTACACTGGCAACTTCAAGTCGAGGTCGGAAGCATACCGTCAGCAATCCAACTTTGGCGGCAATGGTAGCAAGAGCTTGCACTTGTCCGTGGAAGCGAGCCTCAAGAAACTCCAGACTACGTACATCGACCTCCTGTACCTCCACTTCTGGGACATGACAACAGACATACCCGAGATTATGCAGTCTCTCAATCACTTGGTTTCTTCAGGCAAAGTCCTGTACCTAGGCATCTCGGATACGCCAGCTTGGATCGTGGTCAAGTGTAACGAATACGCGAGACAACACGGACTCAGGCAATTTTCAGTATATCAGGGTCGGTGGTCCGCAGCTGATCGGGATTTTGAGCGAGACATCATCCCCATGTGTCGAGCTGAAGGAATGGGCCTTGCACCATGGGGGACGCTTGGCCGTGGTCTGTTCAAGCCCAAGGACCAGATCAAAGTGGGTGGTCGAAACATGCCTTCGATGAATAACGGCCGCGAAGTTCTTGTATCGGAGAAGCTGGAGGAGATTGCCAATGATAAGGGGGCTCCAATCACCTCGGTTGCTCTGGCGTACGTGTTACACAAATCGCCGTATGTCTTTCCCATCTTGGGCGGTCGAAAGCTCGACCATGTTCGGGGCAACATCGAAGCCCTCGGTCTGCGTTTGACGAGTCAGGATATTGAGGATATTGAAACGGCCTACCCGTTTGATGTCGGCTTTCCTCACAACTTTTTGAGCGGAAACACAAATCGTGGACCGAGAGGACCTGGAGATGTTCGCACGGCCAATGTGCGAGGGCTGTTTGACTATGTCGACGACATCCACCCTATTCTACCTTCTCTTGAAGACTGAATTGCGTTTTCGCATGGTTGCAGGGCCGTTTTTAGATAGTCAAAATTGGTTGCCGTGCCATAATTCGCGATTTGCTGTCTCTTGATCGTGGCGCCTGTAACAAGGAGCCTTCATTAGCAGAGTAGCCCATGAATATCACACTTGTGCCTGACACATAGACTATCTGCCAGTTGCTGCTCTGTTAATGGAGCTTGGCCAATAAAATTTGCGAGAAGACGGACCTTATAAATACAGAAGAGCCTTTGCATCGGCCTGTGTTGAAGGCGCTCACCAAGATGATAATGTGCAGGATTGGCATAGAATCTGTTGCGACAACTATCCTAGAGAGGTAAAGGGAGTATTATTACTCTGCTACCCATACTTCACAGTTGGAAGTACGATGTTTCACGGACAATCATTTAGCGAACCTTTTTATTGACCACCAACCGTAATTGCGGTGGATCTAAGCCACTAACGAGCCCAAAAGCCTACGGCCAGTTATGCCAACTCTCGTGTATATCACGGAGATCGATTTCAGTCGGCTTCCTCTTCAAATACGACGTAATGTCAAAGTTGGGATCCGCCTCCCTGAGCGTCCGACCGTTTCCGAAGAAAGCAAACCTGTTCCCGCTGCCTGAGACATATTCGTATTCAAAGTCCTCCCAGCGGGGGTTCCGACGGATAAAGCTCAGATGCGAGGCACTGCCGGGCCAGGCGCCGTGTATCCGCGCACCGGGACGTCCACCGTTCGCCCAGGAGCTGCAGTTACCTGTCATGACGGTTGTAGGAAAGTATGCATCGGCGTAGGATATGAAGTCATCTACAGCCTTGGCAGACGGCGTGATGGTCTTGATGCCTTCGCTGGATACCTTGCGAAGGACCTTGGCATAGTAGGTGATTTGGTTCTCAATGCTGTGGATAAAGGTACCGGCGATGCCGTTGGTGTGGACAGTTCCGATGAAGAGCAGGTTAGGAAATCCAGCACTCGCCATTCCGAGGTATGTCTTTGGATATCCAATCTCGCCCTCTGGCTTCCATGCTGTTTTGAGATCCACGCCACGGGCACGGATAGAGAAGGGAGGAGCAAAGTCGATGTTGTGGCCGGTCGCACAGAAAATAGCATCCACCTCACGATGAACACCGTCCACCGTTTCGATACCGGTAGCAGTAAACCTGGAGATGGGGGTTTGAATGTACTCCAGGTTTTCCTCAGTGAGCGCTTCCAGGTATCCCGGACCAGGCGTCAATCTTCTGCAGTGAGGCGAGAAGTCAGGTATCATCTTCTCGGCCAAGCCAGCTTTCTTCTCCAACCGTCGGTGCATGATGTCGATGAACCTTTGTCGATAATCGGCATTCTCCTTGGTACCAGCCTTCATGGCGTTGGCCCCTCTCCAGTACCGATCCTCTGCGTCCTTGCGGAACTGGAGGTAGGTGTCTGGATTGTCAAAGGACTTGATTTGTTCTTCGGGGATGTATTCTGGTCCGAACTGGCGTTCTCGGCCGCCCCATCCCGCGGCGATCCATGTCTTGTTGCGTGCATAGTGGTCGATATGCTTGGCGACTTTCTGAAGCTCAGGGACCAGCTGGATACCACTGGCGCCATTGCCAATGACGGCAACCGTCTTCCCGGTGGGATCATATGTCGGGTCCCAGTTGGAACTGTGGCGAAGATGACCCTTGTAATCCTTGATCCCGGGGTAGTCAGGCAGCTTCCATTCATTGAAGCGACCAATTGCGGTGATGACAAAGTCAAAGTTCTCAACCGACGTGTGCTTCGAGTCCACGTCCTGCAAAGTGAGAGCCCAGGTCGACTGCGCGTCATCCCATTGGGCAGTCTCGATATATGTGCCCATGCGCAGGAACCGGGCGATGTCATACTTTTTGGCCATGTTCTTCCAGTAGTCCAGAATCTCAGCTCCCTCGGCGAACTGCTCAGACCATTGCAGATTGGGGGAGAAGGTAGTCTGATAGACATGGGATGGAATGTCGCATCGGACACCTGGGTATATGTTGTCAAGCCAGGTTCCGCCCTGTCAATTGCAATGTCAGTACTTCTCACATCTTCTGAGAAGGAGGTGGTAGGGCGTGGTCGTAGAAAGTAGCCAACTCACCACTTCTTTGCTTTTCTCAAAGATCGTTAGTTGTATGTTGGGCACCTTCAAAGGGAGTAAAATTCCAGAGAGGATGCCTGACAGCCCAGCACCGATCACAGCTACACGAAGGGGACGGAAGTCGTCAATGCAACGGTCCTCAAGCGTGAGATCTGACACCGGATAGGATGCCACGGTTTCGAGGCGTGACGGCTTCCGATCCTCGGCGCTGTGGCTGCCCGGGGTGTTTGCCCCGTTTGTCACAGTTTCGTTCACCGCGTCGGGTTGTACGCCAAGCTCCTCGAGCTTGGACGGCAGATTCTCACTGCTGACTGAAGTCCCAGGTGTAAGGGGGCTGCCCTCAGGCTGAGAATCTGAGATGATGGCCATGGCGTGTTATGACGACGAGGGTGAATGTTCCAAGGGTGGCCTTCTGTCAGGGCTTGCACTCCTCAACAGCATCTTTAAGAGGAATAGTCATCATTTTGATATTTCTTAGAATGCTCTGAACACACATCCTGGCTGGGCTCGATGATGTGATGGCCGCATAGACGGCAGATGAGGCCCGATGGAGACCGCCGAACGGGTTCCAGCCGGCCCCACACTCCCCGGGGCCAGCCACCTCGGCTAGGCTAAGGGAACCTGGTTAAAATGGATCTTGACCCCTGTTTGCAATCTCTATTGGCCCCTGTCTGGCCATCGGCGAGCTCCCCGATAGCCAAGATTCCTTCCAAGTAGTCTAGCCCCAACTCGTCAAACACGGAGATTTGCCGGACTTACTGTATCTTGCCTCTCGACGCGGCTGGGTGCACAGGTTCTTCACCTCGGCTGCAATGGATCTACTATGAAGCAGCGGACTTGCGTGCACTTGCAATCGAAGCACGCCTTCTGGCATCTAAAGATGACTGCCAACGCGTCAGAAAACTTCTACAGTGGCGGACTTACGTGAATTTCCAATGTGAGCACGCCTTCTGGCCCATGCTATGGATAGATACCTTCGAATATGTCTAGATGCGGTGGAAGGATAGTCCTATATGTGCCTGTCCAGGACCTTCTTTAAACGTAGAAAAAGAAAAAAAAAGACACAAGAGTCAACGAGCCATCGTAAAGAATCACGAAACTTGTTAAGTCCACGCCTTCACCATGGCTATCAGGTGGTTTGCCCCCACAGATACACCGAAAGAGAGGAAGTTGATTGTCAAACTCGATCTCCTCATCGTACCATATGTCTTCCTTGCGTATTGGGTCAAATACATTGACCAGTCCAACATCAGTATGACTACCCACCCGGCAATTATCTCTCACAAGTCGATCATTCTAACTGAGCAACAGATAATGCGTACGTTTCGGGCATGAAGGAAGACCTAAACCTCAACGGCAATGAACTCGTCCAGTTTCAGACCATGTACACGGTTGGAGCCGTCGTTGGTCAGCTTCCTTTCATGTTCCTGCTTACCCACGTCCCGCTCCAATGGTTGATCCCAGCCGTTGATGTCCTCTGGGGTCTCTTCACCCTTCTTCAATTTCGGGCGACGAGCGCTGGCGAAGTCATGGGGTATCGGTTCCTCGTTGGCTTCTTCGAGGCTGCGTTCTACCCATCCATTCAGTTCATGTTCGGATGCTGGTATCGAAAGGATGAAATCTCTCGGCGCGCTGGCATCTTCTACAACGGCACCACTTTGGGTGTGCTGACCGCTGGTTTGATTCAGGCTGGAACATCAGCCCGCCTCCACGATGTGCATGGCTTGGCTGGCTGGCGGTGGATGTACATCATCTGTGCTATCATCACCATTCCTATCGGCATTTTGGGTGTCTTCGTCATCCCTGGTACCCCAGCTATGCCAAACCGGATAGTTTTGAGCCAGGCCGACATCGATCTCTCAACCTCACGACTAGAAGCTGCTGGCCACACGACATCCGAAAAGTTTCAGTGGAAATCAGTGGGAAAGGTTGTGAGAAACCCAATCTTCTGGGCCCTCCTGGTCATCTTGACCTTGTTCTGGAATTCGGGCGGTGCGCAAGCTAGCGGGGCGTATCTCTTGTGGCTCAGGAGTTTGGACCGCTACTCGATCCCCAGAATTAATGAGCTAGGAACGCTACAGCCTGTCTGTGGCATCTTCTTTGTTCTGGCGACTGCGTTCGCCTCTGATCTACTGGTTGGCCCTGTATGGGCTCTTACGGGTGGCCACATCTTCAACATCGTTGGCCTAGCTATTCTGGTTGTTTGGGATGTCCCAGAGGGAGCCAAATGGTTTGCTTTCATGACCAACTTTGCTGCCGCGTCAACCTCCACCGTCGTCTTTAGTTGGATCAACCACGTTATGAGACATTCTCCGGCTCAGCGGTCAATCACGCTCATCATTGGAGCAGCTTGGGCACAGTCGTCTACGGCTTGGGTCGGCCTTCTCACCTATCCTACTGTGGAAGCTCCGAGATACACCAAGGGCTTTTCCTTTGGTATCGGCATGTCGGTTGCCCTAATTCTCCTTTCGCACCCGCTTAGCTGGTGGATGGACTCACGGGAGTAAGTCTGCCCACGATGGCCCAATGGTTAGGCCTTTTATTGACGTCTAATGCTAATATGGATGCAGAAAACGTGGAATCGATAGAGGAAGCACTATAGAGTCTCTGGATCAGCCAAACGACGACTCAAGTGGCCCAGATGACACCATTCGCACGGTTGCAGTTCAGAAGACTTAATTAACCGACAATAGATAGGCTCATGATACAAAGAGCTAGGGTTTCCTCGCAGCCGGCCACAAGTTGTGCTCTCAGGTATTTGTGAATGAAGGGATGTGTGGTTGGAGGTGTTTATGGGAGCAAGGTGCTCGATTTAGATTAGATAGACGAATAGATTCATGTTGGCTTGTTGGAAACTCCATGTTCTTCCATACCTTAATAGTAGATAGCTTCTTCAACAAGGATAGATCACAAGACAGTGTCAGGGTTGTTGGCCGATTGCGAACTTGTGGATTGTGCTTTCACGCTGTCAAGTATTGGTTGTTTTGTTTTTGCCTTGTGGCCGATGCCTCTTTTGGGAATGCCATCATCATGAACAACAACAACATCAAATAGTGTGAACCAATCCAAATGATGAAGAACCCATACGCATAACAGGTAAATCTTCCAACGGCGTGAAAAGCCCGAAATTTCCCTACATCGCCAGGGCTTGGTCCATCAGGTCCATCAAACCTGCCCCCCCACCGCGTTTTGAAGCCCAGTACGGCTGCAGAGTCTCTATCGCTTTCATCACACAAGATCTCCAACCCGGTGGGATCTGAACCTCTTGTGCGCCGGCCAGCTTTCCATCCCGTTGAGCCTTCTCCGCCGCAGCGAATCGGAGACATGACCCAGTCAAGCTGCGAAGGTTGAACCAAGTGCCCTGGTGAAGGCTTCTGCTCGTGTTAACGATCTTTAAGTATGAGAATCGTAGGTTTTGTGAAGCTAGTTTGACAACTCTGCTTAGAAGCGGTGCTTCATATCCTTGGAAATCTTCCAAGGAAAAGTCGGTGCATAACCGGAGCAAGGGCCTGTATGTCAACTCGAGGCTCGATAGGTACCGCTGCCTCAACACCATCTTCATAGGGTGATCTAGTTCAGGAAGGGCCCAGTCCTCAGGCATATCGAATTGGAGCTGAGCAGGCAAGGATGAACGCCACTCGTCGATCTGTCCCTCGAATATCTCGGTATGGCGTATCATTCGCACAACATCCGCCCGCTGGAGGCTATCAAAGTCGTAAACATGGCATTCGAGGAGGTCGTTTATGAGGTGGCGTGCAGCAATCTCAGCGAGATAGTAGAGCCAGCTGCGCTCGCTATCGATCAAGGGATCACCGAGTCTTGGATCATCCAGGTCTGGAAGTGTGGGAAACGGACGAAGAACTTCACAGTCTTGAAGCACTGAGGGGGGAAGCGAAAGTTCGGGATGTAGCTCGCTAAACAAATATGGGTGAGTAAGAATCAATGGCTGGGGTCAATTGAGGATGAGCAGACATACCAGATAGACTTCCAAATTGTGAAGCATAGAGCATCTTGGACGCAGATCGGACCAAAGTGAGTTCTTTCAGGAGGTCTAGGTAATGGGCCACTTCATGCCTTGTAAGCAGCCTTCTATTGGTCCCAAGTTATTAATATACTTACTTTCGCATCACTGTGCAGAACCATGCGTTTCCAGCATGGCTGAAGTACTTCCAGGCTTGGAGCGGTTGTAGGTTGAGCATGTGCCATATTCTTCTCCCGGATTAGCTTCAAAGTAAGGGCTAGCATCATTGACGGTTTCAGTAAAGCTTCTTACCCTGCCAGACACAGACATTGCACAGCCGTTATGTCATTCCGGTCGAGGACGAGGCCCAGGCGCTTAGATGCGACGTTCCAGTACCCAATGGCCAGGCTGGGGTCGCTACGATCTCGAGACTCATCTGAATTGACTCCACTGGACGCGTCAGGGGTTTGTGATGTATCCAATGGTTCAGTCATAGCACCGATGGCACACACAAGTGCAACGAGGCAAGTCTCGGGTGACCAATCGAAATGGCTTTCTGCGACGCGGAGAATTAGATCGTGCAGTGTTGGAAGATGTAATATGGGGTTAAATAGGTGCACGCTATGGATATATCTCGATTCTAGGTCAGTTAAGAGCCTTATATCGGTGCTTGGCATCGAATGGTCCAGGGTGATAGGTAGATCAGCGTCGGGATATATATCGCTCGCCATAAGATGCGACTGAAAGATGCGCCATTGGATAATGTTTTCTATCTTTTGGGTCCAACGTAGAGATTTTGCTGCTGGTTTAAGTTGTAGATGGCTATTTGGAGTTGCCGGCTGAGGAGTTGATGTGACGATGGAGGCTAGGCCAGTTGAGAAGGATACCCTCTCCCTGCTGCTAGCAGTCACATCGGGACTACCAACCGGCAATCGCTCGGTTGGCGGCTTTGAGACGATTTCTCGGAGCTCGTTCAAAGCTTGCAGAACTTCTCGTCCAAAAACATGGCAGCTATTGTGTCCTTAGCATGATCCACTCCCAGGACAACAGGAGAGGTGTAATTGCGACTCCTTACCAGGAACTGGCTTCCGTCTCATACACACAAGGCTCGCCTATCTTCAAGCAGTAACCACAACTCGGCCCTTGATTGTCGCACTTTGTTTTCCGCGACCGACACTTTCGGCAGGCGACCGTTCCCCGGGTCCGGAGCGGTTGACCGGGACCTGGACCTGCGGGCAGCGTCGCAGCAACAGGGCTTACATCTTGGGCCCCATCCTCGGCTCCGGTTAGGCTCAAATGTTGGTAATCGTTATGTTGAGCCTGTGAATCCCTTGTTGACCAGGGAAGATGGATCGCGGAGGCTGCCGGGTCGATGCGGGGGATCTTGTGGGGTCTCTGGTCCTCCAGGAGCAAATATCGAGATTCTCTTGAGGCATCCATCTTCAACGGCACCTCCGCGATGGACAGAAACTGAGAGAAAATAACACAGGTAGTGGGGAACTAGATCTCGTCGGAGCTCCGCGATGCTTATGCTTCTTATATCCTGCCAGCTGGGGTTCCCCACATGGAACCTCTATCGTTGGGAACAAGACGGCGGGCCAATCAGCGTTGTTTGATAGCAGTTGCGTCAACTTGTTCCTGGCTTTGCTCATCGACAGTCACCTAAAATCCTAAGCTTATGGCTGGGGCTCTGGAATTTCCAGATTGCCCTAGAAAATCCTTCTTGCAGCTAAGATAGTCTGTGTCTTGGCATTTATCACGTCACCGAGCCGAATCCAGATTGGGTTCTTCGGCTAAGACGCAATGACAGGGTCTTGGAGGCGTCATTACCAGAGTGGTCTGGGTTACCGATGACCAATTGGGTGAGAGATTCACATATGAAACCGGACATAAGAGATAAGATCCGGTATATAAATCATATGTTGCAATGACGAGCAATACAATACAAGCTACGGTGATACCAATCAAGTGGTAACCCTGTACTGATTTTTCTATCGGGAGGCATCAGAGACGCTGAACATGGCAACTCAAGATATCCCGGGGGTTGAAAAGCCACCCAAGAAGCAGATTCTGCTGAATGCCTTTGACATGTCAACAGTCGGCCATCTCTCGGTCGGACATTGGAAAGTACATATAGTCTTGGCCCAGATTCAAGAGAGGACACTGAACTAACACTTGGATAGAACCCGACTGATAGGTCAGCGACGAAGCGCAAGTTGACTTACTGGGTCGAGCTGGCAAAACTTCTTGAAAGGGGAGGGATCAGTGGCCTCTTCCTTGCGGATACAAACGGAGGATTTGACATTTATGGCGGAACGGTGGAGGAAAGCATCAGAAAGGCTGTCCAGTGGCCGGTTACGGACCCATCTATAGTAAGCAGCACACTCGTTTGATACATTCGAGCTCAAGTACATTTCACTAAGAGCCTATTCTAGCCGATTACTGCCATGGCGGCGGTGACGAAGAATCTGACATTCGGCATCACGGCGTCAACATCTTTCGAAACCCCCTTTGTTCTGGCAAAGAGGTTTTCAACCTTGGATCATATGACGGATGGGCGTATTGGGTGGAACATCGTCACATCGTGGAAGAAGTCTGCATTCAACGCCATTGGCATTGATCCTATCGAGCATGACCAGAGATATGCGCAGGCTGACGAGTATATGAGAACACTGTACAAGTGCGTTACACTTCCTTCGTTGGACTTGAATGACACATGGCCATTTGCTAACACGGGGTCTTGACAGGCTATGGGAAGGGTCGTGGGCCGATGATGCGCTGCAACCTGATCCGACGACAGACACTTATATCGACCCATCCAAAGTCCGCCATATTAATCATCAGGGCAAGTACTACAAGTTATCCACACGACACATCGTGGACCCCTCTCCGCAGCGGACCCCGTTCCTGTTCCAGGCGGGCGCATCAGCAGAAGGAATCGACTTCGCAGCCACGCATGCAGAGGGCATCTTTGTGTCTTCGCCATCACCCGAGCTGCTTAAGATTCAGATTGAGAAGAACCGCAAGATTGCAGCCGAGAAGGGACGCGACCCAGACTCTTTAAAATTCTACCTCTCCTTCACTCCTATTCTGGGCAAGACGGATCAAGAAGCCCAGGAAAAGTATCAGGAGCTTCGGAAGCACGCGAGCCCCGTTGGCGGCTTGGTTCTTTTCAGCGGATGGACCCGTATCGACATGTCGAAGTACTCGCTCGATGAGGATATCAGCAAGATAGACTCTGATGAGGGCAGGAAGCTGTGCAACATGTTCAAACCCACAAACGAGACACCCATCTGGACACCTCGTCTCATTGGCATAAAAGCTGCAATGAGCCAAATCTCACCGTCTGCTGTTGGGTCTCCAGCAACTGTGGCGGATATAATGGAGAATTGGATCAATGTCGCTGACGTAGATGGCTTCAACCTCGGATACGTCACATCGCCTGGATCCTTTGAGGATGTCGTCGACTTGCTTGTTCCGGAGCTTCGGAGGCGTGGTATTTACCCAGAGGCAGTTGAGCCTGGGTTGGCGGCACGGGAGAGGGTCTATGGAAAGGGCCAAGCTCGATTGCGGGATGACCATATTGGGAGCAAGTACAAGTATGAGGTATATAAGGAGGAGGAGCCATTCGTTGCGGATGATCGGTCATGAGCACCGGGCAGATAGACTCTAGCATCGGAACTTGATTCCTGTAGTATTGATGAACATATGAGATCCACAACGTCGATATGGCGTGCTCTAGGGATGCTGCGCGCGTCCCATTCCCCGGCCCACAGAGCAAGTATATATAAGAGCTTGCCCCCTCCTCTCGATTTTGCTCCACGACCAGTTCACAACTCTTTCCTACCCTTATTCAACCAAACAGCTTCGACTTTTTTACTCTTCTCTAAGCCAAAAAGCGCGGAGCGCATTAGCAAAGAGAACATGCCGGAATCGACAATTATTTCCGACCAAAGCACCAAGGTCACCCAGGCCACAGCCACCTTTACCGGCCAGGTGTTTTCCAACATCATGCATCTCGACAAAAGCGCTGGAATTGCCAGTGTCACATTCAACCCGTGCGCTCGAACTCACTGGCACACTCACGTTGAGGGGCAAATGATTCATGTACTCTCGGGCAGCGGATGGATTTGCGACAAGGGAGGGAAAGCCAAGCGGATTAGGGCTGGTGATACGATCTGGGCCTCTCCTGGGACGACTCATTGGCATGGGGCTGATGATGAGTCTGTTATGACGCATCTTGTCATGGTTACTGGTGAAACGAATTGGCATGAACCCGTTACTGAGGAGCAGTATAAGATACGGGAAACATGAGACCTCTGACAAAATACAGTTCAAATAGTGATAACTGAAAATAACAATACCTCCGGTGGATGTGGGAGCAGCCTACTGCTAGCGGTCGGGTGTGATCGAACCATCACAAGCGTAAAAGTGTGCACGCCTTCTCATGTAGTTTTAAAGTGTAAAGTCTGTAAGCTCAATCACATATCTCACTAACAAATAGCCAGAAGTATCCTCTCGCTCAATGTTGCACCAAGATTTTCAGCAAGCGGCCCGTGGCACTCCCGAAACACGGTCCGAGTCTCGACCTTGTGGCTTTGACAAGCTCAAGTGCCGCTTTATGCATATCAAGCTCAAACTGCTCTGCCGGCGCAACTAGCCATTCGATAGCGTTGTCTAGTCAGCCTTATCGGCGAGTGAGACGGCCCCAAACAGTCACCCACCGGAAAGGCAACCCACACTGCGGCTGAATCTAGCCAATCTGCCATCACTCAATTCGCTTTTTGATTCGACGAGGTGACAGTCAGCCGTTCTCGTAGTTGCAGGCGGCGTAAGCGGTGTTGAGGGGACCTGCGCCACTCAGCGGCGTTGGAATGTGAGTCCAACTTGCCCAGAACCTCAATTGAGACATATTCCCCGCTCGTATGATGCGCTGCATAATGGCATTTAACTGATTGGTTCTTTATTTCTAAATCACAAAAAAAATGTGGGTTAAAAAAGTCGGGGTTTCTCCAAGTTTCGCTGACGACGCGTTACGAGCCAAGGTTACCACGGTCAGCCCTGTGACCGATGCATCCTTCTTGCATTCAGCTTATTCTTGGTGTTTGCCATCAGCCTCCGAACACAGTTTGCACCCACCTTTGGCCATAACCCCTCAACTCAACCATGAGTCTGGACCCCTCACATGCCGAACAAGGCATCTATTGTCTCTAGTTGGACTGCAGCGCCGCACCAATGCGACTTAACGTCCGGCGTGGCTGGCTGGAACTAACCACTATCCTGTAAGCGTTGGCCCTTGGCTGCAGCTTGTCTTTGACTTCGGCGTTCAGCTGGAGTCAGCCTGCATACTATCTGTTGACCGAGCACATATGCAAGGGCTGCTACTGGCCGGCCGAGACCTGGGGTTTTCGTCATCTTTCAAGTATGGCCTTAACTGTCCATAAGCCCCCTGATATGGGGAAGCTGACTTGAGAGGAAATGTGGTTGTGAGAAAGTGTATAAAAGCGTGTGCTTCTCGTCCAATTGCTCCCTCCTCGAGCACATCTCCCTTAATCTTCCCTCCTTCCAAATTCCCATTTTTCTTCATCTCATTTTACCATGGTCCTCACCGGCATTTCTCTTCCTCAGCTGCCGGTGACTGTGCCGGCAGCTCCCAAGCCGGATGCCATCCTCAAGCAGCCCTCACTTGAGGAGCGAAAGAAGGATGCCAGCATTGGTGTCCAGGATGTTCCCTTTGCTGACATCGACCCCGGTGTATTCAACAGCGAGCTGATAAAGCTCAAGATCTATGCGAAGCCGGATCAGAAGAACCTGGCTCAGAAGCCAGAGCTGGGTGGAGGTAACATTGAGGAGGGCACCTACGCTGGAACGCAGGCTGCTCTTACTCATGCCTACAGCCGCATTGAGCGAAGGTGAGTCCTATATGGTCGTATTAGCGAGATCTTTGCTAATTGTAATAGCTACGAGTCATATTTCGACGTGTTGCAAGTCGAGCCAACTCTTCCTCGATACGTAGATCTCTCTCAGAAGAAGCAGATCTACAAGTACTCGGCCTACCCCAAGAACCCCGATGGCACCGATGCTCAGTACCCTCCCCATCTTCAAAGCATCCCATCGGCAGACCAAGTCTCTGAGCTGAAGATTTTCAACGCTCTTGGTCTCGTTGAGACCGGCTTGATGATCAAGCAGATCATTCCCGACAACTTTGCTGGTAAGACGGCGAGGTGGCTGCTCAGCTTGAAGAATGGAGATATCAGCGGTGCTCCTGATCAAGGTCCCAAGATCGAGGATTATGTCGAGTACAACAAGAAGCACCGCAAGTCTGGCACCGATATTGAACAGGGTGCCAATATTGGTCTTCTTCCTGACTGGTTTGGCGATCGTCGTTTTGCGGAGCAGTCTTTCACCGGCACCAACCCTACGACTATCGAGAAGGTGTCCAAGGACCTTTTGACCGAGTTTATTGACACTGCCAAGCGCGATGGATGGGACTACTGGGCCAAGACCCTCCCCCAGATCGACCCTAAGTCTCTCTTTATGCAAGATACTCGCTACTTCCGCAAGGCATTTGGAGCCAAGCCGGATGAGGAGCTCAAGCACAAGGAGCCAGCTTCTGACGACAACTGGGCCTGCTCCGCTGTGACCCTCTTCCAGCTTCACGAAGATGGCAAGCTTCATCCCATTGCCATCGTCTGTGACTACAAGGTCAGCATGAAGAACTCGGTCACCATCTTCAACCAGCGCAAGTCCCCGACGGATTCATCCGACAAGGAGAAGAATGACTGGGCTTGGCGATACGCAAAGACATGCGCTCAGGTCTCGGACTGGATCCGCCATGAGGTCAGCGTTCACCTGACTCGTGCTCACATGATCGAAGAGTCATTGATCGTGGCTACACACCGAACGATCCCCATGGAGCACATCGTCTTCAAGATTCTCCAGCCACACTGGTACAAGACACTTTCGCTCAACGCGGCCGCGAGAAGCACACTTGTGCCGCAGGTCATCAAGGACCTTGTCGGCATCAACCCCGACTATCTGTACCGCTTCGTGCGCTACGAATTCGAGAACTTTGACTATGTCAAGAGCTACATCCCCAATGACCTCTCCAACCGTGGATTCCCTAACACGGCCGAGGGCCTGGCGGACAAGAAGTACAAGAACTACGCCTATGCCAAGAACATGCTCTCCATGTGGAAGGCCATCCGCAAGTATGTCATGAGCATGCTCTTGATGTACTATGACAAGAACACAGCCGACAAGATGGTCAAGGAAGACAAGTATGTCCAGGACTGGTGCAAGGAGATCCAGACCAACGGCTGGATCAAGACCTTCCCCAACATTCAGACTCTGGATCAGCTTTGTGATGCGCTCACAATGTCTATCCATATCGCAGCTCCGTTCCATACCGCCGTCAACTACCTTCAGAACTTCTACCAGGCCTTCGTGCTCTCGAAGCCACCGGCCCTGTGCAACGCTTTGCCAAAGTCCCTTGCGGAGCTCAAGGCCTACACGGAGAAGAGCCTGGTAGATGCTCTACCTATCGGTCGACAGAGGGAGTGGCTGCTGGCAGTCCAAGTGCCCTGGCTTCTCAGTTTCAAGGTGCCCAGTGACCGCAGTCTGGTCAGCTTTGCCCAGTCTCAGTGGCGGGCGCAGGTTGGAAACAGCCCGGAGGTTCAGGCGGTTCGCAACATCAGCGAGATGTTTTACCTCGACTTGAAGAAGCTTGATGTGGAGTTCCTTGTTACGAGCAAGGGAATGGACGAGGATAGCATTCCTTACATGGTGATGGACCCTGACAACACGGCCGTGTCCATTCTTATTTGAGCATCACTAGTGGATCAGGTTTTAAATGTCTGGAAATTTGTGCATAATACATAGTTTAGTTAATCGAACGAGTCTGGATACCACATTGGTCAGAACGTCACGTAACTACAGGTTTTCTACTCGATCAATGCCCACAGTCTCTTGCTGATCTGGCCTCTGACGGGTGGTGGCCTCTCTGCGGTGAGCACCTCATCCATTCCTTCATACATATCAATGTCTTCCGGCTTTCTGACCCATTCATCGTCCCGGTGGTAGAGGCGGTGACCGAAATAGATGAGCAAAAAGGCCGGGATGCCGATATACGCAGTAAGAAATGTTGCCACAGACCACTCGGAAGGGAAAAATACCGTAAAGCCATTGATCAACAGCAAGACGACAGAGCCGGCAGACCCAAAGTACATGCCCCACGGTTGAAGGCTGGAACGGTACGGAGACTCCAGTTTGTGATGCGCAATCGCTTTGCGGTATCTAACATAGATGATACCACAGCAAATCCAGCTGACGTATCCGGATGTGTTTGTGATGTTGATCAACCAGTTGAAGACAGTCAGGCTGCTACTGGAAAGAGAAAGGTAGGCTAGACCTCCAAGACAAGATGTGACTGCGACGGAAAAGTAAGGAAGGCCGTAACTGTTGCACCCTTTGAAAATTGCAGGAGCGTTGCCAGCCTTGGCGAGAGAGTAGAGGTTCCGGGACGCGGAGTAGAGGAAGGCATTTCCGGCAGTGATGGCGGAAAGAAGAATCATGGCATTGACGATGCTGTCAAGGACGGGGATTCCGGCGTTGCGGATGGCAATGACAAAGGGGGAACTTGCTGTTCCAGACGCAGAGAGGGCAGGGTCGTTGGACATGCAAACAACGCCGATCCCCAAGACACTTGGCATGAAGAGAATGATCAGACGCCAGACGTAGCGTCGAGCTGCTCGCGGCAAGTTGTAACGCGGTGACTGCATCTCGCCCGCAGTAACAATTAGTTGCTCCGGTGCGAGGACGAAAGCGAACGAAGCCAGTACAAAGGACTGGAGGAGTGCAACAAGACGCCCTGCGTCTCCTTTCACGATATGGGCATTGACAGGACCAGGATTCTTCCAGTATCGAAAGTAGAGAGGATCATGGTTCGGTCCACCTCCGAAGAAAAGAACGATGGAGAGGAAGATTAAGCCAAGGATAAGTATGATCTTCATCCCAGCGCTCCAGAACTCGCATTCTCCAAATACTCGTACGGGAAAGAAGTTGAGTAGGACGATAACGGCATAGATGACGGTGATCCAAACAGCGGGACTGACGGCAGGGCCCCAGAAGTCGATGAGAAGGGTCGAAGCGACGAATTCGTAAGGGATCAAGATTCCAAGGGAATACCAGTACAGATATCCCATGGCAAACCCCATACTACGAGAGACGTACTTGTGACCATAGTAGGCCATGGTACCGCCGGGAACAGGGAGGTATGTCGCGACTTCAGCGATACCAGTGACGATGCAGTACACCAGGATAGACAAGACGCCGTAAGAGATGAGCAGGAAGAGAGGCCCGCCCACACGGAGGACTTGTGCAGTTCCCAGAAAGAGAGAAGTACCAATGGCACCTCCAATTGCGATCATTTGAGAGTGTCGAGGCTTGAAGCCTCGATGTGTTTCTTCGTTCGTGTCGGGGGACGTGGTGCCATCGTGTAGGCTCTGGGTTTCGCCGGTTTGGGTTTCGAGCTTTCCAGAATCATCGGTTCTGGCTTTCGAAGCGCCAAAGTCAGGATCTGGGAGGATTTCTTGTTTCATTGTGATGGTTATACAATGATGGCTTTGACGGTAAAGAAGGTTGAAGAGAAGCGTGATGCGAAGGTAAAACCAACCTGCGGGAAGATGAAGGCTCTTATACTTCACTTACTCTCTTTCTCTGAGAGGTCTTGGGCACCTATCTCACCAAGTTGAAATCCATACTCCAACGGCAACGCCATCAGCACCTCTACTAACCTACCCTTGCCCTTCCCCGGACCACCCTGATAACGAACTTGACCTGGCCGGACGTGGGTTTGAGCCGGGGTTTGTGAATGCGGGGTAAGCGGAGAAACTAAAGAGATATCAGTTATCGACTCACGAAAGCGGCTTTCATACTAATTGACTTGGGTCTTTACCCTTGCCGCTAGCGGCGCCAACGGCGGTGTTTATATCATGGACAAGATCTCGACCCCGATCATCTCGGAGGTGGTTCAGAATCTGTTTTCCAAGCACCATCTTTTCCTCGATAACTTTAAAGCCAGCCTGGGGTATCCAAGCAGACCTCAGCTCATCTTCAAACGCAATCATCACTCCCCCGGTGCGAAACCCCTGACAGACATCACCCATCATGGCTCACCCCTTCGTATCCGACTCGCACATTCTTCACCGCGCCATGTCGCACCGCCCAGAGAAGGTGATTTCAGCTTCTGGTATCTCCCTCTTCCTTGAAGATGGCCGCGAGATCCTGGATGCCTCAGCCGGGCCCTCCGTCTCTTGCCTCGGATTCGGAAGACCTGAGATTGCGGAAGCTGTGAGCAACCAGATCAACCAGCTCTCTTATCTCTACTCGGGAGCACGGTTCACCTGTGATGCCACGGAAGAGCTCGCCTCCCTTCTTCTACAGGGACAGCCTGGGGGACTTTCCAAGGCTATCTTTGTCAACTCTGGCAGCGAGGCTACTGATGCTGCCATCAAGCTGGCAACGCAGTACTGGCACGAAAAGGGTATGCCCCAGAAGCGCCACTTTATTGCACGAAAGCAGAGCTACCACGGAAACACGATAGGCGCGCTCTGTGTCTCGGGCCATGACTCGCGTCGAGCCATGTATCGCGACTGGGTTTCGTCCAACGTCAGCTTCGTGGATCCTTGCTTTCCGTATCGCCTGAAGAAGAGCCAAGAGACTAACGAAGAATATGTCAAACGCTTGGCAGACCAGCTAGAGGCTGAGATTCTTCGCGTCGGCCCTGAGAACGTCGCTGCGTTTGTGGCCGAGACAGTTGGCGGGACGACTTTGGGTTGTCTTCCCGCCGCGCCTGGGTACTTCAAAGCAGTTCGAGAGATCTGCGACAAGTACGACGTTCTTCTCATCTTGGACGAGGTTAGTTATCGAGCTCGCTCCAAGTGACCATAGCTGACCCCTGTAGATCATGTGTGGAATGGGCAAGACTGGCACCATGCACGCCTGGGAACAGGAAAACATCTCGGGCCCTGACATCCAGACTATCGGCAAGGCGTTGGGTGGAGGGTACATCCCCCTGTCAGCGGTGCTACTCCGCAGCAAGATCTTTGATGCCCTTGCTGATGGGTCAGGGCTTTTGGCCCACGGCCATACGTTCCAGGTATGTCTAGCACCGGCAGGAAAAACATTGGGAGAACCACTAAGCTAATTATTCACTTTTTCTAGGCGCATCCAGTAGCTTGCGCTGCAGCGCTCGAGGTTCAGCGCATCATCCGCGATGAAGACCTCCTCGGCAACGTGGCACGGATGGGCCAAGTTCTTGAGCGACTCCTGAAGGAGGAGATTGGTCCACTGGAGTATGTAGGCGACATCCGGGGCCGAGGCCTTTTTTGGGCAGTCGAGTTTGTGCAGGACCGAGTTGCCAAGACCCCCTTTCCCGCGGATCTGAGACTTTGCCACCAGATTGTGGACAAGGCGCTTGACTTGGGCTTGAACATTCTGGGGAACCTGGGTAAAACAGGAGAAGTTCATGTCGACCATGTTATCATGGCTCCGCCGTATGTGGTGACAGAGTCTGAGCTTAGGCGCATGGTTGGGATTCTGAGGGAGGCGATCGAGGCTGTTACTCGTCAAGTCTGCCACACTGAGTCTGCGAGATTGTGATAAATTCTAGAATCACATAAGATAGCTAAATTGTTACGGATCAATAACATTGTCATTGATGTGACCAAACCTTTTTGTCCTTCATCATCTCGTGTCACTAGACATAAGATTAGGAATAGCTGGAGGTAACCGAGGTGCCCTATCATGTCGAATATGACAACCTTTTGCAATCAGCGCTCTCATCCCGGGTGATGACACCGAGATCAACATCAATTGGTCCAAATCAGTCAAGCTCGTCCACCCTAACGTTCCGATCTCCTCGTCAGGAGGAGTCAAACTTCTGCTATACCATCTTGGGATTGCCCCACCCCGCCGATAGCGCCGTGCATGAAGGCTTTCCCGTGACTCGAGACTTCATCTCATCCTTGCTGACCTCCTTCGATCGACTCTGTTCTTTATCCCGCCCATAGCGCCCGGACGAAAGCACCCTGTAGTCGGACAGAGACCTCAACCCATCAATGGAGAACCTAGGAATCGCCCCTCTCGCAGGGTCATCGAGGAGAGCGGGCTATACCCGGCAAAGGCGCGGATGCCTGACTTGCCGTCAAAGGTATGTGGATGCCATCATTGGTTCTCTTACCCGACATCGCTATCATCACAGAGCGTTTCTGACGCTAATGTACTGCAGAAAAAAGAAGTGTGACCAGATCTACCCTGTTTGCAGCCACTGCTCGCGGCTCAACCTGGTCTGCAAGCGTGAACCCCCTCGCCCCCTAAAGTCGTCATCGCCTGCGCCATTGGACACGGCGGCCAGAACCGACTCCGCCATGACAAGAACTCCAAGGATAGATGAGCAACTCCGGGGCATAACACACTTGTGTCAGCCTTTGGGTCTGCCGCTCTCGGAGTCGGGCGATGCAGAGGCTGAGGACCTGATTGGAAGTAGACGAGCCATGTTACGATACTACACGGCAACGTTTGCATTCCTACTCACTACCAATCTGGAGAACAATTGTTTCCTATCTGGTATGTTCCCTCTAAGGCGCATTGACCTTACAACTAGCTAACTTATCCACAAAGTCATTCTTCCTATGGCGTTTGAATGCCCACCCCTCATGTATGCAGTGTTAGCATGGGCCTCATCGCATCTGGCCTTGCGTGATGACAAGTTCAAACCCTTGTCTTTACGCCATCGCGGGTACGCTCTAGCACGTCTCCAAGAGTCAGTTCAACAGAGTCAGCTTTCGACAGAAATGTGCCTCGCAGTCACAATGGTACTCTGCTCGATGGAGTCGATATCAGAGGCAACTGACAGCTGGTATCCCCATCTCACAGGTGCAGCTGCAGCCCTAGTACAGGGGCCAAATTCGACGTGTGACCCGAAGCAGGCTGTGCAGGCCACGTTTGAGGGGAGATGGCTGCTCCGCAATTTTGCGTACCACGATGTCATGATGAGTGTCTCGATGGATCGCCCACCCTTGATTAAAGGGTTCTATTGGGCGGCAGCAGATGAATCTCTACCGGATCCGTACTTTGGATTTGCGTCACGTCTACTGTTTCTCGTGTCTGAGACCAGCGTCCTCAATGCTGATTTTGCAGATGCGAATGCCCTTTTGCAAATTGGCCAAATCATCACTCACGGTGATCGGTCAATCCGGGCACGGAATATTGAGGATGAGCTTCAACGCTGGGTGTGTCCTTCGAACGAGCGCGGCTCACCACTAGCACTACTGGGCGAGGCTTACCGTAACGCCGCACTCATTCATCTATACCGAACCCTGAGGCGCCATGTAAGCGGCTATACTATTGTGCTACAGGCCAAGATAAAGGCATGTGTTGAAGCCATCGTCAAGCTCAGTCGGGAAGTCTCGGAGGGTTGCTTGGTGGAGTGCACACTACTGTTCCCCCTCTTCATGGCTGGAGGAGAAGCCCACGAGATGTCCGAGATTGAGGCTATTCGGGAAAAACTCGGTGACATGATTAAGTGGCGAAAATTCCGCAATGTTGAGGCTTGTCTTGAGATACTTGATGAAGTTTGGCGCCGGAGGGCGGATGGCTCGCGGATGAGTGACCAGGGGCATGTGGATTGGGTAGATATTGTCAAACACAGAGGGTGGAACCTGTCAATATCGTAATATCATTACAATCCTTATTATTGGTCAGTTCAAGAAGCTATTGGCAGTTCATCGGGTCTAAGACTTGCCCCCTCCCCGACCTCGGGCCGCTGTTGGCGCCCAGTTACCCCATGGTTGTGGAATGACTCGATCCACGGATTGCAACGAAAAAATGCCGTCGCAAGAATATTACGAATGATTGCAAGAATTTGCTCAAATTCTAGGTTATAAACCATGAACCGACCTCATTAGGACCACTACTATGACAGAACCACAACACTCCTGCCGCTTCCCATCTTAACCCGACGCTTCTTCTCAACGACAACCCCAATTCACCATGGCAACCGAAAACACCTCCAAGCCTGAAGAGCTCAAAGAGCGTGCCGACCAGGCTGCCATCCCTTATCGCGGGCCACGTCTACCCGCTGTACCTGATGATCTTGTCATCCCTGGCATCTTTGACATCGAATGCGACGAGCGGCTCTGGGTCCCTCAAGCCCCAGATGTTTGGTTCCGCCCTCTTCTATTCAGCGTCTCGGGAGGCTACTTTGTTAACATCCTTCGCGTACGAAGATCTGGCATCCTATCCCGTCATCGCCACGCCGGTGCCGTGCACGCCACCGTACTCAAGGGTCGCTGGCATTATCTCGAACATCCTTGGTGGGCTACTGAGGGCGGCTACGCGTACGAGCCCCCCGGAGATATCCACACGCTCGAGGTGCCGGAAGATGTGAAGGAGATGGTGACGCTTTTCCACGTCACGGGCGCTTATATCTATGTGGACCCTGATGGCAACCCTGTGGGAGTGGAGGATGTGTTCAGTAAGCTGGATAAGGCTAGGAAGCATTATGAAGCTGTTGGACTCGGGGCGAGTTTTGCGGACCAGTTTGTGAGATAGAAAGAAATGTAATTGAAAAACTCCACCCAATAAATTGCACTTGTTTTCTAGCCGGCGTAGCCCAGTACTTGCAAATGTGCCTTGCGCTAAAGCTTCTGATAGAAGTGTTTGCTATCCAACCGCCTTTTCTAACATGTCCCCCCATTGGACCCAAGAACACCACCACTGTTTGCGGTCGGATTCCCACTTCTGTTTCTTTGTTTGAAGTTGTTCCAAGCTTCGAAACGTCTTGACGTCCCTCTGTTTCTCGATATCTGAATGAGAGAACCAGGTTCCGTGCAACCCATAAGGCACACGCTGCGGGAGCGTAATCCTTGCAATGACATTCCGCATACTCTTGGCATCCAGGATCCAGAGCTCGGACACGGCTGAGGTAGGGCATTCGCCAGACAGGTTCAGCTGAGACTCGTCAAAAACATAGAAGAGGAGATATCCGCCGTCTTCTTCGTCCGATGATGACCTGGGAATAAAACGTGGCTCTTGGGCAAAGTGATTCGTTGGAAGGCGAAAGCATTGGATGGGATCATCCTTGTTGTCTTCGTCGATTATTTCCCTGACTGTTCGCTCATCTACACACCCTTTGACAGGCGTGATATGCATGTCCTTTCCTTTTTGAATGAGCCTCTTGGAGTCGATCTTGGCTATAACATTAATCTTGACGGCTTTTCCAAGGGCAACACCAAAGCAGGATGATGATGTGGTGCACCCGTATATGTAGCGAGCTTGTTGCATTTCGCAGTCTGGACGGACAGATGGAAATTCGAAGGGTATTGCCGACAGGGCCCATTCATGAGAAACTTGATTCTTCCCTGTTGTGGATAGGTCAAACTCGTAATAATACAGGCGGCATTGGTCGTTGTCTTCAGACGCGTGAGCTGAGGGGCAATTAGGAGCGTTTGGTGTTGAGGTGGATGATTCGAGAACTGGACCTTTCTCGTAATGACACATTGTCCCTAGCGGCCCGTGGAGATTTTCTTTAATGGAGCGAGTCTCCTCAAGCTCGATATTCTCGGTGTTGCTCAAGACATTTGGAGGGGCAATATTACCAGCGCTGTAAATGAGAGTAGCCGAGGTCATCCGACACGCCAAGAGGTTAACAGACGCCACTTTGCGTTCCACGATTGTATCCCATGCGTTCGCTGTATGAAAGATACAGCAGGCCGGACTGGTGAACCATCGCACATCGTCTGGCTTATGTCGAGGAAAGACGCCGAACCGAGAGGGTTTTGATGAGTCGTAAGATACCACTTCCCTATTCCTCAGTAAGTTTAGAGGGTCTAGAGATAGTGGCAAGTCCATAATGATGGTTTGCGTATGTGAAGCCCCAAAGTCGTGCATCATCCTCGCTCCAGATACTCCGGCCACCGGTTCATTGATAAGTTTGAGTTTGGGAGTGTTGCTGTTGTTCGAGAGGCTACTTGGAATCACCGAGTAGTGAACAAAAGGAGGCACAAATGTGTTGTGATAGAGTAGCATTTCGCCCGTCCTGTCGTCCACCTTTGGATGCCCGGTCGTCCATTCCTTCAAAAAGCTCAAGGCGCCGTTGCCCCCGAACCGACGGGCGTCTAACTGGGACTCGACGCCTTCCGGCTCGCCTTCGGCCTGAACACCATCAAACCAACCCACAGTATCCAAGGAAGGAAGTTGGATGCGCATTGGCGGACCACTTTCGCAGGTGGCCAGGGCTCTGCCGTCGTGATAGAGTATAGACGTATTCGCAACGCTGATGCGTTTTATCGCCTGCTGTGAAGCAGGGAGATGCGAAAGAAAGACCAAGAATACGGTCCGTAACACAGATAGTATAATTTGAAACAGGGTTGAGAGGGGATTGACGAGGGTTGTTATGCTTGGCATGATTGGTGATGAGACTGCTGTTGTCTTCTTAGACAAATAAAGGTCGGTTAAGATGAATTGGTTGACAAATTTAGGTATGATGCGGCCATCATTTGGAGATATTCTCCCGAAAGCAACACCAGATAGCATCCCATCACCATCGAACCAATGTGCATCTCTGCCAAGGTCTTCATGGCCCACTGGGTTGCCACCGTTGCGAACGTACTGGCCCCCTTGCAGCTCTGGCGGAATATTTCCCGTGTAAACGCATGGCGTTCATGGGGTTGTTTGTTGAACAGGTGCAAAGTTTCCAGAAAGATAGCTGTTCAGGGTAAGCATTTGTTTATCGTGATAGGCTGATCGCGCTTACGGGTGCCGTTGAGACTGTCGTTCTTTAGTTGAAGGGAACATAGCAGGGAGAATCTGAGATGAGATCACAGTAGCAGAAGCAATCAGTCACATGACTTTAGACTACCTATTGATCAAAAGGCCGATTGTTTTCATTGCCGTCTCTTCCCAACTTCCTCCAACGCATAGCTTCAGCTAACACTATGATCACTCCATTGTCAAGACTCATCATCCGGATATCCCGCTTACACCACGATGGTTTCCGCACCCTCTCACGGCGAGTGAACTCACCACTCATCACCACCCGGCCCAATCAATGACCAACCCTCCTGTTATTGAAAATCCCGCAGGCTTGGCGGTTGATGACAGGTACACTGTCTCGCAATGTCTCACAAGATCCCGAAGTGCTGACGTCAACGACTCCCGACATCGGGAGAAGCGGCACAGCCACTGGCAAACGGCTTTAAGCGTAAAGTTTGTTTCTTCGCCATCCTTAGCTTCTCGAGAATCTTCAAATTACCTCATTTCTTTACGTCGTTTGTAAAGTTCTTCAGCTGTGGCTGCAACGGCCGTTTCTTTCCAAAATGGTGTGGGACTATGCTTTGGTGTAGGTGCCCTAATCCCCTTGCCATTAGTGTTATTCGTTGACCCCTCATCAGGCATGTCAAGTACACAATTCCCGTTGGAATTTGTCTTGCTCTCGTTTATAGGCCGCTACTATCGCGAATGGACATTTACAAGATTGGGTTTCTCATAGCGGTAGGCAACACTCTCCACTAGTCGACACAAAGCCTCATCGTAACACTTGTGCTAGGCAGCAGTGGTTTCAACCATGTATGTCGATTGAATGATTTTAATAGTGGTCTACTGACTTGGAAGTCCGTGGGATTCATACCTCATCAGGCATAGGATCTGGACATATCCTCCAGGCGCCATCGTCGGCCCAACTCTCCGGGACATTCCAGCAGAAGAAGTTTTCTTTTTCTTTATCCAAACCTTCAATACTTCACTACTGTACCTCATTCTGACTAAAACTACGTTGCATCCTATCTATCTATCCAGAGGACGTAGTTTCCATAAAATCATAGGTCAGGCCATACTTGTGGTTGCAATTCTATACAGCCTAGCAGCAGTTCACAATGGAGGAGAACGCACCTACCTGGGCCTCATATTGATTTGGGCTTGCCCTTTCACCCTCTTACTATGGTTCGTCGGCAGGCCTTTCAACCCTATCTGTTGTACTAACCCCCGCTAGGAGTCTTGCTTCTGACTTCCTGGTCCACCTACCCTTGACCAGTACCGTGATACCTATTCTACTGCCAACCTTATATCTGTGGATGGTTGATACGTTTGCTCTACGTCGCGGAACATGGAGCATATCTTCTGGGACCAAGCATGGCATTGAATTATGGAGGGGACTGGATATTGAGTAGATGCCCAAATTCTTACCCGGTGTTCTAGTACTCATTCTCACTAGGGAAGCCATCTTTTTTCTATTGACAAACACCATGATTGTCTTCGGACAGGTGGCTTTCGACAATTCGCTCGCCATCCTAGACACGTTTCCTGAGAGATTCAGAGACTACACTAGGCTTCCAAGTCCGCCTCTCCTCATCCAAGCACTTCTCTTACCCAAAGCCAAGTACGACAGAGAACGCATCACTGGGCTTGTCAACGCAACTACTCTTTTAAGTAAGAAAAGTCGGAGTTTCTACCTCGCCAGTGGAGCCTTCGAGGGTAAACTTCGAATAGATCTCATCCGTCTCTACGCATTCTGTAGGGCCGCCGATGATCTAGTCGACGAAGCGACATCCACTGAAGAAGCGACATTGTGGATCGAGAGGCTAGAGCGATTCTTACAGCTTGCGTCTGGCCAGAAATCATCAAATTCCGAACTTGATGACTATGTCAGAGAAAGATTCCCGGAACCAATTCAGCAGGCATTGCTACAGCTACCAACGGATTATCTTCCAAGCCAGCCCCTACACGATCTGTTGAAAGGATTTGAGACTGACTTGCTCTTTTCTACAATCTACCCAATAGCAACTACGGAAGATCTGGACTTGTACGCAAGCCATGTGGCAGGAACAGTTGCAGAACTTTGCAATTGCCTCATACTTTGGCACTATTCCTCCTCTTCATCGGAAGAGTCACGGAGCCGCATTCTGAATGGGGGCGTGCAAATGGGGATCGCTCTCCAATACGTCAATATGGCACGAGACATTGCAGTGGACGCCGGCATGGGCCGAGTCTACATTCCAAGTTCATGGTTGCAAGAATCGAACTTAGAGGCTCGAGATATGGTTCAAAACCCATCCGGTCCTACCGTCGACAGTTTACGTCAAAGGCTCCTTGATCGTGCCTTTGCGAAATATGAACTGGCTCGTGGGGCTATCGATGAGCTTCCTCCTGAGGTGAGAGGGCCGATCCGAGTTGCCGTGGAAAGCTACATGGAGATTGGGCGAGTGTTGAGAGAATCGGGTTATTCCGTTCGGGATGGGAAAGCCACTGTTCCCTTGTGGAGGAGGATCAAGGTTGCATGGTCAGCGTTGAACCAGTAGAATCCTGCTTGGAGTCTGCGACAAGCCACCAACAAGAGCTGGTCAGATAGCGGCCATCACTCGTCCTGTCTCTTATCATTTGAGTCAAGAACTACACGGTTGAACATGGACAACTCGCCTTATCAAGGCTTATGTGATACAGCCACATGCTAAGGGGAGGGGTTGGTGAGACATGCAAGGATGGTGGGTCGAGGAACGAAAATGGAGGACGTCATTGACTGCCTCGTCGTGTTACACAAAGAAAGTACTTATGCTTATTCTAATATTCGCTGAGGCATTTACACTCTTTATCGTCAAATGGAAGAACCAAAGTCTAAGGCAAAGTCCGTGATTGTAATTGGTATGCATCCCCGGGCCCCTTTGCGAGTTACGATGTCACTACTGACTAGCGGGTTCGCCTAGGTGCCGGTGTTGGAGGAGTTGCCACGGCTGCACGACTAGCAAAGGCCGGCTTCAAGGTGACGGTTCTGGAAAAGAACGACTTTACCGGTGGGAGATGTTCTCTGATCAACCATGATGGCTACGTGAGTTGGCCCTCGAAACTAGTTATCATCCGGCTTGCTAACAGTCGAAGCGCTTTGACCAAGGTCCATCACTACTGCTTCTCCCTCAATTCTTCCACGAGATCTTCCGTGATCTTGGGACTTCACTCTCATCCGAAGGGATTGAGCTACTCAAGTGTGAGCCAAACTACAACATTTGGTTTGGCGATGGCTCTTCCTTTGAGCTTTCCACAGATCTCACGAAGATGAAGAAGTCGATCGAGGCGATTGAAGGCAAGGATGGCTTTGAACGTTATCTCTCGTTTCTACAAGAGTCACATCGACATTACGAGATCAGCGTCGCCTATGTACTTCGAAGGAACTTTTCATCCTTTCTCAACATGGCAAGGCCGGAGATGCTGTTGAATCTTTTGGCTCTTCATCCCTTCCAGAGCATATGGACTCGAGCCAGCAAGTATTTCTGGACCGAAAGGCTAAGAAGAGTGTTCACATTCGGGACTATGTACATGGGCATGAGTCCGTTTGATGCGCCGGCGACGTATAGCTTGTTGCAGTACACAGAGTTGGCAGAGGGAATTTTGTACCCACAAGGCGGGTTCCATAGAGTGAGTGCGCGAGACTGTTTCCCCTCTTCAAAAGGCTGACTAGTTGCACAGGTTGTAGAATGCCTTGTTAAGGTCGGCGAGCGACTGGGCGTGGAATACCGCTTGTCCACTTCAGTACAATCCATTTCCATCGACAAAGCCACGCAGAAAACCAACGGAGTCATCCTTGAAGACGGAACCCTCCTACCGGCAGACATCGTAGTCTCAAATGCGGACCTTGTCTACACTTACAATAATCTTCTACCGGAAACCTCCTATGCGCGGTCTCTGTCCAAACGGGAGGCATCCTGCAGCAGCATCTCATTTTACTGGTCGATTTCGAAGGTAATTCCGAAACTTCGGGCTCACAATATCTTTCTTGCAGACGAATACCGAGAGTCCTTTGACAGTATCTTCAAGAAACATCTGATCCCGGTGGAGCCGTCTTTCTATGTCAACGTTCCTTCACGGGTGGATCCGTCGGCCGCCCCAGAAGGCAAAGACTCCATTGTCGTGTTAGTTCCCGTGGGTCACCTGCTATCGGACAAGTCAGGAACACACAGGGGCATATCCAAGCCAGCCAATAGCGCGGAAGATACCGTCAGCACAGATCAAGACTGGGACTCGATGGTATCACTTGCCCGCGAAACGATAATTGCAACCATTCAATCCCGAATTGGCGTGGACCTTTCCCCTCTCATCAAGCACGAAATCATCAACACCCCATACACGTGGAAAGACAAGTTCAACCTGGACAAGGGAGCCATCCTGGGATTAAGTCACTCCTTCTTCAATGTCCTTTCTTTCCGACCCGGGACTCAGCATTCACAGTTCAAGAACCTGTACTTTGTTGGGGCAAGCACACATCCAGGAACTGGAGTTCCAATCTGTCTTGCTGGAAGCAAAATCGTTGCTGAACAGATTCTTGAAAACGCAGGGTTCTCCGACGGTGAGATACCATGGCTTGCAGTGCACAATGAGAGGGGGCGGGGTGAGCTTGATAGGATGCAGGGCCAATATTTCCTTGGCATACGAGGCACATGGTTCATTGCTTTGATTGTGGGACTCATGGTAGCTTATTGTTCCGGATTTGTTCACTAGAAAAGCGGAAGGAGCATTCAGTGACAGTGCATCTATTCCATTTCTCAAGAATTAGCCAATATTGAATTATTAAGGATAGTTATTACAGTAATGAGACGCTGCTCAAATTCCATCTACCAACCCTCCATACCCAGTCCAATCGGTTTGATCCTATCGTAACTTACAATGGGTGCCCAATGTCATGGTTGGGCTTGGACATGTGTTGGGCAGTATCGTGTTCTTTGATATTGTGCACGATCTCCAATTAGAGACGCCATTAATGTCAACAATGCGTTGGGCAGCAAAGCTTTTGAGGAGAGAGACCTGTGCGCTGGCATGTTTCTCGTTGGGCTTCAGTTGCACTGCAATTTTAACCCGCCCCCAGGGATTATCAACCCCGTGAAGTCAACACCACAACTTCCACCACGACAGATAATATTGGAATTAACGATAAGTGCCGTTCTCGATGGCATGAAAATTGAGTTTCCAGCTGATTTCACATTATCTTCAAAGACATAGGCCCACTGGCCCTGTACTACGCAATACGTAACTAGTAGTAAGGAGGTACCGACACTGAATTGGTGGTGTGGCAGTCTCCGGTCATCAACGTCATGGATTCCATCCCATCTCGACAGTCTCTCGAGGAAGTCAAACTTTCCAATACTATGACGAGTCGACCGGCAACGTTTCTGCGCAACCGTTATTTCCATCCTCGCGCAAGATGCCGACTGTGCCGAAATGACCAAGAAAATGAAGTCATCCTTCTTTAGTCAGTTGAGCAGTAGAACAGCTTATACAACAAGAGCCCTTTTCTGCCAATAATTTATCTACATTATTATTCACTAATGCTCATGCTCTTAGCATTCACTATTCGACTACACCTACTTCTAATCAACCATATCTGAGGACATCTTCATCATGACTTCTCAAATCTTTCCACGTAGAAACGATGCGCTCAACGTCAACCGTAAGCTCATCAGATCATCTACTTTCACACCTGCTAACAGCTTTTTCAGCTGACACTGTCAATGGTCAAAGCAGTGATATCAATCTTACCACTCGTGGCTCTGATTGGTACTGGGCTGTTTGCGCCGTGATGACGGTTGCTACGATCGCCTTCATCGGGACTGCCTGGACCAAGCCAAGAACTGATCGGATATTTCACTACATCACGGGAGGTATCACCATGATTGCTGCTATTTCTTACTTTTCAATGGCTTCCAATCTGGGTTGGACTCCTATCGCTGTTCAATTCCGGCGCAGCGATCATAGAGTGGCTGGCGTCTATCGTGAAATCTTCTATGTGCGATACATTGACTGGTGAGTTGTCAATGGACACGGATACAGCTACAATACTGACCATGAAATAGGTTCATCACCACCCCCCTTCTGCTCATGGATTTGTTACTCACGGCTGGTATGCCATGGCCTACCGTGCTGTGGGTTATCCTTGTTGACTGGGTCATGATCGTCACTGGGCTTGTGGGCGCCCTTGTCAAGAGCTCGTACAAATGGGGCTACTTCGCTTTCGGTTCGTCATCCCCTGTTGTAATTCCAATGCCACCATGGGCGTATTGAAGAAACATTGTTAACTCGCCAACACAGGTTGTGCTGCACTGGCCTACATCGTCTATCAACTTGCCTGGGAAGCTCGCATCCACGCCAACCGAATTGGAAATGATGTCGGCCGCGTCTTTCTCGCTTGCGGCACCATCACGCTTATTGTGTGGATCTGCTATCCCATCGCATGGGGCGTTTGCGAGGGTGGCAACATCATTGCGCCCGACTCTGAGGCTGTATTTTACGGAATCTTGGATCTCCTCGCAAAGCCAGTTTTCGGTGCCATCCTCCTCTGGGGTCATCGGAACATTGACCCCGCCCGTCTCGGACTCAGAATTAGAGACGTTACCGAAGGCCCAGTTTATCCCGAGGGTCCGGGTGCGCAAAAGAGGAGTGTCAATGAGCCGGCTGTTGGAGCAGGGGCAAATGGTACTCAGAACCCTGCTGACGTTCCAGTCACCGGTACTACCGCAGCTTGAGCTTCCTGGCTCAACAAGATTCGCTACCTAAGTTCGCAATCCGCTATAATTAGAACGTTATACGCATTCTGGATAAGGGACGCTGAAGTTGCGGTCTGGTCAGCGGTCAAGGGACAACATATGCTAAGTTTCAATTGTACTCTCACTCTAAAATTTCTTCAATTAACGACGTCATTATTCCAACAAATTGTCTTTCCCTTGCCTCCATAATCATCAATTGAGATTGTTGTCAATTGTGCGTTGTTATGTTCTAACCTCCACACTCATTTCGCCTCCTTTCACAATGTTGGCATAGTCAAACACGTCAGCAAGCCTCGCTGTTTGGGTGTCAATTCAAGTATTATATCAATCCAAGGATTGCCCAAATCGTATCCACCTTGTGCAACCTCATTGACCAATACTTGAGGTTCATGGTTCAGAAATTTTAGTGACGTTTCGTCAGTCGCCTCATTTAGACAAAACTGCATGTCATTCGCTGCAAGTCAATAGATTTGAGGTAATGAGCCCCTGTGAGTCACATCACTGGTTCACGGCCAAGTCAGTGGCAGACGTGTCATTTGGCAACTGGGGCAACGTCTCGTGACACGATGGCAAGGGTCCGATTCGCTAAATCCAAACATAAACCCAACCTGGCCCGTCGATCCAGCCTAACCTGATAGACCCATTATGCACGTTTTCTTGTTCTGTTTTCTTCTTTGCGCAGATACCCTCAATAAAGTACCATCGATCTTTCATCTTCTCGGCAGTTCATAGGATTCAGCTGCATCGACTAGGGGTCCTTCTACTCATTCTCCTTTCACCAATCATCTCATTCACAAGTCAGTACCCAATGATCCTCAAACAAAACACCCGCTCATATGCGCAGACTATGCAGTCGTCAACATTACCCCGGACACGGAAACCCGATGTCCTTTACTTTGCCTATGGAAGCAATCTCCATGTTGCCCAGATGGCCAAGCGATGTCCTTCCAGCGTCTTCATCGGCACGGGGACACTCGCGGGCTATAGGTGGCAGATCAATGAGCGTGGAGTGGCCAATGTGGTCCCTGCGGACGACTCCTCAGTCGAGGGCCTTGTATACCTTGTCAATGCCCGGGACGTGAGGGCGTTGGACCGCTCGGAAGGCGTGGCCAGAAAGTTGTACCAAAAGCACATGTTGGAAATCGTCCTCCAGCGCCACAGACAATACTCCTCGTTCACATCCGCACGCTTAGCCCATGTGCTTGAAGAATCATCCAACTCACCAGATCAATTTTACGGCCAACCATTGCAGTCAACGGACGCAAACTCGGACTCGGATCCGGAGGGATCTCTCCGTCGACATGGTCCTCCAAGCCAACGACAACAGAGGCCATATCGCCCTCTGGACGTCAAAGCTCTGGTCTACGTCAGCGAGAACTACACAACCGATGGTACGATTCGAGAAGAATACATCGCACGCATGCGAAACGCTGTGTCCAATGCTAGCACCCTTGGAGTCTCACATTCATTCCTCGACAAATACATTGTCCCTCACCTAAAGCCCGACGATGAAGAACCAGCCACACCGGACCAGATCCAAGAGAAGGATCAGGAGGAGAAGCAGCAAGAGGAGAAGCAAGAGGATAACAGGGAGGAGGAGAAGGCAAGCGAATCGCCAGACACTGCCGCCAGTAACGACGTTACCACCAGCAACACAGCCGACAAGTCTTCCGGGCAGACAAAGGACACTCAGGATGCCCAAAGAGAAGGCCGGTTTGACGCTGTAATAGTCGGTGCCTGTGTCTTGGCTACCGCAGGGTGGTGTTCGATGACTCTCCTCTAGTGCCAGGTTGAGTTCCAAGGCTCGGAAATCCGGGCTGGTTTTGATATAGATTAATACTTCCTTTTGTGGCTATAGAGGAAAAAGAATTGATTCGGGTTTGGGGTTTTGGGGGGGTTCTAAGGATGATATCAGACATTAACATATGGGTCGTGGGTTTTGGTTTGTTATACGGATAGGCAGCTATATAGAATGAGCTCTCAACAGCATCTCTTCAATCATAGTACTTTCTTACTACTTTGAGGCAAGGTGCAAGTAGAATCAAAGGTTTCATGTCCAATACCTGACGATCAAAGACGATGGACTCAATGTCTGATGCTCACACCGACCTGAACGCCTTTGCTAATGGCCGTTGCAGCAAAGGCTCAAGTCGCAGAATTAGCCCTTCATGACCGTTGGACTGGACTACTCGCCACTAGCCCTGCCACTCTCTCAGTCCGTCTTAAGAGTGTCCAGCTAACCAGTAGTACCGATGAAAACCACCTCAACAGCAGCAAAAGCTGCCACAGCTGCAAAAACCTCTCCCTTCTTTGCTCCGGGATAAAACGACATCACAACAGAAAAGATAGTAGTGAAAACAATGACTAGCCCGATTCTAACTAGCATCCTTTTCACAAAATACAAGACTAGAATCATCAAGGTTGGGAGAAGAGAGGCAAGGGCAGCCGTTATACCGTCGCTGACGGCTTGCAGCCTTTCATCGTCATACTTGCGTATGCGCGGTACCGCCGCCGTAGAGGACTGGCTTGTCTGTAGCCCAAGTCAGTGTCTGATTTAAACGAGCTTGGCAGGAAATATCACCTTGTTGAACCTTCTTTGAATCTTCTTCAAGGATTCAGCGAAGAAGTGATAAATATCCAACAATATCCCACGGACCAAGGATGATATTCTGTCGCCGCTAGCTATGGGGGTAACGCTCACGTACTCGTCTCGTGATTGCATCTCCCAGATTGTGCTTTCGGTTCCAAGCGGAAAATACTCCCCGCCGCCAGCACCTTCCAACCACAGGCGGATAAACTCCAAGGGACGTTTCTCTGGGGATGGTAGGCTTTGAACGGCCCCAGTGGCCGAGAGTGAAGTGTCTAGTTTATCGGCGTCAGTTTATGTAACTCTTTAAGAGACTTTTACCTACTGTACTCGTTGAGCTTCTCTCCAATCTGCTGCAACAGTTCATACTGTTCAAAATCCTTCCCTTGTTCTGCACATCGCTTGAGCAAAAAGAAGTTTCTCGAATAGTCCTTTTTATCGGGGTCATCCGACTGTTGGTCTTCTTGGATAACTTCGAGAAGCTCATCTTCCAATGAGTGGAGTTCTGCCTGGAGTCTGAGTAGATGAAGCATGTTGAGCTGCCTGAACCGCCGAAATATGGCGGTTCTTGGAGAATCGCCCATTAATTTGGCCAACTTCGGATATCCTGACTCGGTCGGGGTGTCTTGCCTGTTTTGTTCTACATCTTGAGGTTGATTTGGATCCATCACTGTGGCACACTCTTTTCAAGAATATGCCTTACCTCGCTTGATTTTGGTCGGGTATGCATGCGGTGTCACGACTATGATATAGGCTAGGCGGGGAAATATAATAGAAATACTCTAACTAAGCAAGGGACCGAAGGGACTAAGCATCGCCCGCACCGGTCTAGGGACTAAACATTAAAAATATTAGTCTTTACCCTAGACTAAACCTAGAGGATATTAGTCTAAGGATTAACTATAAGTATATAGAATATACTTATTATACTTTTCCTATATAATAGCTATCTTAGCTATTAATATAACTTAATTATACTTAATACCTTTAAGTATATTATTAGATATAATATTATATTACCCTTTAAGGCTATATAATATAATCTAATATTAATATAAATTAATATAACTAGTTTATCCCTTAAGAATTACCCTCTCGTTATATATTAATAGCTCTTATTTATTAAATTACTTATATTACCTTAAATAATACTAAATATAATAGCTACTTAGGCTACTCTTAGTATTAATTACTAATAAGTCTTATTAATTAATTAATTATTTATTTTTATTATATTAGCTTAGGCTAATCTTAATAATAATAAGGAAATAAATAATAATAATAAAAAGATTAAATAACTTTAAGCTTAGGTTATAGTAATAACTACTAAAATAAATAAGCTTAGGGGACTTATTAATTATATAGCTACTAATTAGTAAGTCTAGAATTAATAATATTAAGATAATATCTAGCTTATTAATAATATAGCTATTATAGCTATAAAGGGTAAGGATATTAGAGAAATCTTAAAGTTAGAATTATTAGAGAAATTTAATAATATTATATATAAATTACTTACTTTTTTTATATAATTATACGCTTTTATAGTATATTACTTAACTTAATTTAAATACGAGTCTAGCTATATCTAATATACTATAAGATAATTTATTAAGTATATTACTATATAGTTCGAACTTAATATAAAAGAATACCTTAATACTCCTTTTACCTAACTCTTATTCTATACCTATAAACTCTATACTAATTATATTAAATTTAAAGCTACCTTATAATAGGCCTTTAGAACTATCGATAAGAAGGCATAAATAGAATAAGAAATTAAGGTATTTAATTAAACTCAGTTTACCTTAGAATATAATATAAAATATCTCTAACTCGCCTTAAAGCTAGGATAAGATTAATAATTACTTATATTACTTTTCTTTAATAAACTTAAGAAAAATATATAAGCTAAACTCTATAAAGAAGATTAACCTAATAACCTTATTAATTATATCGGCCGAGCGGTTAAGATCGATAACTAATAGTTCTCCTGGAAGAAACTCTAGAGCCCCCGACATAGATAATAAGTCCTAGCTACTCACGATAAGATCAAATAGATAGCCAAGGAGGGATTTAATTTCTTAATATATAAAGGAAATAATAATAATAAATAATAATATAAAGATATATGACTATACTTATAAAAGAATTAAGGATTAACCGATTAGCTATTATAAGATTATATTAATTATATTCGATGCGGTAACCTTAATAAGGCCTACTTAAAATCGCTAAAAGAACCCTACTAAGGAAGCAGAAGTATAGACAATATAGCTATAGAAGCTAGCTACTAGGAGTAATAGGATAGCCTATAAGATAATTATAACTATAAAGCCTATATAAATAGCGAGTATAAATATAATTACTTTAATTATACTATAGTAATATTAAAAAATTAGATACCCTATCTAATATAGGGCAATAGATAGATAAATATAGGAATAAATTACCTAAGAAAGCCCTCTACTTTATAAATAGAGGATATAAGCGATAATACCTAGAATTAAAAGTATAAGTTAAGGAAGAATAATTAAATACTTTAGTGAATAATAGAGCTAAGTAGAATTATTTTAACTTAATAGCGGCGAATAAGCTTAAGTTACTATAGAGGCATAAATATAAGCCCTATATAATATATAACCTTAAAGGAATACCTTTTAATTATAATAATAGAGTTATTAATTATAAGATTAATTACCTTAAGGTTCTTATTAAAGGAAAGAACTAAGGAATCTTATTTAATATTATATTAAATTAGAGCTATAATCTTATACTTAGGTACTTATAATTATAATACTTTAACTTATATTTTAATTAAAGAATTAGCTAGATATTCTCTTATAATACTAAGATATCCTCTATATTAAATAATAATTTAGATTAGAAATCTTAAACTTTTATTAATAATAAAGAAGTTAAGTAAAAATAAATATAAAATACCTCTTTACTTATAGGGATAAAATATAAATATTATAATAAATAGAAATAATAATAATAAAAGATAATTATATAAATTATATAATAATTCTATATACTTAAGAAAGATCTTAAGAGACTAAAGAAAAAAAACCTAGAAGAAAAATAACTTAAGAATATACTATAGAAGTATAGAATCTATAAGAAACTCTTCGTAAAAGAACTTAAAATAAGCCTATTAGAATATATCTTATATAACCTTAAAATTAAGTTTATTAATAGGAAGTAACCTAGTCTTAATAAACTTTACCTATTTAATAAAATATAATTTTTAATATTAAAGAAATATATTAAAGATATAATATAGAAAGGATATATTAGGGAAAGTAAATTATCTATTAAATACCCTATTATATTTATTTTAAAGAAAAATAATAAGCTCTAACTTTATATTAATTTCTAAATACTTAATATTATTATAATTAAGGATTATATATTATTACCCCTTATTAGCGAATTAAAGGATTAATTTTTTAAAATAAAATACTTTATTATATTTAACCTTAAAGGAGCTTATAACCTTACTTAAATTAAAGAAAGATATAAATAAAAAACTACTTTTTATACTAAGTATAGACTATTTAAGTACCTTATTATACCTTTTAGACTTACTAATATACTTACTATATTTTAATAAATAATTAATAATATATTATAAGAATATCTAGATATATTTATTATATATTACCTAGATAATATTTTTATCTTCTCTTAAATAGAAAAAAAATATATAGAATATATCTATAAGCTATTATAAATATTATAAAATACTAACTTATTAATAAAACCTAAGAAAAATAAATTTTATATCTTAGAAATAAAATTCCTCGGATATATTATCTCTTATAATAAGATATATATAGACCTTAAGAAAGTCTTAGTAATTAAAGACTAAAAGGAGCTAATTAATATTAAGGAAATATAAGCCTTCCTTAGATTTATTAATTATTATTATAAGTTTTTTAAAGTATTTAAGAAGAGAGTTATATTATTAATAGAACTTATAAAAAAAGATAAAATCTTTATATTTAAGGATAAAAT